CCGCCGGCAACGACCTCCACAACCCCAAGGGCATCATCGAGATGGCCGTCCGGGTCAACAACATGGAGGCCCTCAACTGGCTTCTCGACCAGGGCGTCAGCCCCAACGACAAGGGCGATGATGGCAACACCCCTCTGACAACCGCCATCAAGGAGGGTCGCATGGAGATGCTCGACGAGCTGATCGCCCACGGTGCTGACCCCAACGTCCGCGGCAGCGACTGGCCCATCGTCATGTCCGTCAACTACCCCGAGGTTCTCGCGAAGCTCCTCCCCGCCGTCCCCGACATCCGCTCCTTCAAGGGTCTCATGGAGCGCGCCGTCGTTGCCAACCAGCTCGAGAGCGTCAAGCTCCTCCTCAAGGCCGGCGTGTCCGTCGAGGACAAGAACGGTGGCGTCTTCTCCCCGTTGACCTCTGCCATTCGCGAGGACAACAAGGAGATCACCAAGTTCCTCATCGAGGAGGGTGGCGCCGACATCAACGCGCCCGGTGAGCACTTGCCCATCGTCAAGGCGGTGCGCCGGTGCCGCGGCGACGACACAGACATCCTTGAGCTGCTGCTCCGCCACGGCGCCGACGTCAACAAGATCTACCGTGGATGGAACGCCATCTTCCAGGCCGTCGAGAACGGCGACGCCAAGGTCCTCAAGCTTCTCGTCGAGGCTGGCGGTGTCGACCTCGATGCCAAGGACGATGCTGGCCGCACCGTCATGGAGATCGCGGCCGGTCGCGGCTGGGAGGAGTCTGTCGGTATCATCCTCTGGGATGGCAAGAACAAGTCGTGATCCTCCTAATACGTCTTGTCTTGGAGCTTTCTTTTCTTTCTGTCTCTCTCACGTGTAACTGACTCAACGCCGAGGAATGGCGCAACTCTTTACTTTCTTTTGTAATGTCCATGTACGAGATATGGAGGATGGGGTGGGCAACTGAAGTTTTCTCATGTAACATGGCGGGGCTTTATGATATCAGATTGATTTGTTATTCTAATGCGCTTCGATATCATCTGTCTTTCTTCACTTCTATACCTCCCTGTTTAGACTCTGGATCTTTCAATACCTGATCACCTAATCTCAATATCATTTCAACATGACCTTCACAAATGGCACTCGTGAATAAGCCCCCTCACAGTAGTAGCTTCACTTAGGCCTTAGAAACAACATGAATAGTCTTCATGGATGACCCACCTTCATTGAATTCTTTGCCTGCTTGACTTATCAATCATCTCCAAGCGGATCTTGTCCCCTAATACCCACCCACCATCTAATCACAGCAAAAGGTCGTCTACTAGACTTAAGTAGCAAAAGAAATGCCTCGTGGCGGAATCGAACCGCCGATCTTCTCATGTCACTATTACTAGTGAGACGCTATACCACTTAGCCAACAAGGCTGTTGATGCTGGATCGCTTGTATGCTTGCTGACGGGGCGAGAGATTGCAGGTTCATTTCTCGGGATTGCTTGTGCTGTGGGCTGGAGATGGGTAGGGCCGCGGGGCGGGTGCTGCCGTCCCACCAACCCACTTGGTTCACGATGGAGACATCTGAGGGGCAAGGGTCCGACGGTATGGTCGGCCACAACTTGTTGGTCTTTAGTGCATGAGCTGCGTGCCTCAGCTGGAAGCGGTTCACAAGACACGACCTGAACTTTATGCAGGCTGGCTGAAAATCGTCTATTTTCCATGTATCTGAACTTTCGTGTATTGTTCTATCTAAGGTAGTGAAAAGAGTGTATCCCTATTCAATGCTTTGAAGAAGGAAGGCCGTGTATATGATGGTGGGTTGTTCTAAGATTGATAACGGAATTTTGCTTCGCTGCTGTGTTCTCATCCCGTGAAAGTTGGCACTCCTCTGATGTAGGTCGGATCTAGCCAGGTTACCCAAGGTCAACAAAAGTGTATAGGACTTTGACTTCAAAAGATCAAGCTCACTACTTACACATAGCTCTTTCTTGATTGATTCCAGCAAGTATCACATCCAAGCCGCCGCTTAAGCCCTAGAGGCAGCAGCTTTGGGAAGTTGACATTTCAGGCATGTCGTAGCAGTCGATGGCGGCGAGGTTGCAGGACACTGGCACATCTTGGAGGGATCCGAGAGTGCAGTGATGACCGAAACTGGAACGATGGGACCAGGCATGTTGGTTGTCGAGTGTTTGTGGTGGTTGGATCTGGAAAGAGATTTATAGAATCAAGAATGATTTATCTGAAGGTCTTGGTATTGAGGCGAAGGTATGCTGCTTGATACTGTCGAAATCTAACTTCAAGGGCTACTGTCATCGTATTTATACCGAATTGTAGACAGTCACCAGCTCTCGTCGCTCCCTGAGGTTGAGGTCTACGATATGACTAGTCACCAAATCATAGTCTGACCGAGATGACAAGCATGACTTGGAAAGAGTGCCAACGACATGAGACTTCGGTTTTGGGAAATAATCAAGAGCAACAGGGGTCATCAGCCCTACAGGGCAGCGGGCTTGCAGCTTGCTACACCGAGACACGATGTATCCGTAGCCTCGGTTCGACGAATCCTTCTCATATGGGCGGCTGCCGCTAGTAAAGGCAGTCATCAAGGCGAGTCGTACAACCTGATCCACGTAATGGGTCAACAAAGTCCCAGATAATGGGAAATTGCTTGTTGTCATTGGCTAAAGGGCAGCAGAACTGACTGGCAGAAGACGGGATAGGTTGACTTTGGATGTCAAGCTCTCAGTCGGGCCGTCTGAACGAGGTCGGTCGCCAAGGCTAGCCTCTGACTTGGTACACTGTCAAAAGATTTGACTTCTTTCTGCGTGTTGAGAAGGGATGAAAATATCCATCAATAACGAATCAGAGATCCAAGCAAGCAATTCTGCAACAAGACCGCGCCGCAAAAGTGGATAATTCTCATTCTTGAATGTTAGTTCAGCTTGAGATGTTTCTTCTACAAAAATCTATTCGACGATGCACCCTGTCCTGTGGCAAAAGTTGAATTGCTAAGCTCACGAAGATATAATCTTGAGTGTCGATTGCCGTTTTGGGCAAATCTACGTTGAGCCGCAGGCTGGGGGCACTACTTACTTTCTAGGGCCAAGAGAAAAGAGACCAGTTTCCCGAATAGGAAATTGTACGTCGCAGAGGCGCGACATGGCCAGTTGCGCATTTTGATTCGTTCCCGAAGAGACAAGCATCCCTTGAGGACTCAAGAGGCTGGTTTAAGCGTCTTACTCATTGTCCATGGACCCGGGCGTGGGGGCGAAAACAGCTCAGTCTGACAGATTACAGGGCCAGGCACCCAGCGTGTTCTGTCGTGCCACAGGTTTGCCTTTGCTGACACACATAGGGCTGAGCTGAGATTTATCGCGAGGCAGAATGCACTGCAAAGATCGATCATGCACGATGAATTTCCTGAACGGGAAATAGAGATGCTGGCTATGTCAGGGCCGTTCGTGAGGCCCTCAAAAAGTAGGGGACTCGGCCGAACGTGAGCGTGGGGGAAAGTAGGTGGCCGGAGAGGGTTGATCTTTAGACACTTTTGTTGGCCATGCTATATGGGGTATTCGGGGCCGCCAGAGCTCCAATTCTCTTTGCTATACTAGGAAGCTGTGAAATTACAGCAATAGTTAGGGAAAAGTTACTATGTACCTCTTGATGTCTCTCCGATGGCTGCGGTACTCAGATTTCGCATTTTGCAGATGTGGAATCATTCTAGATTCATCCAGCTGCGAGATACCAGGCTCGTGGAAGTATGGAAGCCTCAAGTCTCGGACTCTGGAAGCCACCTCCACACGCCTATGAGCCTCCAGAAGACTAAGCACGGAAGGCTGAGACATTTCTGCGAAGACCTTTTCCCCTTCGTATTCCGGCCATTCATGATTAATTCTTTCACTGGAATGCACCCATCAGAGGTGTTCCCATGTGGCAGAAGTGCATACACTCCGTACGTAAGGCAGTGGAAGGTAGGTGAGGTGGTGGGAGAACCCCTCATTCAAGACGGCCAGCCTCAACCTCGGTCACAGCATCGCGGTAGTCAGCATCTCGTTCATTCTCACATACATCAATGCTTCGCCTACGGACATGTGTGCTACAAGACCCTGTGCCTTCATGACAGAAGTCAAGCCAACGTTTGAGGCCTTCCTGGGGACGCTCCCGTCGCCTTGCTGTCTCAGCCACGCGTCTCCGTGAGACCAACAACACTGATGGTTGCGGAAGTCAGACGTCCGACAGATGAACGCCCATGACTGACTCTGTAGATATCTCGAGAAATGACTCGAAGTGAGTTTCCCCTCGCTACGATCACTGCAGCTTCCCATCTGATATCTTGCCTTGGGAGACCGTGATGTGAGAATTGCGGACATGATACCGCCGCGTTACCATGCAAGCGGGACTCAAATCTACCAGGAAGCTAATTCTCGATTTTTTACAGACAATGAGAGAGGCACTTTGCATTCGCGACAGACATCGGGCCCTGGATAGGGCTTACGATGGGCGTCTTGTGGGGTCCCCAGGCCAAAGACCTACTTATAGAGACTACTGGCTGTACCGGATATCAGCACATCCCCGATAGTCTAGTGGTGAGGATATCTGCTTGTCACCGGGGAAATCCGACGATTCGCAGGGGACCGGGGTTCAATTCCCCGTCGAGGAGTTCTTTTTTTCGCTTTTTCGCATATCATTAACCTTTTCTTTTTGTTCTACAAGTTTTCCATCGTTTGTCCGGTGTCGTGGAAGAGAATGCACCGAATTGCGTGTGTGGTGCAGCTCAAAGTGACGGGAGGCATTGCATCAATTGAGGAGGTACGTACTTTTGGGGACCAACAGTGTGCGATGGGTGTTAAGTTGCATCTTCGTCCGCTCTACGATTTCAAGTCCGGGAACTTTCCTAAACCCCCGTCTTTGCAAAAAGAAGTGATAGTCGGGTATTGGATCATATAGAACAAACGGTCAGATCCTTCGTCCGTATCGGGAAGGTACAGTCTCACGCACTGATCGCTACAATCAAGGATGCCTCCATCATCCATGGCCGACTCCGCACCGGCAAACTGCTCCGATGCGCTTATCGGCCACGGCAACACCGTCCGACTCCTCTTCAACTCTCGTCATTGAATTGAACACTGAGTCTTGAAGTCTTTGCTCTGCTCTTCGCTCTCACAGTGCATTCCAACGCGCCCTTCATCCAGCACTGCCAGAGTATGACACTTCGCAAAGCTCCCGCCCTCGCCGGCCCCGCCATGGAGCTTCCCCGGCGCACTTCGCCGCGGTGGACAGCAGACGCTGAGGATGCGATCCCGGAGAAGCTCATCAAGCCATGGAAACTCCCTCGGCACAATACCTACCTCTTTATCAACGCAAATGTCGTGGATACCGCCAAGGGCCTTGTTATTAAGAACACGACCGTCAAGATCTCAAACGGCTTGATTGAGAGCGTTGGACAGAGCTCAGCCGACAGTTCAGGCAATGATGCCATTGTGGTCGATCTGCAGGGAAAATACCTCTCTCCGGGCCTCATTGACTGCCACGTTCATGTCAGCTCCGTGCCCGGCGAGGCCGGCCTCAACGGCGGCTTCAACATGGATGCCACCGTATCTCATCTGCGGCAATCCTTCGTGTGTGGTCGCATCCTAAGCAAGGGCTTCACCACGGTCCGCGACACCGGCGGTGCAACTCTCGCGCTCAAGGAGGCTATCCAGGACGGCGTCTTTCCTGGGCCTCGTTTGTTCATCGCCAACCAGGCCCTCTCGCAGACCGGAGGCCACGGCGATCGCCGAGGCGCCCACGATCATTCGGGGCTCTGCTGCGGCGGCACGGCGGGACTCTCCAACGTCGTGGACGGCGTGCCGGAATGTATTAGGGCGACGAGAGAGCAGCTCAGGACGGGGGCGGACTTTATCAAGATCATGGTCGGCGGCGGTGTGGCGTCGCCGACAGATAGGATCGAGAACACGCAGTTCACGGCGGACGAGATCAAGGCCATCAGCGAGGTCGCGCGGAGCTACGGTACCTGGGTTACGGCGCACGCATATACCCCGCGGGCGATCCGCCACGCGGTCGAGAACGGCGTGACGGGCATCGAGCACGGCAACTTCATCGACAAGGAGACGGCAGAGTTCATGGCCGAGAACGCCGTGTGGCTGACGCCTACGCTGGTCACGTACGACGCCATGGGCTCCGACAAGTACAAGGGATTCCTGCCCCCCGAGAACCAGCGCAAGAATCAGGAGGTCTTGGAAAGGGGTCTCGAGTCGTTGAAGATTGCCGCCACAGCGGGCGTGACCATCTGTCATGGATCGGATCTGCTCGGTCCCCTGCAGGCTGAACAGAGCAGGGAGTTTGGCATCCGGCAACAGGCTCTCAGCAACCAGCAGGTGCTTCAATCTGCTACGGTCAACGCCGCCAGAATGCTTCGACAGGAGGATGTGCTGGGGCAGGTGAAGGAGAAGTTCGTAGCGGACTTGCTGATTCTCAACGGGAATCCGCTGGACGACGTCTCAATACTGGATGAGCCGGAGAAGAACGTCTTGGCGGTGATCAAGGATGGCAGGGTCTACACGAGCCGATGGAGCAAGCTTCCAGAAGACGTCAAGGAGCCACCGCGAATGATTGAATGAGCGCATGAGGCGCGCTTTGTCAGGCATCACTGAACACTGAGGCTTGAATGATCTATCATGTTCATATACTAATCTATATCTGGAACACTACTGCTTCTGCTATACGTGACCTTGCTGGGCATGGTTGGTGCCGAATCACTCTGCTCGGCCTCCCGAAGGTGCTGCTGCGACAAATTGTCCACGAGGACGAATCCGTCACTTTGGCGTTTGCTCCTCCGATTTGAGAGGCCATCGGACTTGCCATTTGAGCTGTAGTAGTTTGCCGTCCCTTTGGTTGAGTACGAGGAACGGCCCAGCAGAGGTCGGAGGAAGGGGATACACGCGAGGGTAATGCCGACGCCGGGCTCCAACGCGCTGAAGATGAGGGCGTTGGGGATGTTGAAGGTCACGTCGAGGTACACGAGGTTGGCAAGGTAGTAGAGGCGCAGAGCCGATACGATGCACGTACTATATTGGCAACATGGTCAGTTTATCATCCTCCTCAGATCGGGGAAGCATGGCTTACAAGACTCCGAGCGAGAAGGTGACGATCAGAGCGACCTTCTTGTACATCTCCAGCCGAAGACTCCACAAATGAGAAATCGGCATGACGAGGACAATGATGTCGGTGATCATGTTCAACACCCCCATCGTGCCATCCGCTGCAGGCTGGTTCCCGCAGTGTCGGTTCTTGAGATCGAGGAGCCAGTTGTCCGAGAGGGGGATGCAGATGAAGAAGGCGATCAGCACCGTGACCATGACCCACATCATGGTGAAGGCGGCCAGTATCCGCGCCGACAAGATCATGAACCTGGTGCTGAAGAGCTTGGAGTAGAGGAGAAGGATGGAGATCTTGCAGAGGCTGAGGCTGATGGCCCACAGGATCTGTTGCGCGACGAGGACCTAGAGAGAGATGCGTCAACAACTACACCGGGGCTCCTCGACGCGAGAGTTGGCACGAACCTTGAGAAACTTGACGATTGGTCCGACCCCATACTTGGGTATGATGACGGCATTGTGAAGGCCAACACCGCATTGCATTACAGCGACTATGGAGATTGCTTGCAAGGCATTGGAGAAGACCTGGCAGTCGGAAGTGAGTTGTAGTCCCTATCTCATCGCAGCGGATGATAACTCCATTGCTGGCGTGATGATAACTTACGAGTCCAGCAATAATGGACCAATCACTCAAATCCATATCTCTATGCGCCATGCGCCTGGCGATGAGGCGGAGGATCACCATCAACGTCGGAATGATGATGAAGACGATAGACACCGCAACCACAGAGATCTGGCCCGGCTCCTCCAGCGGGAATATTACCACCTTGTCTCCCATCGTCGGCGTCTTCGGTGCTGATGCCGCCATATTGTCGTCCCGGAAGGTTGCGATGGGAAGGAGACCTTGACCTTGTCGTCCACACTACGAGTGGATTATGCGGGAAGCGGAGGTGGGACGAACATTCAAAGGTCCAAGCATCCAATCCATGAGAGCAAGACGCTTCATTTTTGAACCTCTCGAGGTCTGTCCCTCCCCCCCAGTTCCCAACGGCCCGAAGACTGGAACCCAGAACCCAGAACCCAGACCACAGACCTTTTTCTGCTCGTTTCTTTTTGGGGCGGGACACATCAGGTCACCCAATAGCCCCCAAAATGGTGGTTTTGTTTGCTTTTTCCTTTCCCACTGTGGGCACCAGAATGGCAAGCTGCATACCTTATCGACCGCAGTGCAGACGCTGTGCAGTTGTGACAGGGGTCTGGACAGCCCAGAGTACCTAGAAGAGGAAAGGATAGAAATACTGGTGTGGCCACCTTTGCTGCCACGCGATCAGAGGTCGAGGGTAACAGCAGAATTGCCCAGACTTTTTTTTCCACTTCGTGAGAAACAGGCACTGCCAAGGACAGCAGGCTAACAAATGGGCTGGAGGTGTGATGACTGCGCTGCGTCGTGCTTTAGTTCTATGAAAAAGTGGATGCCTACAAACGAAATGATGCAAATGGGCGATGCTAAGTTTCTGAATATGATAGAAATCATGGGGAACAACACGACGCCTGCGCTTTTGCTCGCTATTCAGCGGCAACGGCAGATGCTCTCAGTGAATTCCTCGTTGGGGATGTATGGCATGAGAGCGTTTCCGATGACTTGTCTGAATTCGAAAATTACCCCAAGGACAATGCCCTCATTTCACGGAAATGGCCATGGCTCCCGCAAAGTTCAAGGATCCTCGTGTCAGCCTGCCTAAAGAAGCCTGTTGTGTTACGGTAATCCAAGATCTCTACCCCGGTGCCTCAAGAGCACAGATACAGATCGCGGTCATTTTCTACACGTACCGGGTTCGCGAGGAGATCCAGGTCGATTCCATCATAAAGGCAAGGGTCGACGAACGAACCAGACGTGGCGTCGGGCGAAGCAACCCCCCCCCCCCCCCTCGACGGCAGATGGCCAGCCCTTTGACCACGGACGCAGGGAAGAAAGAGACATGGATCCCCTCTCGCTAGCCGAGAATCCTTCTTTTCTTTTTTCCTCCTTCGCTGCCTTTGATCACACATGCTTTCCCCGTTTTCCCGTTCCTGCATGGGGGAGTTTTGGTGGTTTCCACACCAATCACAAACGCAACTTTTCCATCTTCGCTTCAGACTGTGCATATCTAGTTTGCCCTAGGTCGATGCTGTCATCAGCCCGTCTTTGCCCGTTTGATCAAAGATGGCTTTTTCAAGGTTACCTTCCTACCTGCTTACCCCGACCTAGCTGACTCTTCCTGGCCAGCCCCTCCTCGTGAAGTTCTCGTTACGACTTCAACAACGTGGGATGCGGGTGGGAACGCGTGGAATGGCTTCCCTCTACTGCACGACACCATCCATCGACAGTTTGACACCCTTGTCCCCCGTTGAACCGCGTGTGGCACACCACCATCATCTGTCCGAAAAGGGCTCGTCGTCCGGGAGCCACCGTGCCATCTAGCCACCCAGCCAACTCAATTCTGACGTCTCACTCGGGGGGGCATGTCTGGCATTCTTAGGGTCTCACTACGGAAGCGGGAGCAGCAGCCTTAGCTCCCACAAGAAAGAGATTTCTCCCCCTCCCCCTCCCTTACCGTCACAAGCCACTGCTCATCAGTTAAACCTTTTCAGAAGCGCGCGGCCTGACGGCTGAGCTAGGAAATGCGAGGACGGGACGGGAGGCAGAAGCCGGCAGCCGCCTCAAGTCCGTTATCAAGGGAAGAGATATGAGGGAATATCATTGCGGCTATGATAAGCTTTTGCCTTCGAAATGCCCAACCTGTCATTGTGCATTTGCTAAGAAACATTTCCGGCTTCCCCGTTACGCCGCGGTGAAGGTGTTAGTAATGTGGCTGGGTGGTACGCCGCGCAACCATCAGGACGCGCTTGATCGTCCGTTTCAATCTTTCAGGTTGGCAGGCACGGTAAGTTGAAAAGACTTTATAACTTTCACATGATCAAATCTGCAAAACTTACAACGATAAGGCCTGAGCGATTGTAGAATGATCACTCGACTAACTAGTCGAGCATCACTCGGCTCACCGCAAAGAGACGAAGCTCAAGCGCGGCACTTATAATAACCTCGCTGAGTGAAATGTCGCTGAAACAATTCCATTTCGTGCTGGGACCATTCGCCATGGGAAATAAACTCGGTGTGACATATGCGGCTCAAGATGAAAGGGCTGGAAGGGCCGTGAGTCTCGGGTAGAAAATGTGATCAATCATGGACAAACGAGTCAGAGGCTTGCCCTGGCTCAAACGACGAGATCCAATCGGAAGATGCCTTTCGACGTTTCAAAGAGCTAGCACGGTGCCTGGCAGATGTTGTCAAAGTCTCAGTTTTGTGAAACTATAGCCTTGGATAGGTTGCATAAGCTGCTCTGTCCTGCAGTAGTTAGTGCAGCTAAGCTCAAGTCTATGGAACTCCAAACGTAAGCGAGCAAGCAAAAGCCTCATCGTGACTAAGTGAGTGGTAATCGGAATTGATGAAAGTGAACAGTTTTCAAGCTGCATCACCTGGAAGACGCACGCGATGGAACGACAGCATAACTGAAGTGGGAAAGACGATTTCCACCTTTGAGAGTTTAATTTGATGCTTCAGCCACGCAGGTGTATAACGCAAGGGGGTTCTTCTTGGATATATGTTGACGGAGACGAATGGAATTGGAGCATCAATAGTTGACACAGGTCATCTTGAAGGTATCTGGCAGCTTGGTCTTCCGCGTGGGAACCTAACACGGAGTTTGGAAGAATCTAAGTATGTGAACCATAATGCATGCCAGCTTGTATCAATCAGGGCTTATTACATAAAGTTTAACTGCCTCACGCATAGGCCGAGCGGTAAGTGATGCTGACGAGATAGAGATTGTATCGGCCGACTCATATCTACTAGACGCAATGCTCATCGCTTTCACACCGTCTTAGAGTAGAACAAGTGGGCACGGATTCACTGATTACGTTCACATAGCTCTGATTCCTCCGCAACCTGTGACAATGTGCCTCTTCCGCTATTTCTCCATGTTCTTCTCGACTTGCTCGTATGATTCGCCAACCACCGGTTTCAGTAACTGGGGAAGGACAACTGCTGCATCTCCTACAAACACCCAGTCCTTATCCGGCCGGATATGTCTAGCGTCTTCAGCTCGCGTGTTGATAACAGCAACCCTCGCACCCTTCTTGCGAGCCATCTCGGCATACCCAGCCGCCGGCCAGACCTTGCTGGTGGTTCCAATCGTCAGGAACAAGTCGATGGGCTCGGGGTCATCGAAGAGCGCCTGGGCCTCTTCAACAACCTCAACGGGCAGTGGTTCGCCAAACCAGACAACGGCGGGACGGAGGATGTTGTTCTTGCACTTGGGGCATTGCGGTAGGTCTTTCTTCTCTAACCCCGACGACAGCCGGATAACAGCAACGGGGTTCGATGGCGCCGGTTGATCCGGGGCTTTCAGAGCGGTCAGATCCCGCGTGGTCGGAGAATTGCCCTCATACTTCTCCCCGAGGATTTGCGCGTGTTTTCGCGCGATGCCGGCCAACAGTACTGGACTGGCGCGAGGCTTGTTGTCCGGATCGATGCTGCCTATGGTTCTCTCCTCGTCCTTCGAGGGATCGAGTGCTGGCGACAGAGACTCCTCAAAGTTGTCACGCTCGGTGTAGCCGCATCCAACCACATCAACGCAAGTCAGCGCAAAAAGATTGCCGTGGAGCTCCTTCAGCTGCCTGGGCGGATGACCAGCCCGAGGGCTCAAGTTATCGACATTTTGCGTCAACGCGACGAAGCCAGGCACTCTGCGCGCGAGCTCGGCCAGGGCATAGTGAGCAGGGTTCGGCTTGGCACGAAGGGCGTCGTGCCTGCGATACGTGTAAAATTGCCAGACGAGGCCCGGGTCATGACGGAAGCCTGCGGGTGAAGCGACCTGCGTTATGTCCTGGTTCCTCCACAGTCCGTTGGCTCCTCGGAAGGTGGCAAGGCCCGAGGATACGGAAAGACCTGCGCCGATGAGAGCAACGATGCGCTTTGACTTCTTGAGTGTGTCGTGGAAGTCAGCGACCGCGATAGGGTCTAGGTCGGGCTGAGTTGTACTTAAGTCAGCCATTGAATCTTGGCGTAGAGATGATACAAGTGTGGTCGGGTTGTAGTATGATACCTTGTTGTTTCGAAAGGTCAACAGGGAAATTGGTTCCTTCAAATATCTCTCCTAGTTGGCGTTGGTTGCCTAAAGAAAATGCGGCAAGGCGACAGAATCTGACACGTCTTCTTGGACCCCAAAACCAATACGGCGAAGCAACCAACAAAGAGATGACAAGTAACATCAGTCCCATTTTGGAAATTTCCCAGGACCGTTAGAAATAACATCCGGGGCCATGAACCAACACTGAACTGATGTGAGCTTGGGGCGTCTCATGATGCAAGGGGCCGCTGCCTGAGCAACATATTTTTGGCGAAAATGTCGAGACTTTATTGGCTGATGACAGCCATCGTAAACTGCTTCAAATATCCAAAATCAACTACGGATTCTTTGATGCCAAGCTTGATCCTCGAGCCAGCTCTACTGCCTTTTGCGCTGCTTTCCCAAAATCTGCTTCGGTATGCAATCCAAGATTGGCTTCCTCTAGCTGTGTGTTCCAGTCAGCATACTCAATATCAACATCGCATTTGACCGGTATGGGAACATCTTACGATTTTCAATCCCATCTCAGAATTGGTGCCTTGAAGTCGAACCACCATGGGAATCTTGAGCGGGCCCAGCTCTTTGGCTGCGCCAAGAATGGATTCTGCGATCATGTCGCCTCTGGTAATTCCTGCAAAGGCTTTATTAGCCAGAGAACTGAACGCCAGGCTTCTTCCATTAGCTGTATGGCGAACTTACCGCCATAGATGTTGACAAATATCGCCTTTACCCTCTGATCCCGCAGGATAATCTCAAATGCCTTGACCATGGTCTCCTTCGTCGCTTGTCCACCGGCATCAAGAAAGTTGGCACTGGCGCCACCGTGAAGGGCAATCGCATCATTGGTGGCCATCGCGAGACCTGCTCCATTGACCACATTGCCAATGTCGCCGTCCATGCGAACATAGACCAACCCATATTTCTCAGCCTCAGCTTCTTCTGGAACCTCGTGTTCCGTGTCTCGCTCTGCAAAAAGTGTTTTTTGCCGCTTGGCCGCAGCATCATCGAATGAGAACTTGGCGTCCATGCAAGTCAGACCTCCTTCTGATGAGCCTGCTAGAGTCTTGATCTCAAGCGAATAGGCGTCCTTTGTTGTAAAAATCTTATAAAGTCTGCCGAGTATGTCATGGAGGTCTTCCTTCTCTTTCGCCGAAGCACCGAGACATTTCGAGACTTTGTCGGTGAGTTCGGGTGTGATGCCTTCCGTGAACCCAAATCGAAATGTGTGCAGCTCGTCTGGATGCTGGGCTGCTATCTTTTCGATGGCGACTCCGCCAAATCTTGACGCGATGATTGTTGGACAATAGTTCTCGCGATCGAATGTGATCGCCAAGTACCACTTTCTCTCGGGATTCGGACTTTCCGTAACATGAAGCTTGTTGACCAGTATACCGTTGCCTACGGATTGACCCGTCTTCAAGTAGTGACCAAGCATGCGATTGGCAGCTTTCTCGGCGCTTTCCGCATCATTGACCAGTTGAATGCCGGCCCCTGAACCGTTGTCAAACTTGCCGTCATCGATATCACCTCTTAATATCTGCGATTTGAGCGAACAGGTTCCGCCTAAGTGTGTCAGTACATCTTAAATCGGCAGTCTAGAAGAAAACATAATTACCAAGCTCTGTGGCAATCACCGCAGCTTCGGCTGGTGTTCTAGCGAGGTGTCCTCGGGGTACTGGGATGCCAAACTGATCGGAAAGCATCAGCGACCCTTCCCATCCTAGTCTCTCTTATCGCTACAGAAGAGGAAACCTTACCTCCCTCAAAAGGTTCTGCGACTGATATTCATGTAGCGTGAGCCGGCGAAGTTGTTGTTTCGATACCAACTGAGGAGATATCAGCGATCTGGGTTATTATGCGTAAAGGCGCAGTACCTACATTTGCATTGAGACGCCACAACTTTGCTGTCAAAGTCCGAGTTGCCATGGTATCATGAAAATGCACATGAATGCATCAAGTTCAATATCGAAAGATTATTCACTCAATTCTAAACTGATCAAGACGGTAGGTAGATCACAGCAATTGACTGCTGGTATGCGAGCGATGGCCGGCGGCAATCAGGTACGTCATCCAGACAAAGGCAAGCTAGCAATGCTGTGGCTGGCTCTGGGCGAGTAAATAGCCGAAGGTTGAGCGCTGTCGGTTATATCGGCTATATCACCTTCTCCAATACCACGGATAGTTGAAGCCGATATCCACGCCGCAACTAAGTTCACTGCAACTGAACACCTGCAAACCCCAATTCAGACGGCTATGAAAATCTTGCTTGCATCGCACAAATTGTCCCAACTACCTACTGCACTTAGATCTGTACGCACCATGCAGAAATGGCATGGTCTCAAATTAACTGTGACTTGAACATTTTCAACGGGACTTACGGATTAAGATTTGGTGTCTTCGTGATCTCCCTTGCAAGGATGCTGGTTCGGGCCAATCAACCTCCATGATAGTAGCTATGACTGTGGACATAGCGACATAGGTAGTCGGGCGCGGTAAACGCGCTGTGTTGACTTTCCAGCCCCCTCTTTTCAGCTAGGCAGTTGGGCAGATTTTGACCAGGCAGACTGTAACCTTTATTTCTGCCTCGGACAAGTCATCAGGATCGTGCCGAGTGCTCTCAGTCCACAGGGTCAATACCACATCATCTGAATCTTTTCGAGCGTCCAGAGTCCAAAAACTGCACTACGCGGATGATGTCCTATCACAAAGTCACGGACGATGAGCCACCACCAGGTGTGACTGGATGGGATCTCTTGTGTGCTTGTGAGAAACGGCGTGGATGGCATAGGGAGCTTACATACGCACAGATCCGGCATGCTGCCATGAACTTTTGCGGCCTCTGCAACGTGTACAAAAATGTGGTTGAGGCGGTTATTGATGGGCGTCTTCCGGCATTATTCCAGGGAGCACGGAACGAGACTGAGCGAGGTCAGATTCTTGACGAACTTGTCGTAGGAAGCATTGGCCTTACAACAGCCAATACCGAGGAGAGCATGGATCTGCTCATCAAAGGAGTCTATGTCCGAGTCTCTCTCTTCATAGACCCCGAAGAACAATCTGTTTTCAGGGTCTCAAGTAATGGAGATGAGGAGGTTGGCTTTCCCAGAGAGACGCAGTTTGGACCGTCAACAGACTCTGATAGGAGCTTTGCGAGGGCGCGACAATGGCTTCGGCAATGCGTGGACCACCATGATTGCGGGAAGGCTCGTGGCTCATTCTATCCACGCAGGCTCCTTGATATTCGGGGTGATCAAGTTCGACTCGTCGAGACTGTCAAGGCCAGTGATTTTCAGGGGCCATACGTCTGCCTAAGCCACCGTTGGGGCGACGCAAAATTCTCACGGTTGACAAGTACGACTGAAAACCTACATGTGCACATGGAAGGAATCGAATGGGGAGACATTCCAAAGACATTCCAAGATGCCATTGTCATCTGTCGACGTCTAAGCGTGGAGTATCTGTGGATCGATACGTTGTGTATCTTGCAAGACTTTCCCGAAATGTCGGACGAGCAAAGGCGAATAACGGGTGCGGATTTTGCAGCTGAAAACTCAGCCATGGCCCGCATCTATCGGAACTCCTACTTCACCATCTACGCAAGCGTCTCAACAAGTATGGCCAGTGGCATTTTCTCATCCAAGCGTTACGGGAGTCATCAAATCAAGATCAGTGACGCCAATGGCAAAGAGTCGATCATGCGCATCAGAGAAAGAACGTCACACTTCACACCACCCACAGATCTGGAGACTAGAGGCTGGACATTCCAGGAGTATCTGCTACCTTGTCGAGTTCTAGAATTCGGGCATTTTGATATCTCTTGGAAGTGCGACCAAACCTACATCTGCGAATGTCAGCACAATACGGGGGCGGCTCACTGGCGCGAGGAGCTAGCTCGACGTGCATTGCCGCCTAAGAATGCTGTAAAGGCCGAGGAGTGGTGGGCAGGGATACTTCGGCAGTACACGATGAGGCACCTGGCAAAGGATGAGGATAAATTACCTGCTCTCTCCGGGCTTGCACAGCTCTATCACCAACTGACGCGCGATGCTTACCTGGTGGGCTTATGGCAAAAATCTCTTCCTCATTGCCTGTTGTGGTTCAACACTGCAAAAGCTGGCACGTATCCAATGCAGCTTGGTATAAGTCAAAGACCATTAACAGCCCGTGCTCCCTCCTGGTCCTGGGCCTCGCTTGATATCGTTAACGACGCCCAGTGCCGCTTCTGGTGGCCACGAGTATCGCTTTCTACAAATCCTATCATGTACGGAGACGGCGCTTCACCGCGGCCGGTATGCACCGTATACGAAGCTCTTTGTCAGCCGATAACGGATGATCCGTTTGGTGAGGTGAAAGGGGGCTTCGTTGACCTCGGTGTAATGCTCATTTCGGCGAGGGTCGGCACCAAGCCTCAAGGGGATGACAGCTTTAGCACGGCTGGCGATATAGCTTGGACACTGGATTATGTCGAAGACGGCACAGATGTTCACATATGTCTAGCTGACTGCAGCTTGGATGATGACGGTCTGCAAATTGGAGACAAAGTGTTCTGCGCGCCAATTGTGGAAACACTTTCAGAATCAGAATCAGATAGGGGCTGTTTGGTGCTCAAGCGCATGCTAGAAGGACCAGAATTCAGACGCATAGGCTTTGCCGTCTTGCGCAAGCAGAATCCAAGCTGGGATCGGGCGAATGGTCCGCTTAGAATGCACAGGGGATGGGGATACAAAGAGCCGGATCTAACGACTCCAGAATATGCCGAGAAGGTTCAGAATTATGCCCTGCCGTACAACTCAAATGTACTGTGCCGTATTAGAATCGTTTGAGTTAGCTGAGAAAGCTGACAGGTTCATGATGACTTCTTCATCTCGGATGTTGTAATATTTCGATCCACCTTTCTGCATTTGGTAAAATTCAGTGGCCAACACAGTCCAAATTCATATTCATTCAAATAGCTCTGCCCCCATCGACCTCCAAGTTGACACCAGTGATGAACTTGCTCTCGTCCGAAACCAAGAATACAGAGGCGTCTACTACGTCTTCAATCTCACCCAATCTTTGCAAGGGGACGTTTCCAATGAACTTCTGGCGATTTTCCGGTGTGTCCTTCATGCCAATGAAGGATTCGAAGCTACGTATGTGGATAAGCAACAATCGGATGGCTCGGAGGAGTCCAACTTACAGGCCAGTTCCAGTCAAAAGAGGACAGATGGAATTCACGCGGATCTTATGGGCACCGTACTCGGCCGCCAGTCCCTTGGTTGCCTGCAATCTGGTTAGCCAAGTGTCGTTTATCTATATCAGTCACTCTCTACTTACGTTGCAGACGGCTCCTTTAGAGGCATTGTACCACACAAGTCCTGGCCGGGGACGCAAAGCTCCAATCGAGGAGATGTTGAGCATAACGCCTCCCTCCCCTTGCTTGATGACTCTCGGCATGAACGCCGCGGTGCCGAGGAAGATGCCCTTCACGTTGACGTTGAATACCCTGTCAAACTCGCTCTCCGTTACCTCAACCGTAGGCTGTGGCAGTAGAAAGTCAGCGTGTCATTCCCTACGAGTCATACCCTTTTAGTTTATAGATGTGCGGCAATTCTGACCTTGTTCCTGTAAGTCGTGCCGGCGTTATTCACAAGACAGTCAATTCGGCCGTAGCGCGATTGCGCGGCATCCATCAACTTCTCCCAGTCCTCAGCATTTGTGACGTCTGCTTTGAAGAACGATATCGAATCAGGAGCGCTTTGCGCTACTCTTTGTCCGTCGCTCTCATTGATGTCGGTAATAAGAACTTTTGCTCCTTCTTGGGCGAACTTGTTGGCGATACCCTCACCGAAGCCATGTCCTCCGCCTTGAGAATGTCAGAAAGCCCAGTATACGGTTGGAAGGGGATGCTGTTCTACCTGTGATGATGACAACCTTTCCAGCTAGTCTCGATCCTGTCTTGGTGTCACTCATGTTGATTGCTTCTTCGCCTCAGACGTCCAGATATTGATACAATTTTTGGTGTAGTTGATCAAGATGTTTCATTGATTTTTGCCAAATACGACGGCTCTTTAATATGTCACAATTATAACCCCTCACTTAAATAACCGTAGAGGTTGTACAGCGCATCGCGTGCCTAAGTACTGAGACCGCGACAAAGCACATTGCATCATAAGAAGGCGGGGAGGTGCGGGGGTTAGTACGCCGGGCAACGAATTCCGTGTGCCGCCACGGCACGGTCCGGCGAAACCCTTTACGGCTCGGTTATACAACTCATTTTCCGTGGTTTTTCTTTTTCGAATTGAACAGGTGAATGACTGAGTGTCAACAACGCGAAGAGCGCTCGATAGATGCATGTTGTCTTACTCGGATCTCGGTTGCCAATGCAGTATGCAACAACCCAGCACCCCTCCATGTCGAATGGACATCAGCTCGTTACCACAGGGTTTTTTTTGCATGTGCTGCACGGTGTGAGGTTCAGCAACAACATCCACGAGTGATTCAAGACGTCAAAACTCAAGTCTTTCCAGGTTAGTTACGGTAGTCCGCAACTCTGCACTTGAGATTCGTCTACCTTACTCCAGAGCCTCTTGAGAAATCGTCCCTCTGTGTAAATCACATGTATATGAGGCCATTGTGCGCCGTTTCCATGAAGTCAGTGAGAGAATGATGTTCTTGAGATCGGCTTCCTGTGTCAATTGAAGTGAGATTAAGGCGATGCCTACGTGTAGATAAGGCAAGGATTGGAATGCTCAAGTTGCGCGGCTCTCAGAAAATTACGAGACTTCCTAGCACTCGCTGCTTACCAAATTCAGATTGCGGGGGATGGAGTCGACTCTGTTGCTGATGAAGGTGCTCATCTATCAAAGCACGATTATCAGATATAATTACAAAAACTTGCTAGTGCTAGGTCTTAAGGCTTTAAGTCGACTACCTAGACCTAGAAACTAAGTAAATTTGCACTAGGCAACCAAGTTGGTCTTCAAAAAGTCAACTTTCTGACAATTTGTTATAGTATCATTGCAGTAGTGAGGTAGCATGTGTCAAAGTCACCGAGTCAGGTTTCCAAAACCCACTCTTGGTGTCACTCCCGAACCCAACTTCCGACCGGGAAGACACAGGGGATTGCTGTTCGTCCTAACCCATACGCGTTCTGGAAAGGTTTTGCGCTGCCTCACTCAGCCTTCAAAGAAAAGCGTGGGGTCTCATCCCATGATCTCCAAAGTTTCATCTTCCCTGCCAGCGAAACCACATCCATTGACTTTACTACTCCTCAGCACCCCACACAACTAATTCCAGCCCCAATATACCCCGCATGGAGCTAGATATTTGGAAAGATAAGCGGCTCCTGGTCGGGGATTGCCCTGTCTATAAGTCCCGACTACAACAACCGTTCCGCCAAGATGGCTGCGCGGGCCAACCGGTCAGGTCTGCGGGGTGCTGCTAAGCTGAACTCTGTCCGAGGTGTGTTCGGCATCAGGTTTTGAGAGGGTAGGGAATGCGGCAGATGTCAATCCCCATACTTGCGGGCGTTGAATTGCCGCAGGCGCTTTTCGGAGTGTGCTTAAATACCGAGTCCGTCTTATATCTCGAAGATTGAGGACATCATTCAGTTTTACATCATTCTATTGTCCTCATCCACCAAAGACGATGGCTACTATTCAGCAAACGCCTGTGCTGGGGGTGACCCCAAGCATGACTCAAGGTCTGAAGTCTTCGACTGAGCATGTTGAACATGTCGAGCACGTGGAAGACAAAGCTTCTTTGATCCAGCAGACGAGTTTGCTTGGGTTGAAGAACATTGAGACAGAAGCATATGTGGTGGATAAGTTGAACGCTGACTTTGAGCTGGTTCCAATCGTTCTTGATGAGATTCGGCCAAATGAGGTTCTTGTTGAAATGAAATACAGTGGAGTGTGTATGTCAAATTCAACGATAACCTAAGAGCATCTCATGCATCAGTCATTGACAGTATCACAGGCCATACCGATATAGTAACACAACAGGGCGGTCTTCCCTTCGTGGAATTTCCCGCTATTTTCGGTCACGAAGGAGCTGGTGTAGTCCGCGACATTGGAAGAGACGTCAAGATCAAAGACCTAGCCATTGGTGACGCAGTTCTCCTCTCCTTCAATCATTGTGGATCATGCAAGACCTGTACGAGCGGTCACTCAGCACTCTGCCCAGAATCGTCAATGATCAACATCAATTCCGTACGAGTAAGCGACCGCAGCACACCAGCTCGGCTGGCTTCCGATGGCCGTGCTGTCCGGAGCCAATTCTTCGGGCAGTCTTCATTCTGCAAAATGTCCGTCGTCAACGAGAAATCAGTGGTCCGGTGTCCACCTTCGGCAGTCGAGCACATGGGCGTCTATGCCCCACTCGGATGCGGACTCCAGACCGGCGCCGGAACGGTCATGAACGTCGTCAAGCCGGGCAAAGAAGACTCCATTATCATTTTCGGACTCGGAAGTGTGGGTCTTGCGGCGTTGATGGCGGCACGCTACCTCGAAACCGGGCAGATCATTGCCGTCGATATTGTCCCCGAACGCCTTGTGCTTGCAAAGGAGCTCGGAGCCACACACACTATCAACTCGAGGGAATGCAGCGATGTAGTCCAGGAGATCAAGAAAATAAGCAACGGGGGTCCAACATTCGCTGTAGAATGCACTGGAATCTTGAAGGTCATCGAAGACATGATTGCTTGCATCGGTCCCCTGGGTACAGCTATCCAAGTTGGGGTACCACCTCCAGGAGCCACAATCAAGCTCGACCCGCAAGAGTTCCTGATTGGGAACAAGAAATATGTTGGCGTAATTGAGGGAGATGCGGTTCCTGCAGAGTTCATTCCCAGATTGATCTCCATGCACCAAGAAGGCAGATTCCCCATCGACAAGTTAGCTGGATTTTACCCAGCATCACAGTTGAACCATGCCATACAAGAAATGGCTACAGGAAAAGTAAGTTGGCATAGCTTCCGTCCAATTTCTTCGTATGCTTCGAAAGCTGACCAAACTTGAAAAGGTCATCAAGCCAGTGATTCAATGGACTTAGCCCAGCATCCCGTGGTCAGGTAGACAAAGCGATGGGCATGGCTGGACAGAGGTCTCGAACAAATGATCGTCAGCGGGGTACATATTTTCGGTATAGAGATACATCTGTCGACTCGTTCTAGATCTGATTTCACTACATACTTCCGCGAGGTCCCGCGGTTAGCAAGCAATTATGAAAGCGGCAGGCTGGCTGGCTTGTCGATCATATCTCCACTGATTCAAGCCTTGGTTCGAAGCACGCCAAGGCATTTGTTGATCGTTCTTCGAGAGACTGGCTACGCCTAAGAAATAAAAATGTGCGTTCAAACCAAGCGTCATCTGCAACTCAGTTCGGCCCCAATTGCCTGGAAAAGAGATCGCGCCGTGTCTCATTAAGTCGTTCAACGCCACCAAAAGCCTCCTAGTGCTACAAGAATGCATCTTACTTCAGCCCTGCCACAGGAAGATTAGACCACACTGCAAACGGCTTTCACCCGCATTTATCACCGCATTCCCCAAGCCCATGCAAGATGACTGTCTCACGCGGCGTCTTAGAGCAGCTATCGCCCGAGTTAGCCATGTACACCGCGGCGGGATCGGTCCGGTCCCGCACTGGAGAAGCCGTTTCTCGACTGCCGGGAGTTAGTGTGCTCGTTCCCGCAGGAACTGGCTGTTCCTCTCTCATTGCGTCTAGCTGCACAAAATCTCGGAAACCTATCGCGTGCCTCTATGGACATTGACACAGTCACAGGATTTGTTGGTAGGCAATAAGCAAAGCAGTCAAATTAACCAGCTAATCCCATGCTTCCCCCAAGCTATCTCTATGATGATATCGGTGCCCACCATCACTTAGTGGTGATCAATTTTGAAGGCGCCGAGTGAACTGTCAGCGGCGGTGGCCGACTGGGTCCCTCGTCGTCTGAACCCCAGAAATTCAACTTGGCAATGGCCAGGTTTGTCTTCTCCTTCATATCATCACCATACACCCACAGATGCTTCATCTTCCTCGTAGAGTTCTTGAGGTGTTCCACCGCCTTATTCTGAAGGATAGGGGCCGTCTGTAATGGAGGAACCCAACCCGTTTCGTCTGTCGGATCATGATGCAGACAAGCTGCCAGCACGATCGATTTAAGGGAGTCTCGGCTGCTGAAGTCTCCTGCCAGGCTTTCCCATCTCTGAGCGGCAAGATCCTCGGCCTTGATGGATGATGTGGGACTGCGCGCGGCCACCCAAACTGGCAACCGGCATTCCAAACCCCATCGGTCTTCCTCAGAATCCACGTCCCACCCACGAAAGATGACAGCCTTTCCGCGAACATCGCCAAGAAGAGGCCATTCTTTGCCCGTGTACAAGAGGTTTTCTTTCTTCATATCTCTCTTGAAGTCTCTGTTGAAGTTCTTCGGCACATCGTCGTAATTGATGCTGTAGCCCTCGGACCAATGCTTGTCGGCGTCATACGTTGCGGAGGCGGATGAGAAACTGAGCATGATCATGACCGTTTCATTATCATTCTGTTTCAAGAAATCCCTGACATCATCAAGTACGTCTTCGAGTTGCTTTTCAAGGACCAGAGGGCCGTGCCGTAGTCTGCGTTCTCCGTCACATCGTAGGTCGAGCAGTCGAACGCCGTTTTGTAGTTGAGTGCGAATACTGTCTTTGTGGCACTTGTGCATGCCCATTAACTGTGATCTCAGCTTCTTATTGCTGATTTCTGGCTCGACGTCAAGGTTCGCGACGTCGTTGATCCAATAGGTTGAGGCACTGCTACACCGAGTGCCCGGCAAGCTCAAATCCTTTACACACATCTCGTCGGGGAGGTGCTTCATCCAAGATTTGGCACAGAAATCGGTTCTGTCGGCATGTTAGATCGAGAAAAGTCACTCCTTGACTCAAGATTACTATGCTCACTTGGGCTGCATGACACATTGCCGCTTCTCGAAGTCAAAATTGCCTGTAGAGCCAACATAATCCCAATAACTATTGATGGTCAGCTAGTGCCGGAGTTGGTGACTCGGGCAACGGGAACTCTGGAACTTACTCGGTTGCTTTCATGTACTTGTTGCGGTATTGAAAGGCTCCCTCAATGATAATGTAGTACTCGAAATGACGCGTGCCTGAAGTAAGGCCCAGAAGGTTACTGAACTGAATTAGCTCAACTCCCTTCCGAACCCATCGCGTTCCGGGCAGAAGCTTGAGAGATCCTCCAGCAGAAGCACATAGTACGACATGATATTGAGGGTACTGCGCCTGCAAAATCTGCAGTCTGTTCTGAACAGGGCTTTTGGCGCTTGTTGGAAGTCCCACTGCCATAGTTGGATTGTTGATTTGTTGCGAATTGAAGATCAACGGAAATGCTTTCGCAACTGAAGTCTTAATCCATGCCTTGAGCCCGGAGACAGAATTATATAGATGCTCACGGCAATTTCCTCTGCACTGCTTCAGATGCGTGTTTTCCACGTCAGACTAGCCTGGCTGATAGGTGACAAAAGTCCGGGGTAAGACAGCCTGCATTCGTCCAGTCGGGCTGAATACGCCAAGAAACCAACCCATCTCTCGCACCATGCGGCTGAGCCGTAGTGAGACAAACGAAAGCCAGAATTCTATCCTGGCCGTTTCCGGTGTGAGTTACTCGTGGTTCCGGCAGGTACGCACGCGACCATGGAAACGATGGCGAGTGCCCATTGCTGGAGCCTGGAGCGTGGACGTACTTGACTAGGACGATGACTGCGCCCATGATACAAAATAGAGACTACGACGTTACCACGGACCTGGAGCTCTATCATATGGACCAGCCGCCTTCTTTCAACTTCTGCACCACACTTACTTATCATGGAAAGTGCTTACAACAGTCCCCCGTCGACACCCGGCGCCAAAACTTTCAACGGTGCTACAAAAAGCCCGTCTGACTCGGACACGATTTTGACATTTCAACGCATAGACAAAGCAACACCTACGTCATCTTCTGGGGCGAAGGCTGATGCCACGTCTTTTCCAGTGACGGGAAGTCCTGGGGGAACCATCGGGTTCGCCGTCCTGTTGAAGAAATGCGGCTTCAACGCCAACGCCAACGTTGGGATGCACGGTGTCACCATGGCTAAGATCAAAGAGGGGATGATTGCAATTGGTCTGGCCAAGGAGTTTGACATATGGAGTTCTCCGTCGGCTATACTCCTCGACTATGACCTTACTCTTTCGGAGTACGTGGAGCAGGTATCGAAGCTTACGAAAACTCCCGAATCGGATGTGAGAATTTACTACGGTCTGAAGAAGGATCACAACGCGCAGACAGTACAGGACATCTACAAGACTGGAGAATTTATCATCAGGATCGTCCAAATCAAGAATGATAAGTCGCAGGCGATTCAAGCTCTGAGAGTGATGAAGTCGCCTCCAGAAGATGCACGTGCAGACGGCCATATCATTGATAGCCAGGAACTAGGCTCTCAAACACTCTCGGACCTAAGAGACGGAATCAGCGCAATGCAAGTCTACTATGTTCTTGACTCGCTCTGTATTTCCGCTAACATCACGACATGAAGGTCACAACTAAAAGATAAACATCACTTTTGCCTGCCGGATGAAACCCCTCTCCATGATAAAACCAGATTCGACGACTACATCAAAATGCTTGTAAGTTTGAGTCCTTCCAATTTTACCATTTGAACATTCAAACTGAACCAATAAATCAAGGATGAGACATGTCCGTATGAAAGTAGCGTTCCATCGATCAACCTCAGGTTTAAAGACGCTTCATCTTGTTTCGATGAAGATCAGCCAAAGACAGTTTTGACAGCTTTGGGTGACAATAAAACAGTTCAAAAGGCCGAGGTACGACACCATGGATCTGGATCTTAAATGATTAACTGACACAGTTTCGCCACAGACCTCCAGGTTAGAGTGATCTGTTCAAACGCGTTTTACATCAACTTTGATTCAAAATGAATGCCTAACCTTCAAGTCCCAGTATCTCACCGTCGTCACTCGATGAGTTGCAGTGGGAACTCGTCATGAAGAACTGCCAAGTCATGCACGGCTGGTATATTGATCCGGTCAGCACTGAGATCAAAATGGCACCAAAACCAGGTTCGTTGTTGATGCTTGACAATACGAGCTTCTACTGATAGTTGTATAGCATTCCGTCTCAAGTCAGGTTTGAATCTTGACTACAGCCCAGATAGCACAGTCTCCACTGCAGAGGTTGAGATCGCCATTCCCAACTACGGGGTCACGGACGGTTCAAAAATTGATGTCGTCACTACTGAGAGCGGGATCAAGCACTCTCTTGTTCGTAATAGCTTTGACAAGTCTTCTATGGATAACAAAATCGCTCTTGGTTACTCAGGAATCGGTATCAACGTGGCTAGCGGGAAGTCCTTCGACTCCCAGGGTGAGCAGTCATCAGGGAGCAACAGGTCCGTCAAGAGCATGATCGGTATATACAAGGTAGGCAGCGCGCTACCAGAACTAAGTTACTTGACTTCACATCGCTTATAACCGCCTAGCTTCCTCGAGTTACTTTGTTCCTCAACGCGGATGAGCTCGTTCCGACCAAAGCATTCATAGATGGCATTGAAAAGATCAAGAAGCTAGGAGAGGAAGCGGACGAGACAGACGTTCGAAAGTTTTACGAAAAGTTTGGTACGTGATTGTCTCGTGATACAGCTCTCGCCTCATACAAGATGAAATTGTTGAAACTTTATAGGACAATTTTTCTGCCACGAGGTCGTTCTCGGGGGAATGTTGCTTTCGACAAAAGCTCTGGTTGGCAACGAATCCCAGGAAGAAGAAAAGAGCCGGTGTTCCTTTAAGCACGCCATCGGGATGTCTGTCTCCTCTGTATGCATACTATCTGAAACGGCTTTACACCTCTATCAAGTACAGTGAAAACTGACGAGTAGTTACAGCCTGTGGAAGTCATTATTGGGGCGGATTCAAAGAAAGAAATCGCATCAGGTGCCGATCAGAGCATTGTTCGCAGCTATAAAGATAGCGATGACAGCGTGGTGTTCGAAGCTGTTGGTGGGAACACCATCTTGGCTTCTAGGTACGAGCCCTTAGCTTCAAAACTCCGTGTGTGATCTGACGTTTTCACAGTCCACAACAATGGTGCGCAACAGTTGGAGATTACAACAATTGGAGAGTTATCGGGGTAAGAATACTGTCTACAGTTGGTGAAATTGTGATCTGATTCTTGCCTAACCTTTTGATAGAGACAAGAGATGAAGTTGATCCTCGACTCATTCCAAGATAGTGGAGATCATGAGCTCCAAGACGTCGTCGAATTGTTCACTAAAGCATCTCAACTTACTGTCTCGAAGTTCATTGACATTCCAAAGTCAGCAAAAATCATTGCGCAATTCCGGTTCAAGACGAAGAGCACGAATGCGGACAAAACACACTACCTTCGTCATGACATCAACAATCTCATTGAGTTTGGAACTCGATCTGCGAGTGAGCAGAGGGTTATGCCACAGAAGTAAGTTTCCGTCCCGGATCATGCATGTGGTTTCGGAACATCAACTCATCTGGGTTATATCGTAAGATATCAGGGGCCGCGAGTCGAACCATACGACCCTTCATGGAAAGATCAAGATGGTCTTTGGACCATAGCTCCAGTGGTGGGAGCTGGGATATGTTGCCATGGGAGTCAAGGGCGATCGCAATTAGTCGATGGCTCTAGGGTCACTATCCGTTCCGGGCGCGATTCGCAAACCGCCTGGTATCTCTCCGTCCTCAGAACTTCGGCGGGAATTTTCGTACCCTGTATCACGACCTCGAAACACTTCGTATGGAGAGTCCGAGAAGTTCTGCGGCCCAACACCAGGAGCACCATTGCAAAAGAGCCTTCACCCGACAAACCGCTCAGACACGATGCGGTTCTGTGCTTGACTTATGACTTTGAGGACAACCCCCGAGGCTACCGAGACTTCAAAGACGACGATCGCGGCTTCCGGAATGTAGAGTACCCGGACAAAGACACCACCCAGTTGGTGCTCGTTGAATCACGTAACAGAACGGATATATGGCCGGATCGCAGAGTTCTTCTTCTCGCCGACGGAGAGCCCTTTTTCACAGAGTCTACTGCCAAAGTCGCAGACTTGAATGATTCCGAGATCTCTGTGAGAATTGCAAAGTTCAACATCGACGTCCGTGGTAGGTTGCCTTTTATGTTGTTGCTTCTAATCAATTGGGACATTGGATGGCTGACTTGCACACACTTACTTGCGCGGCATAGACCAAATGGATGACGACTATGATATCTTGCAGAGGGATGGCAATGCCATCAGGGCGAGACACGAGGAGCAGCAGAAGAAGTTGAAGACCAGAGATGAGGGGTCCTCGGGGTAATCGTTTGCTCGTAGTTTCTTTTGAGATAGCAGACTAGGATATGTTCAAACGTTTATTCGGGGATGAAAATCAAGTTCCTTGTGATTTCAAAAGACTTCATCTGAGCCCTCATGTCGCTTGTTATTTCTATTACTCAAAGGCGGATCTGCGCCGGAGGTTTATGTATAGATACCATGCCGTGTCGAGGCTGGGTGCGACACCTAAAGTACCAAGGTAGTATGGATCAACTTGAATTAGAGTATGACTTCTTTGATCCCTCCATCATGCAATAAAAGCACCCAATACCAAAGTCACCCGAGCCCTCAAAGTTGCCCCCCGGCCATTTCATATCTTGCCTCTTCGTTCGCATGCTACAATCCGGGCCACTTGAAGCAACATCAGCATGAACTCACACTCGTAAGAGAGGGAAACTAAAGAAGCTCGGAAACTCACAAGAAGAACTTGCATGTCGCGCCTTCACCTGGGCGAGCGGACTTGACTTTGCCACCCCAGTCCCAGTTCGGGTACGTCTCCAGGCCATCTCGGAAACAGGCCCACCAGCAGTCACCATTCCAATCCTTTTCGGTACAGAGATGAACGGAGACGCAAGGTTGTTCCTCCCGCTTGTCTTCAGATGCTCCGAGGGGATCTCTATGGGTTTCATCTGTCAAACGTTCGGAGACGTGGCTGGTCGGTGATGGAGGTAGGAGATTGTTCCAGTGATCCTTCTCTAGTTGAGAAGCGCGCGTAGGATCGATTATAATCGACATGGAGGCATCAGCTGCAGCGAGCATGCAATTGAGGACAATGGCACAGATGTATAAAGTGAGGGCTAACATGGTGTTAATGGCGGATGGCCCAGAAACGAGTGGCCTAGGGTCACTCGGTGCGATGTATCGAAGAGATCAAGAAGTCAAGACAACATTTGCCGGCGCCACGACGTAGCTTTATTCTGGTTTTCTGGTCGATCAGGATCTCCATCGCATGTCGCATTGCATGTTTGGTGTCTTTGAGTGTTGACAGTAGCTACAAAAAAACATCCCTCGATGTCGGAAATGCCCAAAAATGACACAAAGAGATGAAGTAGTCTGTCAGTCCCTTGGAGTCGCACCTGGCTTTGGGGACGGCAAACTTCACATCAGGGATGCCTCTGGCTTTGGAAGCGTCGCTCCACGGGCTGTAAGGGAGTGCTCAGCCGAATGGCAAAGTAGCACAGCTAACCATGGCCTGAGTACCATCTATTCTAAATTTCCGACCTGGACAGCAAAGTCCAACGGAATTCAGGGGCTCACTGGCATCATTGTTTCTGGGAACAATGCGCAGACACCCCTTTCCGCTGTTATTTTATCTTCGCAGCGATCTGAAAACTATGGCGGACCAAATCTTGAATTGAGATACTCCTCTGCCTAGATTCTTCGACTTGCCTTTTACATAGCCTCTTAGATGCCATCTCGGACCGCACGCGCAAGTATCGCGAGGCAGCCGGCTTCGAAAGTTGCACTTTCGCATTCCTCCGAAGCTTACTCCTCAAAATAGCTTCATCTGAGACCGTGAGTCTTGTCTTTCCCACCAACCCAATCCGATGACCCTCCATCGTGGACCGTTGTCTCAAAGAAAACATCTGGATACGAAGTTTCCCCAATTCCCCAGGGCCAAGGTTGAATCTCTTAGGTCATGCCGATGCAAGCTCAGCCAAACCGAAATCGAGCCGTGCCACCACCTCCAAGTAAGCCATCAAGCCACCACGATGCAAAGCCCACGATACTCTGATAGGACGCCTCTTTTCTCACTTCAACAGCGCTGATTGGTCTCGAGAGTTTCAGCTCCCAGAGCTGAGCCTCCTCCACACAACGCTCGTCATACCCCAACTCCAACAAACAAAGTAGAACGCCTTGCGGAGACTTTTTAAACATCATCGCGTGATGATGTAGGCCTCTTTAGGGCCTGAATCTTATCGGCCGATGCTTGTATACCGCTTCTCAAATTAAGCTTACATGGCTACTGGGTTCATGTAGCCTATTGCTATGAGACGAGGGGTTAAAAGAGTCGGCTGTAGGGCTGGCGGGGACCTCACCCGAAGGCTGAGACGTTGGAAGCCAATTCGGGCTGTGTCAGTTTACGAGATGTCGGTGAGAAAGTCGTGAGGCGCCATCTTGTGAGGACACCCGACTCGAGGCCCTTGACCGCGTTATGTGAAATTTCGAAGAGCTGGGGAGAGCCACGATACCTCTGGTTTTGCCTGATTCCCATCGGTTGCAGTAAGTCTCAAGATGAAGAGTTACCTTGAGGGCTTCGTCGTGTAGAATGAAGTTATAAATACAATAAGAGTCTTCCATCTTTCAAACGCCCATCTATCCTAATCACCACCATCCCCAGCTCACAAAATACCACCTACATCCAGCTACCCTCAAATCCCATCCCACAACCAACACTCACCAACCATCACCAAACCTCCATCGAAATGTTCCCCAAGACCGTCCTCGCCCTCCTCCTCACCGTAACCTCCGCCCTCGCATCTCCCCTGGAAACCCGCCAAGCATCAACCTACTTCACCCCCTCCTCAACCTTCACCTACAACACCCGAACCGGCGCCATCACCCCAACCTACGGCACGGCCGTCGTCTCCAAGTCAACCTCCAACGCGGGCAACGACCTCACCGCCCTCCTAACCTTCACCTACCCGCCCGCCGCCGCCGGCAAGAAGTGCCAGTTCTACTTCTACCTCGACGCCGCCACCTCCAGCGTCTCAGGCAGCCGCAAGCTCGACGTCTTCACCTCCCTGAAGCCCGCGCCCGCCGGCGGCTCGCCCGGCTGGGGCGCGGGAGGACCCGGGAACCAGAGGAACGTGAATATCGGGCGGTTGTCTGTTGTTGCGGGCGGGTATGCCACGTGGGATGCCACGTACGGGGCGTACTTGACCGCGCCGACGGATTGCAAGGCGCCTGGTACCGTGGAGGGGTTAGAGCTTGTCGGTGTTAATGATAACGATTATGTTTCGTGGAATACGCAGGTTTCTGGTGCTCGGATTGCTTACTTCTGAGCTGCTATCTTCTCGGAATGAGGGTGGGTGTGGGTATGACGGAGCAGGAGAGAAATGTATTCGATTCTTCGTCGCTCATTTGACGTTCTTGTACGTTCTTTTTACATGTTGATGCTTGTTGGAGAGGATTCGACTTAGGATTGCTTTGTAGAAAAGGGTGTCAGCCATGCTTTACCTTACACTCCCTTATAGTATATCGGATATTCACCACTGGATTATTGCTTCAATGATCTGTCTGATTGACATCCTACTTTGTCTCAGGTCGCTCAATAGTAATTGTTAGCTCTAATACCTACCCAGGGCCCTCCACAGTGATTTCTATCATCAATGCAAGAGACTAGAACTTGTCCACTACCACTTCTTTAGTCACAGATCTACACCGTCCAGACATAGAGCATCTTCTTTAGTTCCTTAATCATGCCTGAAACTCCTCTCATCTAACAGTATCATATCCCCCACGCATTCGCCATGCCCTTGAGAACCTTACAATCCCCCTTGTGCTTCTTCCAATCCTCCTTCTGGCAATCCTATATCATCAATCATCGTCAGCACATCCGCAACACACCATCACGTCCAATCCACAAGCAAGAGATGAGGTCACAACACTCAAAAGAACAAAAACTCACCTTGCCACAATACTTCGCAACAACACAAGCAGTACAACTCTTCAACGTCTCGCCCTCCCCAGCCCCCTTCCCACACCCAGCACACTCCCTCAACCACCGCCCGCCATCGTCCCTCACCCGCGCCCCCAACTCCCCAATCTGCTCCAGCCCGCCGGGGATATACTTCACCCCCGTCCCCTTCCCCTCCGGCACCCGAACAAACCCCCTCTTCCCGCCCTTGGGCGCCGTCCTCACCCCGCGCGGAACCACAATCGTCCACCCGCCCTTCACGGGCCGCAAATCGATCCCGCGGTCCTCGAATGTGACGGCGAACTCTGTCTGCTGGCGGTCGACGACCACGAGCGTCGGTTTCGTGATGGTCATGTTTTGCTTTACCTGCGCTATGAGGAACCATTCTTCCCGGGCGTCGTGGGAGGACGGTGATGATCTGGTGACTGCTGTCGACGATGATGAGGCGGATGACTTGGCGGAGCCGGAGCCGGATTGGGAGTCCGTGTAGGATGGCGGGTCGGAGGGGGCCGGCGCGTAGGAGGGCGGCTCCGAGGATGCGGCGTAGGATGGTGGATCGGCGGCGCCGGGTTCCTCGATGGGGAGGCCCTCAAAGATTGGGAAGATTGCCTCGTTGGCAAAGTCCGGGATCGGCATGCTGACTGAACTCCCGGTTGTTTTTCGGTGGCAGGGATTATGACGGGTCAAATGAGACTCTTAGTGAAGGGAAGAAATGGATGCCCAATCAATGTGAGAAGAAAAGGCCGGAATGAGCTAAATTGAGAAACGCTGTCAACAATAGTCCTGTGAGTTTCACTGAGAGGTTGGATGAGGGAGAGTAATGAGTGAACGATTGATTGGTGGGGGTGTGAGATTGATTGACCTGAGAGAGGGATCGTCCATGAGTCTCTCCCGCCCTGTGATTGGCTAGATCCATCACAGCGGAGAAACTTCAAACACCCAAAAACTGTCAAACACCAGAAAATTGACGAACCGGAGAAACGTCGGCCAGAACGATCAAGGGGACTTGGCATTGTTCCCAAAAATCCTTCTCGAACGTCTAGGCGACCGTTATGCCATGGCTCATGGCTACCTTTGCTGAAACGGCTGCCGCTACAGGATAAGACGACAGCTTTCGAGATGACATAGACTGTAACGTCTGGTCAGAGAGGCAGAACGACCGTCCGATATGCTCGGCCGTGCGAAGCAGCAGGTCGCCAGCACCCAAACTTCGGGTGTGCAGATGACAGGTCCAGCGCCTGAGCCCAGCGAGAGCCCCAACTTCGGACGAGATGGCGTCATGGCGCTGGTGGACTTCTATGCGGTCAGTTTCAGCATATGCCCAAGACGGCTGGCCTGCTCTGGACAAGAAAAAATTAGACACGGCGTGCGCGACATTCAATCATGGTTCATTTTGACATGAGAGTCTATTCTAGGAACCTATGTGTGTCGTAGTATAGCTACATTATAGACTATAGTGACCCCTCACCATTGTGAGCTATCCAGTGCCCATTACTACCGCGAGGGGGAGTGTGAAGAATGGAACCAAATCCAACAACCGCAGTGCCCAATGTTCGAATTAGGACAAATGTACAATCGTCAACGCCAAGTAAATACAATCCCAGGCCGTCCTTGGCCTCGACGCCGGTATATCCCTATTGCGAGTATGACTCGCGAGCAGGACCGTAGTGCTGCTACATTTCAAGAAAATGACGCAGAAAATTCAAGTCGTTATGTTGCGCTCATCAACCCCTTTACGCTCCGAAACTCATCCAGCCAAACGTACCGGCCGCACATCCCAGAACCAAGAAGGTCAGGATGCCCGCGCCGGCCTTATCTGCCGTTGTGACTGGCGTTTCTGTGCCGAGTAGATTGTCCGAGTGACTACCGGCGTTGGGGTCTCCCTTGGAGATACCACCAGTGGTGTTTGTTACTGGTGCCTTGACATTGCCGATGAGCAGAGATGATACGGCGCCGAGCACGTTCATCTGTTGACCGGCTCCCTTGGTGCCGTCGTACACGCCGGAGCTCCATTTGAAGCCACACGTTCGTTGGTTGTCCTGCCCTGTGCACTGCTTGATAGCCGCGTCTGCCGACGTCTTGAGAACTGGGAGAATTTTGTCGGCAGTGTAGGGTGCAATCTGCGTCGTGACCGACATCCATCGAGCGACATAGCCCTTGAAACTCAGCATATCGGTTGTGCAGGTGTTGTGCTCCTCGCAAGCAATCTCGAATGCAATGTTGTTGGGGAAGAAAATTTTCAAAGTTCCTTCGATAAGACCGTCCAAGCGTGTCTTCCACGCGGCGGCGCCATCCGTCTGGGTTGAAGTTAATATCAAGCTCATATAGATGCATGAGCAGAAGCCACTTACGTAGTTGTACATCATGGCAGCGCCGAGGATGAAAACGCCGTTGTTGTAAGAGAACTGGGCTTTGTTGATATCGGTACAATTCTGCTCAACGTGACCACCATCGTAAATGTTGTAGTCGGCATCGATAAAACCAACGGATGTCATCCAGTCCCAGGTCTTCTCAGCCCAATCGGCATACGTTTGGTTCCTGGTGTACCGGGCTAGTCTGGCACCAATGTTGAAGAAACAACCGTTTGCGATACCTATAAGCAATCAGTATCAGGTTCGTTGGAGGGCGTGAGCGTCGGCATTACTGTTCTTGTAGTTGTAACCGTTGTTAGAGAGAGGAATTTGCCAGCGGAGACCGCCTCCGCACGTGTTATCGTGTCTGTCGGGACTGGCCATGGTGTTGAAGACAGCTTGGGCGAGAGCCAGCCATTGCGCCTCATCCTCGGGTGGGTTAGGGAAACCGTCCTCGGCGGCAGTCATGGCAGACATGCCCCAGAAACCTTGGTCGTCGTTACCCAGCGAGGCAGTGTAATTAGGAGGCATGTAGTCGCGGTCGGGTCCGACCTGGTGAAGCATGGCCTGCATGACAACGTCGTTGTAGGTCGAATCGCCAGTCAAGTGCCAGTAGTCGATCATAGTTCCCCACATGGCACCAGCTTCCCACCAGTAGTAATCACCCGCTGGCGGAGGACCAGGCAAAATACCGGGCGTGTGGCCGGTCAAGTTGCCATCGTAGAAGCTCATGAGGTCGTAGGCGAGTCCTTTTGTGGTGGCCTTGATGTCATCTGGGCACGGCGTTAGTAAGGCGATAGGCCGGGGCCTGTCGAAGGCTCGAGTTGAGGGATGAATGTACCGTCAGAAGCGATGGAGTATGCAGCGCTGGCGAAACCGCTCGAGACGAGGAGCGCTGTCGCAGCGCGGGCGACGGAAGAGAATTTCATGGTGGTTATCGTCGAGTGACGTTTGCGTTGATTTGAAGCGAGCGACTGGTTGAGAGGGGAGAAACGGGACGGGAAATTGAGAAGGAAAGTCAATTCCCTTCGGTGCGGCGCGATCGGACTAGGGTCGTATCATGCGAGTATTTCGAAATAGGTCGAACGAGAAGAATGGGCGAAGAGTCGTGGAAGTGCCAGCTGTCGAAAATCGCTGCTGGAAGTTGTCGGTGTTGTTGGTTTCTGTAAACAGGCAAAACGAAGGTTGGAGGAGTAAGGAAAGGAGATGAACAGGGACGTTGGAGGGAGAAGGAAGACGAGGAGGGAGAGCCGGGGAAAGAAGGAGTGACAGCGAAGGGGTGTGGTGTGGTGTGGTGTACACTGGCACTAGGTGACTAGGTACTCAAAAGTCAGGTAGCTGGGACGCCGGGCGGGTGCAAGTGCGAGAAATGGAAAGAGGATGCCGGGATGGTGGCTGTACCGGGGACATGGAGGGCGGGCAGTTATTCGGTGGTAGGCAAGGGTCGCGTCAAGTTGCGGTACATTCACATTTATCTGCATGCCTGGGGAGTCAGTACGAGCCTACGAGGCAGGGCAGCGGGAGTAAATGGACAGCGCCAACTCAGGTTCTCGCTGTCGCAGGAATGCGGAATTGGAAAACAATGACCAACGCCTTTCCTCGTTCACCGATCGTCGAGCGTTGGCCGGTGGCTGCGCCGGCAATGTGACGTCCATCAGGTGTTGTGTATTCGTACGTCGTCCATAAGGTACGCTCTATCTACTCGTATGCCAGTGCATCCGACAGCGACACCGCAGGATTCGTAGCGTCAAGTTCCTGTGCTTCCGCGACGGTAATTCGTGCAGTGCCCAGGCGCGCCAAGTCGCCAGCGTGGAAAACAAGCAAATTCCAAGTTTTCCAGCGTCTTGTCCCGTGGTCTTGGCGATCCAGGGACAGGGCCCGAATGCCAAGAGACTGGGGGTATCCGTACGCCAGACCTCGCAAAAGGTAGCGTATGGCGTCAAGGCCGAATCTATATGTCTTGGCCCTTGAGTGGGTTGATTGTTCATTGAAACTCCTTGACTCCCTATGTATGTCTTTTGGATATTGTTTGAGGCATTGTGGCACAAATTGAGGACAGGCGAATCTGCTCTTTTCGGTTCTTCCTCGTATCCATACGATGCTTGACAAGTACCGGTACTTGCAGCGAAATAGATGGCGCTGCGAGAGGGAGCAGTGGCGCGCCGCCAACTTCCCTCCATGGCAGGACAACAAGCCCAAGGGGGAAAACCCCTGATTCAAGGTCACGAGTGAAGTCACATGATCTCCTCTCTAACCAATCAACTTGGCTGTGTAGTGGTGGAGTGCGCGGCCTTCCCTGTTTTGGCCCCCCTTTTTCTGAATGATGAATTGCGGGCCTCGCCTGGTCCTGAGGAGGTCATAGGCGGATGGAAATAGAGTGCCTTTTTTGAGTTGCTGCTGTCTCCGTCATTGCCGTCGGGTCCCGACTCCCAGCCAAACTGTGCTCTATTCGATTTCTCTCACTCTTGCATGCTGCAGCGCTTACAACTCAATGGCGTCGCCCCTCGAGTTCCCATCTCCCATCCGACGAACCATCACAACCAATCCTTCTCAATAACACAAACCACCACTAAAACATCATCCAGCCGCCAAGCCATTCAATCCAGAGAACAAGCTTTTCGTCAGCCAGATCGTCCTCTCATCGGGTCTTTGGGTCCTTGGCTCTGCTAGCTCCCTTGCTGCACAGCACCGCCCCCCTCGTGTCGCCCATGTCCAAATGGCCGCCCTGCCGCGATCTACGCGCCTGGGCATTCCCTTGGCGAGAAATTGCAGAATACTGCGCTGGGACCATCCAATATGCCCTTCCTGCCAGCGATTTAGACCTGGGGGGTCCTCTTGGTCAATATTTAACGTACGGAAAAAGTTTGCTCATTGCAAGCTGGCTGACGACTCATGCTTCGGTCCATGCACGCTTCTAGAATGCTCAATTTCCATCTGAGATATGTTTCTCTTGCTGCCCTGCATGCCTACTACGTACAAACCTCGGACGGCGGCAAGCACACGGGCAATGAAGCCGTCATCTGCGCGCACCGACAGCGTGGCTTTGCTGCCGCTAACAAACGTCCGATGCTTTTGCAGGCGAAAAGGGGCTGGGCTGGCTACCTCCCCTGGCTGACTGACTTCACCTCATCAAGCTGATCCCTCTTCAGCAACAGGTTGTGCCTTGAATAACCTGGTCTTTGAACAAATTACAATCGGCATGGAACATTTCTTTGCCAAGGCACCAAGCTGAACCAGCTTCGATGAACGCCCAGTAGGGCTGAACCTGTCTATCCCAATCAACTCGAGATCTCCCAGTCGCCAAGACTGAGCTACTATGCGCCCTCCCGTGGATCAAAAAGTCTTGGAGTCTTGGACGTCCTGTCAAGTGTGGCATCCAAGTGATGAAGAACGACACGGGCCTCTTGACAACGTCAAATCTCTAATTTGGGTCGACCAGAGCCGAGTCTGCACCGCCCCTCCGCACTCCACCACGAATCGGCAGCAGTCTGCCGTCCCCAGAGACCCTTGCTAAAGCTCCCCACGGAGACAATAACTGGAACGAGAGACGACTCAAATCGTTCCCTGCGAACGTAAATCTGGGCCCTATCTCTTGTACAGAGGGTGCTCCTACAAGTCATCGTCTGTATCCGAGATGTGGTCGAGATCGTTCGCGCTGTCTGCAATTTCGGAGGCAGCAAGGCTCTTGGTGTCAAGACTGGGGAAGAAGACGATCAATAAACCTGCCTTCTACCATAAACACGCAGGAGGCACTTCGGAGATTCGCGCGCGAGTACTGCGCGCTCTATGACACAGCACAGACCGTTGATCTTCAACCAATAACAAGCCTTGTTGGCTAAGTGGTATAGCGTCTCACTAGTACCTAGTGACATGAGAAGATCGGCGGTTCGATTCCGCCACGAGGCATTTCTTTTGAAAATTCCGTCATTTTTGCATTATTGAAGACGGCAACACGTCGATTGATGGATTTATCACTTTTCAATAGGTCCCCGAGGTCTGGTGCGGCCAATGGCTGTGACTTGAGACATAGAGACCCATGCGTAGGTACCTGATGAACCCCGTGAAACCCCCGATATAAATCATCTGTCTTGTCCACCCTGGGTTGGATATGTAAAAAAAAAATAACGCCATTAGTATTGCTAACTACTTGTACATCACTCCTCGAGACAAGTCCAGCTCAAAGTCCCATAGTTGCCTTTGAATTCCCTCGAGCATACAGAGAAGATGACGACTCTCAAGCCGCCGCAGTCTCACCTCCCTCTGTCTCATCCTCAATCTTCGCCTTGATCAACTCATATAAAATATCCGTCCTCATCGTATACTTTGTACCCTCGACGACATCATCACCAGAGTGATAAAGCCGGCTATGCTGGAAGATGAGTACCCGCCCCGCCTTGGGATCAACATCAACCTTCCTCTTCTCATCCCCGGACAAGAACGACGTCGCGCCGCCAACCAAATCGGCACCGTTATCCTTACCCGCCTCAGCGACAGAGTCATTGAGGTATAGATGAACGGTATAATGCGTCCGAAACACAGTTCCATCCTCCGCTTCTTCGCCATACGGCCCATCGCAGTGCGCTAGTACATCATCAAAGTCAGCAAGGTGCGATACCTTGCCAAAGGTGGAGGAGAAGGGGATAACTCACGTCTAAAAAACTGCCCCTTTTGATACTTCAAAAACCTCATCCGCTTGTTAAACCTCTTAAACACCCACCTCGTCTCAAACCCCTTCTCCGGCCTCCTCACCCCCTCCAACCCAGCCAACTGAGCTTCCAACCCCGGCGCAAGCCTACATCGGCCCCACAACCGATCGACAACCTCCTGCTGGTCCCAGATAATCCGATCGCTATTCCGGTACTCGGGCTCCAGTATCTCCCACCCGGGACCCATGTTAACCATCGCCGGCCGCCACGGCTCGTCCTTGTCCGGGTCCGGGCCGCGGTCTGTGGCAGAGGCCTCGGCCATGCGGAGGAGCTGGGCGCATTCGTCCGGCGTGAGGACGTTGTCTAGGACGACGGCATACAAGGGCCCGTTTTCGGGGAGGGCGGTCTTGGACCAGTCTAGTTTTTGGAGGGTTACGGCGGGCGCGGAGGCCGGGAGGGGCACGGAGAGGAAGTCGGAAGGGATGGGGACTTCGTTGGACGTGTAGGATGTTTGCTGGGGTTTAGGAGCGGCGCGTTTGGCGGGTTTGGGCTTGAGGGCCGCGGGGATGAGGTTTGAGATTGGCATTGTGTCGGATTTTTGTACTCGATAGGTGAAATTGTGTTCTTTGATAGTAGACCTTTGTGACGCTTTAGGTAGTTTGGTTGTGGTGTTTGATATCGGTGGGTGTTGATGCCTTATGGTTGTTGTGGTGATTTGCTGTTGTTGGTGCTGTTTGTCGAACGGCAATGGCTGCTTGATACTGGGTCGGCCAACTACTTGGAGTCTCAGGAAGCAATAAAAGACACAAGGACCACCTCTTCCCTCCAAAAGACACTTCAGCAGATATTTACAAAAGGACAGAAATGCGACTACCTAGCAAAGACGTCAAGGCGCAAGCGTCAGGCTTCGCCTCTTAAGTTGGTGACTAACAATGCGGCGGAGTACGGATTGGCCTCAGGTGGACAGACTTGAGGTATGTAAGCACTTGTTCCCGTCAAACCAAAACACACCAGGCTGCTTTGTTTCGGAAAATACGGCCTACAACAGACGTGTCTTCAATCCTCAACAATGTTTCCTAGAAAAATGCCTCGACATCTGCCTTGTAGATTCACGAATTGAGACGAAGACTGTTCAAGCGTGGATGCCTGCGATCGGATGCAAGTGCCTAGTGCGGGGTGAATCTCGCACAGCTGATTGGCTCTGCGCGATATCCTCTGTGCTGTGTACCTTGCTGCCTTGAAGTCTTAAGCCCCCGATACTCACTTTACTTGCGAAAGTCATAGGCTGCATAGATCTTCTTCTTGGAATTTGATTTGTCGTTGCGCATTTCCCTTCCCCTCTTGACCAGTAATGTCTGCTGTTGATAGCGCGGGCTACATAAACTATGAGCTGTGGCGGGGTGCCTAGTTGTGGCTGAATCAGATGAGAGGTGAAGGATTCTCACAGATAGGCAATGTCTGTCGAGTACGAGCATTCCTCGTAGCGTCTTCTTAAACAAATCACATGAACGGGTGAATTGATTATAAAATACAAAGATAATAGTTTGTAAAAGCAACGATAGATGTGTTCTTGTGTGAGGTACTGTTGACTCATCTCAAGGTGAGGTGTCTTGAACATGCCCAAATGCCCCCTATCCATCACTCGCTGACTACCTTCCTCAAGACCTGCTGTGCCGTTTCCTAGCAGCATGCGAATACATCGACGTTGGCATTGCTCATCTTCTCTCAGATTGCTACGTTGCAGTCAAGAACTAATGGGGAACACTCCTGATGATTTGAAGAGGGAGATTTCCAGTGCCATGAGAGGTCACCCCATTTCATATCGGTTGTTCTCTTTGAGGGCGATGAAATATCAGTAAACATTGCTTGGAAGCTTCTATGATGAAAGGAAGGATGCATGGTGAAACTCTGAGATTAAATCACGGAGAAAACTGGACGGGAGATGATTATGCGATTCACTTTTGGAATAAACTTCTTCCTACGCTCTACTTATGTACACACTGAGTTCGAAAAGCGTATTTCTACAATGCTCATCCATTCTGATATCAACAATATCTCATATCCAGGCTTCAAACCGGCTCATCGCGTTCCCTCGTCCTCCCTCCCCCTTTACTCTCTTCAACCTCACCCCCTTCATCCAACCCAGTCTTCGTCTCAGTATGCATCTCACTCAACTCAACCTGCCTTATGAAGAACGTAGCAACAAACCCGACACCAGACATGACGCAAAAGAAGATCCAAATCTTACTCAACCCATCCGTCACCGCAAGCCTCACAACCGCCCTCTGCCCCTCACCCAACCCCTCCATCACCCCGCGCGCCGCCGCCGCAATCGTCCCTCCCCTCCCAAACTTGGCAGCAACCTCGGCCGGCACGCCCGCCGCCAACAACCGGCCCTCATGCCGTCCCACGACGCTCTGGAAAATAACCTGCCCGACGACCACCCCAATCCCCAGCGCAATATGCCTCACAAACGCAAACGTCGCCGTCCCCGTCGCCACATCCGCCTGCCTCACCAGAGCCTGCAACGCAATAAGCAACGCCTGCAGATTCGGCGAAATCCCCAGGGCCGCGAGCACCTGGAAGAGGATCAACCGCGGCCAGTCCCTTCCAGCGGGCAACGTCACAAACAACCCAAACGCAATCGCCGTCAGCGCCATCGACACCCGCACAATCTCAACGTACCGCCCCGTCTTCTTGATCGTCACCCCGACGCCGATAGTGCAGACCGCCAGCGGCAGCGCCGTCGCGAGAAGCCACACGCCCGACTGGATCGGGCTGGCGCCCAGCACCGCCTGGAAGTAGAGCGGTAAGAAAAACGCAATCGCCGCGAACCCGAGCCCGTGGCAGAAGTTGGCCACGTAGCAGAAGACGACCGACGCGTCGCGGAACAGCGAGGCCGGCATGAGCGGGTACTTTGCGAAGCGCTCGACGAAGGCGAAGACGGCGTAGGTCGCGCAGCCGAAGACGACGAGGCAGATGACGGTGGGCGAGTCCCAGGGGTTCCGTAGCCCGCCAAACTGCAGCCCGAGGAGGAGCATCAACGTCGCTCCGGTGAAGGTGAGCGTGCCGAGCCAGTCAATGGCCGCCAGGCCCTTGAGAAGCGGCGTCTTGGGAGTGTGTATGCGCAAAAAGAAGACTAGGATGAGCAGCGACGCGCCCGAGATGGGCAGGTTGATCCAAAAGCACCACCGCCACGAAACATTCTCCGTCAGCCCGCCGCCGATGAGCGGTCCGATTCCGCTGGCAAGGCCCCAAACCGCACCGACGGCGCCGAAATACGCGCCCCTCTCCCGCGGGCTGAAGAGGTCCCCGACGGTGATGTTGACCAGCGCCATCAGCCCGCCGCCCCCGAGCCCCTGAACCGCTCTCCCCGCGACTAACATCGTCAGTGTGCCGGAGAGCGCCGAGACGAGGCTGCCGACCATGAAGACGATGTTGGCGATGACGAGGATCGGTTTGCGTCCGAAGATGTCGCTGACCTTGCCCCAGAAGGGAACCGAGGCGGCGTTGGCGAGCAGATAGCTCGCGCCGATCCAGGCGAACCCCGAGTCTGAGGACCCAATCTCCCGCGCGATCGTTGGTAGTGCGGTGGTGATGATGACGGCGTCGAGAGCCGCGAGGAAGACAGCCATGCAGAGCGCGAACATCAGGATGACGGTCTGGGCCCGGGTGCGGACCGGGGCGATCTTTGTGTCTGCCGTCGTGACGCTCCCTTCCCCTTGGTCATCGTCGGCGCTCCTTCTTTTCTCCCGTACGCCTCCTCCTCCTTTACCATCTTGATCGCCGTCGCCGTGCGGACTCCTGTCGTGAGAAGATGTTTCTACTTCACTCGCCATCGTGAACAGCGAGATACCTTGTTTGGTCGGGTACACGACATGCTGCCCTCAGCGAGCACCGCTTCCACAACCCACAACGCGGGACGGGCCTTAATATACATACTTTGAGATCCTCAGAGAAACACTGATGGAACACTCCAAAGATGCCTTGGTTGTCGTTGATTTGCTAGAAATGTCCCAGTGGCTCTGCGGCACAGCCTTATGGCCCGCGCCGCCGCCGCCGCCATTCACGAGAGCACATGTTCCTCGACATGAATAGGGCCATGGCTTTTCCCAGCGCGCCGGACTTTTGGCTGCTTCGGTACGACCCACATTGCCGCAATGCGAGGGCATTCGACGCAGGGTGGCAGACTGGGAGAGAGGCCGTTGGAGCAAGATGTGGCTGCACGGCGCATGCGCGGGAGCCACACTCCCCATTCTCCCTTGCCTTATCCTTCACCTCTGCAATTAGAGAAAAAAGTTCCGGATCTTTGGTCCTGGTTGGTGGCTTTACGAGAGCGACACGTGGGGGCCGTTTCCACATTGCCTCTCATTCGCTCAGACATCGCCAAGTCTTCACCTTTCCCATGAGAACCACCCCAAGAATGACGCGCAGCGAATAACAAGACAGTCGGCGCCACATCCGGAAAGTACAAAAGCGGAAAGAGAGCAGAGGGTATCAAGCTTAAGATTAGCAGAACCTACAGCCGTATAGCGAATTTGCCCGTCCCGTGGGTTGGATCTGCAAAGAAAAGAGAGGGAGAGACACAAAAAACCCCTGCCATGTCGGGCCGGACTTACGCCTCTTCGTTTTCGTGGGCTGATGCCGAGCGAATGAAAGAATTCCAACGTCAGCTTCGCATCAGCTCCCAATGCTACTTGGGTTGCTCCAACGGATGAGAGGGTGGGTTCCAAAGAAAGGAGAAAGAACATTTCTCGCCCGGCCAGCCCATTCACTCATACTGTCCAGCGCAACGTTGAACGAGGCAGGGGGGAAGCGCCCAATCCGATCGCGTAACCGGACACGGCGTGAGCACTATATAGGCAGAATGCAAGGAACGGCGCGAAGCGCGAAAGCGGGAATAAGAAGGGGAGACGATGGCCAAGGGGCTTGCTAGAGACTGAGCATCGTTTCCCGGCTCTCCGTACGTACAGACTGACAACTGCGTTTCTGATAGGCACGATTATGCGGATTGCCGACTACAGAAGTTCAGACCGACGAGAGGTGACGAGTGCGAGTGTCTTTCGAATCTTCGTTGCAGACGACCAACTTCGCCTTGCGTAACGGTTCTTGCAGGATGCAGATGCAGTTCGTCGCCATCATCGTCCGGGAAACCTGTGCTCCGGGGACCGTATGGGATGCGATCAATGCTGTGGCGGGCGGGAACTCGTCTATTTTGTCTTCATCGAGCGTGCCTCCCTGAGAGTTGATTCTCTGCTGAGCACCCACGGCTCAATTTACATGAATCTCGTATTCATGCCCTCAACTCGCCTGTTGCGACATCCCAAACGTTGACACGCGCGCGCCATGTGGTGACTCGTGATGCTCGGTGTTGTGCGTTACACATGTTGTCAACCTGCGTGCGAGCCTCGTGGGCCTCTCTGTCCTACATTCCTGATTGAGACCTTGACGGAACGGGCCATCAGTGGAAACTTGCATCGTCGGCCTCGGGGACCGGGTCAGAGGGGAATGAGACTCAATTCTGTACTATGAAAGAATGACCAGCCGTCATTATTCCCTCCATCCTGCAACATACGAACCCGTGAGCCCGAAGCTGAGGGAAGTAAGCACTATATATCATAAATCAAATTCGAATTCGCAAGCGCGCCCACGAGGTAGGACTGACGATAGCGCAGGAGCATTGTCGTCGTCGCTATCTCGGTTCAACACGCAGTCCCGGCGATGGCGTAGCAGCACTTTCGCGGTCGAGTGGCGAATATCTCGAACGACGGCGTATCTAAACACGTATGGGGTATCATCAAAATGCAAAAACAACATAAACAGAAAATCTCATCCATCACCGACTTGGAGTGTTTGTTTCCAAACCCTCCAAATTCTCCTCTTACTCCTTTTTTTTTGTTTCCCATGAGACGGACCATAATGCAATAGCGCAGCAGCATTGTCGCCAGTCATCGTCTCCAGTCCCGTACGCCGTTTCCCAGCGATGGCGTAGAAGCACTGTCGCTGTCGAGGAATCCAGCCTCATTTCCCGCCGCTCTTCGCCTGTAGCGCGGTGAACCAAGACCATTCCCCGGATGAAAAGCATATATAAACTTCGTATGGGCGTTGTTTCGTAAATGGTCGAATGTGAAAGACGTATTAAAACGAGACGCCTGTAACTGGCGCAAGAAGATAATGGCAGGTTGAGCTGCTTCAGAACGGGGCGTCGAGTAATTTGTCATTGAGAGCCGCGAGTGGTTGTTGAAGCTTCCGGAGCAGAGTATGTTCCCGATGGTTGTCGGCTCTCTGCCCCAAGATAGGAAACCATTTAGGCTTCCCGGTTTTGGTTGGAACGAGGGAACAACTTTCCAAAGCCTCGTTGCCGGGCCTCACGTCTCGCGGCGCCGTCTTCAATCTCACTGGAGGAGTCGAGGCTCGAAATCTTGTTCACGGGCTTATTTCCGAAGACCTTTAGCAGGAAGAACATGGCGAAGCTGCTGGCGATGCTCAGGCAGAGAATGCCGATCATTGCGTAGTTGCTGCGACGGTACTGATAACGGCCCTTGGCGGCGTCCTCTGGCCATCCGGTGTACAGAGCGTAGGTCGTGACAATGCTTCCAAGGTTGCCAAGGCCGGACACCAGAGCAGTCGCAGCCGCAACACCGACTTCACCGTGGCGGCGCTGGAAGATCTCGTTCGTCCATGTCATGCAGTTGGGAACGGTCGGGCCAAGACCGAACCCAACCATCAGAAGACCACCGTAGCGAGCCCATCCATTATCGAGGGCAAAAGTTACGACGAGCAGACCGGCGATCTGAAGGCAAACCGCAGCTGAGAAGATAAATGGGCGGTAGCCGTGGAATCGATCTGAGATTGGCATCATTATGAGAATCGCAATCAAGTCCATCTGCATCATGTTAATGAGCGCCCATGCAAGACAAGATAAACAACTTACGATCCAGATCGGAGCAAAAAGCAAGCTGACTTGGATGCTCGTTGCCGTAGGCACGATGGAGCGGATGATGACAGATCCATAGAGCTGCGTACCGATTCCAACGCCAACGACACCAAAGTACATGAAAGTCAAAGGCCACAGGCGCCAATCGATCAGCACCTGCAGAAGATCCTTCATAGTCCAGGGCCTGGGGTGATAGACTCGTCGGAGGTCATTGTAATGAATGACGGCATCCTGGCCGGAGAGCGCCTCTGGGGTTGCCGGAAGCCACTTCAACCAGCTTGAGCGCTGACGCTTTTGCCCAGGAGGAAGAGGGCGATCAGGAAGCCACCAAAGCAGGCAAAAGCCAAGAACCACAGCCACCAGGCCGTAGATGAGGAACATCCAGCGGAAACCAACGAGACCTCCCAAACCATCCATGAGTTGGAAACCAGCAGACACAAGGCCAACCACAGCAGCAGAGAGCTGGGCAGCAGTGAAGTACATGCCGATTCGCTTACCCGTTCGAGAAGGCGGGTAGAACAAGGTAAGGTAGTACGACATTCCAGGCCACATGCCCGCAATCACAACACCGAGCAAGAATCGCAGAAGCCTGGTTAAAGGGTTAGATCTGACAAGGAATTCGATTTGTCGTCAACATACTTGACACTCCAGGCGCTCTGCACGGCAGCGAAGCAGGTGCCAATGATACCGGTGGCAATGACAATGCGAGCCATCCAGATGCGAGGGCTCAGCTTGGCCATAACCAAATTGGAAGGGCAGTCGAAGATGACATAGGCCACGTAGAAAAGAGCCAAGGCGGTCGATGTGTCTTTGGCTGTGAGGCCGAGGACGGACATCAAGTCATGACCCTGAGCGGCATTCATTGTTTGTGCGATACCAATGTTGGACCTGATGGCAGAGCAAAGGAAGTAGAGCGTCCAGAATGCTATCAACCGTTAATCCCGTAGTGTCACTGGCGAGAGAAATGGGATGGTTACCTGGAATGATTCGAAGGTCGAGCTTCCTAGATGACTGTCAGCTTCATCGTCTGACGCAAGTCAAAGCTAATGAGGGTTTGCATACGTACCTGTAAACCCTCTCGACTGTTTCGACATCGTATTCTTCCGGCTCCTGATGAGATGGGCCGGCCGTAGGGTCCATAGTCGACGAGCCAGCTGGCGTACTGTACTCGTTGGGCTGTTTGTCATCGGCGCCATGCGCCTCCTCGTGTATGTGAGCCATACTTGACTACGAAGCAATGGGAGTGCCTGCTACGAGTCTTTTTCTGGTCACTCTCACGGACAGATGATAAAAAAGACAACGAGTGGTGTCGGCGCTCGATTATTAGCTTGGATCCTTGGAACCACAGCCAAGTTTTCAGAACTGAGCAGGGAGCTTCGCGACGGTGATCGAGGGTGGTGAAGTTTTCGCTGTCTTGGGCGAGCGGATATCATAGGCATTTTTAAGGCGTCACTTGCCGATGGGCTGGGAAGGTTGGAGGGGCACATCGGAGCTGATAGTGGATACCTCCGAGGAAGCAGCTAGGGCCGTCATCTTCAGGTGGTTCTGGCTTAGCTGCACTAGCAGATCTGGGCGGCCAGTCTCCCGAGGGACCAAAGGGAGGAGGAATTCGCTCTCAGAGACCCTTCTTCTCACTCTTCTCTGATGGGCCGTTCTCGCCCAACAGAATTGGCACTCCACTCCGGGTGGCAGGATCAGTGTGCAGTTTGCGGTGCGATTGTCGGTGGCCCGCAGCGCAGCCCACATTGCCGAGCCTCAGCGACTCCGGACTCGGTCACTAAACCGAGTCCAATCGAAGCGCCGTGACACCGGCCTCAGGTCGGGCCACAATGACACGAATCGACGGGAACAGTTCAGACCAAGAGTGGTAAAGTTGCAGATGACTAGGTCTAGCATGCGACAGAAGATGGCGGGAAGAGAGCGATTTACATCAAGTCAAAGCGTCGATTAAACTGTCAAAGTTCTTGAGGTGTTTTAAGGTTAGGAACAAGAAAACACACCGTATTTTATGGCTTTCAAGTGTTCGTATGTACGACTAGACATAGGGCTAGAAAGTGTACTCGGACAAGTTGCTGTTGCAATAATTGGTAGCTGAATGCGCGGATAGTATTCTTACCTAGAAACTAAATGGTGGTGGTGGTGGTGGCCACACGCACAGAGAATGGATGGTGGGGTTAATTTCAAGTGGTCGAGCGTCGCTTCACCCTCACAACTCCAGCTTCACTTTGACATCCAGAAACACTGCTTTATCTATCGCAAGCTTCGTTGTCAGTCCTCGATCTCCTACGTGATGATCTTGAAATTTGAGACCTTCATCCATTGCTATTGGATGCTTGGTGGACAATGGCCATGGGCCGTCACAGCCTTAAGGCATCCAAAAGGTTTTGGCCTTATCCTTTAGGAGTTGAGGGCAGATGCTCATCTCCTTCCCCCTTCTCCTCATCACAACCCCACTTCCTCCAGTCTCATCTCAATAACCACGTCAACTTGCTCTCCTCTTCATACCCGATGCTGAATCTATCGCAGCCTGCAATTCGTCAAGATCACACGTATTCACAGGCACTGGCCTGCCTGAGAACTCTCGCTCCTTATCTGCACGCTTCTCTTTGCGATATCACTGCCTGACTGGGTGCCTATCTACAACCCCTCGCCCTGCCTGATCGCCAGTTCGCCAACAACGTTGTCATACCTACACGCGACTACCTCAAGCCAGCTTCCCTTAGCTCACAAACTCAATTCGTTGGCTGCTTGCTTCACCGAAATGGTTATTGATCCACCTCGACGGAGTCCAGATCTATCTGTGAGCGGGGTAGTTCCCATCCTCCTCATGTCGTGGTAGTCGTTTCACCACGCCTGGCGATCCTGAACCGAGTCATCGGTGAACGTGACGAATAGGCTTCCAGACGAACAGGCACTCGGCTTTCTTGGCTAGGGCTAGGACTTCGCATGAACCGACGCTCTCCGCGGCCTAGACGTGTGGTACGCGGACTATTCAAGCAGCAGTGTCCCCAATGCTATAGGGTGACGACTGTACTCCCAAAGAGGGAGGTGGTGTGGGCGATGACAACGATTCACGCGTTCGCGACAGGTCCAGACGCGCGAGTGCGAAGAAGGGTCTCATACACGCCGTATCTACCAATAGGCAAGCTCATGATATGGCCCAATGATCAAGTGACAACGGTCTTGTTGTGTACTCATTCACACTGACGTCTCTCACGCGGATATCTCGCCCACTAGCACGATGCCTGATCATGAAGCTCAACAGCCGCCTACTCACATTGAGCATCTCTCAAGAGGCAGTGTACGGTGAGAGCTGATGGCATCATTGAGCCTATTCACCATCTCCTCGGATCACACATCTGTTGATAGTCATAACCAACCAGTGTTGGAACCTTGACGCTGACCTGCTGAACGGCCTCATTGAGGCTGTGTGTGAATATCTACTTCTATAACTGTACCTTATTAACTCTAGTGCGGCTCAGCTTCGCTAGAGATTACCAATCGCCGTCGAGGTATCGTGGATCTGGGGTGTAAGCTCTTCTAGGACAATCCTCCGTAAGCAACAGGTAAGTCCTTGATCCCATCTCAAGCTATACACTTCGAAATACTAAAGTACCTGAAAGAGCTGACCGGAGCTTTCTGAGCTTTAGGTGATGATCACGAGACAGCTGAATTTTCCAAATGCGCACACCCCTGCGCCGGCAGCCTTGGAGAACAACCTAATGCGTCGGCTGTGACTCACTTGGTAGGCATCTCGACGAAGGCATCGCCAACCAGATGGAGTCAGAGGCTTTGCCGCCTAGACCTGGCAAACATATAATGCTCTAGGTATCTCTCCAGGTATGATTCTATGAAAACCCTACCCAGCTGAAGTACCTCCTCTAAGATTGTATCAGAGAAGCTAAAGACATATATCCTCAAAAGTTGGTGGGTTCCCTCATTGCTATTTGTGCAAGCATCCAGCTTCTGCCTTGAGCGCCACATTATCCAACAAACGAAAAGTGGACCCCGTGGCTGGTGGCGAAATTGACCGGGATCACGTGGATCACGGCTGAATAATCCAAGTCCATGCCCGTGTGGCTGACGCAGCTTGCTACCAGCTTCCACGTCTTCAGCCAGATTTTTCAGGCAAACTGACTTTTCTGCCTTTCGCAGCATCGGAGCTCATCACCTGCAAGCTTGACGAAGCGACGCGTTATCAAGTAACCGCAGTCGCAGTATCCCTCACTGCGGCGATCCCTTTATTTCTTTCTTGTTGAATCGTTATTTGTCGTTTCCCCTGCGATTTCCCGCGAACGACCCGGAAGTCGCGACTTCTTTCACGATCACGACCTCTTCCGATCCTCATTTCTCCCCCATCACAAGCTTCATCCAGCATCCACAGGATAACCGACAATATGAGCGTCGTCTACGAACCCCGTAATTTCATGCACGATGGCTCGTATCCTCCCATCGGCGATCACGATCACGACCATGTCCTCGATCAGACTGGGCAATACCAGGCGTCCGACGTCCCGGACCTCGCCTCCTACAATCCGACGTCCTCGATGCTCGGCGACGACCGGTCTCTGATGCCGGACGGTCTTGACGATGCCTCCGTTGGCGTTCCAGATGCGACGCGACTCGATCTTTCAGCGCCTCCCACTCTTGCGTCCCTTCCTTCGAGTCTTCCTCCGGCGCTTCCCGAGTCCCTGCCATCAAACAACAAGGACGAGGGCGAGGCCTCGACTCCCACATCGAGGGTTAAGTGCATACCAAAGCCCGAACGCGAGGTGACGAAACAGCCTGATGGGAAGTTCTACTGTACTTTCCCGGGATGCACGGAAGAGACCCAAATTTTCACCCGGAAATGCGAATGGAGGTAAGTCAACCAAACGTTGAAGCTTTTGACACTTTGTAATGATGCTAACCATTTAATTCTCGCAGCAAGCACATGGACAAACACGAGCGACCCTACCGATGCGCTGCCGAGGGTTGCGAAAAGCTTCCCGGCTTCACGTACTCCGGCGGTCTCCTCCGCCACGAGCGTGAAGTTCACGGCAAGCACGGCGGTCCCAAGAATACGGTCAACTGTCCCCATCCGAACTGCAAGCGCCATACTGGCAAGGGCTTCTCGCGGCAGGAGAACCTTAATGAGCATCTACGACGAGTACACACGAGCGACGGTTCTAGCACGGTCCAAGAAGACATCCAAACCGGTAGTGACGGTGACAGTGACAAGGCTATTGGATTCGGCGCAGGCAACAAGCGAAAGCGCTCCCGGAAGGGATCTGACGCTGGTCTGGACGAGCTGCGCGAGGAGATCAAGCGCGTACGCATGGAGAATGAGGAGCTGCGCCAGCAACTCGACAGACAGGGCCAGCACAGCTTCGCCATGATGTCGCAGATTGCGGAGCTTCAGGATGCGCTGCGGACGAACCTCGATCCGTCCGGACTCGGCGCTCCCACCGCCACGATGTTGTGACAATCAGACGCAACGCCTGCGCCTCTTCCCGAAAGCGACAGCTTCCTCCCGAACTTCCCGTTACGGCGTTACGACCACACCACCACACCCTAAGTTAACACCCGGCGGCCACAACTCACACTCCAGGCTTCCACATTGAACCCCCGTGCCCTCGACTCGACACCTCCCCGCACACACCAACCATCACACCACGTACACACTCTTACGACACACGCATCGACGAGGCGTTCTAGGGCAGAAAACTGCTTTTTCATGATCCATACAATTCCGTTTTGTCTCTTTTGGCCGTGGTCACACGACGCCGTGTATAGTTTTAACGGCATGGGTAATTCAACAGAAAGGGGGAAACAGGCGTTCTACGGGATAATCGACACTCGATTTTTTTTCTTTTCCACGGCTTTCTACGGTGGCGAAGAAAGCCCAAGGACGATGACGACTACTTTTTGATATCCCCCCTCCCCTTCGACTACGCAGAGCGTTATGCAGAGGGAAACCAGAAAGATGGAACCAAAAAAAGAAGAGAAATACCACATGTTTTTCCGGAGTTTGTTTTCCACCCTTTTCCTTTTCCTTTTCCTTTGGACGGCAAATGGTAGATTGTACATTTCCCCTCTCCTCCTCAACTCACGCCTCCCCCTTTCGCTTCTCAGGTTCTCCTCGGCACCAAACACAACTTTTGTAATTCTACTACCTTGTATTGAGAACGATTATTCATTTTTTTAAAGTGTGTAGTACCATAGACACGGGATGACCTATGATGATAGTAGGGCATCCCCCAACCCCCATAAATCAAGATGAAACTTCTCTTCTCCCCTTTAAAAACAACATGATTTTCCGTTTTGCAATATAATGTGAATAGAATGGAGTTGACAGAGACTATTTGGGGAGTGGATGATGATGACGTAAGTTGGGTGCTTTACGCGTGAAGCCCAAAAAAAAGGAAGCTGTACACGTTCCTACCGTGCGAGGGAAGAAATGACTAGGAACGCGCTGTCACATGAGGCTTTTGCCTGAGGCAAGTTCACCACGGTAGGCAGGGGTGGTGGTTGCAGGATGCACGAGCGACGATCATTGCCATCTAGAAGTGCATGTCAAACTCCGCGACTCGTCTGGATACTCGTGGTAGTGTCCTTCGACATAATGAATATCAACGGATGTCTCATGCACAGAGAGGGCGTAGAAGCAATGTTGACCGGTACTTTTACATGAGGAAAAGGGAATAGACAAAGGCAAGACGAGGGTGGGTTGCTTTTCCAGACACTCAATCACGTTTCGCAACATGATGGAAATCAATCTCAATGACGGCCATTGAAATACACCTTGTTTGGATATCAGTTCTCGTCTACCTGTACTCTTACATATCCCCGGGCTCAAAAGGCCCTCGTATCTATGGAAAGAAAAGAGCCGTCAAATCTTACGTATTCCAACGCTTTCTCATGGAGAGAGAGTACTTCCCCCCCAGGCGTGTGAAGCCGGAGGAAAAGATACTCCATAACCAGGCGTCAAAGGGCACTCAAGTCTACAAAGCTAAGAGATTCTCAGCATCTTAAGCAGAAGCTGGTAGTAGACCTTGCCCCGGGAGAGAGAGAAAAGGAACATCTAGACATGAAATCTAGACCTCAAACACATCACCCACGCCCTCGGATCCGCCTCGCCGGTTCTCGACAAGGTCCAACCTCCACCCCTCCCAGTTCTTGAGCGTGCGCTTAATCTCTTTGATGCGCTCGATGCGCTTCTTCGCGTCATCCTCTTGCGCGCGGCGGAACGCGTCCTCGTCAAAGTCCATATCGTCGTCATCGAGGAGCAGCTCGTCGTCTCCCGTACCGGTAAGCGCATTGATTCCACTCTGGAAAAAGTCACCGATGCCACCGCCAGCTGCTTGCTTCCTCTGCGCTGACGGCGACGTGCCGCGGCTCCCGCCAAGGTCCACGTTCTCGAAGCTGGGGCTGTTGAGCTCGCGGCGCTTCTCCTGCCAATGCCCGTGGCGGAGCTCGTAGACCTCGGCTTCGAGGTCGCGCACCTTCTTCTCGAGACGCAGGCGCTCCTCGTTCTCGAGCTCATCGACACCGTCGTCATCCAGGCCGCCACCGCCCTCGGTGGACTTCCGGCTCCGCAGCCTCGTGTTCTCGCTCTCGAGGCTCTCAACCCGCGCCTTGAGTTCGCTGACCTCCTTCTCGGCGCGCTCCTTTTCCTTCCGCAACGTCTGGGTGCGCGTGTCTTGCTCCTTGTGAAGCGTGGTCAGCGTCGTGACCTTCTTTTCCAGGCCGTCCGCCTTCTTCTCCGCCTCCAGCCTGGCATCAATCGAGTCGGCGAGGTCGTGCTCCAAGCTGCGGAGCTTCGTCTCAGCGCTCGTGCGTTCGCTACCCTCACGGACGGCCTTTTCCGCCGTACGGTCAAGGTTCTTCCGCAAGTCAGTCAGCTCTTGCTGTGCCTTGGTGGCGGCCTTTTCAGATCGCGCGAGCTTCTCTTCCAGAGCGGCAATCTGCTCCTTCTCGGAAGACGTGCCGCTAGTCTGACGATCCACGTGTGCGCGGAGCTTTGATATCTCAATCTCCATCGACTCGATAGTGGCGGTTTTGGAGGCAAGCTGGGCCTCGAGCTCGGCGGGGGGAGACGACATTGATACCGATGGCGAGGATCCGTGGCGGCCACCTGCGCGGGAAGCTTGTTGCTGGAGCTGAGAGTTCTGGCGCTGAAGGGCCTCGATCTCGGATTTCTGTTTGACGTTTCATTAGCAAACTTTTCCAGGGCGCATGATCGTATAATGTGATGCTTACCAGGTTTTCGACTTGGCTGTCTGGTCCGCCCTTGCTCTCGCCCTCAGTCTCACGCAGATCAGCCAGCTCCTCCTCGGCCTTCTTCCACCTCCTCTCCGCATCAGTGGAGTCCTTGGCTAGACGCTTGTTCTCCTTCTCAAGCTCCTCTATCCGAGCATGCTGCTTTCGATAGATATCGGTGGCAGTCTCGCCTTCAGGAGCCTCGGCGCTGGGCGAAAGAGGACCATTGCCGGCGGAGACAGACCCTTGTCGGAAGGACGCAGAGCGGAGCTTGGACTGTTGAGCTAGCGAAGGTTGAGATGCAGTCGGGGATGCTGGTTGCTCCGCGATAGCTTCCGTAGCTTCCTTCTCGTCCTCTTTTGTGTCTTCGGTGGCAGGATCGGCGGGTGTCGTGGGTTCGGCTTCGGGTTCCTTTTCCTTCGAGGCGCTGGGTTCTGCCGCTGTTGGCTCGGCCTTTTCCTTCTTTGATGAACCAGCAGCCTTCTTTGTCTTCTTCTTTTTCAACTCTTCCACCTAGCAAGCTGTGAGTAATAAACCGGTGGTCGTCGCACCGCAAGAAAACCTACTCTCTTTCTGGCAGCAGCGAGCTTTTCGGCCTTGGCCTTGTCTTCAGCGTCGGCCATGATGGAGGCAGCAGTGCTTGGGTTTGTTGAGAAGCGAAATCAAGTAAGTTCTAGGTGTTGTTACCGAACGTTACGACGAAGAGGTTGTCGTGAATGCGGAATGTAAAGTTGGATGTTTGATGTGAATTGAGCGCTTCAGCCTCGAGCCCAGGAGCTTAGCTGTCCACTCGTGTGAAGAACAAGCCACATTCCACCTGCACTCAGCCGTAGTGTTTGTGGTTGACAGGGGGCTGCCCCCCAAATGACGAAGGCAGGCGCAACAGCTATGCGTGGAGCGTGCTAAACATACAGGGGCCACCCCTCCTGTTCCGACGAACTCCCTTCTTGCCGTTTGGACAAAATCGAACAATACTCCAACCTCCAACGACCGATTATCTCCTTCGTGATAAGATTCAAATCCTCCCAGAAACCGTCTGCCTCCTTCATTAAACACAGTGTTTTCTCTCTGTAACGCTGGTTCATCAAGTTTCAGAGCTATTCAAGATACTGCACCTGTTCTGCTCTCAGCAGCTATCGATCTCACTAACACCGTCTCGCCACTGGTGCTCATCAAGATGCAATCATCGCCCAAAGCCAAACATCATGCCGTTCATGCTGCTCTTATGGAAGCTATCGAATGAGGAGATGAATACATCGCAACGACAAATAGAAAAAAGTCAACATGTTCCCAAGCGGGCCTCCTGCCGTCTGACCGACGCGACGAACACCCTCCATCCCCCTGCGCATCTTTTGGCCCACCCAGCCGCGGTCTTCCAATGCGTTGGCGCCTTACATCGCCTTCTCAGTGTCCCAATCGCTCAAACCTTTGCCCTTGAGCACCGCCTGATTGGCAAGCTCTCCCTCGTTTCAACTGCGCTGATGTCCAGTTGGCACCGACCCAGCGTCTGAAATGGATGCAAGTTGCATCTTGGCCCCCAGTGAAGGACCCTGTCTACCTGCCAGCGCGGGAACGCATCGAGCCAGGGGGCAAGGGGGCCGGAGGGGGGGTGAGCGTCTCGTTCGTTAGTTCCTTTGAAAGACGTCCGCCTTGCTCTACAAGGGACGACTTGGCTAACTCGAGATGATTGGAGGTGCCGCAGCAACAAACGACCCAGGCACAATTATGCAGCTCGAACATTAAAGCATGTTGAGAGCTGACATGTTCTCCAGAACATGTCCCGCTCAACTCTCGCCCATCCTCTCAGCTTGTGCTGGAGGAATGGAAACAGAGGAGCGACGGCGAGGAGCCATGGGGCAGTGTGTATCGAGCAGCAATGCTGGCGCAGGCAGCAGCGCTGCCGAAAGGTCTGACGCTCGCTGTCAAACTCCCGGCTGCCAGAGAGTCTGCGATCCAGGGTCCAAATCACGATATTGCGCTCAACATGCCGTCTGTAGACGGCAAGGATGCGTGAGGCCTCGATATCGCAAGGGCCCATATTGTCAGGAACACATGTGTAAGTGTTCCACCAGGCCGCTTCGGCCCTTGGACAACGTACGAGTTCTCTCTGACTCCAGGACCAGATACGTGTCGAGTCTCCAGATGTCCCAATAATCAAGCCAAACTTCACGATGCGCGATTTACCAATCATTTATGCTGGGACCACCAACCCCACGAAGTCCAAGATGCGTACCTGCTCGGATACCTGTTTGGCGGGGAAGATATCCACGCGGCAAACGCAAACGAGCCTCAGCAACAACAGGAACAGCGCAGCAGGCGCAGGCGTTCTCGTCAGAAGCCAAAGCCCGCACCGGCCGCAACGCAACCTACAATCATAGCCGAGCCTCGACACCAGGCATCCGAAGACCCCTCGTCAAGTTCAGACGACGACGATGTCATAGTCGCAGCCCACCAACTGTCCACCATAGGGGAGGAACCGGAAAGAGAAGACACCATGCGCTCAACGCAGAAATCTCGAAAGCCTGGAACAGCGCCAGGAACAGCGTCGGGAACACCGACGGCTCGTCGGAGTCAGAAGACGGTTCACTTCGCAGATCCTGCCCCTCGAGCCTCCGCAGCCGCCGAGAAACCACCCGTCGAGACGACGGCGGATACTTGGGTTGCGGAGCCCCTTTCCTCGTCCGCGGCAGCCCGTCTTCGAACCTCCCACCACCGGCGAAGCCTGGACGGACGGTCCGGATATCGGTCTTCGCCAAAAACGTCTGGCACTCTCGCCGCTCCGGCTGCGAATAATCGTGAGAGGCGTTATAGTACCGGCAGTGCCCCGAAGTCTGCCGACGTCAAGCGGACAACGAGAACGAGGGCCAGCCGCTGAGGCCTATCCTCTGGGGACGCACAGGACGGAGGCACAGAGGGCCCCCTTGTACCTAATGCACCACGAACCAAGCTTCCACATTGCGTCACAGCAAAGTCCCATGACACATTTCTCCCACCAGATGCCCCCTCGTTTCTTTATCGTCAACAGTCATACGAGCCCGCTTTCCTATCACATCTCTTCAGAAATAGCCCCGGTAATCTCTGGGGTGGGGGTCCTCATCTGAATGCAGGCGGAAGATAGGTAATGGTGCTAAAGATACAGCGTAATTATCTCTCAACGGGCGGTAGAAGAGTTCCACCTTGGAGCGTCGGGCACGGCATTTGGCGGGGTAATGGCGGGGTACGGGTGCGAACAGGGTGCTGCAAACTACCTCACACGCCGAACCACTACCACCACCCACCACCACCACTACCGCCGCAAGCCCTCAAGCCCGCGCCAAACCGCCCGCCTACCCGACTAACCAAAGCCTCGCCGTCTCTCTTCCTTCCCGTCCCTCCTTCTTTACCTCTCTTGCTGATCTTCTACCCAATTCTGTCGCATCTCTCTACTTTATTCAATTCCCTCTCTCGGCATAAGATCGTCTCCGTCTCAAATTTCCAGATCAGCGACAAGATTTCATTCCCGACCGGCGCAACACACACGCCCGCCCACCCGACAAAACACAACCCACCGCCAACAATGACCTCCCTCCCCTCACAACATCCGTCGCTGGCCCTCCACCTAACAGACCGCGCCCTCAACCCGATCCTGACCTCGGCGCACTCCCAATCCCAACTCGAGGCACTCACCTCCCTAACAACGACCTCTCTGACCGCCCATGCCGCCGCGAACCGCTTCTCTCTCGGCCCCGCCCAGCGCATCATTGTCGAGCACGGCCCGGGCAGCCCCGTCGTCCTAGCCTCCTTCCTCAACGGCGCCGATGCCCTGCCGAACTCGGGCGGAGAAAGCTCCGTACCCTCAGCATCAAAGCCCTCGTCGAGACCCGTGTCCTCGGGTCTCGCCGGCGCTGCTTCGATAGCAGAGTCATCTTCCGCAGCGGGGGCGTCAGCGAGAGCGATACCTGAGACGGGCAAGCTAGGCGAAGAGCCAGAGAACGCGGCGCCGATGCTGGTCGGCGTGGTGGTCGCGGCAACGGGTGAGGAGGCTATGGAAGCGCGCCGCGCCGCGGGCAGACTTGAGAGGGTGGGCAGGGAGTTCCAACGAGAATGGGTCGCCGAAGAAGGAACGGGCGACGCAGATGGTCTCGGTCGCTGAACACACACACACACACACACACATTCACATATCCATAGAACGATGGAGGAGAGTATGGTCAGATCGTAACAAAAATGGGCAAAGGATGTCCCTGGTGGGAAGGTCAACGATGCCCGGATGAAAGCGGTATCGTGGCCTGGAGAGTTCGAGTCGGGGCAGGGCATATATGGTCCTTTCATGAGGATTACGAGCAAACGAGATCACGGTCGGTCACATTGAGGACCCGGTACGGAAACCAAACCAGGCTACGGTATGGGGTGGGTTAGGCGTACAGGACAGCGCGAGTTCGCGTTAATCATAATCTTTGGATTTTTGACGGTCTCTCTATATACCGAGTTCATTTTCCCCGTGAAACGTCCGTCATTGCGTTAAAAAAAAATAAGAACAATCGCCAATTAACCAATTTCTACCCATGGATATGACCGCTTTAAATGATCTGCTGGAAAGCACGGTTGAGAGGAGAGCGAACGTTGGGAACGTCCTTCCAGAATTCGACGGTGGCGACCGCGCGCTTGGCGATGCCCTCGGGGGTGAACTCGAACTTCTATAGAGTGGGTTAGAATGGCTGGCAACCAGTGATGAAGTAGCAACGGGAAACTTGCCTTGTAGACGTCCTTGTAAGGACCGGAAGCACCGAAGCGGTTGATACCGAACTGCTCGTGGGAGTATCTCTCCCAGCCGAGGGTGGACATGACCTCGACGGACATGATGGGCTTGCCGTCGGGCAGGACGGACAGCTTGTACTCCTTGGACTGGGAGTCGAAGACCTCCGTGCAGGGCATGGAGACAACGCGGGCAGCGATGTTGTGCTTCTCCTTGAGGTACTTAACGGCGTCAACGCAGATGCAGACCTCGGAACCGGTGGAGACGAGGGTGATGTCGGCGTTGGGGTCCTCGTGCAAGACGTATCCACCCTTGATACCCTTCTCGATGACGGAGCCCTCGAGCTGGGGCAGGTTCTGGCGAGAGAGAGCGATGATGGAGGGAGTGTGCTTGGAGGTCAAAGAGACGTAGTAAGCAGCGGAGGTCTCGTTACCGTCGGCCGGGCGCCAGACCATGTTGTTGGGCAGAGCGCGGAAGTGGGCGAGGGTCTCGATAGGCTGGTGAGTGGGGCCGTCTTCACCAAGACCGATGGAGTCGTGGGTGGCAACCCAGATGGCGCGGATCTGGGACAGGGCGGACAGACGGACGGATCCGGCGGCGTAGGAGACGAAGTTGAGGAAGGTACCTCCGTAGGGGATGATGGTACCGTAGGCAGCGAGACCGTTCATGATGGCACCCATGCCGTGCTCACGGACACCGTAGCGGATGTAGCGGCCGGCGTAGTCACCGAGGCCAGTGGCGGGGGCCTGGAAGTCGACAGCCTCCTTCCAGCGGGTAAGGTTGGAGCCGGTCAAATCGGCGGAACCACCGACAAGCTCGGGAACGATCTGGTGGATCTTCTGAAGGACGGTCTCGGACAGCTTGCGGGAAGCAATGGCGGGATCGGCGGGAGTATAGACGGGCAGAGACTTCTCCCAGCCCTCGGGGAGGTCACCCTTGAGGCGACGGCTGAGGTCCTTGGCCTCGTTGGGGTACTTCTCACCGTACTTGGCGAAGAGCTTGTTCCACTCCTCCTCGGCAGCGGCGCCCTCGGCGGCGTGCTTGTTGTAGAGGTCGTAGACCTCCTGGGGAACAGCGAAGGACTGCTCGGGGCTGAAGCCGAACTTCTCCTTGAGCTGCTTGATGTCGTCGGCCTTGAGGGGAGAGCCGTGGACACCGTGGGTGCCCTGCTGAAGGGAGCCGAAACCGATGGTGGTTCTCAGCTTGATGAGAGTGGGCTTGTCCTTGGACTGCTGGGCCTTGGCAATGGCCTTCTCGATGCTGTCGAGGTCGTTGTCACCGTCGTCGACGATGAGAACCTCCCAGCCGAAAGACTCGTATCTCTTAACGACATCCTCAGTGAAGGCGACGTTGGTGTCACCGTCAATGGAGATGTGGTTGTCGTCGTAGATGGCAATGAGGTTGCCGAGCTGGAGGTGACCAGCCAGGGAAGAGGCCTCGCCAGAGACACCCTCCATCAAGCAACCATCACCGAGGAAGGTGTAGGTGTAGTTGTCGGACAGGCTGAAGCCGTCCTTGTTGTAGACAGCAGCGGTGTGAGCCTGGGCAATGGCCAGACCAACAGCGTTGGAGATACCCTGACCGAGAGGACCAGTGGTGACCTCAATGCCGGGGGTGTCGTGAGCCTCGGGGTGACCGGGGGTGATGCTGTCGACCGTCTGTAGGGCCTGTCAGCAAATGGCTCATTCCCTCACTTGTTGAGTCATTGTCAAACTTACGCGGAACTTCTTCAGGTCGTCGATGGAGACGCCGTAGCCGAAGAGGTGGAGGAGGGCATACTGAAGCATGCAGCCGTGTCCGTTGCTGATGGTAGGTTAGCCAAGGGTATTCGATTCGGGGAATTGGAAGCTATGTTCGGGCGGATCAACTTACGAGAGAACGAAACGGTCACGGTTCAGCCAGTTGGGGTTCTTGGGGTTGAACTTCATGAACTTGTTGAACAGGACGTGAGCGACCGGCGCCATACCCCTAAAAAATGAATTGGTAAGCTTCTGTGCCCCGATTCCATCGTGAAATACGTGTAGTGTGAGTGAATACGTACATGGGCGCACCGGGGTGGCCGGAGTTGCTGTTGAAGGTGGCATCGACCTGGGAATCGCAGACTCGGTCAGTTTCTTATCCAAACACAGATTGGCGATGAGGCTCTCGACGGAAAGCTCATTGAGGCCGGCCAGCCAGCTCGGTGCTAGATGACATGATCGCAGCACCGTGGATGGTGGTGGTCTCAATGGCGGGGTAACGACAAATCCTCAACGAAGAAGCGCGTAGGCGGGGTAAAAATCTGGCGGGCGGATGAAACTCACAGCGAGCAGGCGGATCGTGTTGATCGCCTTCCAGTCTTGTTCGGTGTAACCCATGATGTCTGATTTTCTTCCAAGAGTTTTTGATGTAGAACTCGGTCAGGGGAAGAAGAGAATGTGATGTGAAGGAGGGAGGAAATTTGAAGGAGACGTCGGAGGAGGAAGGGAAGAAAAAGTAGAGGGATGAGAAGGAGTGGTGGGAGAGGAAGCGGTAATGTACCTCAGGTATTCCGACACAAAACAGCAGCACCTTTTGCCTCAGAGCGTACCTCAGCAGTCCCGTCACTGCGTATGTCGGCCGGGAAGGTAATTATTGAGCATCTGGTGGGGACCTGACGTGGGCGTGGACAAGGACCGGAGGGGGGGCACACATGGAGGGGTGGAGGGGTGGAGGGGCAGAAGGGGGACCAGACACAGACCACTGACGCCGCGGCCGGATTCTCTCAAGAAGGGAACAACACGACACCAGACGAGACAAGCCACTGGGAAGAGGAGGTCACCACACGGTGGGATGCTTGTTGCCGGGGGATTCGTTGCTGCCCACTCCAGGCACAGAGGTGAATTGGATTGCTCTGATGCGATATGTCCATCTTGCACTTTCGTTTTCTTGGATACCTTGGAATTCCAGAAAGGCTACGATACTTGGAGGTACCTCGCATTTCCAAACAAGGTAGCTGACCTAAGGAAGAACTACTTACTTTTGGTACCTGTAGGTAGCTGCTCCCCTTGCTGGCACGGAAGAGGTACATTGGCTCGCTTGGAGCTCTGTCTGTACACCTCAGTAAGGTAGGTAAGGTAGGGAACCTCAGCTTAGGTAGCTTGGCCTTACTGAGAGCTTTTTTTTGGCGGGATGCCCGGACTCAACCTCATCTCAGTGCCTAAGGTACCTTACCTTAGCTGCCATGATACCTCGAACATTGAATGGCAAGAGATACTTCACTCGCTGCGTGCCTTTGGCGAAAGTATAAGTCACTCATGTCACTTTTCGGTGTCTTCCCCCCTCGCCCATCATCATCCATCATCACCACCCATCATCCATCTTCACAATCACATGGAGTGGGGGTTTTTTCCAACGTGTCCCGCATCTCTTCCATATTTGTCGCATCTCCAATTTTCGGCCTTGGGAACGGTACACAGCACCTTCAGCTCGTCTCAAGTCTCAACAACCTCGTCGTCCGGTAGGGGAAAAAAAAAAAAAAAAGCTGTGGGCTGACTGACTGGTGTCGACTTGTCCCATCTGCTTCCACCTCTTCTTGGCCTCTTCTGGCTTTTTTTTTTGCCCCTCCTATTGCCTAGCCACTCATCTTTCTCGCCCTTGTATTGGTGGGCTTTGTCGGCTCAATCGCAGACCGCACTCTTCACTCTCATTATTACCCGTCCGTGGTCGACGTGCTTCCATGTACTACTACCATAGCTAGGCATTCCAATTCACCCGGCAACCCCTGGGAGGCAAAAATGTCCGACCTTCGACTTGCAATTCCCTCTCTGCCGCGTCCCGACCTCGGTGTCCGGGCTATCCCATCTCGACGAATCATACCGCACTCGGCGCACCAGGTTCAACCACATCTGCACACTGCACCAGCAGCAAGTCCACCGCCATGGGAACACCCTCACTCAGCACCCAAAAGCCATATCTGCCGTATCACATTTTCTTTGGCTGTGACGTATCTCACCCCCATGAACTGACTCTCAATTCCTTCCAGAAGCTCGCTCGTTGCCCGTATTGACTCGTGCGAACAACAACATCTATGGATCATGGAGACAGTCTGTCGTCATAATGCCCACATAGCACAACGATTCACCTGGGTCCCTTTCGGTATCTGCCACGACCTGGCAACATCGGCTCGCCCTGGAGGGTCTTGACTAATCCGTGGAGATGGCTGCATCTTTTGGGTATCTCCGGCCCACCCTATCGCCTCTCCAGTCTTTCCGGCCAGTAGCCTCGCGCTATTTTATTCACTCACGATGCTGCGTCGCCGTCGGCCATAGGCCCAGCGCGTGCCGGACTTTAAAGCCTCGTCCAAGCAAATGACCCAGAGAGAGCCAAGCGCCGAAAATATCCCTACTACGCCTCCGTCGCCTCCAGTTCTCTCGCTCGCGTTGTTTCAAGCCGGCGACGCGGATAAGCTCTGGCCCCTCCGATACCACCTGGACCACCCTGGCATCGCCTGGCTTGACTTCTTCTGCTGAGCATCAGATCCAGTCATGTCAGTGGACCCTGAATGCATGATGACACTCCTCGTGTCCCCTATCAATTTTTTTTTATTTCACCGTTCGGTCGCAGGCCCGACTCGCAGGCTGCAGCCTTCTTAAGCCTGTAGACGCAACAGTATCAGAATGCAGAGAAAGCAGCCCCTCCGGCCCCTCTAAGGGCGGGCGCCGCCTTGCATCGAGATGCGCAACATCCGTTGATAATATCAAGGTCAGGACAGGCCAGCGTGGGCTTTCTACGGCCAGCGCGGCAGAATCCCGCAGAGGACGTCAAGACGCACTCAATAAAAGACGCCTAGGTGGGCTGGGCTGTCTGATGTGAATATGCGATCAAACGCTGATAACTCGACCGAATTTTCACGTTTTCTCGACCACTCAGTGTGTCTCAGAATGCGGTACTCGGGGCCGGTTGAATGTATGCCGCAGACACTCAACACCACGATCTACTTTGTCCGGCGCCTCAATGCTTTTCTCCACGCCGTACGAGACGGTAGACCTACTCGCACTCCTCTGGGCGATGTGCCCCCCTCCGGAGCCGGTGAGCACGGGCCATCCGTCTGGGATCCGGCCAGTTTCGTATTTATCCGCGCAAATCAAGGCGGCCGCAGGCCCAAGCTCCCTCCTTCCCTGCGGATGACATCAAGCCTCCCCACCCGCATATCCGCCGCTTCACGCAGCGTGTATCCGTCCACGCCGTTGTTGGTCGAGATTGAGCGGGAGAAGATGCGGAAAATTCTGTGGTTTCGGGTTCGATATTATCGAGATTTCGAGAGCCATGCTTTGCCTCATTTTGAGCGAAACGAGTTTAGCCTCAACGGTGCAACTTCGGACACTGGCCGTGGCTAATCGGGCCTTGTGTTTCGCTGACCAAGCTCTGGCAGACGTATGGTTCTGGCCGCGCAATGAGTTCGACCTTGCTCTTGGCGGTGCATCTGAGATAGTGAGGCTGATCTTCACTCAGCTTCAACGAGGCTTCTTACTCGTAATAGTTTTCGTAAACATTCAGCAACTACATGAGCAATGTCTCATGGGTGTTGTGAGATCTCATCATGAGATTCATGTCCATGTGAACGGCTCATATGGGCTCGTTCAGTGTGCACTAACCTCAAAAGCGGGCGGTGTGGATCCTGCCCGATTGAGTTTTCGCCTCACTAAACTTCAACAACCGCAAGTGAACGATTTGAAGATATCAGAACAACGTGAGATTGAACGTCTGTATCGTGGCAATCTGATACTCTACTTCTGAATAGTAAAAGAGTACACAGCGAACTGCAACTATCACTCCGAAGCCATTATTCCAAAGTTCGCCGTCAACTCAATTTTTCTTCATTGCTACTAACTACCCCTCCATTTTTACCCCTCCATCACAAAAATCCTCAACTTCACAACGTCCATAACCTCACAAACGTATACACCACTGCCAGAAAGTCGACAAGACTCTCAACTTCTCCGCAACCATGGGTAAAAAAATGAAGGTCGAGCACAACATCCGCGACACATCCCACCACGCCGCAAACTCCAAAAAGACCACGGGCAAGCCAGCAAAGCAACAAAAAGCCAAGCCCAAAGCCCAACCCGAATCCCAAGGGCAGGCGGCATCATCATCTTCTGCAGACAACGCAAACGCAGTCGACGTCCTCCCCCTCATCCACCAGCAGCGCCTCCTCGCCTCCTTCGCCTCCGCCTTCCAACCCGTCCTCGCCTCGCCTGCCTTCGCCACGATCCTGCAGGAAGTCAAGGCCGCGCTCTACGCCCGCGACTTTGACGCCGCCTTCACTTCTGCGAAACCCGAGAGCTTGGATGCGTATGCCGCGAGGTGGAGCCCCACCCGCGCCCTGGCGTACGCTGTTGTTCTGCTGGGTATCGCGGAGCACCTTGAGGGGCTGGAGATCCAAGTCAAGAAGGCTGAAGATGAGGCTGGAGCTGAAGGGGCTGAGGTAGCTGAAGTATCCGAGGGCCTTCAAAAGTTGATCGTCGAGGACAAGACGGGTGATGCGCCCCGGGATCAGAACTCCTCCTCCCCTCCCTCCACCGACGATCAGGAAATTCCTCCCGCAGCGGAGGACGATGCCGTCACCCCTCCACCGCCCGCCTCGGAACCATCCGAGACCACCACCACCGTCACCCCCAGGACGACAACGACGCAAATCAAAAAGGAAATCAACATCCTCTCCATCGGCGGCGGCGCCGCAGAACTAGCCGCCCTAGCAGCCTACCTATCCCAACAACCAGCATACCTAAAAGGCACAATCACCTGCCTCGACGCCGCCCCCTGGGCCCCCGTAGTCTCCAAGCTCCACGCCGCACTCACCGTCCCGCCGCCGGCCTCGCGGTACGCAAACGAGGCCCAAGCCACCGCCGCAGCCCTCGTGGAGCCCGCGGCGCGGCTGTCCTCATCCTTCTCGCACCTCGACGCCCTCGCAATGTCACGGGACCAGCTCTCCCAAACGATGGGCAAAGAGGCATTACTCATCACATTACTATTTACCCTCAACGAGCTCTACACCGCCGCGGGAATCGGCAAGACCACCGCCTTCCTCCTGAACCTGACCGCCACCGTGCCCCTCGGCTCCCTGCTCCTCGTTGTCGACAGCCCGGGGAGCTACTCCGAGGCCGCCGTCGGCAAGGAGTCGAAAAAGTACCCCATGCAGTGGCTCATGGACCACACCCTCGTCAACAAGCCCCAAAAGGACGGCGTCTTCCCGGGCTGTCGGTGGGAAAAGGTCGAGTCCAACGACTCCGTCTGGTTCCGCCTGGCCGAATCTCTAAACTACCCAATCCCTCTGGAAAATATGCGCTACCAAATGCACCTGTATCGCGCAACGAAACCCTAAAGCAAAGAACAAACAACGCCAGAAGAGCAACAATGGTGTATGTGCGCGCGTGTGTGTGCCAGAAAGAGCCGCTTCATGCCCAGACGAGCCTCTTCAGAGAGTAGCTGATGTGGTCCAGCAGCCCAGTGCTTTGCCTCGCCTCCTCTAGCGAAATGATTTCGCCCTTCTCGATTATGCTCTCGGTGCCCGGCTTCTCCTTGCCAGGCTGACTCAGGAACGCCAGCCGCTCAATGTCTGCGCAAATGCTGACAACCTGCTGGATCTCGCTGAGCTTGGGTTCTTCGCCCGTCACGGCGGCGGATGACTGAGAGTACGGGGCCTTGAAAGCGAGCTTGCGCACCGGCGGCGCCTTGGGGCGCCCGCCACCAAGCAAGCTGCTCAAGGCAGACTGAGGCTGTTGCTGTTGTTGCTTCAGCTGCTGTTGCTTCTGCTGCTGTTGCTCCGACGAGGCCGCATTCGTCTTGGTCTTTGTAATGCCCAGGTTCGAAAAGGTCCTGGTATTCGTCCTCGTGACGTCGTTTTTGCCTGGTTGGTACGACACAACGAAGCCAACATTCTTCATCTCGTCCGTCTGCCCGGGGGAGACTGTCGAGATGATGTATGTTCCAAACTTGATACCAACAACGTGGGCTAGATCAATCCGCTCAAACGAAGAGACCTTGTCCATGTTCCAGTCGAATCGGCAGAGATACAATGCAGCATCCGTTAGAAGTAGTACCACCTCCTCAAAGGGCATGGCTCGCAAGGTGTCGGACTGATGCGGGCTGAAGAGGACCCAACCGCCCATGAACTCTTCGCTCTCGTCAGAAATGACGCGCCTTTGAGAAAGCTCGATGGCCTGCTCCCTCATCTTCAGCATCGAGACAGCAGGGTCTTTCGTCATCATCTCAGCTTCGAACTCTTGGAAGACCATGGAGTTCACGTTGCCCAGAAGGAAATCGATGGCAGCTTGGCTGAAGTAGTCGTTGACCATTCTAGGTTTAGGGTTAGCAAGAGTACAAGATAGAAAAAGGTTTCAAGACCAAAATATCTTACCCATTGTAGTACCGGGTCAAAGAAAGGCCAAGATCATTCAATGTGCCGCCAAGGTTCCTCTTCTTCGTTCTTGTGTAGTCACCCTTCATGGCCGCAGTAGATGCATACTGCTTCGACACAGCATCACCATTGTCTGCCCAGAGCGTGTTGAACCACTGCGTTTGCTGGTCGACTTGAGCGGCAAGATCATAGCCTTCGGCTTTCAACTGGGACTCGAGCATGAATTTTGCAAACGAGCTCTGACACACATTTGTCCTGTCGAGGCAGTCCATACAATTTGTGCGCAAGACGCCATGTTGTTTTGCAGTGATTTGACCAGCCTCTTCCACGGTGCTTCCGAACCCTTCCAATTTGTCGCGGAGAGTATCGAGGAGCTGGCTGACGTTCTCGAATTTCATCCCCTTGCAAGCTGAATGGAAATCAAACCATTCAAAACCGACGGTGTCATCTTGGTCTTTCGCTTCTTCCTCGTTCAACCGCTGCACTGTCTTTTCATACTGATTGCCGACAGTTGCTTCTACGCCATGTTTTTCGACGAGATTGACAATTTGCAGAAGCCCATATTCTGACTTCAGCCGCTCCAGATGCTTTTTCGTTGCGGCATAGTTTGCTTCGGGCGAGTGCTGAATGACTGGCGCAGGTTTGAGAGAGACCGGCGACTGTGTGAAGAATAGCGGAATGCTGCCCCGGACTTGAAGAAAAGAGTAAATCTTTGAAGACTTGTCCCAGGAAGTGCTCGAAAGAATCTGCTCAGTCTCAACCGCATTGGCAACATAACCCTGCTCATCGATGCCTCGTCTCAAGTATCTGAGACCAGCCCTCTGTGTCGAACGGCGAGAGATTATTGTCAACAAAAACTTCTTTTCGGTAGAGCGCAGATCGATCGAGTCACGGACTGCTTCAGGTGGGGGTGAAGATAGTTCAGCGTCGGGCTGTCTCATGGTCGATAGCTCCACGGAATCTCCGAGACCCTCGTCGTGTTGAGGAGGGCTGCTATCTACCACGAAACTCTTTTGGGAAACGAAGCCCTGCATGAGCGGAAGCAACAAAGTATCCTCTCCAGCCTCCGTAAATGGCTTTAATGTATTTTTGTTCCAGAAGAACATTGGGTCCACGCGCTCATGCAGAGGTATCTCATCGGATTGAGCATGGGAACGACTCGACCAACGCCGAGTGATATCGAAGTCGTAAGAAAAGAAGAAGCTTCTAGATGAGCCGTAGAAGATCTGGGTCATCCGCAGAAGCTTTGGCAGAAGTGTAGATGCCGTTGTCGGTTCGTTAACCTCGTTAACAGATGGCCGCGGAGGAGCATTCTTGACTGGACTGTGGTCAACGGACCGTCGTACTTGGTGCGCGGCTCCGCTCCAGCCTGCTGATCTCTTCTGATCCTGCGTCCATCCGCTCTTGCTGAACCAGGTCTGCGCGAACCTCCCGTAGCTTCCTCTCCTGCCAATAACATCTTTCGCTACAGTACTCTTTACAGTCTCGAGATCCTTATCGCTGCCGGCTTTAGCTTCTTGAGCGGGGTCTTCGACTTCATCCCCGCTTGCTGGAAGCTCTATATAGTCATCGCTGTCGCTATCGTTGGCGTCCTTGTCTGCCGTTCGATCTTGGAGCTCTAGGGCTGTCTTGGCAATAGCTTCTCCAGCTTCTTGTTGCGAGGCGCATGGAGTAATGGCGACTTCGGTGACGACATAGATCGGGAAACCGCAAATTTGCGCAACTTGCTGGCGCCGAGTAATCGTGATCAGATAGCTGAGACGGGAAACTGTGATCAAACCTGCATTTCTCGAGAATTAACATCAAAGCTACAACAATTACGGTGTGCAGCTAGAAGCTCGGGTGCCGCACCTATAACGCCGAAGGCTTCGAAGGAAGAATTTGGCTGAGAAAGGTCGGGAATTTGCTCTCGCGGAGCAGGACTTATTGATGCGTCGCCATATTTGATCCTGACCGGCTGCGCGGGGCGCTGTCCTTTGGTCACAAATGGTTGTATGATAAGGCCGTCGACCGCGGCGCAGATGATGATCTTGCGAGCGATACCGGGCATCTTGCGATTCAGCGCGGTTCGGAATGCGATTCGGAATTAACGTAATGCGCGAGAAGAAATGGAGATTCTATGAGGAGAGGAAACAGGCCAAAAACTTCATCCAAGGATGCACGAAAGAGTTATTAGTTATGCTGGGCCGCAATAACAGCATTGGCGGCGTGTGAAGAGGATGCAGAGGAGAATGGGACGTTGTGCGCGACAGGAACTGCTGATGATGGCGGGCCAAAACTCGTGCATGTAGCTATGACATGGGTGGTGGGCCGCGGGGTAACGTCAGTGTGCATTTGCTGGGCCAGGTGCGAGTCGCTGAGACAGCAAGCGCAGGTCACGCCTAAGACACCGGCCCGATGAGTGGTTCAGTCTGCTCATTAGACGCCAGGTCTGCATTCGTTTTCGCGTCTTCACCGATAACCCAATCGTCGAAGCCAAGGCAAGCAAGCAAGGTAGCGTGGGTAGTAAAAGTAGGAAACCGCCTTACTTGCTCTTCAGGTATAGTTGTTATTCCATTGGAGGTGGCAGGTTCCCCCACTGGCTCGTCCCGAGTCAAGCACCGCTAAATGCACAAATTGTGGCCATTGCATATTTAGGAGTTTGAGTTTTCGACAATCATCAATTGACAGTTTTCTGGACCACACCAACTCGCAGGAGTCCACTAACAGACAGGCGCATTCACATAGCTGTTTTCGCAGCCAGTTACCTTGCGCCCCGTCACAGCAGCAGATACCACGGAGAGAATAGGACCCGAGAATAGCTAGTCGACGCCTATCAACAATTCAGACTTTTCCATTCCAAACCAGTTTTCAGCACCTCCCAAGATGTATCATGATACACTGTCCGTTATCCTACGTCGGGGGTATCTTAGATGGCGAGTCTCTCGATCTTGTCCTTGAGGGCGCGGATGGGGCCGGCGAGCTCAGAGCCCTCGTTGGAGGTGATGCTGCAAGCAATGACGGCGCGGGAGACACCGCAGGCACGGCCAAGGGCGGTCTTGGACTTGACGTAAACGTAGGGGACGTTCTTGTCCTCGGAAAGGAGGGGAAGGTGGAGAACGATCGAGAGAGGGTTGGTGTCCGCAGCTGGTCGGCAAAGTTAGCATCATTTCGTCAACAACGGTCGATGGGGTGGCCATACCGAGAATGATGAGCTCAGAGACACCACGGTTGAGGGTCTTGGTAGCCTCGTTGGCGCCCTTCTTCAGCTGGCGGTAGTGCTGGCACTGCTGGACCATGTCCAGGAGCTCTTGCTGAAGAGCATCGTCGGCAAGGGGCCAGGCAGCGGATTCAGACATTGTTGAGGATGTAAGGTGTCGAGTGATGTCTGCAGGAGACAATTAGTTATTTGGAATTGTCAATCGGGATGTATCAAAAACTTACCGATGTTATGGTGCAGGGTTCCTTGCGTTGGCTCGCCCTGATGGTGAGATAAAAGATCGGTGAGAGTACGGTGATGAACGTGAAGATCCAAAAAAGTTCAAACTCAAGCCGATGAAAAAAAAAATATCCCACTTCCCCAAATTTCGACGGCAGATTCCGTTGCAAAGTGGGGCCTGGCTTCGAGCTGCCTCGGAGACCTCATTTAGCCGGTCTCCGGGCACCGCCTCCTCCTTGTCTTACGTAAGGGCACGGAGCTGTGAACGCGCCGCAAAACCTTGCAACCAACCAGAAGGCCAACCTGGAAACGAGATCTTAACAAGCACACCTCATCTCGAGTAGTCGCCGACGCAGCATCGAACCTCGCCCGCCCCAACAACCATCACAGCAATCGTCCCCAGCCCAGCTGCCGCCGCATTTCCTTCATCTCCGACCCGTCTCGACGTCTTCTTCGACTTTTTTAGCCAGTCCAAACCCACATACACCGCCAAAATGCCTTCCGAGCTTTGGTACGTCAACAACATGCTTCTTTGCCCCCGTTGACGAGCTCCTATCTATCCATCAATCGAAGCTCCCAACTCCATCATTTTCGATGCCCAACTTGCGCGAACAGCTTTGCAATACGTTTCTGAAGCTCATCTGCTAACGCGATAATGTCACAGCCCCGTCTACGCGGTTCGTCCTCCCTGTGCCTGCCGAGTCATCGATCCATGACGTCGCCCCCTTCCTACCTGGGATGAGCCATTTGGGCATCGTTCGACATCGCGTCCACGACATCGCTAACTCGCTATAGCCCTTCTTCGGAGCCATGGGTTGCACCGTCGCCATTGTCTTCACCTGCCTGGGTGCCTCCTACGGTACCGCAAAGTCCGGTGTCGGTATCTCGGCTATGGGTGTCCTCCGCCCTGACCTGATCGTCAAGAGTACGAACTAGCATCCACAATCGACGACCATGCACGCATGGTCTAGTTGCATCGACATTTGCTAACCATCATATAGACATTGTTCCCGTCATTATGGCTGGTATCATTGCTATTTACGGTCTCGTCGTTTCCGTGCTTATCTCCGACGGCCTTCAGCAGCAGATGGCCCTCTACACTGGATTCATCCAGTTCGGTGCTGGTCTCTCCGTCGGTCTTGCTGGTCTTGCTGCTGGTTTCGCCATTGGTATCGTCGGTGATGCTGGTGTCCGTGGAACTGCTCAACAGCCCCGTCTCTTCGTCGGCATGATTCTTATTCTCATTTTCGCCGAAGTCTTGGGTATGCTATATCAACCCCGCTTGTAAACGCGCTCTTACTGACATTATTGTCTCCAGGTCTTTACGGCTTGATTGTTGCCCTTCTCATGAACTCCAAGGCCACTCAGGACGTCACCTGCTAAGCGACAACACCAATACGACGAATGCTCGGTTGAACGGTTGACAAGATGTACTTAAGCCACAACTTGCACGGGCATCACTGCCACAGGGCGGACAAATATCATCAGCAGGCGCGTCGAAAACTCGAATCAAAGGTTTAAAGGCATAGGCGTGGGAACGGTCAAGGGTCACGAAATGCCATGTTTGGGACGATCGGGGACTGCTTCGATCATGGATCAAACGTATATGTACTATTTTGCCATCAAGGTATGCTATCCATTCAGGGGGGCGATTGCTCAGCATAGACATCGGTGATGGGAGAACGGAATTGTAGTCTAGGTTGCGACAATGTGTTTTTTATGCGTCTACTATTTTGTTAAAGTTCCAGACCCTCTGCTTCCACATTGTGATATTTGGTGATCCTCCGCACTTAGAGTATGTTGCCTTGACGCTTATCTTTATTATTTTTACAGCCAGATGCTGAACGGATTGGAGATTTCCAGTCAGATTCCTGGCCAACAGCCCAAAGACGAGAAGCAGACCAAATTGCATTCGTATTCTTCAAGAACCACCTTCCTAGTGCTTGGCCCAGACTAGTCCGACTGTAATGTCTTGCCAAAACCTAACAGGGTATCGAGACGGATACAAACAGTGACATGCTCTTGTGGAGAAGCACTGTTCAGGCTGAGTAATGGACTGTGAAGCTACTTACTGGCGGGAATGCGTAAGACCTTGGGCTTGCCTTGGTCTGTACGTCAACGAAAGTAAATAGTACTAGGCTCTAACCCTTCAAAGAGTGTGTGAGCGACCTCGTCCTGAAATCCTTGGTAAAGTACTCGATTCTGCTTATCCACAGTAGTAACCCAGAAACTATAAAATCTAGCAAAGTTCTACTTATCTATCGTGACCGGGATTTATCAAGGTACTTTTTGCATAAGGAGCGTCACAAGCAACTAGGTCACTTTGCCAGGGGTGTGATCTTTCAACGTGTTTCATTTTACTCATTTTACTCGATTTCAGAGGGCAGCGTGCCTAACAAAAACGCTGCCCACACGTGACAAAGAAAGCCGCGGTGATGTCAAAGAACAAGGCACCGCTTCTGTTATATAATTACAAGTCTTTATGCCAACCATGTCTTCTCGCACATGATGCCGGCAACTTTTCTTTTTCCCCCATTCGTGTACCATTACCCCTTGCCGTTGGCTACCAGTCTTAAAAATCACTTGGCAACCGGCTCCAGGTGAAGAAGCGAATTATGTACAGACAAGAATGGCCCGATGGCCGTGGCATAAGACGCCTAATTTTTGGGAGTGTTTGGTGGAGTCGTCACTTAGATGACGTACTGAAGAGGAGTTAGCCATTAGATTCTTTCCATCACAGCAGAAGCATCGGGACTTACGGGGATGAAGAGGTAGGGAACCTCGCGCTCATACTGGGTCCAGGCATCACCGTACTTTTGGCGGCAGCGATGGATATCGCGGGCAGCACGGTGGGCAATCATGCCGCAGAAGAAGACGGGGTAAAACCAGGGGAAAGGGCTCTTGAAGCCCGTGATCAGACCCCAGCAGATGGCAAAAAAGGCATCGCACGTGTAGTGGATCTTACGGGCGTAGCCGTACCAGCCGTCAGCGAGGATGACATCGCCCTTGTCCGAGGTAATGGTCTTGGGGTTCTTGACAGTCTGCCAGGGGAGCTGAGGGAAGGTCTTGCGGGCGACGAGCTGGCCGCGCTCCTGGGCGCGGAAACCGTTCTTCTGACTGTTGGTGGTGTCCCAGATCCAGTAGACGAAGAGGTAGGAGACAAAGAGGAAGCCGAGCGCGATAGGGTTCCACTTGTACTCAGAAGGGTGGTGGTTGGCGAGGAAAATGGTGCAGTGGCAGTACGAGAGAGGAACACCAGCAAGGTTCCAGAAGATGAGCATGAAGCCCCACTTCTCGTAGTACATGTCCCAAGTCGGGACGATGAGCTGCTCACCCTTGGCGCAGGCGTTGGCATAGAGGTAGTGGGCCATAACCAGGAAAAGCACCTCGCCGGAGACGTAGCCGTACTTTTCATACTGGCGGGCGGCAGCACCGCAGCTGAGACCGAAGAGGATGAACCAGGGAATGCGAACCTCGAAGAACATCTTGAAGTCCAAGATGCCAAACATGCGGGGGTTCAGCTCGGCGCCAAGGAAGAAGTCGTAGATGGGATAGCCGGTCATGCGGTGTTGGGCCCCTCTCCAAAGGGCGGAGAAGTAGGCAACGAAAGCCACGAGAAAGCCGCTGAGAATAGCCACAGACATCAGGGGGCCAAACTCGTCGAGGAAGGTGTAAAGGGGGAACAATCCGGTGAAGTGAAGGACGGCCATGACAGCAATCGTGAAGTAGAAGCTGACGTAGGCGTTGCAGAAGTACTTGAGCTGCTTGCCGTTCTCGTGGGCCAGAGGCTTGCCCCAGGCCCAGACACCGGGCAACACACAGTAGCAGATACCCTCGAAGGTGAAGAAGGTCCAGTAGATGCGCCAGGCGCGCAGAGAGGGGAATGCGCCGGTGTAGACAAGGTCGACGAGATGACGGGCAAACTCGCCCCAGCTCTGGCCCTGCTCACGGGTGGGAACGCCGCCGTTGTAGTAGGTGGCTCCAATCCACATGTACCACATGAGCAGAGGGAAGCCGATCATCAGCGACATGGTGCCAATGCTTCCTCCGAACTCGAACTCGCCCGAGGCATCAATCTTGGGGTCCGTACCGACCTCCCAGCCGTCGATGATGGTGCCCTTCTTGTACGTCGGCTGGGCATCCTCCTTGGGCGCGGCGGCATGCCCGTTGGTCGCAGTCTCGACCTTCACCTGGGCGTACCCATTGCTGTGGCCGTTGGCGATGGGCTCCTCCTTGACATGTCCATTGGTGTATCCGTTGGCGTGGCCATTGGTGTGACCGTTGGTCAAGGGTTCGTCAAAGTCGGCCTTGCCGTTCGCCGATGCCGTCTCTGCCTCGTCGTCGAGCTCCTCGCGGAACTTTCCCGTAGTGCGTCGTCTCGGAGCACGGGGTTGCGGCTTCGACTCGGTAACTTCTGCGCCGGTGGCGGCCTCGGGAGACTTGCGTCTAGAAGAAACACGCCGAGGGGTCTCGACCATGCCCTCGAAGAGCTCCTTCTTCCTGCTCAGCGCGTTAGCAAAGGTAAGAAGAGAGTGGTTCGCTAGAGTATTGACCCATTGGGAGAGGAAACAAGGGCGGCCATGGTTGCGGTTTGCGACAATATTGGCAATGGGGAGTGCGCAAAAGAGTCGTCTGGTATACTCGCAGAGGATCCAATTGCTTCGCGGAAGGGTTCCAAGCCAGAGAGAGAGAAAAGGAATCACAATTCGACTAACCTAGGAGTCTGGCGCAACGAGTATCTGCCCGTCATGTTGACTGCCTCTTTTTATACAGAATGACAGAAATCTTCAGCGTGGGGTCATGCACCTCTCGTGTAGCTGAGCTAGATGCCAAAGTCCGTGCCGGGGTTCGAGGATGGGATTGTTCAGCAGCAACGATGTTCGTCCAAGGTCCAAGGCATAGACAATCGGGGACGTGGAGGCGGTCTGGGACGGAGAATCCGAGTACGACCAGACGAGGCGTCGAGGGGTGGCGTGCAGGACGGGAAGACGAGAGACTCAGATCCGGACGGCTTCACGTCAAACTTGGTAGTGTGTCCTCGGATTTCGATTGGGCCCTTGCCGCCTGTCTTCTGCCACTCAAAATTTTGTTGACATTTGTGTTTGCCCCCTTTCTGCCGGTAGTCAAGGGTCACGAACAGAGTTGAAATTGGGGATACTTATTTTCGTGTGGTCTTCGCACGCAAGAAGCAAGTACCGACTCTAACCTTCTCGGGAGCTTCCTCGGTTGCAGGGGACCCGCATATGCACCTCTCGTCTAGACGACCCGCCAATAAGAAGCTTGATTTTGCTTCAATTAAGATCCGGTCATCAAAGATTCCGAACTTTGGGCCCCCGCTACCGCGCTGCTAGACGAAGCTCGCCGCTGCACTTGAGCCATGCGGCACCCGCCTGCGCTGACGGCGCATATCGATCGATGTTTGCCCTGAAGCTCCAAATCTCCGACCAGACGGGAGGTCCCCTTTTGCTAGACGATGCCTGCATGACATGCACTGCTCGTTTGGATTCAGCCAGGATCGATATTGAAGCCTGGTCGGACTGGGCGGTCATTCAAACTCCCCGGATTTCCGTCACCCAACGACGGAGCTCGTAATCAACGGGGGTCTTCCTAGGAAATGAGGATAGCTCAAGTTGGTTGGGGGATTGCTGGCTCCCTCTGATTGACAGCCTGACAACCACATTTGTAGATGGACGGGATTGCGTAGGCTTCCTTTTCGTATGTTCGCCGCAGCATCGAGATGGAGACAAATATGGCCGTTGTATCATGATATAAAGATGAACCTACGGACAATCTTGTATGGAATCGCCGGTAATGATAAGCCACCATGTTGATTTTGCGTCTCTATCAACCAGCAACAATGATATCCATCAAAACCTGCTCTACCTAATTCAAACACAAGAAGCAACTATCCCACAAACATTACATGCATTGATGAAAGAGGAAGCATGGATTTGTATGACCGAGCCAGTAAACCAAATTCGACCAATACGCTGTTGAAGTCCTGAACATCACTTACTCGCTTCGAACGAGGAAGCTCGCCGTACGTCAGAGCCCGCATATGCAAAATGAAACTGAATTAAGCTGCCTCAGTTGTCAGCAGATTCAAGTGCTGCCTCAAATGAGTGCCTCAATTCTCGCCAGGATCTGAGGTAGACGTGCATCGTGAGCTCGTGATGAGGCATCAACTCTAGGCAGGACGACCCAGCGATACGTACATGTACGTACTGCGCAGCAAAAATTTGGCCTCAATTTCTCCCGGGGTACGTATCTTTACTGATTGTGCCCTCTGCACAGACCAGTCCACAAACCTATATAATCCCCTCCACCTCCCGCGCCTTTACTTGTTTTCTTCTTTTCTCCTTAGCTCTTCTTTGCCTTTTGGCTTAGATCAAGTGTAGTATCTGTTCTTTTCAGTTTAATCTCTGAAAGATGCCTATTGGCATCACATTGATTATTCCTATTTTTGATCTCTTGGAGATGGGCCTCTGCGGCTTGCTGTATGCCCTCTCCACCGTGTCCCTGGTATTTCACTGCCTCCAGGCGACGCAAACCATTGATCTTTCATTGCTCTGTCTGGCTGTCCAGGCGTGTGAAGAAGGTTCCTCGCTTTCATTCAGTAATGAAGTCTGCGGGTTCTTAAGCTGCTGTCGTGATTGATTGTATGAATATTGTAGTCAGATATTAAGACTGGCAGAATGTCGAGCGAAGCTCTCCATATTGGGCGAGTGCTGCTCCAATTGTCAGGGCTGACCGCCTTCCATTTGCATGATTTTCCTCGAGCCTTCGACCATCAATGACATCGTGAAGCCGCCTGGACTGCCAGTAAACTGTTGAACTTCTCATTGTCGTGAAGAATTATCTGCTTGTCAGTAAAAGCCAATCGCTGCCGTAAGTAAAACTCTGATTTTTCTTCTGGTCGCCTCCTCCAGCGTGACGACGTCACAAATCGCGGGGCTCTTTCCATCTGCCAAATTCAAATCTCACCACCAAAATCGTTGTTGCTTCAGAGGCAGGGCTGAACAATCGCACGTATCTTGCCGATCAAACTTGTTGACTTCGAACCGGCCGTATTTTTGCATCATCGCTCATACATCTCCCAGATCTTTAATAACACAGCCGCTCAGACACCCACCTCACCACCCACCATGGACAGCGACACCAACATGGTTGAGGTGCCGGCCTCCCGCCTGCTCGACCCCCAGATCTTTGAGCACCTCAAGAATAAGATTGAAGAAGACCAGGAGGTCCGGGACCAAATGAGTCAGACGGTCCAGAAGCTCGACAGAGCCATTTCCTACGTTCAGGGTCTGCTCTCACGCATTCACGCCACCCCTCGTCAACAGTGTGAGTCCTCTACTAGGCATGACTGCAGTTGGCCGCCTCGCCTGTACTTACCCACGACTGACTGTTGACGCAGACGGCCCCTTTTTGGCCGACGTTCAGGCGGGCATCCAGAAGGAGGTTGAGGTCATTGGAGAGCTCCAAAAAATCGCTTCCAAGCACCCATACTACAAGTAGGCATCCATCCCATGCCGCCCAGGCAGCATCATCTGACTCCTCGCCAGATACAACCAGAAGTGGAACCGCCAAGTACAGAACGCCATCTTCACTGTCCTTCTTGCTGGGTGGTTGGGCGGCCTCACAGCGGATGGCAAGCCCGGCCCCATTGCTCGCCTCCTGACTCTCGAGGAAGTCGGTGAAATCTTCAAAGGTACCCCCCAAGCTGCCTCGCAGGCAACCACGGCCGCCTTGCGCTAACTCTTTGGCAGTCCCTGTTAACCTCAAGGACCGCGATGCGTTCCACCTCACCATCGAGGAGTACCTCCTCGCCCTCACCGACCTGACCTCGGAGCTCTCCCGTCTGGCTACCAACGCCGTCACCCTTGCCGACTTTTCTATGCCCGTCGAGATCAGCAGTTTCGTCAAGGACCTGTTTGCCGGGTTCCAGCTGCTCAACCTCAAGAACGACATTCTCCGCAAGCGTGTCGACGCGGTCAAGTATGATGTCAAGCGTGTCGAGGATGTCGTGTATGACCTTTCGCTGCGCAACCTGATTCCGCAAAAGAAGGAGGCTGCCAATGAGCCGAAGGCATAGGAACGTGGCATACCTTACGTAGCTGAAGCAAAAGTTGGCGAGATTCACACTCGCACCTCTGAACCGAGATAGACCACGATTGTCTTGGACCTAGGATTAGGAAGAGGAAGTCGCCTTAAATGCGATGCTTGAAGAATCTAAGAGCCATGTCTCAAAATGAATGATTTTAATCAGTGGAGTAATCCCAAGGCACGACTTTTCACGTTTCATTGGACATGTTTCTATTCCGCGAAGCTCTGGGTTCTGGGTCTCCTATCCCTGGTCAAGTTTGTCAAAGGGTGCTGCAGCTATTCCGAAACAACAATTCTGCTGTAAATACGATGCTTCTTGCTAGAATTTGGAGAAGGAAGTCATATCCTGCAGAATACACGTCTTTGTGCTGCTTACACCACTTGCCATCAAGCTGATCTGGTTCATCTAGCGATCACGGAAATTGGACGATCTGAGCAGAAACAGCTAACCTTGCCCCTTCCTAATAAGCACCGCCCCATGCACTTCCTTCAACAATGGACACATCTGCAGAATCTCGTGCTGAAAGATCACTCCTTCTATAACCTCCAAAGGTGCCTTCCCGTGTCGTGCGCTCGGAAGGTGCTGGCAGGGCAGGGTGGGTCACAGGCACATGCGCGCCCCACAGCCCAAAGCTACATATATTCGCTAGCCCCCCCTCCCTTCAACCAACTATCACTGGATGTCAACATCCACCAATCCCCGATAGTCTAGTGGTGAGGATATCTGCTTGTCATTGAACATTCAACGATTCGCAGGGGACCGGGGTTCAATTCCCCGTCGAGGAGTTCTTTTTTCGCTTTTTGCATCAATCATAGATAGATTCTAGAGCTGGGGTAATTTTCTTCCATTTCAGCCAGAAAGATTGCGGAAAGGACGCGATGCGCAAGTTGTGGGCGGCGCGCGGCGTCGAGGGTCGCAATGTCAAGTGACAACCGCAGGATACGGCTTGCAACGACACCAAAGACTCAAGCAGAAGAGCTGGAATCTCATTTATCAAGTCTATCGCAGGCTATGCTCAAATTCGAATGACAGTTGGTCTCAGGAATAGTAAAACACATTCCCCTCCATCAACCTCCGCGCAGTCCTCGTTACTACGCATCGATCAACCGCAAGGCCCCCTTCTTCCTTACGAGCCCACACTTCTACCTCCATGATTCCACTGCCATGCTGTATGTGAATGGTGCGTTGGAATTTCTGGCCATCAATCATAGGGCCTTCTGAGGCATTCGTAGTCGACGGACTCGGCGTTCTCCTGGGTGTTGGCATACCCTCTAGGCCCGGTTCCCGATTCGCAACACGCTGTGCAACGGTCCCCTCCGTGATGGCGGCATATGCCAGGGTAACACCGCCAGTGAGTTGCAAATTCGGATGAGGCTTGCCCATACTATAAGCCTGTACTCGGATATCCGCTGCATCTCTGTTACTGCCGACTGGCAGCGAAAGATACGCGAGCTTCGGAGTCCCTCTAACTAGACCGGCGGCCTCGACTGTGCTGGTAAGCCCCATCCGTACAGCTCCTTGTCTGCGGATGGCCTCTGCGACTTCAATGGATAGGGGAGAGTCTGGAGGCTGTCTCTTGACTTCAGCGGGCAGACTCTGAGCATCAACAAGAACGAAAGGATTCGCAGAGTCGATGAGAGTCACGTCTACCGCAAAGTCACCAACAGAAGCCACTTCTTCCACGAGGATCCTTTCAGACCGCTCTCCGCTTGGGAAGAGCTTGCCCGTCATGCTGCCCACCGGCTCGACGAAAGCAACCTTGATCTCGCTGCCGGGCCCCTTGACGCCCGGGATGAGGCAATCCCCATCCTCCTCCGCGTTTCCGTCCTCGTCAACGTAGACCGTTTCTACAATAAGTTTCGATGTGTTGGTGTTGAATATCCGCACGTCGACTGCCCGAGAACCAGGCATCGGGGTGACCAATCTCTCTTGCACCGCAAACGGACCGACACCTGAGCAGATGTTGCCGCAGTTCCCGCTGAGATCAACAGTCTCGCTTCCGACGGCCACCTGGACAAAGGTGTATTCGACGTCCACGCCTGGTCTGCTGGATGGTGACACCACGGCAACTTTAGAGGTCACGCTGCTTCCTCCCCCGACGCCGTCGATCTGGCGGGCATCGTTGTATTTGGAACCCATGGCGGCGAGTAGTGGAGTGGCCCATTCTGCTTCGGATGACGGCAGATGAGATCGGTGAATGAAGAGACCTTTTGATGTGCCGGCTCGCATCAGCACCGCGGGAAGGGAGTGCCTGACCCGGCGCTTTGTGGTTGCTGGTATTATTGCCATTATTGGGATAGTGAAGGGGATATGAGATGGGAAAGATGGCGGTAAGGTAGGATATGAGAGCTGATGAAGGAACCTCCGAGATCTAACAAATATGTTGTTGACTCTAATGTTGAACGGCATTGGTGAGACTATAACAACCGGTCTTATACCAACTCTCTTGGATGGAAAGGGTTTCGAACTTAAGAAGGTCTGGGCGAAACAGTGCTTTTCATCGAGATAACCTCGCTATTACACGCAAGCAACGAATATTAATAAAGTCTTTGCCATCTTTGTCGTCATCGCGTCAGGGTGAGGCCGTGTCAGTGGCGCATAGCCGCGGGAGTGAAGGTCTCCCGCGGGATCGAGAAGCACCACTCCCGCCCGTGTAACCAAAATAGTGGAGCGTCAATACTTTGCCCCCGGGTAAAAGTCTGGTTACGAGAGCAACAGATATCGCACCTAATAGAAGTGAAAGCATCCTCCCGAGTAGATCAAGAGAACATGCTATCCAAAGCGGATCCGTTGAAGCCAAAGAGCAAGTCATCAAAGGAGGCCGAGCCGCCGTCTCCTTCAGGCATTCCCTGGAACCAGACTGTATTGCCCCCAAAGCCCGAGGGACCAAAGCTGGAAGCTTGATTTCCCGCTGTTTGTGGGACCTGTTGAAATCCAACATCTGCTGTCGAATCCGCTGAAGCTGCGTTAGGATCTTGACCTCTTGCAAAACTCTGAATGATCCCATCGATATCCGACCATCCTAATGGAGGTGTTTCATTGTCGGGTGCTGTTTGAGGTGCATGACTTTGAAATATTCGAGGCAAGCTATTTGAGCCTTCGGCATTGTCCTGCATGGTTGCCGTGGCTAATCGCGTTCTTTTGCTTTTGCTGGCTTGTACGCGATCCCTCGGCCGTGTGCTTTGCTCCTCACCAAGACTGACACCAAGTCTGGCCATCAAGCCTTCGACTATTGTTTTGGCTCTCCTGACAGCCCAGTTTGTTTCTTGATTCTCACGGAACACTGACATGCAAGTTTCCAGACGCTCTCGAGCCTCCGATTCCGTGCTTCGTTTCGCAGCGATCCGGACGTGTATCGTTGCCGCGACGTACGTAGCATACGAAATCAAATATGGCGCATGGCGCACGGAGAATACTCTGTCATACACTCGAAGAACGCTCACAATGCTATCAGCCGCAGACGCACAGGTGATGAATGAGTTGACAGAGATGGAGCGAGACGTATTGTAAAGGTGGCCATCAGCCACAAACGGGCGGTTGAGAAGGATGGTAAGAACATGGTACATGGCACTGAACACAAGTCAGTTGATCAAGACTCATCGCTCAATTAGGAGGCTTCCGTAAAACTCACTGCAGACTGAGAACATGCGGTGGCGGCGCAACGTCATTACTCTTTGGATCAAAGATAAGGTGTGCTGGGAGTGCATCTTTCCAAGTTGCCAACTTCGAGCTCAAGGTCTGTAACATTGTGGAAAGCTCCGCGGCGCTCTTGTCGAACGCCCTCTCAGTGTAGATGCAACTCAGTATGTCGCTCATGACGACCGAGAGGCGACAAAGATAGGTGAATGTCGATACACTGTAGGCGGGCGAACCTGGGTAGTTAGTGGCGTCGGTAGAGTAGGCAAACGGCTTCCAGTTCTCAAACTCTTCAAATGTGTCGAGAAACTTGATCGGTACCAGGGTGTCGAACTCTTTTAGGGATGCTGGACGCCCTTGATACAAACTCTGGATCTTGTCGACAACTACAAATGGTGTCAGTATGCCTAAGCTTACTTAGATGATCCAAGTGCTTCTTACCAAATGCCCCCCAGAAGACCCGTCGTCGTATCTCCAGATCTTCATCAGAAAACTTGCGTGTAACACCAAGACCTGGAGCATCTACATGCATGCCCAGGTCTATAATCATGCGGAATGCCAAACCAGCATACAACCAAGCCGCGCTTCTCTCATCCCCTAGCGCAAACAGCGAGTTCGTCATCACTAGCAAAGCTTGGATCGTTGTAATATCACTACTATCAAGCGCATCACCGAGCAATTTGCGCACACGCTCGCGAAAAGCCCAGCCGGCAGTACGAACATCATTGGGGTCCCTCCGTACCTCTCTTCGGGGACTGAACTTGGAAGCCCCAAAGTAGATGGCGTTCAAGAGTATCTTGGAGAAGTATGGTCCATTACAGGCCATATCTCGCATGAATGCGGGTCGATAGGTGAGCAAGAATGAGTGATGCTGGCGATTCCAGTGCAGGGACAAGAGATGCATGCCAAGCTCTGGGTCCACGCCGTCAAAATCGAGCGTTCCCGCTCGATGATTGAACTCCTCAAGTTGACCTACGTACTGTTAGAGGCCAGACTTATTGTCCGAGGCTCTGGAGGATGCAACCCACGTTGTTTGGCTGTCTCTGCAACCAGGCCTTTCTCGATCCAGTCATCTGGCATCCGGGGGCGCAGATCAGCTACCGAGAATCGCTCCTGGGGATTCTCCTCGAACAAGGCACTGGTGCGGCCATGGTAGCTCGAGACTCCATTTGCGGATACCACGATACGAGATACATCCCCGCGATGGGAAGATGCCCGTTCCGCTGAGTTTCCCGGATGCTGGTTCCTAGAAAGAGGGGGCGAGGGGGTCGAAGGATCGTGGTCATCGGGGTTTGGTGAGCGCGCGGCGTCGTTGCGATCCGCGGGAGTGTCATTGCGTACACTACTATCCTGAGCACTTGTCGGGGCGTGGGTTTCCCGTCTCGTGCCCCTCAAAGCACTCTGTCTTTGCCGCTCGGCATGACGTCGTGTTGGTGTGGAGTGCAGTGTATTTTCGTCAGGGCTAGCCAGAGGCTCATAGACACAGTCTTTGCCGTAAGTCTTGCAGTTGGCACACGTAGGCTGTTCGTTGTTGCACTTGATCTGGAAGGCAATTAGACATCTCTACAGCGTTATGAAGTTGAGAGTGACATACTTTGCGCCTTCGGCAGAACGAGCACGCCTCGACGGCCCGCCTTCGGGGACGCCCGGAAGCCGTGGTGCCATTACCTGATTTCGGACCCATAGTGAGTTGAGCGGGAAGTAAGGAGGAGAGCAGTATCCGTGGATGGCTTGCTGGTGGACTCGAGAATGTTTGCTCCGGGGTGCTGTGGTTTTGGAGGAAAGCGAGCACGGGAAGCTTGCCGCGGGAAGAAAGTGACCTTGCAGTTACTAAGTCTGGACGGGCCGCGGGCACGGGAAGGATTTTGATTGGCCGGGCTGGAGCATTGGCAGCCGTCTGTAAGTCCGTCTTCTTCCCGCGGGATCTCGAGAGTCGCCCCCGTCAAGAATGAACGAGGAGTCGGGAGAATCACAATCTGTGAGTGACTTTTGTTTGAGTAACAAGAGTCATCTGCTATTATCATCCAATTGATAGAGATCCTCGCCTTTCGTCATCGAAGCCGCGAACACCTCCTGCGATCAGTCATCATCCCAACGCTTTCACCCACTTGAAATTTTCATGTCTTTTCTTTTCTGCGTGGTTTAGTGATTTCTCTTCAATAGACTTTGAATAACTTTATTCGGCCGTTACTAGAGGTATTGGAGCTTCGAAAAAACCATGGCATCTATCGCTGCGACTGCTTCACCTGGCGGTGTCGTCCTTACAACGACCCCGCCGCATAAGAAGTCTGAACTAGCTGTTAAGCACAAAATATCGCCAGGAATATCTCTAATCTCGGGCGGCATTGCTGGAGCTGTTGAAGCTGCAACTACTGTAAGTGTTTCCAGGCTGATTTAGTACAGTCCTTATCATTACTCGCGCTGACTTCATCCCCGCCCCAAAGTATCCCTTCGAGTTCGCAAAGACGAGAGCGCAGCTCCAGTCAACAGGTGCCAAGAACCCATTCGCAGTACTGCTCCAAGTTGCTCGACAGGATGGACCGAGAGCCATCTACACAGGCTGCTCAACACTGATCATTGTGAGAATTCTATGTTTGCTTCGCTGCGCAGTATGCTCACCTTCCATTTAGGGGACGACGTTCAAAGCCGGAGTACGTTTCCTGTCATTCGACTCTATCAGAAACTCTCTGATGGACAGCGAAGGCCGCCTGACTCCAGCAAGGGGTATTCTGGCGGGTATGATTGCCGGATGTGTGGAGAGTGTTGTAGCAGTAACACCAACTGAGAGAGTGAAAACAGCACTGTAAGTGAGATCAGGAACACTCGGTCGTGCATACACTTTGTTTCAAGAACTTGGAACTCGCGTGCTTGACTAACCAAAACAACAGCATCGACGATGCAAAGTCTGGTGCACGAAAGTACGCCGGTGGAACGAATGCTCTAGTCACAATGGTGAAAGAGCATGGATTCGCAGAGATCTATCGAGGTCTCGTCTCTACTACTTTGAAGCAGTCCGCCACCTCAGCGGTACGTATGGGCTCATACAATTTGCTTAGAGAACAGTCTAAGCGATATGGCTTGCCGAACAACTCACTGGTCACTTTTGGGTCTGGGTCGGCTGCTGGCATTGTCACTGTCTATGCTACACAACCTTTCGACACCATAAAGACCAGAGCACAGTCAGCTCGAGGGGCTGGAACACTGGAAGCGCTCCGTATGGTGCTGTCGGAAAGAGGTTTGAGGGGCTTGTGGAGTGGAAGCACTATGAGACTTGGTCGTCTGATTTTGAGTGGAGGAATCGTCTTCACTGTATACGAGAAAGTGTCAAGCCTCTTAAGCCGTTGAGAAATCTCGGTGTGGCCAATCAAGGGATTCTGTAGGATTTTGCACCAGTCCTTTCCGTGTTGTTATCAGAAGCACGTAGTCCTTGGACAAGTGGTAGCCCCACTGAAATGCAAGAAGTCTTCGAAAGTTATGCTTCTTGACTAAGTCAACTTGCCTCAGCACATCTGAATGATTTCAATTTTTGCCTTAAAGGATCCCGGCCAGGCCTGACACAGGCTTGTATTTGTGTTGAACACTTGCGCTTTCACCAGATTCAAACCACTAGACTAGTTCAGGGCTTCTAAAGGCAAGCGGGGCATTCGTCCCGGACAGGCGAGTCTTACGCGGCGGCATAAGAGCAGAGGTGATGAAGTGGCGACAGAGAAGACGGGAACAGTGGAAAACTAGACGTGGCCTGAAGAATTTTCGGCATCTCAGGAAACACTTCACATCGCTAGCATCTGTTGCGTGAAAGTAGCCTGCTGCGCCCACTCCACTGCCTGACTTCCCGCGGGAGCAGGCTGCTTACTCGCGTTCCCGTCTCACCCTAGTACGGATCCATGAACGATGTCGACGCGGGGTAGTCTGGAGTCCCCGGATTGCCAAGCTTCCCGGACAAGCTCATGGATAGATGAGTTCGCTAGTCCGAGTCGTATAAGTATAAAACAATGTCACAGGCTGGAGAGCTGAGTGGGAGTAGGAAGTCGAGACTTAAAGATACCAACCGCGCTTATAAGCAATTTCAAGCTTCCACAGACTTGGCTTTGACTTACTACTCAACGGGACTACCATGAACTCCAACGATGAAGGTAGAGCGGTGGTAGAATGTGCTGGCAAAGATGCCACAAAATGTGAAGAGCTTGAAAACCCCACCAAGTCTTCTGATCCATCCGTGGAGAAGCTCAGCCATCAATACGACATAACTCCCAGAGATATCCAGAGCCGTTTCGAACATCTTCGTGAGCTAAGCGAAACCGATATGACAAGGCTCAACAAGAGCGTTGTCCGAAAGATTGATATGAGGATGATGCCCTGTATAACGCTCATGTTTCTCATGAGGTAAGTCAACCCAGATGACGAGATGTTCAATACTAACACGAAATCAACTTCCCAGCTATCTCGACCGCATCAATGTTTCCAACGCAAGACTCAGTGGGATGCAGGATAACCTCCATATGTCAGACACCATGTGGAACTTAGGCATATCAACTTTTTATATCGGTTATCTTGTTGGACAATTGCCTGGCAACTTGTGGTTGGCCAAGGCAAATCCAAGATGGTTTCTACCCTCGACGATGGTGGCCTGGGGAGCGGCAACCATCTGCACTCCCGCTCTCAAAAGGTCAGTGAGACAGGTTAAGAGAACGAGTTCCATGGAGTTTACTGACTCTCATCTAGTGGTGCCGGCTTCGCCGCTCTGCGATTCTTCACAGGTCTGGCTGAAGCGCCGTTCTTTCCGGGAATCACCCTGAGTAGGTGCAACAACTACCCCGATAGCCAGCTTTTGACCAGTGCTGACACCGGGTAGTGACTTCTTCCTGGTACACCAAAGAGGAGAGTCCTCTCAGGATGGCCATATGGCACGCAGGAAACACCATTTCCAACATAATCTCAGGCTTCCTTGCGGCGGGAATTCTCACGACAATGGGTGGTGTCTCGGGTTTGTATTCCTGGCAGTGGTTCTTTCTCATTGAAGGCATCGTGACGTTCCTGGTGGCTTTCTCTGCCTACGTGCTTCTCCCAGACTGGCCCCACAACACGCGGTTTCTGACTCCTGAGGAGAGAGACATGGCGCAATACCGTATCCTGTGCTCCAATGGAGGCAAAGAAGAAGCCGCCGGAGGCACTTGGGATGGTCTCAGAGATGCTGTCAAAGATCCTTTCACCTGGATCTTCTGCCTGTTGCATTTCTCCCTGGTCACTGCTCAAAGTTTTAAAGACTTCTTCCCTTCGGTAAGCTCTCTGAGTCCCCCAGCTGTCCGAGTTCCATCCGGGGTTCCCATGTCTGACTTTGCCTAGATCGTCAACACCTTTGATTTCGGCGAACTCACAACATACTTCATTCAAGCCCCCCCATATTCGTTCGCATTTGTGTTTGCCTATGCTGTTGCCTGGTCCTCAGGTCGGAACCAGGAGTCTTTCTGGCACATCGTCCTGCCTATCATTGGCAGCGCGGTCGGCTGTGCAGTTCTGATCTCGACCATGAACATCGGAGCTCGTTACTTTGGTCTTTTCCTCCTTATTTCCGGCACATACAACGGCCTCAACCTGCAGCTGTCGTGGGAAACAACTGTCGTTCCAGCCCCTCGAAGCAAGAAGGCCGCACTCATCGCAATTGCCAACTGTATCAGTCAAGTCAGTCACTGGTTCAGTCCCTACTTCTGGCCGCGTTCGCAGGAGCCCTTCTACAGACTAGGTGGCGGTCTAGTACTGGTGGGTTGCGCTCTGGTTGTAACGTCAGCTGGCCTGGCAAAGTGGCGTGCTATCCGACTGAATAAGAAACTGGATGAAGCTGAGGGTTACTCCGAGAGCTCGGGGGTCGAAAGGGGTTGGAGATTTGCGTACTGATGAGGCCGTGAGATCACGAACGAGTCGATACAGATTGCTGTCGTCTCTTTACATGTGTGTTCAGAGGAGTTTCAGATGTACACTACTCCAGTTTTCATTTCTAGATAGATTTAGGCACTGCACCCATCTACTAGTTTATACTCAATTATGTCTGCCGAACGATGCCTCTGAAGCTCACGGTGTACTTAGTGAACGAGTCTACCGCGACGCCCTGACCGACCGATGTTACAATAGGTGGTACCTCTAAGAACTTGGTAAGACCACAAACCATCCGGAATGCAGTGTTGGAGACTGCCAGGTGCAACGATCGTTGACCATGCAGGGGTCCGGCAGAACTAGGCAGGATGTCATCCCGACTTAGATTACCGTCACATTAGCTGCATCGTACGTGCATACCGTCGCTTAAAGCTTCTCCACCTCTCGTTTTCACTCTGATCCTCTACCCATCAGGCCATGAAATATCGCAGCTGTAAGCCATGTGGCTCATCCACACCGATAATCTGAGGCTTCATGCTTTCATGCCTCCAGACCTCCCACCGTACGCCATACTATCTCATACCTGGGGATCCGGAGAAGTGACCTTCCAAGAGTTTGCAGATCTCAATACTGCCAAAGAAAAAGCTGGCTACACCAAAATCCGGAAGACATGCGAGCTCGCCAAGCAGAATGGTCTGGAGTGGGCATGGGTGGACACCTGCTGTATCGACAAATCCTCCAGTGCCGAACTCTCGGAGGCGATCAACTCAATGTTCGAGTGGTACGAGCTTTCAGCCATCTGCTTTGCTCATCTCGCGGACCTACCTGTTGAGTCTCCCACGCTATGGATGTCCGAGTCTGGCATACACAAGCGCGCGTGTCGCTGGTTCGAACGCGGGTGGACCCTTCAAGAGCTCATTGCGCCCAAGACGCTCGAGTTCTTCGACTGCGAATGGAACTCTCGCGGTTTCAAGACTGACAGCGCTGTCCTGCGGCAATTGTCAGCGATGACGGGGATACATGGCAAAACAGCCCGTGTACTGAAAAACAGCCAGGCAATCACCGAGGTCTCTATCGCGGAGAGAATGTCTTGGGCGTCAAAGAGGCGGACAACTCGGGTCGAAGACATGGCGTACTGCTTGCTCGGTCTCTTCCGCGTCAATATGCCCTTGCTATATGGAGAGGGCTCGCGAGCGTTCATGCGACTTCAGGAAGAGATTCTCAAGAACAGCACCGACATGTCTCTCTTCTGCTGGACCGCGCCACCAGAAGCCTCGCAGCTGTACCGTGGGTTGCTGGCCCGCCATCCCTCGGAGTTTGCGTCGTGGTACGACACAGAATCCACCTCGCGAAAGTCCATCAGTTGGGCTATGTGCGAGCAAGAGAAGGAGTTCTCCTCGACCAACAAAGGGATCCGCATGGACGCGACCTTGGCGAGTTTCTTCGTTCACGGCGAGAACCGAACATGTCTGAGATGCACGCTTTCCCCAGACGATTACGTCGTCTTCATACCGCTGCGATACCACCGGGACAACATCTACGTTAGAGAGCTTCCTACTACGATCATCCCTTCGCGTACGACGCGGCACGAGCAGGAAACCATATACATCGCCAAAGACGTCGATGAGCGTATGTCGATCAATCTGCAGGCCAAGATGGCGGAGACTCTGAGCATCGATAGGTCCCTACTTCCGGCCAACTTCTCGTTGGAGATGATGGAAACCTGGCCCAAGAACCTTTGGCAGTCACAGCGACAGCAATATGCCCTGCCAGGATCAAAGCTATTTACCTGCATTACTTCATACAGCGTTCATTTTGGGACTGTCAAGGTCGGTGAGGTATGTCTCATTTGCCAGCGGCATTCTTCTGCATTGCAGCCTTTGCGTTACGCCTTGATTCCTTTACAAGAAGCAACGGGCCGTGCCGGCATTATGTCGCAGATAAAAGACCACGAGAGTAGTGGTGTCCGAGAGCAGCCCATTGAAGCCTTTAGTTTGATGGAACAATTCATCATTGATGGGCGTCAGGCAGTGGACCTTTTGCACGGGGATCTCAGATTCTCACTCTTCGTGACGCGATACTCCGAGACTGAGGAGAGTACCGACAGACTGTACTTGAAGGTCACTTCATTCCAGGACCTTCTTCATCCACTGCCTATTAGGAAACCGAAGCCCATATTGGTCGGCGATGGTAAGGGGCCTGGTCAACGCCTCGAACGTGCTCCCCAAATCGGAGGGGATGGCGCCGTAGTACAGCCACCGAAACCATCCGACATCGCGGAAGCGGAGCGAGAGAACTCTGGGTAACTCAACCTTGAGTGTATCAACTAATACATCATCGTTTCGAAACACGAGCTCTCTCGTACGATGCCATGCTCTCATGCATGTCATCACTCGAGCATGACAGCCATCCAGACCATCATCCCGAATTCGTCTAGCCCCTCGCACCACTTTGCGACTTGGGCTACCAGCTGATCCTCCTGGCCTCGATCCTCAGAGTCCGCCCCCAAAGCCCGTCTAGCCTTTCGGAGATCCTGAATGCTCAGAACCTTTTCATCGCACGACTCGGCTCGTAGTCTCCTATATCGTGCACGCCACTCGTCACAGGACACTGTTTCCCACAAGTCTCTGCCTGAGGGCAGCGGCAGGAGACTATAACCACCGCACTCTGACGGTTCCTCGGCGTTCAGGTCCACGTCCACCAAAAGCTCAATGCCAAATAGAAGGCAGATTGTCCTGCAGCCCATTGCTGTTAGTGACACCTCTCAGAATGATACGGTCTCTTAAAGCTTGCCTCCTGGCACTCTCACGGAGAACCCAGCCTCGACGGTCTAAAGTGAGCTTCTTAGTCAGGTCGACTTCGTAATCTAGGGACAGGTGCAGCGATCGGGCTAGCAGCTGCTCTGGTCAGTGAGAACACATGGCTATCTCCTGGCATCTTACATTGGGCACTACTAGTAGCGATTTGATGTTGCTTTCCTGTATCGATTGCAGGTCATTGGCTTGAAGCAGCAGATATATCACCACGGCTTGAAGAGCGTGTAACATCTGTTCGCTATTATAAGAAGAATGCTGTTAAACCAAAGTGTTAAGTAATGAGATAACAACTCGTGGGTAGTCCTGACCTCTCACCTCTTGCCTGATCCTGCCTACTTCACTGTATATACTCCTCCAAACAAAAGCCGCGCTTCCCGGAGTCCTCTGATAGAAACTTTGAACGAGGTTGCAACATATGGCTAGTGGTTCTGGAAGACACTGGTGAAGCTCCTTGCCACAACATCCAGCTATTGACTCCGATCCGTCGATAGCGCAGGGTGGGAATATGAAAGGCGGCATCCGGCCACCTTTTATCATCATCTTTGGATAAGATAAGATCTGTCCGAGGAGGACTCTGGCTGTGAAGCACGTTGCCACCGTTTTAGTGATTCGCGGGACGAGGGGTTTGTCTTGGTAGAATGGCCGGATTTTTCTTGCCGGACAATCCCTGAAAGCCCTATGTAACTGGATTTCACTTGAAGAATGTTCGTGATCTTGATATTCCGTGTCCCCCATGACGCCTAAATCGCCAAGGTCCTCTGGTCCGAATAGGTTCGAGTTACTATGTACCCACGGAACTCCGGTACCGCCAAGCACCGTCTGGCGAAGTTGAGGCGAGTCGAAGCTCAAGGAGAAGGGATTTGGACTCAGGAGTTGTCTCTGTGAAATAGATTCAGAGTCTAAAGGGATCGTCGCAATTTCTGTTGACAAGAGGTTCGACCAGTCCATCGACGGTTCACGGTCGGGCCGTGGGTGGTCCCCCGAAAGCCGGCCGTCTCTCTCGATGCGGATCAGTGACTCTGTGCCATTGGGGAGCTGATTAAGTGCTCCGTGAACACCGCGGTCAGTAATTGTCTCGGCAGGACGTAGTGACCGGTATCCAGCTGATTGCTTGGGGACGTGGTCATATCTACACCTCAAATCCCTTTCCTCACAGCGCCGGCATGGTGTCCCGAGCGAACACCTCGCCTTACTGGTCCGGCACAGAACGCAAGACTTTTTCCGGCTGGCAGCCAATGTCATCTCGAATGAAACGCCAGAAATATGAATTGAATCAACCAGTAAGCAAAATGACGAGGTCAAGTTCGCGCGTAGAATCTAGGTTCAGCTGGACCTGGGTCAATCTCGGGGTTTGTCATCACTCCGCGGAGTTCCAGCCAATCACTGATGACGGGCTCGCCGTGTCCGGAAGCCACCCCACTACTCCGCTCCGCGGGAATGACAATGATACCCCGGGCACAATCTTACGTTCGGATGATAGACTTCGGGACGAAGCGACATCTCCACCATGTCGCGGTGTGAAGCCACGCAGATTCATGTTCGGAAATCCGACGAATCGGGCATCCAGGTGAGAAAGCGCTGAATCAACTGCATCAGGCCCGCCGGCGACCGCTTACATGAGCCGCCTATTGTCTAGATAGAGGCGGATGAGTTCTTGGTAGATATAAAGAACGATGCCGTGATAACCAAAACCCTAAGTATTCAGCATTGCAATCTCATTCACTAAACAGAGGACTTACACCAAACTCATCTTTCATTCCACCCAAACTCCCAGCCAGCAATCATGGCCCCCATCAGAGTAGGCATTATCGGACTTTCCGCAAAGGAGGCAGTCATGGGCCCAGGCGCCTGGGCCTCCATCGCCATCCTCCCCTCCTTCAAGAACTCGCCACACTACGAGATTGTCGCCCTCTGCAACTCGTCCGCGGAAGCAGCCCGCCGTTCCATCGAGATGCATAAGCTCCCTAGCACGACCAAAGCCTACGGCGACGTCGAGCAGCTGGCCAGCGATCCGGACGTCGACCTCGTCGTCGTCAGCGTCGTCGTGACTAAGCACCTCGCAGTCACGCTCCCCGCGCTCGCCAACAAGAAGCAAGTCTTTGTCGAGTGGCCTCTCGGCGCCTCGGCGCAGGAGGCGGAACAGCTTACGCGGTTGGCCGAGTCGGGCGGGCTCAAGACGATTGTCGGTCTCCAGGGTCGCTCCGACGCTCTCACTCTCAAGCTGAAGGAGATTGTTCAGAGTGGGGAGATCGGCGAGATCAAGCACACTTCTGTCGTCGGCACTCTCCCGTACTTTCCTCCCAACTTCTGGGTTGAGGGCGCGGAGTACTACCTCGATATCAAAACTGGAGGAAACGCATTCCACATCGGCTTTGGGCATTGTAAGTCACTCCATCTCTTTCGGAAGATTCTGAATAAGTTGGTAATATCGAAGGCTAATATTCTTGGAACATAGTCTTGGACTCGTTCACAAACGTTGTTGGCGACTTCGATCTCAGCAGTCTGTCGTCAGTCCTAAAGAGCGACGTCGACACCGTACCCCTGTACAAAGCCGACAGAAGCAGCTTGATCGACCCAGCGTACCCAAAGTCGGCCCCCGATCACATCTTGGTCCAAGGTGTGCTGCAAAACGGGGCACTGGCCTCGATTGCCTGCCGAACCACCCCGGTCACGGTCGGTGAGGTCGGTGCTCGCTGGATCATCAGCGGCACCAAGGGGGAAATCGAGGCCGTTTGGGACGGAGGCCAGTGGCAGATTCACAGCCCCAACAAGCAGCTCAAGTACAAGTTAGTCGGAGGAGAAGAACAAAAGGTCACTCTCGAGACCGGTAAGCTCCCTGACGGGGTTGAGGTTTCGGCCGCGGGACTGAATACAGTCCGCATCTTTGATGCCTACGCCAAAGGCAATACTTCTCAGTATGCGGATTTTGAGACGGCTCTGAAGAACCATGTGCTTTTGGAAACGATTTTGAAGAAGTCGGGATACAAGTATTGACAAGCAAGCTGCTTATTTTCAATTCAGCATGTGGTCGACGCACGACAGTAGGTAATAATAGACGCCTAAACATCAAAGTGATAGTCTCAGGATCTTCTTCTCTCGTATATACTAGTCAACTGTGAACTAGAATCTTGCATGTTTCATGTTGTGCGTCGCGAGTGAATCCCAGACTAGCGACAGGTGGGCCGCTGAAGGAATTCGGGACCGACGCCGACGCCGGCGTTGACGCCCGAAAAGTGGATCCCGTGACAAATCTCCTCCGAACATCTGACTCGGAGCAGCTGCCGAGACTTCACGACTTCATTCACAACGACCAAGAATCCACAATTGGCTTCTTGAAACTTGCAATTTCGATTGGAAGGTGACTACATTTGCTCATTCCGTAGCACATCAAGTTCGAGCCACACAGTTGTCTATAACCCAACATGAGAGAAGAAGACTTGCAAGGTATGCCCTCCATTCTTAACCATATCGCTCATGGACTTACACCCAAAACAGGATCCGGAGGCGCAATGCCATCCGGGGCAGAGCAAGAGGGAGCCCCTAGAGGAGGAGAAAAAGCCAAAAACATCGCCATCCTAGACACCGACGTAATGGTCACAGCCGTCCAAACCGTCTACGGACAATACTACAGCGCCCAATACATCAAACGCCTCACCGCCGCCGCAACCCGCATCGGAGCCTCCCACCTCGCCACCTTCACGACCTGGGACGTCGTCGCAGGTCACTACCCGAACCCGGCCGACGTCGACGCCATCCTCATCACGGGCTCCATCGCCGCCGCCTACGACACGGACCCCTGGGTCCTCCGCCTCGGCGACTTTATCCGGCGCGTCTACGAGCACCACCCCAACGTCCGCATCTTTGGCACCTGCTTCGGCCACCAGCTCATCGGCAAGGTCCTCCTCGAGCCCCACGGCGCCGTCGTGGAAAAGGACCCCAACGGCTATGAGTTTGGCGTACAGACCATCTCGTTGAACCCGAGACTCGTAGAGGACTTCCCCTGCCTGGCCGCTCTTGCGCCCACAACGACAACGGCAGAGTCAAAACAAGACTCCGACTCTTCATCATCACTACCCCTTCACGGTCTCCGGCTACAAATGTGCCACGGCGACCACGTAGCCCTTGCCCCGCCACCTAACCCACCTCTCCCAGGAACCTGGCAAAACATCGGCGGCAGCGCGCACTGCAGGGTCCAGGGCCTGTACGAGCCCTCCCGGGTCCTCACAATCCAGCCCCATTTCGAGTGCGACCAGGTCATCATGGAAGAGACCATTAAGCACTTTTACACGCCCGCAAAGGGGTTCTCGCCAGAGTTCCTGCAGCGGGCGTTTGATGCGACGAGGAGGGAGGACGATGCGGGTGTTGCAGCGGAGTGGGTGTTTCGATTCTTGGTTGGTATCTGATGGCGCAGGCTCGGGGATCCTCATGCGCGGCCGACTCTCAAGGTGGCTGGAAAAGTTGGAACGATCTCCAATAGCATTTCCTGGATCATCGCCTCTTTGGCCTTTATGGCGTCTGGGATGTCGAAGGTAAATTCTGTAGTGAGAACCCTCTTACCGTTTGTGGGCATTTGTTGTCATCGTGTATCCCTGAAGTCGTCTTTGCCGGCGTCCGCCTCGAAGCTAACAGAGGAGTGCTCTGCAGATGACTTCATTTGCTGTAATCTCTCAGAAACAGCTAGAATAAAGGTTTTGTGTGATGACGCTTCATCTCCAAGGGGAAATGCCGTTTTCGAAAGAATCGCAGAGTCTAGCGAGCAGTCAATTCGAATCGGCATGCGCAGGACTTCGGCTTTGAGGTTCTCGTGGTCGAATACATCGTCTGGATCTTAGATCGTGCCAGGCTGACGACATTACTGGAACAATAGACCTGAAGGTTACTCTGGCTCATGTATTTCTGAACCAGATGAAGTTTACAGGGCTTTACTCGGAGTCAGTCCTACAGGTATGAAGTAAACAGGAAGCGACGCAGCGTCGCCCGTCCTTGAGAATCATCGGCCATCTTGACTGCGCGCTGAGCTCCGTTGAACGCCTGTGTAAAAGTCTGCTGCTTGAGCGAGTCCTTCACTGCGTCCGCCTGGAGAATGCTTGACAATACTACTTCGGGCTCTATTGCTTTCATAGCTGGGGTGCCCAGTGTCTTGTGTATGCTCGGAAACTCGACCGCATCTGAGTTTAATGCTCCCATCCGTGAGGTCGTTAGATTTGAAGTTCACGAGAAGGTCTCGTTGGCCGAAAGAGTGGATTACTGCCTCAATAGCAAAATTCTCTTTGTTTCTCATTTCTCTGACATCTACGCACTTTCTGTGTATTAAGGAAACTTGGCAAAATAATCCAAAGGCTTCGAGTAAATTGCCAGGATCTATGAAAGAGAAAATTTAAGTACAAACGAAAGGATGTTTGCTACGTCTAGTCTGAACACTTTCACTCCGACCCTTGCCCCTTTGCTCCTTTTCCTCCCCTAGATTGAGAGCCACCATACGAGCAGAGGTGTGTGCCCTGAAGATGAGCGCATCTTGGGGCCAGGAGTAGTAGACGCATCGCACAAGATTCGCAAGTACTCTCAAGAAACGAAAACAGGCCGCCAGTCCTTCTCAGGGCTGCGCAGGACGCCACCGATCACGCCCAGAAATTGCACTTGATGCACCCAATCTTGTCGTTCCAGCCAAGGCTAGTGAGATCTCGAAGCCCGGGATAAGTGATGTCGAGAGCGGGTGTCCCATTTTCGTTCCAGCAGCCATTCGCGTCGAAGTGGCTACCGTAAAGAGATTGTTAGTCTTGAAAACCCCGAGGTGAATGGAAAGGTGACGGGAAAGGGCCTTGAGCTAGATTCAAAGAGGAAAAACAACAAGAATGGACATGACATACTCCCAAGCCCAGCAATTCGCTCCCCAGTCCCCTCCAATGCTGGAGATACGGTTGTTCAAGGATAGGCCCTCGATATTGAACCACTGGCCGTTGGGAACATAGTAGGCAGAGCAAGGCTGCTGGAAGCCGATATTGTCACACGCCCAGATATTTCCCGGGTTCTGGCGCTTCATCTTGGCTTCATCGCTGCGCACATCCGTGACAGCCTTCTCGGTGGCAACAATGCCCCACAGAGTAGCAAGGTCGACGGGGCGAGGAGAGACGTTGGCAGCGGGCTCGATAGGTTGAGCGAGCACGGCTGGTGCGGCGGCGACGGCGGCTAGGATGAGGGCGACGTTGGACAACATGATGTCTTAGTTAAGCAAAAGATCTCGAACTTGAGGTATGGCAAGATTTAGTGAAGAGGCAGATAAGGAGGATCTGATGTGAAGATGAGGGTCACTCGTTCGTCGGGCGACCAAGACTGTATTTATATACATACAAGAATGTTCATGAGAGATCGACCTCTGAGACCCTCATGTTTCAATTGGCTCCATCACGAACGCCCTCAACATCAATCATCCGGTGCTTACATGCAGAAAGCCGCCTCTATCGTTTATGGCCACTAAGCTGGAATCGTGAAGCTGCTCCGTGGTTGATGAGCGTCGAACAGTCTGGCTAGATAGCTGAAGATTCAAACTTGGGCTCGAATGGTTTGTGCTGCAAGCCAGGGTCCGTATGACGCTTGTTTTCCAGGAGAACCATGAAAGTGTTGAATCTGGTTCGGTCCATTAGGCGGAAAAGGAAACCTCGTACGCCAAGCCAGTTACCATTCACTTTGCTTACTGAAGGATCTTCAAAGTCCGGAGAGTTTGCCACAAGAATCATAGACTCCGATGCTGCAAACTAATGAACCTGGGTACGGTTGAAAGTTCCACAGGGACTTCTCCCATATGTAGGCTCTTCAGCCCTATCATCTGTAGAAAATATTAAGAAACAACAAAGTTAGTTGCACGGTGAATCCCAGCGTTGAACCAGGATTGGACATTGGTTTTCATTGTATTCTAGGCATATTGGCACGCAGAGAAGTTAATTCCTCATGGGATCCTCTCTAGACAATAGTAGCTTGGTGCAGACAGGGGCAGCTAATTTCCATCTCTCTTGCCACTTTTTTTTTTTTTTCTTTTTTTCTTGTAAAGGTTTCGCTCAGTACCCATACCAAGCAGCTTAGTGACAAAACTCACTGCATATGACATGTACAGATGAAGCTTTATGGACATATCGCAATGCTTAAGACCAGGCAGCCCAATCTTCTCCATCAATCTAGGACAAAAGTGGAAGCAGGTTCTGTTGGTAAATGCAGATTGAGTGCTGGGTATGAATAAGCTCAATGTCACTGTGGCACCTGGGAATGACCCGTTTCGCGAGGGACCATTAAGGTTCGACTTAGGCGTTTTTAGGACATGACAACGTGGGGTGATTGGCTGAGGCAACGAGATTTCCTATTTCGGACAAATCTTGTTTTTAGCGGCTCAGCATAGGATTAGGCATCCAGCAACATGCTGTGGGTTCGGTGCATTATTGCACCACTTGGACAAATTCGATTGAGTACATATACCGGCCATATCCGGTCGTTGTTCTTTTTTTAGTTTTCTGTTCTATGTGGGTCAAAATAAGGCTTAATATGTTAGTGTTACAACCCAACATGCATGACCAAGACCAGGGCCTGGACCGCCGGTGTTATGGTCAGTAAGTCGTAGCGACGTATGTCAGCAGATGTTGAGCCTTCAAGACTCGTCAAACGGCTTTGGAGTTGTCAGATACCTTTAGAGAAGATAACTTTGATAGTCGAAGGTCTTAGGGGCAAGGCTTCAGCGATTAACTACAGGTTTATTAGAGGGGCTCCCGAGTGAAGATAGCTGAAAGTGATCGTGAGATCGGATCCGATATTGATTGATGGAGAAGCTGTAAGAATCTATTTTTGAGCACGGCCTAAGCTCATTGCGTACCTAAGTTTCGAATTTGAACATGTCTCTTATTGTCCGAATACCATGTTTCCTGGCTATTGCTGGGTGGATCCGGTAAGCGCTTACTTTGGGTGATCGTTTTGTCGTGTGCTGACTTTTAATCTGGACGTGACTTGTCTTTAGTTCTCCTGATCCAAGAAGTGCCACCTGAGCTCCTGAGTCTGATGTATGTATGGTGCGTCGTAGCTGCTGGAAGCTTGCGGGGTAGGTCCTGTTCGTGGTCATGCATGTTAGGTCGCAATAGATGACAGGCCAATGTAGAGAAGAATCAAGAGGCCCCAAGTGCCGGCAAGAACGTAGATTGTAGCCATTCCAAATTAGTGCTCATATTTTATGCTTGGAACTTCGAAGAGTGTAAATGATCCAATCAGCATTCCTGGAGTCTTGTCCGCTTCCGCCTCAAAGTTGCATTGTAACCTCAGGCGGGGGCATTATCAGCACAGCATACCGCGACTCATCGACGAGTCTCGGCATTATAGTGAGCCGCGGGGCATTCAACGACCTGCAAGCAATTACTCTGGTCCGCCATTGGCTTTTGTACTACATGATAGACACCGCGGGTACGGCTGACTCCGGGTTGCATTCATTCGAGGCAAGCAGGTCCAACCTTTTCATCCCCGGAGACGAGTTGGCACAAGTCCAATCTACAGGTGATATACCAGATGACTAAATCACCACGTTAATGTCTCCTCGTGATACACCCACTCCCCGTCCTCAAGGACTTGAGACCCAACAACTGCCTGATTTGGCTGGTCACCCTGCCGGCCACCAAAAAGGATGTATCGGCCACGAAGTCTTGTCCACACCGTCTCGGAGTCGTCAAACTGGGTCATATATGCATCCTCCGTTCTCCTGGCCCATTCAATCAGGGCTAGGGCTGCACGACTATCCCAGAGTCCTTCCACCCGGTGATTTAGCCGACGAACAGCCTTCTCTGCGGCCAGCCGTACCTCGACATTCCGACATTTATTCGCTACCACTGTTCCCAAATTTTAGCTCAGAGGTCCCGAGAAGATATTGCATTCAGACATACCAAACAGAGGAAGAAGGGAACCAGAAATAGTCAAAGGTATGACCGGCTTGGCTCGGTGTGGCCGATCTGTCAGGAGATTAGCCAAGTTCACGATGGCTCTGAATCTTGACTCCATCTCCACTAGACTCGGGTAGTGATGGTAGTGCGAGGTGTAGACGAAGATGTAGGCGTTGTGCCACTGCATCTCCGTCGCTATGACTTGCTCTCTCGGTCGGGGGTTGTCGCCGCCGGCCTGCGCTTCCTGCGCCGCCTGGGGCCGGAATGCAACAGCCCAATTGTCCAGAATCTCCAGGAAGCGCCTCCTTTCTGTTTTCCACCTGCCCCCCAAGCTTGACGGCTGTTTCGAGGCAATGATGGGGGCGAAGAGGGCGTTCTGGATCAGGTCTAGCCATCTGACCGCTTCTTTTACGCTAGAGAAGGATTGTGGCAAAATTGTCTTGAGAGTCGTAGATGTGTCAACTCCTGCGTCGAGCTGTGGCTCGGACGGCTGACACGGTCTTCTGGGCGCGAGATGTACGTACGAGACGGAATTGCATCTTTGGAAGATGTGAACCATTGAACCATCAATGAGATAGGGCACAGGAGAGTTGGCGCAAATATCGAGGTCCGTTCCAGGGCATCTAGCCCTCAGAAAGTTTCGGAGGATCCGAGTTCCATAATGAATGTGAACGTGTGCTGCCTTGTGGTTCCCGTCCAGGAGGTCGAAGCAGAAGAAGACGATGCAGCACTGGAGAATGGTGCTGATTGTATCCTCGTTGGCGGCTATGGCAACCAAGGTACGCATTGCGTTGCCGTATCTCGATAACGCTGTACGATAATGCACGCTTGCTTTTGACTGTTCCAGTGGAAGCAGATCAGTCTGTTGAATCAGCGCAATCTTGAGCGCCCCAAGCGCCAGGACGGCCTCCTTCAAGAGGCAGTTTTGAGTTGCCACTTGCGTGACCATGACGGAAAATACATCGAAGAGTTCATCTCCACAAAGCTCATTCTTGGCCGAGATCCAGGTCTCGAAATAGACCTTCTCCCATTCAGAGCGGAATATTGCTGAGCCTGGTGAGGATAGGATCGAAGGGATCTTGACGGTTGGGACGAGGGTTCGACAAGAGCCAACTTGCGTTTTGGTCGCCTGGAATCCGCTACACGTGATTTTCCGCTTGACGCAACGGAGACAAGATGGTCTGGTTTCGTCACATTTCACGCGCCTCTGCCTAGGAAACGCCGGCCACAACAGTCAACTCTTGTGCATAGACAGTGAAGAGCGGGTGCAAGCACTTCTTACTTGCCTGGCAGTCTATGATTAGCACCTGCAGATATGCTGCTCCATGACGGTCGATGCGCGGGTAGGCTCACATATGGTACAACCGGTACGGACCTTAGAGTGTGGATTCCGTGTAGATTGCGGCCGTGGTGGTTGAGAGGGTAGAGCGGAGAAGGTATGAATTCGAAAATTTTCCATCTCTCAGGAGCACAGGGTTAGTTGAGGCAAAGGGACAGAAATCGCAGCCACGTTCAGCGACAGAAGGGTGAGGAAGAAGTAAGTTACAGGTAGCCAGGGGTTCGGCCGAAAGACAGGCCTAGACCATGAATTTGGGCTGAGAGTCTGTAGGGTCACATCGGGTGGACCCAGGCTGCTCTCGGTGCGAGTGGCGTCCAGACGCAACAAGAAGGTTCCCACGCTAAGTAGAGCTGATATTATATATAGATCATACATGACGACACAGTCTACATAACTAAGGCCAGCCCCCCACGGAACAATCCGCCGGGGCCGTATTGTGTATTTAAGAACACCAAGTAAACTGCATTTTACACGTAGTTACTAACTAAACTAACTTGAGAATGTAAGACTTTTGATATCGATCTATATAAATAACCAAGCTTACCATACTATCTTCTCTTTAATTCAAAATTAAGCAAACTTTTTATGATAAGACGTATTTTTTTAAGAATTCATTGGTCCTATAAGATATGGACTTTGAATCAAGACATATATATTTAGTCTTGATATGGATATTAACTCATCTATTTGCTATATTTATAGAAGGTGGCATCAGCGAAGAATTCGGGCTTTCCTTCCAGGGCCTCTCCGCCTTCATCACAGCCTTTGCTATTGCCTATGTCGTTCACTAGAAGCTCCGCAGAGGCGACATTCGAACACCTCCGGCGAGGTCTCTTCAATAATGGGGATTTGGCATATAGAACGAACAAAGTCATGTACCTAATATCAATCTTGATCACACAATGATTTTCGACTATAAGAAGGGAAACCTCTTGCCATTTTGTATAGTAAACCTCAACAGTCCGAACACAATTCAAACATCTCAGCCCTCTCACTTTCATAAAATCGAACAATCACACCAATCCAACACCAAGATCATATTCATTGCATCAAGGTTTGACGAGGCAACGATGACCCCCGCATGGACTGGTTCCTGAAGTCTGTGGGCATTGTAACCTCAGGGCAAGAGATGCAAGGGGAGCAGACTTACATAAGTGGTAGCCTGAATTCCTTTGATATGACCAGTGAGAGTGTAGCGCACGGAGCTCGAAGTAGCAGCGAAGCAGAAAACCGTTACGATGCTCGGGTTGCGCACTTTTTTGCTTGTACTTATGGGCCCACGAAGCAGAACTGGAGGCTTGGCTTCACAATAATGAGTTCATGCCATAATTGCTACGAGGAGTTGACTATATGATTGTTATGGCATGTACACAAGAATGATAGCCGACTGATTTGGGACAGCCCCTTAGTAATTTATGAATCCCTGTCGATTATACGGCAAGGTAGTGGGCGACAGGAGTGTGTGTGCAAGTAGGTAGAAGTCCAGGGGTCGTTTGCCTAAGCTGAGCCAAGAGGATACCAGCGAGATTGAATGAGGCTTTAATTGCTGATTAGACTTTACCTGATGAGCCGAATCACTTGTGTCGTCTCCTGTTATTACGTCTAGAGCCTTTCTCGGTAACAATATCACCGCGATCGTCGCCCCCGTTGCGAAGCCTTTCGAGCAAAGCACCTTTCCAGCTTTGTCCCTCTTTTTGATCCATGAGCACATGTCTGACTTCGCTGTTTCTAACGTGCCAGGGAATACGAATCTTCAGGAAGTAGCGCAGAGCAAGCCAGTCCTGGCGCCCCCGGGTTGCAAAGTTGGCCATGTGTTCCTCAAGATGGAGCAGATGAAGTCGGCGCTCATCCTCTTCCCTAGAGGTCGGAGTTAATCAGCTATCATCCTTCTCAAATTCCGTAATGGGGTGCGTGTTGTATCCATGGGGAGAACACCTCCGATGCCTTATATTGCACCCCCTCATGGATACAACACCCAGTGTCCTAAGCACTTACAGCTCAAGTGTGCCATCTGTACCTGGTAGTCTCATCAGACCGTGGAGGTCCCCGATAGAATGTGCTTTCGCGAACACCAACCAGGATTGCATTCGAGGATGTGTCATAATCCGCGCCAAGGAGTTGAACTCGTCAGCAAGTTCTTTGTTTGGAATGGCTCTGTGTAAAGTTGTGTGGCAGGGAAGGCAAAGTGCCAGCAACTCGTTCATCTCTTCAATAGTGAATCGGTCGCGATCACGTTGACTTCTCGGAATGACATGGTGTCTTGTGATTTTATGAGTCTCACGCTCACAGAGTTCACAAACCCCCGGATCGATACTGCCTACATCCAAGGCTGAAACAAGTGTTCTCAGCCAGTAGAGCCAATTCCGGATAAACTCCAGTTCACAATAGTATTCAACTGTCTCCGTAGACAGTTCTTTCAGGATATCGTCGAAATCCCGTAAGGCTTCCTTGGTTATGTTAGACGGGTGACTCTGTAGCATTGCCTGGAAATTAGCATATCTTTCCATGAGACGTTCTTTGGGGCTAGGTCCTGATTCGCCAAGTTCTTTTATACGGCGTTCTAGTATGCGAAACTCTGCAGCGCGACGTTCATCCGCCTGACGTGCTTTTTTGTGAGCGCGACGTTCTTCTTCGCGGAGTACTTCCACACGCCTTTCTGCAGTGCGAAGTTTTTTGATGCGACGCTCCTCTGTGCGTAGTTCTTGCTCTCTTATGCGGCGTTCCTCTGCGTGACGTTTTCTTCCGCGGCGTTCTTCTGGATACCGGTATATTGCGCTACGCTCTCTCATATACTCTTTTATGTGACGTTGTTCTGTGAGACGTTGCTCTGCGGAAACGATGTCTGAATAACATGTTCGCCCTTCCTTGACGGCAGCATGCTCCTGCTCATTGATGTCCCGAGGCACTGGTTTCACAGGCTCCTGGAGCAGGACGGATAGCGCTTGCTGTCTGGACATTATCGTCATATCCTCTTGAACCGCTGGCTGGTGTTGGTCTGGATGTGGTTGCGTTGATGAGTCTTTGAACTCTGCTTCCCCGGGTCCTGCGCGGGGGGCGAGAGCTGGGATATCTTCGGCTTTTGAGGCATTGGATTCGTGGGGCCTCGAGGGCAGAGGTAGAATATCCTCATAAAAGTCTGGTGTTGGTTCGGGTTGTATGTGAGTGCCGTATGGAGCGTCCCGCTCAGAAGAAACGTAAGCGGATGATGAAGCGGTATCGCCAGCGATGCTACGGGATGGCGCCGGAGCATCTGCTTCCTCTTCGTTACCTGTCATCCTGGCGATTTCAGGATCGCTCCTCTCGATATCTTCGAAAAAGTTTCCCCAGCTCCCAGTTCCCGATCCTGCGGCGCTCTTGGGGCCGCTTCTCCGAAATCTGGTTCTAGGAACCGCTCTGGCCCTTTCTTTTCCCCGTTTACTGGTTGATACAGACGCCGCGTTCTGTCGATGTTGTGGATTCGACAAGACAGGTTGTTCTGTTAAAACCTCGGATGGCACCTCTATTGCCCCCACCTCCTCTGAATTGTCGCCAACATCCTTTGACAGAGAAGTCTCCAGACTCAGCTCCAGATTTCCCTCGACGACAGGATCGACATTCGACCAATGTCCATCGTGCAAGACCAGCCCCTCGTCGTCGACGTGCCCAGAAGCCGGCGCACCCTGCTCCTGATGAAACCCGCCCCATTTCCCAGCCCTCGCCTGCGCAGGAAGCGAGTTGCGCTTCCACCGCGGCGCCGGTGCGCCAGCCCTCGGTCTCGACAGCAACTTCGGCTTGGGTGGCGGGTTCGGGTTCGGTGCGGGGCCTTGGACCTGTAGCGCGTGAAAGGTGCCCCATTGCGCCGACGCCGGTAGTGAGGGGTTACGTTTCGCGCTCTTGGCTTTTCCCGTTGACGATGGTAGTGTTGTCGTCTTTGATGATGATGTCGAGCCAGAAGCGTGCCCTTTTACTCCTGTTGACGCGGGGCCCTTCTTGACGACCTTTGGGATTGGCCGGGCTTTGGCGATCTTGCTACCAAAGGAGCCCCAGGCTGACGGGGCCTTTGGTCTTTCCGGTGGCTGAACAGATACCGCATGAGAGTCAGAAGCTCCAGCTTGGTCGGCTCCTCCCTTGCTATGCTCGACGATGACGGGGCCACCGCCAGGCAGCGTCAAGCGGGAGTGGTGCATGCCATCTTCTGCTGGGCGAGGCGCCTCTGCACCACACAGGGAGCAGGAGCACGTGAAGAACCGGACATATGAGCCATGGTTCGATTGAATCTGGTGAGAATGTCAGTAACTATTCCGCTTTTACGTGCTTGAAGTCTCTCAATGGCTCAATATCGAACCAGCATACCTGTTCGACGCGTGCTAGGCTTCGTGACGTGATGGATCGGGCCACCGTTGACAAGATGTGCATCTTTACCGGACTGGCAGCGTTTCACAATGGAAAATGGCCGGCTGCATGCATTGAGAAACAGAGCAATTGGATAAGTCCCGGCGAAGTATCATGGCCGCCACGTGAGGTGTACAGGAATTTGGTTTGCTGAGCAGTGTTCAATTGGTATTTCCTTATTCGCGTGTCGTCGGTAAATCGCTGGTTACAGTCAGTGGTCGTTTTACGCACGGTGTTTATACTGTGTTTGCCCTCAGGCATGAAGTTTTGCCCCTGGTGTCGACAACTTCGAATGACTGTTTGGCCTCTATGAAGTTGGCAAGATTATGAACTACGATTGGCTCAAGTCAATCGGACAAGGCTCATCCTACAGCATGGTTCTCATGGCTCTACTTGTCACCCGCTAGCCGCTGTACAAAGTGTAATCTTGAATTAAACAACCCAACAAGGGGGAAACCCCGTCATCAAAGAGAAGTCGGCAACTTCTCAGGTGAACCAATGGTATTATACATCTGAAACTTTCTTGGGTGCCTTTCCATTTACAACGTCATCATCAAACTCCATCCTAATCCCATTCCCAAATGCCATCCTTTGCCTAACTGAGGACAACTACTACTGGTGAGGCAAAGTCCACTCGCGCTTGCGCTTGACACCCGCGACACGTCCAATGCGATCCTAGTACACGGGCGTATTGTCCGCGTCGGCCAGCCACAAGGTTGCCAAGTCTCTTGAGAGGCCCAATCGAAGTATACGAAGCACGTCGTCGGCCGACGCACCAGCCGTGAGTCCCGATCTCCAGTCCCAGCCGCGCTTCGTTTTGGCGAGAGAAGAACTACTGCCGCTGGCACCACTGATGGACCGGTGAAGCTGGCTGGCTAACATGGAGCTTCCGCTGAGCATGTAGCTTCCATTGAGCGAGCTGGTGCTCTTGCGCATCAAGTCTGCAGGCGTTGAGCCCTTCATGCCCGGCGTCGAGGCCAGAACAAGCTTGAAGAACTCGTCTGCTGCATTGAAGATAGTGGAGTTGACTGTCTGGATATCCTCAACGGCCTTGAGGAGCGTGTCCATCTGGTCGAGCGTGATGACCGAAGGGTTTTGGTTGACAAAGGGCAAAGCCTCGCCCAACAGAGCAAGAATGAAGTCCTCACTGACAACTGCGTCGCGGGTTTCGTCGTAAAGGCCTCCCCGAATGTTGTCATCTGAGCTAGCGATGACTGCAACAAGGGCGGAGGCGGCTTGCTTCCTGAGAGTGGCAGACTTGTAAGGTGACATATCAGCAAGTCCATCAGTGTCACGAAGCTCGTAGAATTTCCGGAGCGTGGCGTAACCACTCAGCATCCGACCGAGGAGATTCGCTGCCTCGAGATCTTGTTTGGCATACTTTTCGAGCGTTTGGCTGCGCTCGTTCAGAAGTCGGTAGAGGTGGTCGTCCAGGTCGTTGGCTGGAGGGTAGACCGTGGAGTGGAGCAAAGAGTACGACATAAGGAGGTTGAGCACCTCGCGGACCTTTCCGGGTCTATGAGCCAGAGCGTAGTACCAAAGAGCCTCTCCGTATCTGTGGGAGTCTTTGCCGAGAATATCTGCGTAGGTCTAGAAACGGTTAGCTTGGTGATATGCACAATTCGATGCGATCTGCACATACCTCTGCGGTCTCTTCGGCATAGGAAATCATGCCGAGATCGTTCAGAATCCTCCAGACCTTATCCACAGTGGCTCCTTGTTCAGAATCGAGCTGGTCTAGGATATCCCGAAGCAATTCTCCGACCATATCCTCTGACTTCGCAGCCGAATCCATGCGACCAAGGACCTGTATCGCCATCTCCCAACCGCTGCGGTCTTCCGAAAGACTCTCGATTCCGGCCAGTTCGCGCGCGTAATGTGTAAGCGTAGTGTCTTTGATGCCCTCCACATCATCGGCAGTCTGAGGAGCCACTCCCAACATCTCCAGATCCTCCATGTCCAGACTCTCCATGGTGATCAAGTTAGGCTGCTCGGGCTTAGGTAGCCACTGACCAAGCGAGGCAAGTTCTGCCACTGAAGAAGCAATGGGAAGCGACCATGCGCGAAGGATTCCGATGACAGCCGCGAAGTTTGACTCGAAAGCAGAAGCGATGGCAACTTCAACAGGGTTCATAGAGTTAAAGTGGAAGTCTGACTCAACCGCCGTGTGGAAAGCCAGCGACAGGCGTTCAAAATAGGTCTCCGGGGTAGAAGGCGTAGCTGTCATGCGGAGGCCGTGAGAGCGAGACATGCGCAGGCTCTTCTGCTGTCCTCTGCCTTCCTCCCACCATCCAAAGAGACCAATCGTGGCTTCACACCAGTCCTGTGCTGTATCCAGGATAGCCTCTGGTGTTCCCATGATGATCTGGTAAATGGTCTGGAGATGTTCGTAGATGTCCCACGGAACCTGGCCCTCCGCTTTCCGCACAAGACCGGCCAAGGAGCCTCTTCCGTACGAGCTGTCGTCACTATCGCCAGCAAAGAGGTTCTTGTCCTTGCCCTCCGCAAAACGCTGAAGCTTATCCAAAGAGCCCTTCGTCTGGATGCGGTACAGCGTCCAATCGCTGCTGAAGATATCCCAGTTGCCCTTAGTGATTGGACACATGTCGAGTGCCTCACACGCAATACCGACGGCACGTTGCAGGTTATCGAGAGCTTTGCCGGAGTAAGCGAAATCCGCCCTAGGTCCCTTCTTCACAGACTCCCACCCAGCATTCCTCAATAACTTGGATGCAAGGTCGACATTGCCACGGATGAGAGCGCTCCGAAGTGTCGGCCAGAAGAGACTATGGCAAGCTGGACTCGGCCTGTGGTTCATGACAATCTCGAACTGCTCGGGGTAGATGTTGTGGTTTTCCTCGATCCATCGGAACAGAACGTAAGGCAGTGGCGGCGCTTCGGTATCGACAGTGCCTTGGTTGGCGAAACGAGTGTGGTGCATCTGAAGCACCAACTGGGCAACATAGGCAGCCTTCGTGAACGGCTCGCTTTCGGGGCCGGGGCCAATCTCGGCAATGTGCTCTCCCTCTGGCATGGGTAAACTGTCGGCAAAGTCATTCCAGAGGTCCACCAGAGGGTAAACAATGTTGGCGAGCGAGACGTCCAGCTGATCGGGGTCCTCCTGCGCACCAATTCCTTCGTTGTAAAGCTGGTTGATCAAGTCTTCCGTCTTCAAGACAACGCCTGACGACTCGTTGATCTGAGCCATGCCCAATTCCTTGTATAGATCCTTTGCGATTGCGAAGAACTTGAATTCTGTCCGTCTGTTGCCCGACGAGCGACGCATGGACGACGCGCGGAAAATATCCTGGGCCTCCCTGCGCATTCGCTCCGTTGCCGCTGGCGTATTGAGCAGTAAAAGATCCGACTCCTCGCCGCCTATGCCGCCTTCGCCCTCGTCTGAGTAGGCCAATTCATCATCGTTACGGGTGCTGTGCCGCAAGTTCAAAAATATGTCGTCGTCGTCCTGGACCTCTTCGTCGTCGGCCTCAGCGTCTCCGTCTTCCTCTCCAAGATCGGCTTCGAGGTATCGCTCCATCTCCGCGTCGGCGGCATCGCGTTCGTCGTACTCCTCATCGTCCTCGTCTTCTTCCTCTTCCTCCGAGCTGTCGGGTATCATATACCTGCCAGTCCGGTTATCGTAGGTGACCTCGCTCTTTCCCGCGCCAAGTTCCCGGCTTAGTGCCGACGGCTGTCTCGTCGTAGGTTTGGCACTCTGCAGAATCGAGCGGCCGAGTGGTTGCGCTGAAGCAGAGTCGCTTCTGCCAAAGAGGTTCTTGCTAGGCCCATTTGAACTTGCACCGCCGAAGCCAAACGGTTTCTGCGCAGTGACACCTTGCAATAAGGAGCTTCCGAGGTAGGACTCGGAGGGAGCACCTTGGGGTGTGAAGGAAGCAGCGGATGAGGGTGGAGGGCCGGCTGGCGTGGTTGACGGGTTTTCTCCGAAGGGATAGTATGACTTCTTCTGGGGAGTCTGACCAGGCGTCGACGGCGGTGAGCTATCGAAGGTTGAGTCGTCGAAGGAGAACTTGTTGGGCATGATGTCGGTGATGGAGTGGGCGACCTCAGGTCACCCGGATGAGGCTAGTCGTCGCAAAGTTGTGTTGACCGGCGGGAGCGAAATTTCTAGGTGTTCGGTAGTGCAGAAATTTGATGCGTCGCTGTTGTTGGGTGTGCGAAAGTCGTCGAGGCTAATTAGGCTGACTGGCAGGTCGCAGGCGACAAGGCTGAAGAACTGAGCTGTGGTGTTTGGCTGGACGCGCTTTTGCTCGATAATTTTTGGAGGTTCGCGATGCTTGGCCAGTCAACGCGGAAGAAGCCGACGTCTTGGCCCCACCAGCCACTCGCTCTGTGTTTTTAGGAGTGGCCCGAGCTCCCTGGCCTGGTGCCGCTGACACACCACCTAACGGGGCTTCGAGATGTAGCTTATGTATGCATCTAAATGTACTTTGTACCTTTGAAAAGAACCAAGATCCTGATAAAGCTTCCCGGCGTTCAAACTTCTGAAGCAGCAACCAAACACGATTCCTTTGTCACCTTGTTGGAGAATATTTCTTTAAGGTTCAGACGTCTCCTCCACAGCCATGCGACTGTGATGCCATTGTGATGTCTCTTTTTCCGGGGTAAACACACACCATTGAAGCCAAGTTGTTTCCCCTCTTTTGGCTGTCAACCTGATCTTCCATCTCTTCCCATACTTTCTTTCCAATAGATCCTTCTGATTATCTTTTACCTGAGAGGATTGTTCATCCGTTCTTTTTGACTTGTACCTCTCTTCGTCGAGTTTCTAGCTACCCGCGGGCAACTAGTGCTCTTTTTATCTTATCTAAGCCGTCCCGGAGCTCCCCTTGTCTTCCTCCGTGTTACGGCGTTCTAGCCCGGCATGCCGATTAGATAGGGTAGAGCTGCCAAAGGCAGTAAAAGAAAACTGCTTGAAACCTCCAGGCCCGGACATAAATCGGGCTCTGGACGTGCGGGCCCTAAGAAAAGCGCTGTACTCCTCAACGCCATCTTGGCAACCACGGAAAGTCATCCCTCAGAAGGCGGGCGGGCAGGCTTGGCCAGATTCAATCGCCGATGGGCCATGCCTGCAAAAGTGTGCATTAATAGCATCTCAAAAGCCTAACCCCGACGGCTTAAAGTTTTGGTGTATTGCGTCTTCAAACAATGATAGGCTGCAAGCCCGAAGGCGCGCCGGAAGAGAGGAGGAGGGGAAACGTCTCAAAAAGGGCGGTCTTTTTCTTTGGTGAGGTGGAAGCGCTTGGAAGTCCCAGATACGTATCGCAGCCCGCCCCGCCACCCCCGGCTGGGTGCCCGTACAAGCCGTGATTCGGCCTTCGTTCTCGGGAAGGGAAGCAGTCACTGCGGTTTCTAGATCTTGGTGTCCGTCGGAAAGGCATCCGTTGGTCTCGACTTCTTTTATCTGACTATCACCGTACCATGTACCTACCTAATCACAGGCAGCCAATTGGGACAATAGGAGAAAGACTTGCCAGTAGAGTTTCAGCCAACCAGATGACAGAATTCATCCCCAGAACCTCAATCGATCCAATGACGTACTCCAGTGTTGCTGCTTGGGAATGCCCTTCCATCCGCCTCACCCAAGACTCGTACAAGTCACGGCTGGCGTCAGTAGTGTTTTATCCTCTACTTACTTGAGTACTTAGTCAATGACAAGCTGAAGGTCCCCGCTTTTTCCAATTCGTGGTCGTCTGCGGGAAGAAGTGCACTCCAGTCCCCAGATAGAGATACGCACACAGAGAAAGAGAGGTACCTAACTCAAGTCTCAGTCCCCGAACCCCCGAGACTCACGGATACTTTCCCCTCCCGAGGGGAAGGTGGGGTTTGGAGATGGTGCCAAAAGACACCCGGCGGCAGTTCTCTCCCCCTCTGCCAGTGCCCAACCTGCATCTTAGACTTCCAGTTGCCAGCTCCTCCTTCCGACCTCGTTGGAATAAATACTCATACCCTGCCCGGTCATAAGCTAAGCTTAGTGTGCCGATTTCCTCCTTCCATCAAGGTTCTCATCGACCATCATCACACAACATGTCTGCCACTGCAGGAAAGGTATGCTCAGTTCCCACTCCAAGCACTTTACATTACATCTGTATTCCCTGCTCTGCGATTTTCTCCCATCCATTGCGGGGTAGCTCGACGACCACGGAGACGACTGAGAAGCAAGCCACTTTGACAACCCGAACCCATCCGCTGACCCAATTGATCATCTACAGACCATTACTTGCAAGGCCGCCGTCGCCTGGGAGGCCGGTCAGCCCTTGAGCATCGAGGACATCGAAGTTGCCCCGCCCAAGGCCCACGAGGTCCGTATCGAAATCTACCACACCGGTGTCTGCCACACAGGTATATTACAACCCCCGCCTGAGGTCTCGGATGAGAATCCGAAGGCCCTTGTAACACCAGAAAACTAGACGACTGACACATACTTTCTTCGGAACAGATGCCTACACTCTCTCTGGTAAGGACCCCGAGGGAGCCTTCCCCATCGTCCTCGGTCATGAGGGCGCCGGTATCGTCGAGTCCGTCGGCGAGGGTGTCACAAACGTAAAGGTTGGCGACCATGTCGTCGCCCTCTACACACCAGAGTGCCAGGAGTGCAAGTTCTGCAAGTCGGGCAAGACCAACCTCTGCGGCAAGATCCGCGCCACCCAGGGCAAGGGCGTTATGCCCGACGGCACTTCTCGCTTCAAGTGCAAGGGCAAGGACCTGCTTCACTTCATGGGCACCTCCACCTTCTCCCAGTTCACCGTCGTTGCCGACATCTCAGTCGTTGCCGTCCAGCAGGATGCTCCCATGGACCGCACTTGCTTGTTGGGCTGCGGTATCACCACCGGATACGGCGCCGCCAGAATTACCGCCAACGTCCAGGAGGGCGACAACGTCGCCGTCTTCGGTGCCGGCTGCGTCGGTCTCTCCGTCGTTCAGGGTGCCGTCGTGAACAAGGCTGGAAAGATTATCGTCGTTGACGTTAACCCCAACAAGGAGGAGTGGTCGAGAAAGTTCGGCGCGACGGATTTCGTCAACCCCACCAAGCTCGGAGACCAGTCTGTGGTCGACAAGCTCATTGAGCTTACCGACGGCGGCTGCGACTTCACGTTCGACTGCACTGGTAACGTCAGCGTCATGCGTGCTGCTCTCGAGGCTTGCCACAAGGGATGGGGACAGAGCATCATCATCGGTGTCGCTGCTGCTGGTCAGGAGATTGCCACCCGTCGTAAGTACACCTTGTACATCATTGCTGTACCATGGCAACACAAACTAACCACGTTCTCAAAACAGCGTTCCAGCTCGTCACCGGTCGTGTCTGGAAGGGTTGCGCGTTCGGCGGTGTCAAGGGCCGCTCTCAGCTGCCCGGTCTCGTGCAGGACTACATCAAGGGTGACCTCAAGGTGGACGAGTTCATCACCCACAGGAAGACCCTGGGCGAGATGAACAACGCCTTTGAGACCATGAAGCAAGGCGACTGCATCAGAGCCGTGGTCGACATGCGCAAGTAAGCTTAACACAATATACCACGGGCTTCTGGTTGCACGACCGTCTCGGTGCGTCTTCTGAAATACAAAAAATACTGATAGTTTAATACAAAAAAAAGTGAAATCGATATCCCAGTACCTCCTCGCGAATCCAAACTGTGAAGCCAGGTGGGCGGGCTTGTGAAGATGGTTTTGGTCCCGGGTCGTCGGCGACGAGGTGGAACCGCTCAGCCTGTCCGTACGCGCAACGTCGCGATATATGTCGATAGCAAAATGCTTACACCATGTCGTCAAGATTCCATGTCCTTCCTCACCCGTGATCTTTTGTGACTTGAATTCGTGTGTTTCCCTTGGGTGGTCTTCCATTGGGGTTCTAGACCATCCGCTTGTACAGTTCTGGGCACCCGCGGCGGTGACATCCGGCGGCGCGCGGTCCCGGTAGTAGATGGTCCCAAAAGTCCGGGCCCCCAACTCGCCCTGCCGGTGACGGGGCCGGCACGTATTCCTTCCACCGCTGTGTGAGTACGGAATAGATCTGGGGTTGCCTCAACTACTAGATGGAATCAGCACTAGCTACCGGAGTCATAGGATTCTTGTAATTATCGGATGGAAGGATGACCGCTTGAATCAATTCAAAAGGTTTTGATCCATCATCCAGCAGGTTCTGTTAACAGAAAGATCCAAGAGAGAGCATGCCAGATGCACGTTGTCCGTCACGGAAGCTTATCTCCCCGCTTTTGAGAGAAGATACAGGTATCATGGATGCTTCGAGCAGTTTCAAGCCAAATTACAGCAGCTCTTGCCCCCATCCATCTCTCTTCTTGTTGCCCTAGGGTGGTGGACTGATGGTCCTCAACAACGGGTTTGTGAGAATAGGGTGCGGTACACCCATCAAACGCCATTGAGTCACATACCTGTACGAATACGTCTTTGTCTCAATGAATATCCCACGGATCCGGCCGAGACATCCATTCACTCCTGAATACCACATCCTTCTTATCAATTAATTATTATCTAAAAGAGCCGCAGTACCTATTGTTCATTGTCCGGATGTCTTTGGGCGAGATTATCCGCGCCTCCTGTCTCGGAAATATGCGGGCACTGCTGAGGCTTCTATTTTGTTATTTGACTGCAGGCCTGGTTGGACTTTTGTAAAGCCGTTGTGCCGATATACTTGCTCATCTCCCATCAAGCGGTGGCATGTCTGCTGTCTAGTGTTGCCTCCCTCCCATGGGATGCTTCCTTGGGGATGAGACGGATGTCAAGCCACAGACCCCAAATGGTTATATTGGTTGAGGAGGAGTGGGACTGGGGAATCGGACGATTTTTTTGGCAGAGCGAACCGGGGGTGGTAAATAGAATGAACCGTGGGGAATCGCACGGGAAACAACATCAAAACCGTCCGGTTCACCGTTTGGCTCGTAATTTTAGGAGATAGTCGTGACTGGGGGAGGCCGAGGACAGTAGGGGTTCCCCCCATCGTAAATCAAGATCCGGGTGCATTGATGGCTAATTTTGATGGGCAATCAAAGCTAGACTGGCAATCTCGACGTCCGGCGTAGCATCGACTAACACTGTTGGGGGACAACCCAGAAGGCAAGTTAGAGAGGGAAGAATGTCCCCGTAGAAGGTAATAGGAGGCGGTGTAAATAAACATAGGACTGCTCCATAAATGAGGATTCCCTCAATCGGATGTTGAGCAAAGGATTGTGTAACTCACATTTTTGACACATGTCTAAAGGCACCCGGCGTTTCACTTCCGAGGGTTTTGCGGAATGCGAGAAATGACATCAAGGGCTGTTAAGCCCGAGATTTTGAGTTGACTCTTGCCAACGCACATGTGCTCTCCATTGCCATCCGAACCGTAGGATTCGAGATCCAGCGATTGCTCCAGCGATCCATCAGCGGGCGGGCCTCAAATGGTTGGGTGCGGGCCTGCTGGCTCGAAATGCAAGGCGGTCTCGGACCCTCGACAACTCTGCGAAGTAGGCGGTTATTACTCGACGATGCGAGGTTGGCTGGTCTCGTGAACAGGCGAGGCCACACCTCAGGATGCAATTCCCCCTCAGGGATGATAAGATAAGACGAGCCAGACATGGGGTAAGGTAGGTAGGTCAACAACCGGATCGCAAGGATCGTCTTGTCGGGGTATTCGTATCCTTTGATTCATCCCCTCTTCGAGAACAACACCGGACACGAGATAATGACCGTGGATATCCCGTGTTCGGTATGCGGGTACGACGAACGAGGACGGACAACGTTGAGCCGCGTTTGTCGACGGGCAGGCAGTTTGTCCCAGATATACACCTTTCCCGTGATATCTCGGCCAGTTCGCTGGATCGAAGATAGTCCTCCTGGAAAACATGCTAAAAGCCAATGGCGCCGCTCCCAAGCGCCTGGATGCAGTGGCTGCAGGAAGCCAGCTCCAATACGGGAGGAGGTCGGGTTGCACGGCGCTAGGCTAGGCGGCACTGCTTGGAGTGACCTGTAGCTAACCATTCGGTGCCGCATCTGCTATTGCAGGGCACCTTTCCCTCCACCTGTCAGAACTCAACTTGTGGCTGTGGAAGATCAGGCCAGCCAAAGACAAGGTGCGGTTCGGCATGCAGAAATATGTTGTTGTGACTTGTTGGACAGCCAGCCGTGCATCTCCGGAGCCGAGTTATGGCGACAGAGGACAAAGTCTTTGCTCCGTCTGAGTTGGCCGCACCGCTCGGCCCAGCCGTGTAGACTTCTCACTTCCTGTTCCACTATTTCTCAACTGATGATGGCCGTTGCAGGTCCACGCGGGGTTCTCGGAAAGTTGATGTCGCGGAATAAGCTAAGGTACTAGAAGTCGCAGCACTGGCATCTTTTGGGTTCGGAACCGAAGAATGCCCCCCAGAAGGTCATTGCGTGCGGTGCGGAAGCCCCGAGACGCTTGAGGACGGTCCTCTTGGGAGAAAGTAAAGACGAGGTTATTCCTTGCAACTATCCAGAGCAATGACTTCGGGCCGGTAAGGGATGATAGGATGCATGTCCATTGATTAAGATAACTTTGCCATGGCTCATCTTGAATCTAACAGCGCCTCGTTTGCACGTCATTCATCAACGTTGAACCGGTGTTAGAGCGGATGGGGCGACTGAGAAGTCCAGGTTCAAACGAATTTCCAGCGGCCGAGGCGAGCTTCACTGGCTTGACTGAGTATCGAAGTAGCATCGAGGAAGCTGTCTGCTGCTAATCTATTAGCTTCGGAACGTTGCGGCAGTCATTCGGTACCTCATGCGGGGGATGCCGTCGGCGAGAGCGGACAAAGGCCAGCGACAATGATGGCTTGTGACAGGCGGCTGCGATGCGATTGGAAGGCAGTACCAAGTCAGTCGCCCTTCCATCTTTCACCAGCCATCTCGGTCCTAGGTTACGAACTGGTGCAGAGCGGACTAGGATGCCTCCTGCAGCTCGGGCTCCAGCACAAGCCATGATCCATGAGGCCATGCTGCCGCTAGCGACTATTACCATGCCGTGACATGCAATGCCATGTATTGCACGAGAAGAAGAGCAAACGACCTGAGCTTGTCTATCATTGACAATTGCTCGAGATGAGGAGGATTGGCCTGCTTGACTTGAACAGGTTGAAAGACGGACTGGGCTGCTGAGTTTGGCGGCACATGGCTCGGTACCCGTCCATTGGCAATCCTTGGACAGTCCGAAGAAATGGCGGGAGGGGTGAGGCCGGCGATGTATCGGTAGATGGAAGGTCGGTGACCGGTCCCGATGCAACGGCGAGAAGTGTATTTTGGAGGTTGCAGTACATACGATATGTTGGCATTAGAAGTGCGGACAGGAAACTGGAGTTGACGATTGAGATAAGGCGAGGTCAGGTACCTACGCACCTTAGGCAAGCAGGCAGGTACTTTTTGCAATTGTAATTTTGACGGCAGTTGCGCTGGTGGGAGTTTCATTTCGGTTCTTCGTAAACCTCTCAGCTCCTTCCTTCCTTCCTTTTCTTCCTGCGACGATCCTACTCAATTGACTTGTATGTTCGTAAGGTGCAATTCACCATTCATCTTCCATACGTTATTTGTCTAATGCAGTGTGGAAGGTACGGTAGTTGAGCAACATCCCTCTTGACTCGCTCGGAGCATCTGCTGAAGTGCGTTACATGCGCGAGTACCAAGGCAAGTAGTCAGGTAGGTAATCTAACAGCAAGGTAGGCCGATCTACATCTCAACTTCTGCACCGTTCAACTTAGGTACGAAGTATTCACATCTGCATTCACCGCGTTGCATCTACCTGACTCAGTTCCAGGAATTTTGTCAAATCACACCCTCCGTCGGTCTGCTTTGCGTCGTTGGCAAGCCCGCTGGATCGAATCCCGTCGTCTTGCTGCCACTAGCATTCAAAAAGTCACCTCATTTCCTCCATCACCAAACCACCGCTGACGTATTATCACATTGCGCATCCTTGCCTCGAGAATCGAGGCACTCACAGCTCTACCTTACGGATACGCTGCCGGTATTCGGATACCTTGCGCACTTTCAGCACCCTCGTTCCTACTCAGTCTCACCAGTGAACCCTCGTCAGCCACCGCGCCAGGTTACTTTCGTCTCCAACGCCATCATCCATGGCATTGGCAGCACTGGTTGATAATCTCGACAAGCCATCTTAGGCTGTTCCGGGGCTGATCCGTCTGGAGTGATCCATTGACTCGGGACAAGCAGCCACCGGAGCCATGACTTATATGAATCCCCGACGGGACGAGAGACACACGAGAGGCGCGAGGCCCAGTCCGATCCAGTGCAATCCAGTCTACACAATAATTAATCATCCCGACGTACATTCACCGCTTTCGGAGCCTCACAAACCGTCAATCAGTGTCATCGGCATTGCCCTGGCGCCCATTTGACACAAATCAGCACTGCCAGTTACAGTTTTGGAGTGCCAGGACCAGCGCCAGCGTCATTACCGTACCGGTCTCCGAGCCATCAGCGTCAGCGTCAGCGTCAGGCGCCAGCCTCTCTTCTCCAATCCAGTAATCCCGAGGCTCAAAGCCACCAGAGCGACGCCTCCCTCTCTCTCTCTCTCTCTCGTTTCGCCCACCCTTAAACACGACCCTGACTCCATCGTCCCCATCAGCGTTGTCTCGACCCCCGCCCCATCGGATCTACCAACCTACGGCTGACTACACCCACTACTGAGTCCTGACCAGTGACCACCGACCAACGATGACCTTCCTTCGGTTATACGGATGGTACCTGGGTACCTCGGACGCACACGTACGCTGTTCACTGCCTGTTCTCTTTGCAGCAGGGAAACACCCACTGTTCCGGCTGAACAAAGAACAGGGAACCTCGACTTTGGTGAGTCGAGCCTCTCTTTCTTGTTGTACGGATACCCCCTACCCTGGATTTTCTGGTAGTTCACTTGACCTCTCACACCCACATGGCTGTGCACCGATATCCGCCGCTTCCACTGCAACTGGAGCCGCTGCAACTGCTGAAGCCAGTACCCTTCCCAACGCGTCACTTGACGAGTTGTCGCCAGTGTACGCATACGCAGTAATAGTCTGCCGGGCTGGCTGGGGCCCAACATCTGGCCCAAGTTTACGGACACCGCATCTCTGCTACGACCTCGAGTTCCGTATCTCGTGCAAGGCCAAGTACGGATACCTCCTGTCATCATTGTTCCATTGGATTCTGCATGCGCAAACGGAAACGGCTACCTTAGCACTCTGCGTGGCATGGATGGCACTGGGGACACCGTGGACACCGTGGACCGCAGAATGGTCTGGCCGTGCATTGCATGGCAGCGCATCGGAGCGCAACTCAGCAGATGTCCATCTAGCGCGGATGAGTGCTTCCACTTGTTTAGCTGAGGAAGAGGAGGGAAGAGCGAGGAGGAGGAGGGCCCTGAGGTGTGTGTTTGCGTATGTGGTGTTGTGGCCACACCCCCCACCGTCCAAACTGAAGACTTCAGAGTAACTCTCGCTCACTCCCGCAGCCACAAGCTCTCTCTTCCCGGCCGTGGAGTTGTGAAGTCCACCCAAGAGTGGCAGACTAACAGGCTGAAAGTGGTGAGGTAAGCCGCCTGGGAACGCCTCACCTCGTTGCTTGGGTCTCCGTTTTAATCAATCCTGCATTGGCGCCTCCGATGAAGTGTGCCCTGCATGTCTATTTTCCCAGTAAATAACAACATAATCCACCCCCCTCCCCAGACCAGACCCAAAGCTCCACCAGCCACCCTGTCCCCTGCTCCACGTCTGTTGTTCCTTGTCTTGTCTTTGGTTGTCATTGTGAGCGCTTCTCCCGCCTTCGACCTGGCGCCTGGCTTGCCTGGCTGGACCTGGACCCGGTCCTGCCTCTCTGCTTATTAGATCATCATTGACCGACTGACACAATTCGCCTCCAGTCTTCTTCTAATACTTCTACTCACTCATCACCTCTGATTTACTTCCCTCTTCTCTCCTTCTTTTTCTCCTTCTCTCTCTCTCACGTCTCCCTCATCCCACTTCGGTCTCTTCACACCTCTCGCCTCGCCACGCAAGCTGCTGGACCCCAACGAGTCATCCTCTGCGATCAAGTCCGATCTCGTCTCTCGACGCCGCAGTCTACAAACCCAACCAACGTCGCTCTCCGACGAATACACCCGTAAACAAATCGTCTTCCCCCCCAAACAACTACCCATCATGCCTCAGAAGAAGATCCGCTGCACCTTCAAGGAGTGCAAGGATGCTGCTCAACGCATCGTTGGCGACTGCGGATTCTGCAACGGCCACTTCTGTGGCAAGCACCGCCTCTTGGAGGACCACAAGTGCGACGGCTTGGAAGACGTAAGTTTTACTTCCGGAGTACCATCCTCATGGTTATTAGGACTCGGCACTGTATTGCAAGATGAAGGACTCATTTGCTAACTTGACTGCTCAGTGCAAGAAGCAATCACATGAGCGGAATGCAGCACAACTCGAGAGCGAGCGCACGCAAGTTATCCGCGGGGTATAATCGGATCGACAATATCGAGACCGATCCTGATCGCCCTCCGCCATGGTGCTCGCGCAGTCACACACACATACACACGGCGAGATGCCACGAGCTAGCTCACAAGGCCGGATACAGCGTGGATTACACCACACCAAGAGCTGTCAAGCCAGTCCACAGCGCAAGGCTCATTCCTTATCGCACGTCCTATCCATATCTTTGGACCTCTGCACGACGCATGGATCAGTTATTTTCGACACAGTTATTTGCGAGATTTTGCAGCTCGCATTCATAATGCTGCAGCGGTAGCGACGGCGGCGACAACAGCGTTTCTGTTTGGTCTCCGCGTCATTTGCACGATTCAGAGCGGCATCCCGTCCGAATCCTTACACCAATGATGTGTATCATACTTCGGCTTAGGATAGTTCGGCTTCATACTTCTTCCGCAAGGCGTACCGGCGTATAGTTTATTTGGAGCGGCCGCCAAGGAGAATTTGGCCATCAAATTTTGACAATATTTCAAACCATTTTACTCAAGTCTTCACCACTGCCCGACACTATGCTCACTACCATTTGACAAATGCATGTTTTATGACTAACAAACTCACTTTGAACTACGATGTTCCACGCCGTGCCACATGCTGTGGCAGTGGCAGTGGCAGTTCCGGCAGCGGAGTAGCCGCGAGTCGCCGGGGTCAGTTCGGAGAGTTATCCGCCATTTCAGCCGAATGAAACCACGGACGAACATTACAAAGTGCGTCAGAACTTTGACCCTTTTTTCTCTCACTCAGTCACCTCCTTGTTCCAGAACATCCATCAAAGGAGAGGCGGAGGGAGAAGGGGCGCCCGGCGGGCAAAGACAATTCTGTTTTTTCCTTAGGTCCCCCTGCAAGCCGTGGCACGCCGTGCTTCATATGGCCGCTTTCGTCGTCCTCTGACCTCGCGAGTCAGCCACAACTCTTTCCGCCATCCCCCATCCCCTTCCCCCTCCGCCCACGCCGATTTTCCACACGTCACGAAAAGCTACTTTCTTATTGAAGTGGACGACAATGACGGCACCAGTGAACCACGGGTCCACGGGGGATCAGAGCACGGGCGCCGCTGCGGCTGCCCACTACATACAACGGGGCGAATACCGATTATCCCGGCCTATCTCCGATATCGTATCTCACACAGTCACAATCGCCCCCATCATTCTGCCACCGTCTTTCATCTTCTCTCAACGCAGTCGTCTGCCCGGACCAGCTGACAACTCACCACAACACAGTACACACAGTGTCGGGAACGACCGGCAGGCACGGCAATGACTCTTCAACTCCCTTTTTCCGCAGGGCCACCTCAAAATTCGGAATTCCTCCGAATTTGTTCGGGTCCCCCGCTTCTCCACCGACCCCCGAGAACGAGACAAGTAGGACCCCGGTCATTCCGCTGGTTCACTGGTCGCGTGGTCGATTTGTCGTTGCCGGCGGACGGCACGTCATTTCTGCGATTTCCGCCCCTGGCGTTGATGTTGCACATTACCGTCTCCGTACCGGACACCGCACAAGAAACGGTCTTGCCGATATGGGCCAATCACTTCATTTACGACAAGTGTTGTACCTGTACAATAGTTAGGTCTCTATCTCGCCCTACTACCGGGATAGGCCGCTTCTGCGACTTCTTCGCGGTGCATCCGGTTCATCACCAACCGCCGGCTCTGATACCGGCTCCGGCTGCTCCGTCTCTTGATTCACAACCGCGTCACGAACAACTTGCTCCTCCTTGACAACCTCTTCCGTCTTAATGACCACGTCTTCGTCTTCCTCCTCCTTCACCTCGACCTTGACCTCCCTCATCCTACGCCCCTCATTCACCTTCTTCCTCTCCGCCGCCTTACACAACCCGCCTAACCCGAGCTCGCAATCGCCGCACTTGCGCCCGACAGGTAAGCAGACCGTCTGGCCGAACCCGACGAGTAGCCAGTTGATCTCGCGCCACTTGTCCTTGGGCAGCCAGCTCTGGAGCGCGTGCCGCGTCGCCTCGGGCTGCGTCGTCTTGTGCCAGCCCCAGAGGTTCGTGATGCGGTGCACGTGTACGTCCACGCCGATGCCCTCGGTGCGATCCCAGGCCGCAGAGAGGCAGAGATAAGCCATCTTGGGGCCTACGCCGGGTAGGGAAGTGAGGCCTTCGATCGTGTCGGGGATGTCGCTGTTGAATTTGTCGCGGAGGATGATGGCAGCTGCTTTGATGAATCTGGTAGCATCCAACATTAGCATTTTTGGTTTCCATGCCACTTACACCCATACCAAACAGCACCGCTCCCAAAGCGTATGCATCGCCAAAAGAATGAGGAAAGGAACAACATACTTTGTCTTATTATTATGAAACCCCACCGCCCAAATCAACTCATTCAGCAGCGCAGGTTCCACAGCCAACACATTCTCCAAACACAATCCCCCCTGCGCGCCCTCCTCGTGCGGCGGCAGCTCCGTCATCAACCTCTTCATCGCCACCGCGTTGACCGTATCTTTCGTCTGGCTCGAGAGCATGAGCGCAATCAGGATGTGGAAGCGCCGGTCGCGTTCCGAAGCGTCGGGGTGGAAGAGGCGTTCGCAGCCCATTGTGTCGACGGCGGCGTTGCGCGCTGCGCCGTGGAGGCGCATTTCTTTGACGGCGTTGTAAATTTCGAGCCAGTCTGTTGGGGGTTCGACGTGTGTTGTAGAGGAAGAGGGGGATGTGCCGCGGATTGTGCGTGCTGCTTTACGGGTTTTGCGGGCTTTCGGAGGGGTTGCTGGTGATGGTGTTTCGGTTTCGATGTGTTCGGTTTTGATTCTAGTTCGTGACTTTGATGTCGTTCTTGGTGGTGGTGCTGCTGCTGCTACATCTGTGACACTCTGCTCGTCTTGTGCTTCCTCCTCTTTGAAAACCCGTCTCCGTTTCCTACTCCGCGAGTCGGGAACCGCATCTTCAATGTCGGCGACGCCTAGGACTATATCGTGGAGCGCGGCTTCCGTGGCTGTCGCCTTGAAATCCGCCGCAGAGGTCGTTGAATTCGATGCGTATGCGAACCGCGCAAGCGAAGATCTCGTCGTCCGGCGGGTCTGTGGCGGCGGCGGCGGCGATGAAGCTGCCGCTGTCATCTTGTTGAAGAGCGCCGACGTCTCTTTTGCTAGCTTCGAGGTCTTCATCGTGAAGTGAGTTGCGTTATCCTATGCTTTCGATTCATAGCGCTACGATGGCGGACATTGGGATCTTGAAGCAAGATTGCGCGAAGCGTTAGAAGATGTCACTTTTCTGGCTTCTTCCCGAGCTGATGTATCCGTATGTTTGACAAACGAGACGTAGCTTGTCAGAAGAAATGGCAAGCTCCCGTCGTCAACGACGCAATCGACTTTGGCACACCCCCCTTCAACGCGCCCAACGCGCCGTCGGCGTAATCGTAAACCCATTGGTTCTCGACTACTCGTCCCGCCCACGGACCACCTGTGTGGCTTGTGAATTAAGAGCCGGGGGGTGTGCGAGACCCCTGTGGACACCACGCCTGTTCCAAGCCTAGTGCCGCCCGGATAGCCGGGATTGCCAGTCTGCTTAAGCGAGAAGTTTGTATCCTTGTCCGTATGACGCTCCTACCTAGGTATTCTCACCCGGCACCAAGGTACTTTGGATGTAGGTATGTGACGTTGGGAAGGGAATAAGCAGAGGAAGATGGAGGCGGCTCTGCAAGTAGGGTCTTTTTCGAGCCCTGGCTACCTAAGATGAATATTGCAGCGTTGTTGTTTTATTGAGGGGTGTTTGTTGTAGTAAGGTGTTGATCCGGGTTAAATCCCGTAGACCAGCTGCCTACCCTGGAGCTAGATAATCACCGGAATAGCAGCCATATTTAGTAGGCAATATTTGACTGGAATGACACATACCAGCACGCCGTCTCCGGTAATGTTTACGTTCTATACACGGGGTGCAAACAAACAGCTCAAGTTTGAATCTTCTTGGGCTGTAAAGCCTATATACGACAATCACGCAGGTTTCAAAGATCTGTGGTGGGAGAAACGTACGGCTGATCATGATTTGTACAGGAGGTAACTTGAACTCTCCGAGAGGAGCATTAACTCTAAATCCATCGCTTCTCCAACTCCAACTCCGACTCCAAATAAAACAACACAAAACTACCTCGTCTAGACCGTGAACTCTTCGTTAAGCCAGTGCTTGAGCACGACGTGGCCCTCGCTAAACGTCTTCTTCTCCCAACGCACAATAATAGCAGCATGGCTGTGCCTGTCCTTGTGGATCCAAACGGGGTACTTGTGCCAACCCACAGAGTCAAGGGCCTGAATCATCTGGAACTGGTAGGGCGCCAAGGCGAGGGTAGGCTGCGACGGCACCGACATGCGCCTTTCCCTAGCCAGGAGCTGCGTGGTGCTGCGGTCCATTTCGACCTCGTCAAGATCCTCCTCCGATTCACTGCCCAGGAACTCTTGGTCTTGTGAGCTGTTGAGGGTCTCGTACACGTGTTCCACCTCTTCCCGAATCTCCTTCATCCACAGCGGGCCGCGGTATTCATCAATTGCCACGCCCGCGAGCCCCTTTTCGTGCAATTGAATGCGTTTCGATGAACGGACCGTCTGGACGACTGAGCTGAACAGGAACGCAATTATACCAATGGGGACGAAAATCGTCAAGGCTATGGCGAAGGGAACGCGCTTGATCCATTTCCAGCTTGAACCGGCGACAGACGAAAGCGTGGCCGGCTCCGAGATCTTTGGCTTTGGCGCCACGGGATGATTGGGGTCGAGAATGACATCTTCGTAGCCGTCCAAGAAGTTGGCCTTGATCTTGTCGACGTTGGTGTAAGGGTCGGTCTTGGTAATGCCGGTAGTATAGTGCACGGCACTTCTGTCGTTGACGATATTGGTGTATAGGGTGTGACGTTTAAATCGCTTTAGTCCGGCGATGAAAATGGAGTCTGGATCGGCCAAAACGGCAAGGAGTGGTCGACCGGTATCGCGGAAATTGTCGATGGTGAACAGCTGACGGCCGGACATGGACAGGGTGCGAGCTCCGAGAACATTCCACAAGTGATTGTGCCATCCCCGGAGTGGTGTGCGGACGCCGAGGTGTGGCGTGGCAAAGGTCACAAAGTTCTACTACAAGTTAGTCGCTATCGTCCTTTACTGCGTCGAGAGATCTTTCTCTCACCATGCATTCCACGGTATCGAGTATGCCCTTGGAGTGAAGCAGGCCAACGGCGTAGCGGGAGACGAGACCTCCGAGCGAGTAACCGACGATGCTCAGCTTGGTGATCTTGCCGCCCTTCTCCTCAATAAGGCGCAGTTCCTCCTCGATCTCGGCGCACACGCGCTCACCACCACGCTCGATACCATCGTACGTGAAAGAGCCACTGTTTCGCTTCGCAAGCAGCAGGTGTAGCTTGTCGGCGGAGTACTTGGCGCGCAAGCTTTTGGCGATCTGGGCCATGTGGTTGGGGTTACCCCAAAGCTATGGAGCCGAGGCGGCGTTGCGTTAGTTCAGAAACATTCATGACGTCGTGGGGGAACGGTGCTGCAGTCTGCAGACGGGTGCAGAAAGGGAGAAGAAGACAGGGAATAACGTGTAAGGTGTAGAGGTAAACTCACCCCATGGACCAGGACGCAGAGATGGTCGGCCTCTGCGGTGCCTCCGGTGTAATCCATTAGATAGTCGTAGGATGAGATCAGGGACCGGTTAATAGAGCGAACTGAGAAGGGTAACAACGTTGAAAAAAGTTGCGATGGAGAACGTCGAAGGGAAGCTCCAGTGGGACGCGCTCCGAGTTAAATTCTCGGGGCGACCACAAGAGTCCCTCCAACGGACAATTCGTGAAGCCCGACCGTCGAGGTGGAGGGGGGGGCGTCTGAAGTCCGCTCAGGACAGTGGACAGCTGCTTGTTGGCGGGTTGAAATTCAATGACACCAACACTGCTCTGGGCCCCAACACCGGGCTCTCCCGCACGCTGGCGGAGCGGCGTTTGCTACTTTGTCGCCCGTAATGCTGGAGGGGCGTATGCAAGTCCCCTGGATTTAAGGGGGAGATAAGGCGGCTTAGCACCACGATTGCTCCGGTAGTCTCCTGTGGTGGTATGCTTCCAGGCGCGCGATTGGGCGAGGGTACCGTGCGCCGCGTGGCTTCAGCGGTCTGATGATTCCTCCTTGTCTCCTTTGCAGGCTGCAATTACTCGCCCAAGCTTTTTGTTGATTGGGCAGAGTCGGTGTTTGCCTGCTAACCACACCTCGTACTTTACCCTGAGGTAACTAACCTTACCAAGGGTAAGCTGTCGGTGAGGTAAGGTAGGGATTGAGGAACCTAGACAGTAGACAGGAATGGAATGCGCGCACGCGACGTCTCGATTGGGACTTTGCTGATAAAGTGGAGGGAGCTGCAGTTCGCAGCCGTTGGTGGGGTGGAATCAGCTTGTCGGGATTGCGACCCGTGACGACACCTCAAGCTGCAAGTCTCTCCGTTTGTAGGTAATCCTGGGTTGGGTGAGCTCGCAAGATGGTCAATTTCGGGGAACAACTCGAGAGTAAGTTGAAGGGATGAAATCGTGCCGCGAGGTGGTGAGGACCCTGAGCCGAGCTGGCGCGCCGGCCTCCCACACGTCGCTGGTGCGTGAGAACCCAATTCCGAGTTGGACTTTGGTGTTTTGTGTTCATCCGCGAGGTACGTCACGGCGATCTCCAGCTTTCGCGAGCGCGTACTTCATCCAAGAGGATTGCTTCGTTGTGCAACTTTCCGTTCAGCCAAGGCAAAGGTTCTCAGAGCGAAGCTTGCGTCTAGGTGGTGGGCATTGGGCGCCTCATTTATAGACGGCCCAAGATTGAAAAGATAGCATCGCACAGGAGGCAAGCCAAGTTGGTTTGTGAACCCCTCGCTTCATCTTGCTCCTTGATAACGATTTCCTCGATAAACAGCCCAACACGGGAGTGACACTGACAGGCAGGACATACCTCCCGGCCGTACTCAGACACTTGCCTACACAGTAGACTCTGCACTACGGGGTATTCACCGCCAATAGCTCTTGTCCAACCGTTGCACCGCGATAGGCAAGTCCATCCTCGAGACCAGGGCTGCCCATGGTTTCGCCCTTTTGCTTGGTGCCACTGCCACTAGCACTCGCCGGGGCTCTGATACCGCAGTCCCGTTATCAGCGGGCAAGAATAGCTGGCGGCTTGGTTCGGTTGGCGGGCGTCTTTTTGGCTTTTGACTCTCCTGCTCTGCGTCTCTATCTGCGTGTCTCCGTCACCCTGCCCATGCAAGGAAGGTCCGAAGGCTGCATTCTTATTGTTGTGCCCCGTATGGAGTACATACGCAGTAGTAACTCAACACCTCAAGAACGAGGGGTTGTGGTGGATAAGGGAGGACAGGTTGATCACCAGGTCCATCATATCACATGCGAGACTATGTCTGTGCCGCCCCGCGCGGATCCGATAAGAGATGTCGGATCTGACGAGCCGCGAGCACAAACAAATGAGAGCACGGCGGGGCTTGGCCATGCTGGCGTCAGATGTAGGTACTGAGATTGATAAAGTGCAATGTGACGGAAGAGCAGTGCAGGTGGGAGTCGTCAATCAAGCCCCATCTGTAGTGTACTGCATGTCTGCTGTAAGTGATAAACACAGTCTTTCCCATGATGTAAGCATCTCAGAGTTGTCTTGGCGTGGGTGGAAATGCCCGTGTGTACCGAGTATGTGCACAGTATTATCGGGCTGAATCCTGGGCTTCCAAAAGATGAGACGGTGGATGAATTAGAGTTTGCGTGCCTGGACTACCAACTAACGTCGGCAAGGCTCCTCCTGGAGGGTCCTGGACGACCATGGAGGGAGATATCGCGGACCTACCGATTTCTCCAAAATTCAGGAACGAAGATGCCGGCCTTATTCAGAAAAGTGACAGGTCGACAGCAGACCTGGCTTCCGTGGATGGCCTTGCCGTTTTCGGGTGTTCGTATGCAGGCAGGCCGCAAGCTACAAAAGTTGATTGATGGTTGGGAAACTCTCAGCTTGACTCAGGTGGGTGATGTAACGAGCGTCGAAACAACTTTCGGTGTAAAAGGACAAGAAAGGGTGCAACCCTGAAGGCTGAAGCTCGATTGCAGTCTTTCCTAGGTTGTCATTTCGGTTGATGAGCTAGACCATTTCCCGTCGCGTGCTGCCTATCTTGCCAGGGCATGGACGTCTCGGCAACCTGGATCGTTGCGTGCCCTCATTGCGTGGCAGGGGAAGGTGACGACAAAGTATTCAGAATGCATTGGAAACTGCAAGATCCAGACCGACAGTGGAGATGGGTGCATCTCCATCAAGTACGGAAAGATCCAGTGCTATTCTCGGTCAACGGCCCCACTAGAGCTTCAAGCTGGCCTTACACAGTAAATACGCACCTTAGGTAATCCTTCCAGGCGCTCGGAGCCTCCCTTCATCCCAACTCCGACAAGATTCGAGACACATCAACCATCTGTGACACTGTCCCAAACAAACTCATCTTTATGCCTTGGATATTCCCGTTATCGTCTTTTTGCATCATCACCCAATCTTACTTCATTCTTGTGTCAGCCTCGCCCGGTCTACGCGCCACAACCGACCAACGTCCCCTTTGTCCGTGGACCCGCGAATTCTCCGACTGGAACGTCACAACCTAACCTAACGACATTGGCCCCATCTGTGTCTACGTCTGCGTCTGCTTTCTGCCATTTTGGCTATGAGATCCTCGCACCATTCCCCCGGATCTTCGAGGCCTTAATCGGCGCTTTCACACTCAATCTACCTCTATCCCTTCGAGCTCACTTAGGCTTTATCCCACACCAACAGCCAGTAGTCTCACCCCACTCTCTCTCTCTACCGTTCACAGCTTCCTCCGTGTATACCCTCCAACGTATACTTCCGTCTGCAAACGAGGCTCTGGCAGTCTCCCATCTCCGTCGCCTTCGTTCCTTCTCTTAGCGGTGTGGTAACAGACGAAGAAGGAAGCAGCCGCGCCTGCCGGTCCTGCCATTGTTTAACAGAACCATTGTACTTCTACAGCGTCTGAGGAAAGTCTTGTCACAATGTCCTTTGTAGACCTCAAACACATTCCCTGTCCCAAGGGAGAGCAATGCACAGCTTTCATGTGCCTTTTCCAGCATAAAGCAGACAGGGATAAGATGGCGGCACCATCAGCACCGGCACTCAACGCGTCAGGAACGTCGGCAAAAAGGTCGACTGATACCACGACGGATGCAACCCGGGATGGCCCTCGAAAGCGTCTGAAGGTTGCCCAAGACGTCAGAAACCCCGCCGATTCTACAAGTCCTCCCACTCCTGTCAAAACGACCTCAAAACAAGACGTTACCGCACCAAGACCAGATGACACTCTGTCACCTGTCGCTCGGCCCATCTCACCTCCACCTTTAAAGCGTCCATTAGCCTCCTCTTCCTCCACGGTCGTGAAGAAGCTTCCACAGTCTAAACCAGTCGCACCTTCTCTCGCTTCTTCGTCCGACCTCAGGAAGTCACTGAATCACTCTGCTCCAAGCAGGTCCTCTCCTTTAACATCGTCTATTAATCCTCCAACCAAACGCAAGGCTGATTCACCTGCCACCACTACTACTACATCTTATTCTTCCCCAGTAAACCCAACTTCAATACAAAAAGACACTCCTTCCACCCCATCCAAGACCGACCCTCCTAAGAAGATCAGGAAGGCCGAGGTTCTCAACCCTCGTTTACTCAAATCATCACCGGCAAAGTTTGAGATACGATTCAAGCTAGTGCAACTGCTACATGAGCAATACGCCCGCCTGAACAACGAGCTCAAGAAGACTGCCAAAGACGCAGAAGAGAAGCAGCTCCTTCTCACAGATCAAGATCTCATTTGGAGAGTCCTTGACGAAGAAGAGTCCACGGCGATAGAGAAAGGCGCCATCTACTCAAACGTAATCAAGAACAAAATCATGCAGTACAAAAAGATGACACTCCTTCAGTGGAAGGAGGAGAGGGTCGTTCAACGCCGCCAGACGACTCAAAAGGGCCCTCACAACAAGGCTACCGCTCCTCCCAAGAAGATTGTTACCGGCTTGACCCCGGCCCAGGAAGTCCAGCTTGTTCGCCAACTCATCACCCCCATCGACGGCCTTGCCGCCCACGGCTACGTCTCCTCTGTCCCTGCCGAGGCCGACATCCAGAAAGCCCGTGAGGGTCTTGATGCTGCAAAGGGTTGGGAGAAGTGTGACCGCTGCGACAAGCGCTTCCAGATGTTCCCCGGAAGAAGAGAAGAGGATGGGGCTCTCGCCTCTGGTGGCAGTTGCACCTTCCACTGGGGCAAGACCTACTTTCCCGAGCGCCAGTTGGGCGATAGATCTCAGCAACCCAAACGCTACCGATGCTGTGGGCAGGCTGTTGGAGACTCTGCCGGCTGCCACTCCAACGCTCACCACGTTTTCAAGGCATCAGATCCCAAGAGACTGGCTTCCGTTCTCAACTACGCCGAGACGCCTGCCAACCCCAATGCTCCCACCGATAGAGCTGTTGGCTTCGATTGCGAAATGTGCTACACAGTCCATGGCCTCGAGCTCATTCGCCTAACTGCAACATCATGGCCTACTGGAGAAGAGCTATTGGATGTGCTTGTTCAACCCATCGGTGAGATCCTTGATCTCAACTCTCGCTACTCGGGTGTGTGGCCTGAAGACATGGCATCCGCCGAGCCCTGGACTGCAAAGGAGCAAGATCCAACTCCTGCCCAGGCGAAGAAGATGTCGAGCCCCAAAAAGACCAAGAAGAAGATGAAGATTGTGTCGTCGCCCGAAGCTGCTCGCGACCTTCTCTTTGCCCTCATCAGTCCCGAGACTCCACTAATTGGACACGGACTGGAGAATGACTTGAACGCCGTTCGCATCGTCCACCCTACTGTCATTGACACCGTTCTTCTTTATCCTCACAAGCACGGCCTTCCGTACCGCCTTGGCCTGAAGATGCTCATGGACAGCCTTCTCAACCGTAAAATCCAAGTTGAGACGGCTGGCAAGGTTCAGGGACACGACAGTGCGGAAGACGCCCGGGCTGCGGGAGATCTCGTGCGCCTGAAGCTGTCCGAGGAATGGAAGAGCATGAAGCTCAAGGGTTGGAAGCTGGAGGGGGGTGAGTTCGTGCCGCCTGGTGGTAAGGTGGACGATTTCAATGGTCACTTGACTGCCGAGTTTCTTGAATCTGCCCTTTAGAGCCGGGTGGGCATAGCACATGGGTGATTTTACGAGAGAATGAGCTGGCGTTAGGGAGGACATGGGGTCCTCAGGTAAATGATGCCTTGGGTCGATGGGCTTTTGCAGTTATGATACCTGCCCTACATGGGTTTTCTTAATACTAATTGGTACATGGGACCATTCTCACTCAGCTACTCTTGACGTCTTTTTGCACCATGTGACTGCTCATGTGCGATTATTTAACGTGTACCTATTTATGCATTACGTGACAAAATAGCCGCCTAGTATTCCTTAATCCATCGGACAAGTATCGTACCGTTCGCACCAGGGGGCAAGAGGGGTCGATACACAATGACTGTTGATCACAGACAACTCAAACATCGTGAAATCAGGGGATGTGAAGTGACCAGAACGCATATGAGAGAAGCATGTGTGGAAATGTCGACGAGACCGACTTTTTACCTTTCTATGAGACTGTTTGATATATCGCAAGTGCTCTCGGTACCCGTCTTGAGGTGCTTTCAGGGTCCTCTCAGAGGTATGAATACAAGAGAGAGCTCTGCCTCTCACAACCAACGCGTACACTTCACAGCTTAATTCTTCAGCCCGCCCGTAGGTTGGGCTTTCACACAAACCAAGGGTACGGCACGAAACAAATGTGTGTGGAAAGGCGGCAGAATTCATTGCCCTATGATTACACTTATTGAAGCGGTGACTTGCCTTCAAAGTCTATAGTACAGCGTCGCCCTTTTTTTCTTCACTACTTCATCCACTCCTTGACATCGTGACAAACCAGTTTACGGCCGGCCCACGTTCAACAGCATCTGGTTACCGCTCTTGCCGCCGCTAGGCAAGTACGCGACATTCGGATTCGACGACAGCGTCGCCGCGATGTCCCGCGCGGCCTCAATCTTTCGAATCTGCACGAGGCCGTCGCCGTTCTTGGCGATGGCCTTGCTGATCGTCTCGGCGGACTCGGCCTCGCCCTCGGCGCGGATGACGTTGGCCTGGCGCTCCTGCTCGGCCTTTTCGACGATGAAGCGCGCGCGCTCGGCGTCCTGCTGGGCGATCTGCTTCTGCTCGACGGCCTTTGTGAACTCCTTGCCGAAGGTCATGTGCGTGATGGAGACGTCCTCGAGGGCGATGTTGAACTCGGCGGCGCGCTTGCGGAGGTCGGAGCTGATGCGCTGGGAGACGGCCTCGCGCTGGGTGATGAGCTCGGCGGCGTCGAACTGGGCGACGATGGACTTGAGGACCTCGTTTCCGATGGAGGGGAGGACTCTCTCGTCGTAGTCTTGGCCGAGGTTCTGTGGTGGGTAGTTTGTCAGCGTATGTTGTACTATTCCAGCATAGAACGAAGAGTGCTTCAGACAGAAGACAGAAAAAACTCACCTGGTAGATCTTAGGGAGGGCCTGGACTTCGGGCCGGTGCAGCACACGGAGGGTCAGGCTGACCATCTGGAGATCCTTGCTGCCCGTCGTCGTCGCGATGTTTCTCGGCTTCGTCCGCACGTCAAAGATGATGCTCCTCTGCAGCCACGGCACGAGGAAGTGCGTGCCCTCGTTGATGACGGCGTCCTTGACACCGGACATCCTGTCAAAGATGACTGCTCTGGATCCACCCTTGACATCGTAGATTGACGACTGCACAACCGCGATACCAATGGCCGCAGGGACGGCCATGCGGTACGCAAAGCCCAGAGCTTGAGCCATTATGTCGGATGGCGGATGGAAATGTGGCTGGGGTTTCGTTTGCGTTACAAGGAGGGGGCGTCTCAAGTCCGCTGGAGGGTATCGCGGGCTATCCGAGTTGAGCTTCGAGGGGCGGGTTCGTGGTGGTGGGCTGGCGGTGCAGTGTATCCGTCAGGACTGAAGCTTGCCGAAAGCTCCTCTCACCAGAATGCGGCGGCGGTAAGCTCCGTCATGGAATTTTGGGACGCACTGGGTGACCGGGGTGGTCGGATGGGTGGTGACGGTTCGAAAGGGACAGTCTGCGCTAAGCCGTTTCTGGACGTGCGCCTCAGCTTTCGGGTTCGGCAGGAAAGGCAAGGACAAGATTTGAACCTCGTCCGATTCGACCCTCTCCGATTTACTCCAGAATATCCAACCCGTGTTGCACATCACCGTCCACCACAGCACAACCGCCACGATGAGACCTACGCAAGCTCTTATGGGAGGACCCAGCGTCCCCCACGGAAAGTACTCTCAGTAAGTGAATCTTTTGTTGGAGGTCAATTGAGCGGGCGAACGGGAAGGAGCGTGCGGGCTTTTTCCGAGAGAGAAGGATCATGAAGTTCCCTCTGCCCGCCGCGCCATGCACCGCTCCCAATTGCATCGTGTGAATAGCTCGCTGACATTATGATAGCTACCTCGGCTGGTGGGGACACATTGGTATGTCTTTTCACGATTTTTTCGATGTCAATTTACGATGGCGACGCGGCTGAGTGATGGACAATGGTTTTTGGGATTGGACATCAAGAAACGAAGAGGAGGAACTTGTCCGGGATTCGACGGCCGACCACGATGCACAAACGATACGCACTTCGAACCGAACATAAGTACTGACAATAGTCTCAGGTGGCGAGAAGCAGAGAGGCATCATCACCTACGGCATCACCCCCAACCGTCAGAACCCCTTCGCCGGCGCCGCCCACGACGCCGTCTTCAACACCTGGCGCCGCTTCAGCCACCAGGTCCTCTACTTCCTCCCTCCCCTGGTCGCCGGCTGGTACATCATGGACTGGGCCACCCACCGGTCAGTCACTCCCACGCACTCGGTTGCAACAACAAACGCAACAACGAGGGCAATCCGAAATGAAGCAAAGGCATGGCGCTAACAATCGGTACAGCAACCACTACCTGAACTCCAAGCAGGGCCGCGCCGAGTTCGGTGACGAGGAGTAAATGTTCCTTTGTGAAGAAGGCGGACGACGAGTGCTAGAGGTGGACAACGATTCCCTGTGTCAAAACACGTGTACATCAACTACGTAGAGGGGGAGACATGGAATAGAGCCCCATTTGGACGATTTAAGCATATCACATATTCTATGATTGAGGACATATTTCACATGATTAGATGTTGACTCGTTCCTCGACTCGCAACGGATATTCGTAAGGCCTAAAAACATTGAGGCGAGTTTCTGAGCCGAAGATGTCGCAACGCCCTGTTTTTGCCATGCCGCCGACTGGTAGACATCCAGCTACTCAGCCTGAATTTAGCAAGACGAGTAGCCCAACTCTCCAATGCGTTCGTATTGTACGGGGAGATTGAATCATATCTACGGCCATCACGCTACGCTGACATTTGCTCAATGTCTGGACCGTGATTGGCTGAGCGAGCTCACGTGAATATTTCACCGAGACTCAACCTTCGGTGAGCAAAAGCCAATTCGATTCGGCACGGATATACCACCGCACCGAACCTTCCCAATCGCAAAGCTGCAAAGGTGGGGCAGCCCAGAAAAAAAGTTGCATTGGCCAAAGGGTACAGGAAGAGCGAAAAAAAAAATCGAGCCTATCGACCTCGAGCCGAAAGCTTCAATACCCACGACCGTCGCCCGCCCTACTCCGACTCCCCTCGCCGTCGCCAATCGCCAATTGTCTCTCATCTCAACCAGGTTTCAATTAAGAATATCCGAAAGCACCGCTACAATGGCCGCTGAGAAGCCCGACCGCAAGGAGAAGAAGGACAAGAAGCGCTCCGTGTCCGACGGCGCCATCAAGAAGGACAAGAAGGATAAGAAGGACAAGAAGGAGAAGAAGGAGAAGCTCGAGCGCGCCCTCGACGAGCACCTCCAGGCCGACGTCGCCGCCACCACCGTCGCCAGCGGCGATGTCACCACCGTTGTCGCTGATGGCCTCCCCGTCGTCGGCGCCCTCGTGCCCTTTGCCGTGCCGTTGGCTGATGAGAAGGCCATGAAGAAGGTCATGAAGTCCATTCGCAAGGGTAAGTTCTTTTTTCCCCTTTCTCACCTCCTTCCATAGACGCGGTCCCTACGCGGATCTCATCGGCCAGCAGGAAGACTCTACATTCTCAGAACACAAGACTAACAAACACCTCCAACAGCCGCCAAGAACAACACCCTCAAGCGCGGCGTCAAGGAGGTCGTCAAGACCCTCCGCAAGTCCCCCGCCGCCGGCCCCGGCAACACCGCCTTCCCCGGCGTCGTCGTCATCGCCGGCGACATCTCCCCCATGGACGTCATCTCCCACCTCCCCGTCCTCTGCGAGGACCACAACGTCCCCTACATCTTCGTCACCTCCCGCGCCGAGCTCGGCGCCGCCGCCAAGACGAAGCGCCCTACCTCCGTCGTCATGGTCTCGGAGAAGCGCTCCGCCGCCGACAGCAAGAAGGCCGAGAAGAAGGCCGGCGAGTCCAAGGGCGACGACGAGGAGGACGACGGCGAGGACTACTCCGAGGTCTACGCCGCGCTCGTCAAGCTCGTGCAGAAGGAGACTGCTAAGCAGTCCTTCTGGGCATAGACGAGTACACTTTTGCTGCTACTATTCGTCTTACCAGTACGGGACATACGCGACATGTCGAACTGAAAAGTACAGTTGAAAAGAAATGATGAATTGTCACACTATACGGGTGGGGTTAAAAAAGCTTTTTTCGGGCTGGCTTTACAACACAAAAGAGGAAGAATTCGGCGTTTATAGGGCAACTTTGGGCATTTGGTGTAGTACTCTTCTGTTTGCACCTCTTCTTTTCTCGAGAGAAAAGAAGAAACACAAATAAATGATTTAATCATCATTACAACTTCCGTTGGAACCTTTAAGGGTGCGGAGGTGTGGAGGAATTCTCTTGCTTTGCCAGGGCTCTTTGACACGATGTGTCGGGAGCCCTTTTGATGTTTCCCCTCTCACGGGAATAATGTGACCTTTTGCCTGGTTGAGGGCCTTTCAAGGCACTCTGTCCTGCCAGTCGGCTTCCATCGGCTGTTCAAGATGTGATGTTTAACTTTCTACTTAAGAAAGACCTGTCTGTCAAGGCAAAGTTCTCATGCTGCCCGCCATGAACGAGTTGTGAATACTATGGGTAATCAATCCAAGGTATGTTGCAGTGTGGTTCTTTGGTGATCCAAGGTGTTGACGCATAGTGTAAATACTTCGTAAGTGGCAAGCAATGAGTGCTAGCTGAGAGAGAACGTTTCTAGTGCCGAACAATCCAACACGACCGGAGATCCAAAACCTTTGTTATTCTTTGATGGTCGCAGTATTCCCATCCAACCAGTGATAATCTTCCTTTCAGATATCATGACACGATAGTGAGAGAATGTCTTGAAGTGGCACACATGCTAAGCTATAAAGGAAGGTATTTCACAAATCACTCAGGTGCGAACGCGACGATAGTTTCAGGTGATTTGATTAATGGAATCATGGCTTGAGACGTAAAAGTGTAGGTACATGACAATGGCCCTAGCCGCAATTGCTGGCTATCTTTGAACTCCATGTCCTCATCCCATCCAACCCAACGCTAATAGCACACAAGCAATCCGTTTTCCAGGAATGCTCAATCATTCATAATACATTAAACCCTTTAGTCGAAGGGGTTGGTGCGGGTTCCCCACCAGGTGAGGAAGACCGACAGACCGACAGTCTCAATAACCTTGGCCAGGACGCTGACGCCAACGGTGTCGACGGGGCGCTTCTCAACAAAGACCTGGGAGATGTACTGCATACTTATTAGTGATTGAATGACGGTGAAGGGTGAGGAGAGTATGACATACGCCGGGAGCAGAGGTAGCGAAGAAGATGAGAGAGCCGAGGTAAGCAGCGCCCTTGTAGGACAGGGTGCCGGTAGCGTTGATGAGGGCACCAACACCGTAGGACTGGAGGGCAGAGCCGACGAGGGAAGTACCCCAGGCGACGGCGGCACCCTGGGCCTCCTTGGAGCGAGCGAACTCCTCCTTGGTGTTGGCAGCCTTGGCGCGCTGGTAGGTCTGGCCGAAGATGGGGGTCAAGACTGTTGAGGGGGAGGAGCTTGGGTCAGCTGATTCTGTCATGGAATGGCGCAGGTCTGGCTGGCCTGGAGCTTGGTGAGGGGCATTTTACGTACCAGCGAGCTCAGCCGTGTGGTTGAAGATGGTGCCGAGGGCAATAGCCGAAGGCTTGACGGGGGGAAGGTCTGTTGCAGGAGATTGTTAGTTACTCTGCTCATTTGACTGATGATGGCTAGATTTCCTCTCGAGGCCAACGAAGGCGCAATATCCCTCGGGAAGTTTGTATGAGAGGGCGAGCGAGGTAGCTGAGTAGAGCAACATAGAGAAGGCGTGATGCTTCCTCAAGCTTCTCTCCCGCAGCGGGATCGGAATAGCGACTTACAGTGCAGAGACATGATGGCTGATTTCTGGGGTATCTTGTTGTGATGAAAAAAGAGAATCAATTGAAGTGATGTAAACAGAGCCAGATGAGTGGGAGGGCAAAGGCTTTTATGTGCTAAGGGAGGGAGAGAGAGAACTGGGCGGCGTGTGTGTGAGCCACCTGTGACCTCAGCCTCTGCAATGCAAAAGGAGGTAACCGGAGCAAGGCAAGTGCGTAACTACTTCGTACCTGCTCGTTCGTCCCAGGGCGAAACAAGAGAGGAGGGAAGCGTGGGAAGCTACCTGACCTTGGCTGGTGGTGGTACCTCTGGCGCCGCGAAGGGAAGGGGCCAGATCGAGGTCTCATTCCATCATCGGTTGGACCTGGGCTTCCTTCCCTCAGGCCATAAAAAAAATATGTACATGCTGCGGTAGGTAAGGTAGAGCGTGAAGCATGAAGCTACTTTGGAACTAAGAAGGTAGCTGGACATGGTACAAAGCAGGGGTGGGCAATTCGCTACGGAGAGACATGTTACAGAGCTCTCTCTCTTACTCTTCCCTCTCTCACGTCTTCGCCGCCCAGCTCAGCTCTCAGCTCACCAGTTCAATTGAGATGTGTCAAAGTCTGTTGTCCCAAGCTTCTCCCAAAACCCAAGCTATGCCTCTTTCACTCACGTCGCCCGGCTGTCGATGTCGTGGTGTCGTCACCTGTCGAATGATGTCACCACCCACCTTCCCCGCCGAACCCACAAGCCCAGGCCTGTCCACCCAAAATTGCTCCGATCATTGGTCGAGACCTCTCTCCTGTGGACCTTTTCGACCTCTCTCCCTGGGCCCGCATACCTCGTAGTTACTCCATACCCCCCAAGCTATCCGCATCTAGCCCGTCCCGTCGACCTTCTGGGCCGTCTGGGATTAGCACATCATCCTTTCCATCAGCTCGAGCTTTCTTCGCCCGCGTATGCCCGCGTGGGAGTTTTCCGCGACAAGGTCCCGGAGCGAGTCCTCCTCGACTCCCCTGCATTTTCCTCAGGCCCTCAGGCTCTGTGGCTCTCACCCGCACTATGTAAGGTTGCCGTAAACAAAACACAGTGGAGAGAGATTGACGGAAATCTGGAGCAAAGAAGAACGATCGAGATGCAACTTTCCAGTGTGGCTAGTGCAAGATTCACACTTCCCTGTGTCTCCCCATCACCCCCATGCCCGAGGCAAACGATGCTCAGGCACTCGCGCACTCCCAAGTCAATGCAATTCCAGTTTTGTCCATACAAACTGCGCCTCTTTTCCGGTTCCCAGGCCCTGCCAACTTCTGCAATGTACATAGCTCCCGACGGGTCTAGAAAAACCGCATTAGCAAGGGTAGCCGAGCTACCTGACGTACGGATGGTATCATTGCAGCGTGGAATTTCGTTTCTCGAAAGGTCACCCGCATCCAGTTGTGCATAATCCAGCTGCTCTAGCTCAGGTACAAACAAGGCAAGAAAGGGACGGAATTTCGGAAATATCGTCTAGCTTGCCCATGGCTTCAACGTCCACAAGTTCCCATCGTCTACCTTTACACTGTCACTGTCACTGCCAACCTGACATTTCCATTCAATAACATGTTCTCGCTGAACGTCGAAAAGGCTGGTGGCCTGGCATGTATTCCTGAAGCTTTACAGAATCGTACCGACATTTTGCAGTCGTGCCGCCCAATAACTCCTCTTACCATCCCTTTACCAAATGTTATTAATACACCGCTGCACCACGAAGTTGAAGCCGCTGGTGTTCGCTTTGCCCAATTCCATGCCAGTACACCAGATTCCCTTCTACAGTCCCAATCCAATTCTACGCCATATGCTGACCATCTTCGCCTCCACGCAATGCAAGCAGCGCCCTCACGTCCGACACATACTGGAGACCCTCAAGCAGCGGCACTAGATGCAAGAGATCATTGTCTGTCGGGTCGTTAATCCAGCCTTGGATAGGGATAGCGTTGTCTAGCGACGAGGTCCACATTAGTCGAATTCCCACAGACAGATCGTATACCGCCACTACACACCTTGATGGAACATGTAACTCAGTGGACTATTATCCAAGATCATGACCTTGCTCAAGTCCGGCTCAACAGAACTAAGGTCCTTGATGAAGGCTCCCTGTCGGAACGTGCAGTGCTGTCGGTAGTATCGCGCCGAGAAGAATTTCCTCTCAGCCTCTAACCAGTCTATTACGGGGTCCGCATATTCCTGGACCGAGGCCGTGAAAACGACGAGATTATACCACTTGCAAACCTTCATCACACGATTAGCGCCAACTACTTGTTCAATCATCTTGAACAATGCTTACCCGACGGAGAAAGTCATCACAGTGTGGACGCTTGTTAACCCAGTACAGAATGGGATGCTGCGGTCCGATCGATGTTTGGCCTCCAGCACCGACATACGTCTGGTTCAATCTGACCTCAACCATGTGTCCCGTACTCATGCGTCCCCCCTTGGACATGCTGTGAATCAGAGTTTCGTCGAGGTCCAGAATGAGAGTCTTTTGGTACTTGGGGTCGGTCGAAGGCTCGAGGTTGAGGTATGATGGTTGTCGTCGAGGAATCAAGGGTCGAGGAGGAGCCGGTGTCTTTGGATATCTCGTCAGCGCGCCTGCGGGAGACGTCGGAGACTTGAGTTGCGCGGAAATGTCGGAAGAGCCAGATTCACCACTGCCCTTGGGCCGTGCTGCTGCAGACTGCGTCTTTCGGTGCTTCCGTTGCGGAAGAGCATCCTCACTGTGTAGCTTGATACGAATAGATCTCCGTGCTGGCGCAATCTCTTCCGCTGCGGACTTTGAACGCGAGTGTCGACCGGTGGAGCCCCGGCGTCGGCGATCGGCATCCGAGTCTGATTCTGAAGATATGCCTGAAGAAGATGAACCTGATGATCCCACTGGTCTTGAGTACGCAACCCCTCCATATCCGGCGCTACCCTGTCGGCCCGACTTTTCGTCCACTGAGCCAGCAAAGTCTGTCGCGAGCTTTTTGTTGTTTCTATTGTGCAAGCCGAATAATCTTTTGAATGGGTAAAAGAGCGAGAAATCTCCTGCGTCGTCATAAAGGCAGGCAATCAGATACACGCCCGGGGCGGCAAGCGTGGACAATACCCAGCGGAGGGAATTGATGAAGCCGGCAGCGATGCGCCGAGGCAATGAGTGCCATGAAGTTGACCTCAACCCTGCTTCTTTCGATTCTCCCCCTATTAGCGGCGTAGCTTCGCTCGCGAGGTCTAATGCACCATGTGCGTCGTTGCGCTGTTCGAAAGCCGTCTTTTCGAGGGGGAAGACATCCTCGTCTTGGTCGTCGTCGCCCTGTTTGTCTGCGCCTTCGCCACTTTGCTGTTCGCTGTCAGGTTGGACGGCCAATCCCAAGGAGCCAATGGAGTTGGATCGCGAGGCAACTGGACTGGGCGGCGGAGAGACGCGAGAGGTGATGATATTCAGGGAGTTCATCTTTGATAGGATATGCAATCCATGAGGCATGGAGGGTTGACGGCGGGTTGCGATGCGGGAGTGGAAAGATTTAGGAGACGTCGAGGGTCGATAGTAAGGGGTGGTTTCGGTGGTCAGGAATGTTCCAGACGTTCCGCGCGACGAAGGAGGCGATGTATTAGCAGTCGCGTTGGGAGAAATGGGCGTCGAGCGAGTATTTCGAATACACCGCAGTAGGAAGAAGCGAGTGAAGGGTTGACAATCGTCTCAAAGGGATGCCGCTGAGTCTGTGATGCTTGGTGGGATTGCGTGAGGTTGAGGTGAGGTACTCGACGAGTCTGTCGTGGTCGTGGTGGTTGTGTTCGTAGTCGGGGAATGCAAGCCGGTGGGCTGTCCAGATGGTTTTCCCCCCAAATCCAAGGATCGGCAACAATCAGCTTGCCATAGGCGAACGAGGCCTAGGAAAATGAAAGCGCGAGGTGGTGGCGCTGGTGAAAAAGGTTCCTCGGTCGACAGCTAACAGACGCTAAAGTGATATGTGGCCGTCAGCGCAAACCTGTCGATTAGACCTCGAGACCTTGAGAGGGGAGGAAAGACGCAAAAAGGGTCAGTCGGGCTTTCGGGAGTTGGAGGTATCGAGGCGGCCGGGATGCGGTAGCGTTGAAAGGCAATGGATGAAAAGGACAGTGGCCTGGCCTGTGATTGGAGGTGTCGGCAAGTAGTCCAATACCTGAGGTACGGGTAGTTAAAGCAAGATGTGGTGAGGTAGAGGCGCGAGTGGAAGCCGCGGAAAGGAACCTGAGCAAGCAAGCAAGCGGAGGGGAGCGTAGCAGTAAGGTAAGGTAGGTGCAGCAGCAGCAGCAACAACAGCAGCTCAACACTATGGAAATCTGCTGGGTTTGGCCGGGTTGGACCGTGGTGGCACTGGGATAACGGTTTGATGCCGGCCGGTATTGACGGTATTGGTCCAGGGCTGACCGTGGGGTTACACTGCCTGCTGACCCTTGTGGGGGAATGGGCAATGAAGATAGGTTCACGTGTCGAATTGTTCACTCTATTCCACTGGACCGCAGGACAACTATCTCTTTCCGCCTCATCTTTTCCACTCGCCGGTGCACTTTTTTGAAGATGCAGGACGTGGGTGATGAGCGGGCCAGCTGCCGCCAAGCGGCTACGTAATGGATATACCTCAGCCCACATTCAGAGGTATCTATCTTCCCCCAACACAAACTGGCAGGATGAGGAGTGGGATACCTAATAGTACCTGCGGAACTCCCTGGCTAAGCCTGTAAGGTACGCAGGTATGAATCAGTTGACCTTTTCATACACACTATTTCCTGCAATGTCATATGTCCTTTCTATGTTACCTTTTTTCAGCAGTATCTTTCTCTGCAACGGGCATCAGGTCTCGCTCATAATGGCAAGGATTTGTGTGAAATGATTGAAAACGTCCATCAGCCGATACCGAGCTACCTTGCTCTCTGGCTGTAATCCTGAACTGTGTGCTTGTCTTTTTCCCATGTGAAAGAGAGCCACTCCACTTTTGCTGTCGTTGTTGAGGGTTTGATTGAACAGCGACAGGGCCGACAGGGCACGAATCGGGGGGCCGCAGTCTGCGGGCACTCTGAATCTGCGCAGCATCCAAATCTTTGGCGGAATACGGCCTCTTTTGGGCCTCGCAATTCCGATCCATCACTTTTCGTATCCGTGTTCCAATGCCGCTCAACCATTCGCTCTGAGCTCTCATCCCAAGCCCAGGCAGTTCCTTTCGTCTGCCTGAAAGAAAACCCCTCATTGAACCAGAACCCTATGGAGACCTTTCACTAATTCAACAGAGTTGCGGCCAGGATACATGACTATTGTCCAGACCTCTAATGAAAGAGATGCTTTCTGTCATCCGATGCTCGTACGAGTGCCCTGTCATGTTGGGTGTGGTTGCTTCTTAGAAGTCAATTGAATGGCACATTTCCTAGGCTCAACTCACAAACCAAGTAGCAGCCTAAGACATGATTTGCGGAAACTCACAGTAATTCCTACAACAGACCACTGATAATACCACCAGAATGCTTCAGATGCCAGCCAAGGGAAGAAAAACTTTAGTTAAAGCTGCGGTACAAGATGCATGTTTGAGCCAAGAAGACATGCCATCCTGATGCATTGCCTTCGCGCTTATTCCTATTGGCATTATAGGCGCAATGCTATAGATGCTTCCTGGTAAATCATTTGAGACAGAAGCCGTGTTCATGAAGTATATCAAGAATATTTCTCTAGCTCCTCGGAAATTCGATAGAATATAACCGCACTTTACTCGACTTACAGTGAAGTACCCTGTGCATAACATGAGGTTGTTTGGGTGGTCCAACTTTGCAGACAGAAACTCTGAAAAAGCAGAGGCAACTAGCAATAAAACCAGATTCCAAATGAAGAGGTCAATGTCACCACGAGCTATGGGCTTTTGAGACACAGCAGTTGGTGGCATTCCAGGGCACATTTCCGACCCAGAAGCAAGGAACCTCAGGGTTTCTGTCAACACCTATGGTAAGGTACCTAGGTAGATGACGGGCAGCTCGCAGCCCGAGTGCGATAGCCAACCGCTTGATGCCCCTAACGCATCACTTACAGCAGAAATTCAGCGAGCCAACGTCATTTTGCAGTGATGGAGGGGTATTCGAGCAGTGGAGTGCTTCCGCTGAAGTGTCATTGGGGACACCTGAAGGTCCACGGGTGTTCTTCTCGATCCGGGTTGCTTCGGGCCGAGACTAGCCCGCTGTCGAGGGCTGTCCCTCACCGTTGCCAGCTGGCGCAGGTGGTAAGGGAGGTGCGATACGGAGCTTGTGGTCATCTAATGCCCCTCGAAATTTTTAGCGTGACAGGGGTCGTTCAATGTCCCTCTCTGAGCTTCACAGTTGAGTCACAACCGTTTGCGCACAATTTCCAATTCTCCATTCAGTCCATGCCCAAAGCTAGACCAACGGCCATTGATCGGTACATCCACATTGTGCAGCGACTGAAGACAACCAGATTACCATTTCGGAATATCCTGCGACTTCAGTAACCCCCATCGATCAATCCCGAAAAGTGTCTGCGACGACTCACTCCCACCCCTCCCAATATCGGACCTTGGTTTCGGCGACAGCACCCACAACCGAAAATGGCTACCGTGAAGCCCAGCGCGGGGGACCTCGAACGGTACCTCAAAACCCTGAAGGGTAAGCCTCTGGAAGCGTCAATCGACAGTCTCATCTCGTACGTATCTTGCCGGCCGCATAATCCTTTTCTCCCCCTGGCCCAGCCGCGCTAATCCTTGAATCCGCCAGTCTCCTGAAAAGACGACAGATCCAGGGCTCCGAGCTCTGCGCTGTCGCGACCGCACACATTCTCCTCCAGGTCGTGGCCAAGTCGAAATGGAACGACGTCGACTCGTTGCTGGAGAAGGTGCAGCAGATAGGATTGCGCCTCATCGCCGCACAGCCCAAGGAATTGGTCGTCGGCAACATCGTTAGACGCGTGTTGAGCCTGATCCGAGACGAGGCTGCCGAGGACCGAAACGAGGACTTTAGTGAGACTGCCACAGAAGTTGGAGGAACCCCGACAACAGCAGTGCCAGACCCCTCCAAGCTGGAGCACCAATGGCCTCCCTCTACATATACCAAGCAGGATGCAGGTTCAGACTACATCACGAGCGGCCCAAGACCCGTTCGCCCCGGTTTCCTCACGTCCGCGAGCTCTTTCCACGTCTCAAAGTCTCTCTTTTCCCTTCTCGAGGCGTCACCCCCAGTGGACACTGCTGGCATCATGGCCGGATCGCCGTTTGGCAAGGACTCTGGCGCTTCGACACCCCTTCGTGGACAGTCAACTAGGGTACACGCTCTGAGGTCAGAAGTCTGTGAGGGTATCGAGGAGCTCAAGGACGAGATCGGCCAGGTGGACGACCAGATTGCAGGAGCTGCGGATGTTCAGATTCACCCCGGAGACTATGTGTTGGTGCACCAGCCTTCAGCCACGGTCCAGAAGTTCATCCTACGCGCTGCAACAAGAAGAAAGTTCACCCTGTTCATCGCTGCCGGAACGGCTGCCTGCTCCGGTGGGGAGCCGCCATATGCATCTTTCAGGAAGAAGCTTGCAGCAGCGGGCATCAGTGCGATCAACATCCTCAACAGCGGTCTGATGGCCTACATGCCCCGGATTAACAAGGTGATTCTGGGAGCAAGAGCCGTCCTGGCCAACGGCGGCATCCTGACAGATGCAGGCGCTGGTGTGATTGCACGCGCAGCCAAGGAGCAGGGCAACCCGGTGATTATCCTCAGCGGTGTCTACAAGCTCTGCCCAGAGAGCTACTTTGACGAAGAGAGCCTCGTAGAATGGGGAAGCTCTATGGGCCATGTCAGCTTCGCAGACGGAGCCATGGTCAACGGTGTCGACGTTCGCAGCGCGGTTAGTGAGTTTGTGCCTCCCGAATTGCTCGACACCTACATTACCAATCTGTAAGTCCATGATCCCCAACATGACGGCGTTGAGCCACAACTAACATGCTACACAGTGGCGCACACTCGCGGAACCATCTGTCCACTATCATTGCGGATCACTACAAGCCAGAAGATGTCGATTTCCATCTCTGGAGCACGGAGGCTGACCGATGAGTGCTGCCTCTGAAATATGTCTCTGTGGGAAAGCCTAGCACGTTTAACGCTGCAGGGGACGCGACAGCGGCGTCCGCGGCCTTGGGGATGATTCGTGGCCCGAAGACGAAAGCGAACTTTCAGCCCTGGCCCAGCTATTGAATGATACCAGGCGCATGCATAGCCTGTGTTCTGTACAAGTATACTAATTCGCGGTTCAATCCTGGCCCCCTTCTCTATCTAGGGCTAAGGGTCGGTTGGTTCGGCAGCATGGCGTTCAGTTTGGAGGGGTAACACAAGCTCAAGAGTCGCGGCGGCGTTTCCAACGGCATGGGAGAGAGACCCACTGGATTGCAGGCTTATGTGGCTTGATGTGGAGGGATTACACTGATGGCGTATTGCTGCCTCCGAAGAGGCCGCGTCAGCGTGTTGCAGTACAGAGAGCCTTCTCGAAGAAAGTGACTGCGGGCTGCTCTTATCCAGGGTTCAATTTAGCGGTGGCTTTTTATTTCATTGGGGGAGGGGAAACCTTGAACAATCGGGGTTTGCGAACAAACGCGTGCCCCTCGCAACTTTTGACTGCGCCGTGGACCGCAGGGGTCACCCTCAAACAAGGTTGATGCTTATCTTTACCTGGCGTGAGCTTGGCCGCACCGCTTGGGCTCCCGAGGGTGTGGGGTTTGACCCCCGACCCTCTCTATTGAGTGACGAACTGTGGTTCACCGTTCGAGGGGTGGGAATTAGACGTCGTAAGGCTACGCGAACGAGGGGACAAACTGGTCAGAGAGATTCGCTAGTGGGAAAGCATGGCCATTTGTTCTTGCAAGGTTGAGATTTGGAGAAATATGATGGAGGGATGGAGGAGAGGAGGATTGAGTCAAACGGCCAACGGAAGGCCCAACCTTAGCCTAGCCAAGCTACAACAACCAGCTAGCTAATAAGCTCATCAAAGTGCCTTGTATTCCCACACTTTCTTCATCCGTCGTGTGCCGTAGTGCCGTTTTCCAAAGTCTTGGGTTTACTCATCTTGGCCTCTTTTCCATCTCACCTCTCGTCGCAAACTACCTACTTTACTCTCTTGTATTCGACCCACCAGATTACCTTGGTGAACAATTTGATAATCTGAACATCGTCGCGAATCAAATATCTTCCAGTCTCGACAGCTCTGCTTCAAGCTTCACAACATATCATCCCACACCGAGCTCAGGTCCCCATCGCGAATGGCGGCCATACGAGACCCCGAACTCGACGACGTGCCTCCTCCGCCGTACTCCGAGACAGACATCTACTCAAACTCTGGCCGGCCGTCAAATCCGCCCTCAAACTCACCACACATTTCGTCCCATCATGGCGCCGACGACGCTGCCTCGCGCGGCTCTTCGCACGCCTCATCACACAGCGAAGTCATCTACACCCCGCCATTGACACCCCGCACCGGCGGCCCAGGCAGCAGCGGCGGCGGCGGTTTTCACCATCATAGCTCAAATGCAAGCCTCGACCTCTCCAGCCGCTCTCTCGCAGCAACTGGAGGGGGGTTTCACCAGTCTCAATCTCTTTCGGATTCAGTATCGGCATCGACGGCAGCGTACTCGGAGTTCACGGCAGCCTATTTCGAATCCAGGCCGGCGCCCGCGGCACTCGCCCCGTCACCCAGGGACCAACTGCTCGTCCACGCACTGACCGTCACCCCGACCTCGACACCGGACGACGTACCCTACTCCCCGGCCTGGGCCCCCCGCGACGTCACGCAGCAGGACTGGGCGACATTTCTCAATTGCCTGATCCCGCACCACGCTGCGGCACGGAACGCGGCCGTCATCGACCGTAAGCTGCAGGCCGAGGAGGAGGCCCTTGCTGCCGCCGCCGCTGCCACGTCGAATGGAAGAGGTACGGGGCAGAGCAACAGCGGCGGTAGCGCTCATGCTTCGGCGCAACTAGATCAGATTCGCGCAGACAGGGAGACGGACCCCGGGGCAGCGGCCGCTGCTTCGGGTACAAGGAGAGAGGAAGCAGAAGTTGTGGTCGCGCAGTGGAACGAGGGGTTCTTCCGACCCAGGGGCATGCTCATCACGCTGGTACCTGAGGTAGCGGAGGACGATCTGCACATGCCGGGCGCGTGGGACCGGTCCTTTGACAGAAACGCTGAGAATCCTGCTATCGGAAGCGGCAACCGTGATCTTGGTCTCGGTGATGGGAGTGGTAGCGGCGGTCCCACGCCCGTACCGTTCCCAGCGCATCCTAGTCAAGGGCCCGCGATGCAAACCCAGCAGCAACCTCAGTCTGGCTCCAATGAATCACGGAATAGCTGGAGCTTTGGCGGTATCACTGTCTCCACGGACGGTATTAACATTGGCGACCGCATTGTCGCAGGCAGCAACGGTATTCGAGTAGGGAACCTGATTGCGGACGAGAACGGCATCAGGTTTGGAAGCACTACCACGCCGCGCGCGCAAGCGCATTATGCCGGCCCCGGGTGGGCTCCTCCTCCGCCGCCTGCACCTCCGGGTCCGCCACCGGCGCCCATGTTTGGCGGCCCCGGCCAAGTTCCAGGAACCTTTTTCCCGACGGGGCCGCCTCACCCTCAGCCACCGATCATTCCACATTCGAACCCGCAGCATCCCTTCTACCAAGGCAGCGGCCCGGAACAACAACACGCTCGCCATGAGAGCGGAGATGGCGGGAGAGGCGGAGTAGCAGGCCGCGGTCGACCTCCCGGCCGGTACCCCTCAGACCAGCGCTCCATCTCATCCTCCTCCGCCTCTTCTTCATCTTCGGCATCCTCTGCATCCTCCGTCGGCTCACTGCCAGACTACGAAGACCTCTACCCTTCACAGCTCCCCATCTACAAACAGCGTATCACCACTTGGCTATCACACCCAGAACAGCCCGTCACGAAAGACGATATTGCGCAGCTCCGCGAGGACATACGTTCCGCCGGGTCCACAGCGGCGACGCAATCCTCGCAGCAGCCAGAGAAAGGACCAGAAGGTACAGCAACAGCAGCCACCGCTGCGTCGAAAAAGGCAGAGGAGAAGGCCCTCAGAGCGGAAATTAGAAGCATCACGCAGGACTGGCGCAAACTTAAGCGCCAGCAGCGGGCAACGCGCAAGGAAAAGCGGAAGGAACGCCGCGCGAGGAGGAAAGAGGAGAAGAGGGAGCGGAGGGAAGAGAGGAGGGAAAGCAGGAGGGAGAGTAGGGGGGCAAGGCGAGAGCAGAGAGAAGCGCATAGGGAAGCGCGGAGGGGTGGCGGTCGTGGTGGGCTGGGAGGAGATCCTAATCACCATGATCACCAACGTCGGCATCAGCTAGAGCACCAACGACACCAGCAGCAACAGCAGCAGCAACAGCAGCAGCACCAGGCGCAACAGAGACAACACCAGGAGCAGCAGAGACAACACCAGGAGCAGCAACGACGACACCAAGAACAGCAAAGACAACATCAAGAGCAGCAGCGTCGACATAGCCAACAGCAGCAGCAACACCAACAGCATCAACAACAGCAGCAGCATCAACAGCATCAGCAACATCACGGTCCCGGACCGGCGCCGTGGGGCGGGCCGACAGTGTTTGTCCCGCCCATTGGTGTTCATGTTCCCCCGCCACCCGTGGTACACGGCACTCCTCCGATCCCCAACTTCCCCAATAACGCCTCTCCTGTGCCGAATGTTTGGGGCATGCCGTGGGGACCTCCAGGGCCGGGTAGAGGTTCCATGCCGGGTGGTTTCCCAGGCAATGGTCCTCCTGGTCCTCCTGGTCCCGGTCCCTGGGGAGGGTTGCCCGGGGCATGGCCATTCACAGCAGTACCGCCAGCGCCAGCAGCAGGGAACAGAAGCCCTAGCATCGGCGGCGGCGGTGGTGCGGTTTCCGCCCCATCCACGCCGACGCCGCCCTCGTCCCAGGCGCTCTTCAAGGCGGTGGAGGACATGGAGAAGGACATCGCCAGGAGGGTGGAGGAGCTAGACAAAGTGAGAACCGAGATGCTGGATAGCAATCCTGGAAGAGGACGCTGCGGCGGCGGTCGAGGCTGGGGCCGAGGCCGTGGCGGTGGATGCGGCGGAAGAGGCGGCGATGACAATACGCAGCGCCTAGAGGAGGAGATTGACGAGTTGTCGAGGAATATCGAGAAGCTCAAGGTCGAGGCGGACGCGGAGTTTGCGCGGGAGTTGGCGGCGGAGGATCAGAAGTCTGGGGTGTGGTAGATGGTCCACACATACTCTCATACTTATTTACATACCTTATGGACAGGGAACCAGACAAGTGTATAGCCTGTAGAGATAACCAGGAAACTTTTCTTTTTGCTACCGCCACCAATTGCCTCGTCTATTGTCTTGTTTTGGGTACCTTGCTATAATGCGCCATAACCCAGTCATGAACATGATCGTATAAAGCTTTTGAACTCCGCTGCATAGGTCAAGCTCGTACAGACAGTCATTCTCGTCCCAACATTGAGCTCTACATTTCCGTCTGTCAAGTTTCATTGACTTTTTGTTTTGAATCCCACCCACATCTTGGACAGACTCTCTGCTATTCCAAAACCAGGCGGGAAGCAGGAGGCATTGCCCCTCCCGCTCTGCATCAAGCCGTCGCATAGGTGGGCAGCCAGACGTTTTCAAGCAATTCGACATACTCTTCCCCGGAAAGAAGGACCGCTCAGTTCTTGCTCTCGTTCTTCTCAACGAGCTCCCCGACACCCAACCCGCGACCGACCTTGACCTTGCGCTTCTTATCGGCGGCGGGCGCGTTCGGATCGCGCCCGACGTCGCCCACGGCCTCGCCCTCGTCTGCGGCTTCGCCCGCGGCGGCCTCCTCCTCCTCGCGGTCGCGCTCGTCCTGGATCTGCTCGCGGATGTAGCTCAGGTCGAGCTTCATGCAGTAGGCGTCCTCGCCGTCGGCGTAATATTTGCTCTCCGTCTTTTCGTTCTTGAAGCCGAGGGTGTCGCGGTAGAGGTGGATGGCGGCCTGGTTGGAGACGCGGACGTGGAGGGAGACGTATTGGGCGCCGAAGGTCTCGACCATGGCGAGTTCTGTTGAGTGGTGTGTGTCAGTCAGTCAATCCCTTTAGTCAATAGCAATGCCGTAGACGGAGCGTCCGCGTGGGAACAGAGGTGTAAACGTACGACTTTGGCGCATCAGCTTCTCGGCGATACCTAGGCGGCGGTGGGTGCGCATGACGCTGAGACTGGTGATGTGGCCGTGGGCGACGCCGTCGGTGGGCTCCTCCTCCATCTTGGCGAGGACGTAGCCGACGATCTTGGGGTAGTCGTAGGGGGTGCGCTTGGGGCGGGAGACGTCGACGGCGACATAGCTGAGCTGGGGCCACGAGAGGGCGTGGTAGAGGTAGTACTTTAGGAAGTAGTTCTCGGGCAGGTTCTCGAGGTTGGCGTGCTGTATGAGGGGGAGGTCGGCGGGCTTGAGGAGGCGGATATCCATGGTGGGCGAGGTTGTGTGTCTGGGTCGTGGGGGCTGTGAATGAACGGACGGGTTCCAAACGACGACGTTGGCCGGCTTTGCGTAGAGTAGCGCAAGGCTGAAGAGACGCAGGGTGCGGTGGTGGGTTGATTTCGCGATGGGAGACGCTGAGGAGGGGAGTGTGGTGTAGACTTTTGGAAAGACCCTGGTCGTTGGACCATGAGGTGGCTGCAAGAACCCCACCACCGCCGCACAAGGCTCCGAGCGTCGCTCAAAACTGCCCCGCCAGATGCTCAGCTAAGATACACGAGCTTATTGCAGCTCGAACCTGTACTCTTCCGTGTTTACAACCGTTGACAGGACAGGTCCTTCATGTTTCGAGCCTTCAGTTGAACCTTTACATAATCAATTATAGGATGACTAAGGCTGGTTACTTTTAGTGAAAGTTGTGTTGCTGGACTTTTCCTCAAACTTCAATTCAAGTTGTTCCGGATGGGTTGTGCCATTAATGTGTCTGAACTCCGACAAACTTATGAGATTGGTACTGCTCGCACAGGGATGAGATTGCATCCGCAACATCCTACTCTCAGTACGATTTGCTATTACTGTCAATTTACTAAGGCACTACTGAAGCACTCGATCAAAAGACATCCGAATCTACCACATACGGACCGCCTTTTAGTTTAGGTAGTTACATCTCACGCTTCACCATCCTCTCGACCGTCATTTCCTATTCTCAAGACTGGAAGAAGAGCCCCTAATCACATAATCTATCAAACTATTCTCAAACATACTGAATCTCATCTGGGAAGATATTACTCTTTCATTACTGAAATATTTGAATACGAGCTTTGGGCAAGTGATTGAGGCTTGTGTATGCTTACGAATAATAGATATTGCTTCTATGTGTAAGCCAGACTACCTTACTCTCAGCTCTGCGGTGGTAGCGGACTTTGCTTTCATTCCATTCTCATGGCGCTTCTGCATTTCAAAAATGTACAAGTACATAACACTAGGTCAACATAAAGCCCAGCCAGAAGGAACCCTCCTGGTCCTCAGACATCAAACGCTAATCCACGATGATCCAGGACCACCAAAAATCGTGGCCCCCTGGGCGGCGTCGAGCCCACGGCCGGGGATTGGCGCGGGAGAATGACGTGGGGGTGTGCCAGGTGTGGGATGCCCACCGACCGCGGGGCAAAAACAGATGGAAACTCCAGCGCATAGCTCTCTCTGCGATAGCGGGGTAGCTTTCACCCAGAAACACCGACTGGAGTTCCCCCATCCATCCACGTCCCACGACATCTAGTCCTGACAAGTTCAGATCCCGCCCAATGGAACGTGCCGGCGGGAACTACTTCGTCGCTCAACAAGTTTCTGATGGGTCACGAGAGCTGCTAGCATTACTCATTCGGGACAATCGAACCCTGCCCAGGGACCTTAGGTAGGGTTTCTGGTCCCTGAGTAAGGTAAGGAAAGGTATCCGTACTCCGTAGTCTACCTATATAGCTTATAAGAACCATTCCTGGGCTCCCGTCCTCTTCTCATCGTGAACGTTGCCGACCTTCCCTCAATATCTCGTCCTCCCTTTTTTGATACCACAACTATACCCCTGCCCCCTTTCTCTACTTTCAACCGCATCCTACTTCGTATTCACAAGAAGCCAGCAACTGCTCAAAAGCTCCATCACAATGTCTCGTTCTCTCGATGGCAAGCTCGGAATCGTGACCGGCGCCTCTCGAGGTAAGACTTTCAATAACTACAAGCTTCACAACATCATCTAACGCACATTCACCATCCAGGCATCGGTGTCGCCATCGCCGAGCACCTCGCCGCCAAAGGCTGCAATCTCATTCTGGGCTACACCTCCTCCTCCTCCCAATCCCCAGCCGAACAACTCGCAACAGACCTGAGCACGAAACACAACATCCAGACCCTCGCAGTCCAAGCCGACATGGGCACGCCCGAAGGACCCCAATCCCTCGTCGCAACCGCCAAATCCCACTTTGAAAAGCTCAACACCAACAAGAAATTCCAAATCGACATCCTCATCAACAACGCAGGCGTCGCCCAAAACAACCTCCTCCCCGCCATAACAGTCTCCCAATTCGACGTCTCCTACCGCGTAAACGTCCTCGGTCCCTTGCTCCTAACCCAAGCCGTCCAGCCCTACCTGCCCCAAGATCGCTCCGGCCGCATCGTAAACATGTCCTCCGTCAGCTCCTCCGCCGGCTTCCCCGAACAGAGCGTCTACGGCGGCACAAAGGCCGCCCTCGAGGCCATGACGCGCACCTGGGCCCGCGAGCTCAGCGAGAACGCCACCGTCAACGCCATCAACCCCGGTCCCGTGCTCACCGAGATGTACGCGGGCAACACGCCCGAGTTCAAGCGCTTCATCAAGGGCTTCATCGAGCACGCACCGCTGATGAAGGCCAGGCAGGGCATCGACTCGGACGAGCTGGTCAAGGCGGCTGAGGAGGAGGGCGGGAGGCCGGCGTACGTTGGGGAGATTGCGGGTATCGTGGGCATGCTTGTCTCTGCGGACTCTGCGTGGTGCACGGGACAGGTTGTTTGTGCTAACGGCGGTATGTTCTTCGGGTTGCAGTAGAAGCAGTTTATTCAGATGGGACTTCTTACGTTGAATTACGAGGCCGTTCGTTTGGGGGTTTTGCTGTGTTAGTTATGAAGTAGACTTAGAATTCCATTCCCCACGTTCCGTTGAATTAGACTTTTCCTCATGCTCGATTCTTGAGCGATGACTTTTTTTTTCGAAAATACCTATCTTGACCCAAGAGTAGATATTTAACCTTTTGTCGCTGGGTTGTTCCGTCGTAAGAGTTCATCTTTAAAAGTTGAGGGTCGAAACATTTGGGTGTAAACCACTAGCCAAAAAACTCGCTGAGTCAAACTTCACAATTTTGCCCCGCCGCCATTTCAAAGCACCCCTCCATCAACTCTCAACTTCACAAACTCAAGACTCACTACGACTGACAGCTGGAAACAACTTTCAAGGGCTAGAACGCAAGGATTCAAATTTCATTCCTCCATTTTATAAAAGACATATCACCAACCATGTCTCTCGACCCCTTCGACGACGTCCTCACGCTAGAAGACCAATTCTTCTCAGAGGGCTTCCGCCAAGGCACCGAAGACGGCATCCAAGCGGGCAAAATCGAGGGCCGCTCCGTCGGCCTCGCAAAGGGCTACGAGAAATTCTATGAGAGCGGCAGGATACACGCCCGTGCTGTTATTTGGGCAAACAGACTTTCCCTCCCCCAGAAGAACAGCAGCACCACAACGAAGCCGTCCGGCGCTTCGGCTTCAGCTTCCTCGGTCTCGGCCGATCAACCTCAACCATCAACAGAGCCGCCATCAGAGTCACAAAACAAGACCTGCTCCCTACCGCCGCTGGCGCCCAACGCGAGACTAGAAAAGAACGTCACGACGGCGTTTGCGCTGGTCGAGCCGGACACGCTCTCCAAAGAGAACAGCGACGACGCCGTAAACGACTTTGACGACAGGTTGAAGAGGGCGCAGGGCAAAGTCAAGATTATTGAGCGCATGACGGGTGAAGTGGTCTCTGCGCCGGAGGCTCCTGCTGCTGCTGCTGGCGATGTAAAGGTCCCGGAGACCAAGGAGATTTGAAGGAGCTTTTTTTCTTTTCTTGTTGTTTCTTGTCTAATCAAGGAAGACAACATATTGGGCGGTTTTTGTCGATGGTCGTTTCAGATTTTGAAGACGGCTACATCATGAGAAACGGGGGTGAGATACCCAACAGACGAACAGAGTAGCTTAGAGACCTGGAGAGGTCGACTCTTCTAGACGTGAACGTGAAGAAAAGAAAAACGTTTCAATGGAATCTAGTGCCCTTCATATTTACAATTGTCCCTCCTCTCTCCACACTGTACAGCGAACCCCTCGATTTCCAAATTGCTCAAGCAAAAGTCCGGCAAGGGTAGCTGTTCACTCACGGTTAGCAAAGTTCCTCATCGTCACCAAACCACAGGACGCCCCCCTCTCCCCGAGAAAAAAAAAAGAAGAGGAAGACATTAAAACTCACCCTTCACCGTAGGTCTGCTCCTCGTTGACCTTGTACTTGTGCACATCCCACTTTCCGCTCTTCAAATCCTCACCACTCGGCGTCGGCGGCAACCCATTCGTAAACAGCGCCTCCTTGCTCGCCTCGACGGCGCCCTGCGCGGCGTTCTTCTCGAGGTAAGCCGCGATACCCGTCGTCTTTCCCTCCTCCTTGGCCGCGACGAGCGCCTTCTCGCCCGCCTCGCCGATGAGCTCGACGCGCGGGTTGGCAGCGGAGCCGACGGCCAGCAGGCCCACGACGTCGGCCTGGTTGACGACGCTGATGGCCGGGTAGTTGCGGCGGGCGTCGCGCTTCCAGTACGGGTTGTCGGCGATGTCGCCCGCGGGGACGGTGACGGGGTCGTCGTAGGCCAGGGGGTCGTTGGCGCCCGGTGCCGGGTTGCGGAAGGTCGGGTTCAAGGGCACGCCGGAGGAGCGGTTGGGGTCGATGGCCAGGGAGCGGCGGATGCGTTCCCAGATGCCTGTGGACTGGAGGGTGTGCTTCTGTAGGAGGAGGAAGAAGACAAGGTTAGCTACTGTTGGCCCAATTGAGGTCGTTCAATGGTTCGTCGGAGGGTGGTGGGTGTGTATGGTGGTGGTGATGGTGATGGTTCGTGATAGTGTCTGGTTTTCCCTGCTTTTCGCAGGACCAATTGAGGTTCGTACCTGGGAGATCTCCACGAGACCGCCTGCCGCAGCCTTCGCAATTGCCTTGGAGGCCATATTTGGCGACGTCTGTAGACGGTGGAGGGGAGATTTGGGGGTGGTGGGTTTCGATTGGCAAACGGTTCGATGACCAGCTTGAGGTTGGTTGTGAGGTTCGGGGGACGGGAGAGAGTGCTCCAGTTTCTAGCAAGGAACCGGAGGGCCGAGGTTTTGCCGGTCGAAGCAATAGCCGTGCTTGAATTTGCAACCCGGCACCACCACCTCTTGGACCAAAGTATCCACTTCACCACTTCCCCTTGTAAAGCTACATCGCTGGAATTTCCGGGGGGGTTCATCGCATCGAATCGGCCGTGGGTCAAGATGGCACGCAATTTCGCAACGCACCGCAGAGCTGTGCATCTTGGATGTGCCGACGAGGCATAGAAAAAGGCAATGCACACGCCCAACGCCAGACAATCAATTCCCAGCTACAATACGGATACAAGAAAACCCTGTCGTGCCCTGCCCTGTTCAGGCCCTCCAATTGCAAACGCATTTTCCGTCACGAAATTATACTTACACTGCAGCAACATGACATGATTACTCGTCCTTCTTCTCATCCTTCTTCTCGGCCTCATCGGCAGCATCCTCCTTCTTCTCCTCGTCGGCCTTGACCTCTCCATTGGCCGCCTCCTCTTCCTTCTTGGCATCGGCGGCCGGGGCTTCGGTCGCGGCCTCCTCAGCGCCGTCGACATCGCCGCCCTCAATCAGCGCCGTGACGACGTCGACGGTACCCGCGGGGCTACCGGGCTCGGCGATGAGGACCTTGCCGGCCTTGTCGACGACGAAGACGCCGCGCTGGGTGCTCTTGGGCGGCTTCTTCAAGCCAATGGCAGCAATCAGGGTCGCCTTGGGGTCGCAGAGCAGCGGGTAAGGCAGCTTCTGCTTCTCCTTGAAGGTGGTGTTGGCCTTGGGCGAGTCCATGGACAGGCCGTAGATGGCGAAACCCGTCTTGGTGAGGGGCTCGTACGAGTCTCTAAAGAGGCAGGCTTGCTTGGTGCCTGGATATCAAAAGCTCGTTAGCATGGTTGATCGGGCAAAAGGTAGGTATTACCAAGCATCTATCGATGCATGGACACACTCACATCCGGGAGTCGAGGCTTTCGGGTAGGTAAAGAGGACGACGCCGGCCTTGCTCTTGTCGACGAGCTCCTTGAGGGTCGTCTTCTCGCCATCGTTGGTCTCAATGTCGCCGCCGAAGCCGTCGAGGTCGATTGTCTCACCCTTAACCGCCTTGACCTTCTTGCCAGAGCCATTGGCAGCGGCGGGCTTCTCGACGGGCTTCTCGGCAACCTTTTCAACAGGCTTCTCGGCGGGCTTCTCGGCCTTGCCCTTGACAGCGCCCTTGACCTTCTCGGCCGCCTTGGCGACCTTGGACGAGGCCTTCTTGGGCGCCGGAGCCGGAGCAGGCTCGGGGGCCTTGCGCTTGCGAAGCTCGACAGGCATGGTGGTATATAGACTCAGCTGGGTTATATGCTGTGTATGGTGGGTACAGGTATCCGTATAGAGGTATACAATGGGAAGATCGCAGAAAGTGTGCGACTTGAAAAGCGGCGATGCGCTGGTGATGCGACCCAGATGCGATGGGAAAAGAATGCGAAATTGCAAGAGATGGGAGGGGGTTACGGGAATCGAGGGAAGTTGAGAGGTAAACAGGAGGTCGAAGAGGACGTCCTCGAGATGAGCCAATCACAGGCGGCCATGGCCAGAGCTTCAGCCGGGACCAGGGGGCTGATGCGATGCAGATGTCCTGCCGTGTTGCGCTGCTGCATTTTGGCGGTGCGGTGCGGTGCGTCGCGGGTGCTGGTGCGGGCGCCCCCAGTCTGTCTCTGTCCAGTGTCTCTTCCCTTCCCACTCACGTCCAGCCTCCCCTCCTCTTTTTGTCTCTCCTTTCTGTCTGGCTCAGGCTAATTATTAAGCTCGGGTCGCCGTGAGCAGCGGTATTATTAGCCGTTGCTGTTTCTGGGGTGGGCATGGGCGGACGACGGGGGGTGGTGGTGGTGCCGTGTCAACGTTGTATGGTTGCTCTGCCTTTGAAGGGTGCTGGCTCGGAATCTGCGTGTCTGGGTTCTCCCAAAACGAGAGCAAGCAAGCATGGTCAGCACTCAGTACGGAGCAAGAAAGAGGTGCAGGTCCATCAGTTCGTGTCTTTCGTGCTCTCGGCTGTTTCCCTGCCGCCCGACCTCTCTTGACCTCTCATCTGCCATTTCCCTCATTCTCAACAGTGAAGAAAGTCTTCGCACCCCTGTCCATCGTCCAGTAAGCTTTTCGACCATTGCCCGTGCGTTCCTCGACCCCGAGCTGGCGGTCTTAGTGAAGCTAGCCTCCAAGGGAGCGCACGTTCTGGTGCCCTTCCGGCGTCGGGCTTGCTGTGGGGGGGAAACACCAGATGGCTGGGCCTAAAAGCCGATGTCACCGATGTGAGATTAAGTACGCTATCTCACCTGCCGAGCAACCAGCCGTCATTGACACTTTTGTCTCTTACACACCGTGCTTTGCGTTCATCCTCTTAATCTCTTTGCTACATCTCACTTTGCTCCGGTGGCAGTCAGTGTTCGAGATGCCATCATTGACCTGATGAGAATACAGGTCCAACAATGCCTCCTCCAAGATGTCAGAGGCAGGCGGAGGCAGATCCTAGCGTAGGCGCCTTGTGTAGGCGCCTTCCAACACGCATATGCACCTTCTCATATGCCAACATCTTTCCAACTGCAACCTGCAATTCTTATTCGTTGGTTCTGGCTATTGACTCAACTCCGTCTCAAGTGAGGCAACGATCTCTTCGAAATCTCGTCTTTCCTCCACTCTGCTAAAAAACACCTTCCTCTCGTCAACGTGCACACCCATTGCCTCGTCTATTTGCAGCCAAACTAGCCTTCTTACTTCATTCCTCAGACCCCATACGTCATTAGTTGCTGTCCCTGAGAAACCACATTTGTCTGGCTGCAAGTACCGGCCATGTGGCTCATCAACGTCGATACCCTTCAGCTGGAGGAGTTCATCGAGCCAGATTTTCCTTATGCCATCCTCTCTCATACATGGGGCGGCGAAGAAGTGTCTTTCCAGGAACTCAAAACCCAGAGAGACGATGATGTCTGGAAAAAGGCCGGTTACCTCAAGATTTCCAACTCATGCCGAGTGGCCAAGTCCCTAGAATTGAACTACGTATGGGTCGACACTTGCTGCATCGACAAAACGTCAAGCGCTGAACTATCCGAGGCCATCAACTCAATGTTCCGCTGGTACAACCGGTCATGGGTCTGTTTCGCCTACCTCTCCGATATGGACGATTTGGCTAGCTCGGACACATTCCTCGAAAGCTTAGGTGATTCCCGGTGGTTTACCCGGGGTTGGACTTTGCAAGAGCTGCTGGCGCCAAAGGCCGTCACTTTCTACAATGCGTCCTGGCAGCTACTTGGTTCAAAGGAATCTTTGTCACCCTTCTTATCGTCCATCACAGGCATCGACGAGGCCATCCTTATTGGCAAGGCTCCTCTACTCAAAGTCCCCGTTGCAACTCGCATGTCTTGGGCCTCGAAACGCCAGACTACTCGAACCGAAGACTCTGCCTATTGCCTGCTAGGTATTTTTGATATCAATATGCCTTTGCTGTACGGCGAAGGCGAGAAAGCCTTTGCACGGCTGCAGTTTGAGATTCTGCAAGAAACAAACGACCTATCCCTACTTGCCTGGACCTCATCGGCCACGGATCCAGAACGACAAGAAGAATACAGCGGGCTGCTTGCAAAGTCACCGTCCAATTTCAGTGTTTGCTCAAATTTGAAGTTGATCGACAACATAATGCAATTTGAAGACTTTGAAGTTACCATGACCAAGACGAAAATTTCAATCCAAACGATTCTCTGGTACTTGGATGACCTCGGCCACAAATTTGGCACTCAGGACGAGGCAGGATACGTGCTGCCGCTACATTACAGCTTTTTAGATCCAGGTTTTCCTAAGACGTTACCTTTAAACAGGTACGACGCCAGCTTTTCCACTGCAATCGGCGTCGTGATCGCCAAAACGCCCTCCGGTTTCATACGTCACAAGCCTTGGAGCTTGATCGCAAAGTTCCTCGGATCGAAAGACAATTCTACACCAAGCCTGCCAGACATACGGAAATTAAAAGTGAGGGTGTCCGACGAAAAACCTAAGCCTCTCAAGCTGGTGCGTCACTTGACTTCCGAAGCGGCCTTGGACTTGCAGAGTACCAGGTTGAAGAACGCAATATTCGTTTCTGTCGATACCCACCTCATAAATAATGGTCCATTTGGGACTCTCCATGCACAACCTAAAGCGCTTTGGGATGGCTTAAATGGAGTCTTTCTCGACAATGACAGGCGGAGATCAGTACGGAACATGGTGGAAGCTCGTTTTCTACAATTCTCTCTTCGTTCGGGCGGCGAAAAAGTCATACTTGTTTGCGCCATCGTTGACTCTATGTTTGCACCCAGCGTATGCCGGGCAGCTTTGCTAAACTACGAAGAAGACGAAATGGGTAGATGGATGATCGACCATTTCGGCGAGTCTGATGAAACATCAACCTCGTACACAACTGCCACTCGCATGTTGGACATGGTCATAGGGCGAAGCGGCCGCAAGTTCTTACCTTCCTGGCCGCAGCCGGCGATTACATTATGCCCAATAGAGTACTTTGCGGAAAGCACGGCTCCGGCTTCGCGCAACATCCGGCTGTCTGACGGCACTGAGAAAGAGGTCACAGTCAGCATCATTCCTCATGACGCAGCTGAAGGCGCTTGTGAGATCCTCGTGGGATTTACTGGACCACCTATGGGATTTACTGGACCACCTATCCAATTGAACCCAAGCAAGAACCTTACACTAGCTGATATTCTCAACGATCACACAAGGCAAGATGGCCGAGCGGTCTAAGGCGCTAGCTTCAGGTGCTAGTCAAGTAATTGGCGTGGGTTCGAATCCCACTCTTGTCAGATGAGGCTCTCGTGAGTTAGCTATTTTTGGCGGTTTGGGGAAATCCGTGGTGTTCTGGTATCATTCCAATGACCTCTCCCGGTGTCCCTCATATTAGTCTTCTTCCTCCTTTTTTTTTGTCTTCTCTGGCAGACGCACCGAAATTCTAGTTGCTTTCTCCACCCTCACTCTCCCAACGTGAAATCCGCTTTTTCTCGCACTTGTTAACATCCTTGCATCATCACCTTGCATCATCATTCTGAGTCGTGTTTGTCTACCCAAGGATGAGTTAAAATGGCCTGCAGGTTTTCTTGCAGGATGCGGGCCTGTCTTGTCATATTCTGTCTCACAACCTCTCTTCATATGCCTGTGACTTTGGGAAGATACTGATGGTTGAACAACAACATACCGGTGGTGTAAGTCAAGCCCCGATAAGCCAAAACACCGGATATCAATCTCTGAATAACGAAAGAGCACTCATACCAAGAACTATCACCATTCATGAAACTACAGCTATCTCGTTTCTCCTCATTAATCGCCCTTATCATAATTCCGGCATCATAACACATGTCCCTGAGTACGACTGACCGAAGCCGGTTCAGCAAACCCTCCAGCGCAAAGCCAACATCATATGCCTATAATCACTTCTTTATCCCGGATACATGCATAACCCCACCGGTCCCCGATCCTCTAACCACAATCAGCCCATCGACATCTCATCCATGATCCCACTCACCTCACTTACACACACCCCTTCTCACCCTCGCGAAACCTCAAACCTCGCCGCATCCCAAAACACACAATACCACACGCCCTCCGGTCGGGCGATGCTCACAAGATGAAGAAGGGAAACCTGACACCAAAGGTAAGGTGATTACGAAAATTTTGAAACTTTCTACACAAAGGAAACCTCCTGAACTGACAACAACCCCCTTCCCCATAGACCATCACGGCCCCTCTAGCCGCCTTCACGATGGCCTGTATCCTCTTCGCGTAAGTCTCACACTTGGGGTCATCAGTCTCAAGGTTCACATGATGATACGTCTTCTTTGGATGTCCGCTGTTCAGAAGGATCGCGAGGTGGAAGCTAATATCGAACCAGGTACACCCGCTCTTCAATCCGCTCGGCGCGTGATCAGGCCGTACGTCTTCCCACCCGCCAGTTCCCTCGGACAACTCTTTAATGTAGCGGGAACTTCGGGATCAAGAAACTGACCATGTGCAGAGACATCCTCACGGCCCGAGCCACGGGCCCAGCAACGGTAGCCCGTCTTGAGGTTTCCAATGCATTTGACGTTGTAAGCGTGGCACCAAAACCACGCTGTGTTAAACGAACGCAGCGCGGCAAGTTCACCGGATAGACACACAGAGAGGCCACATCTCCCACAGGATCGATCACTGGCCCTCTGTATCAGGAGTTGCAGACCAAAAGGCTAGTTCAAGGGCAAGGAGGAAAGCAGTAGGGCTTTCGCGGGTTAATTTTCGTTCTTCTTTTTTGGATTTTGTTTCACGGTTTTTCTAACGTAGTTATACCTCCCCACCCTTCTCTGCCCACGTTTCTGTCTCTGGCAACTGCGGACTGCTCAATACCAAAAGAGAGAAGAGAAAAAAACATAAACATGGCTTCAGTGTGTTTTTCGTATCAAACTCCTTGTATACTCCGCGCCAAACAAATGTAATGCTACAAAAGTGAGCCGCCCTACTTCCCGTCGGTAGGAATAAACAATGCCATGCTCCCTGCCTCTCAACTGTGAACTACCTTAGTTATCCGAAATCGTGTGTGAACTATAAAAAGGAGACCAGCGTTTGCATGTGATGAAGATGAGGGAGGGATAGGTCGAAGATACCATCTCTCAAGTAAAGAAAGGGGAACTATTGCTTGGTTTCCGTGACCTGAATCGAGTTTGTCTATACCTGACGACCAAAGTTAAGGGTATCTGGAAAATCCCATCCCTATTTCCTAATCTCAACATCTTCTCTTTCCCTTCGAGACTGCTAAACCGCACATATTGTCTTGACAAGTTTCTCTCTCTCCACTTCTGTCTTCTTCCAAATGAGACCGCTCTCTGGCTTCTGCTAGGCCAAATCATGGCTCGGCAGGTTTGCCCCTTCCTAGTTTCCTCTTGCCCTCGCTCCTCGCATGATTCAAATGCTTCATCGCAAACTCATACGTCAGCATCGTCACTGTCGCGGCCGGCACCGCTCGCATCATGTTAGTGCCCATGCCAGCGTAGAAGGCCCTCCAGCCCTCCTCTTTGAGGATCGTCCGGAAGGTGCTGACCACGCCGCGATACTTTGGTGATAACGGTTGCTGCGGTTTGCCGTCCTCGGATAAGGGGACTTTGATTCCCAGACCCTGTAGATACTCGGCTCCTCCCACGGGCTTTCTCTGTGTCTGCAGTCTCGTGCGGATAACCTCGTGAGGATATGTAGCACTGCTCGCCATGATCTTCGATAATATCGAAGCACCCAGCACCCCCATCCATTGCGACTCTTGCGAATCGCCCTGCGTCGGCTCTCCCATACCCTGGCCAGTGAACCTCGTTTTCAGATACTCATATGCTGGGAACTGCACTGCCACGTGCGTAAGTCCCAGCAAGGCGGGCGTGAGACCAGAATAGAAGGAAAGGACGCCCTCGGAGGTGTACATTTTGCGTGCCGCATCGATTGTTGACCGGTAGTGCCATGAGCTGTGATTTGTCGGTCTGGAAGTCGGGGTGTTACCCGATCTCGGGAATTGCGAATGATACTTGCCCGGGTCATGGGCAACGCTTTGCGACATCAAGCGAGTCTTGATAACCCAAATGGGATTCGTGACGACAGTGCTACTGGCACCAGCGATGATGGATGACCAAAAGTTGATCAACACCGTGTTGTCTGTATCTCGAGTCAGCCAACATGAACCCCAGAACGCCCTAATGGCAGAGACTTCCACTTACCATGACGGTGTTTCAACCAGTCCTTGCTCTTATTGTAGACGGTAAACCACACAGCCCAGGTGGGCAAATAACCCAGTACTATCGGGCCGAGTCCCCTGTACATGCCGCGTATTCCCTCGTCCTTCCAAATCACGCGGGCGGTGCCAAGCAATCCATTGTAAAGCTTCGGGCCATGTCCGACATGTCTGCCCTTCTCAACCGGGTTGAAGCCACCCTGGGCTTGCAATTTGGTCTTGATAACGTCGAGCGGGCACGTAACAACGCCCGAGGTAAATCCTCCCACAGCACCGGACAGGGCGTTGAACTGGGCATCGGAGGCGCCAGCTGCCCACCGCTCAAAGGCAGTAATCGTCTCGTTGGTGGGCATGACAGCAACGGCCTCTTCAATAGCAGCTATCGCTGCGCGGGCAGGAGCTGTGGCTGGGTACGCTCTCGAGCTGCTGTAGTTGGGATATGTCGAGGTCGGGTAGGGCCCATATTCTTCGTCGTTGGGGTGCGGTGCGCCTCGTTCAGCGTCGGGTCGTTCGTCGTGAGACATCCCCTCTCACTGTTGAGGATGGTCGGGATTCAGAAGTGCGGAGGTTAGGCGCAAGCTGGGTACGGTATCAGCAAGGAAAAGGCGGCGATGTCCTGCTATGTATGCTGGTTCACGGAGAACTGAATGCGAAGCAAAGTGCGGGTAAAATGAAGCCGGTTCTCTCGGTGTATTCGTCGTGATTTGTTCGACTTCCGTGCTGCTTCTTTGGCGTCTTTCCTCTTGGCCCGTCTCTCCGTTTGTGTCTGTCGTGTACGTCTCACTCTGGTAGCTGGATAGATGCTGGACCTTCCCAAGTGTCCCGGTATGCGGGGAACGCTCCCACGCCGCCGTGACACTGAACGACTAGCGGTTATCGCAGCCCATTGGCCTTGCGGGGAAACAGTTGTCTAGGGCAGGTAATCGAGAACGGTTCTGGCGAGAAGGAGGCTCCCAAGCACACGGGATCGGGAAGTGAGGGGTGAGAGAGGAGGCGGACGGCGGAGAAGGGGAGAAGGACGAGAGGTAGTGGTGGTGGTGGTGGTAGTCGGTACGGTACGCAGTGGGAGCGCAGTCGGGGGAGTTGGAGATTGGATATTGCGAAAAAGCGCCGAGGTGGAGCGGGACGGCGCACGAGAGCAAAATGATGCGAGCTATCGGCTGTCTTTTTTGGCAGGAGGTCCCCACGTTCAGGGTACTCTTACAGGTGGAGGCAGGCGCAATCTAGTGGGCTGGGAGGGAGGAAGGAGCAGTTGGAGCGCTGGATAAGATGTGCCGGAGCAGGTCCACGGGTGAAATGGGCTGCTGAAGGAAGGGACCTGCGCGATGACGCGCCCGCTGCCTGTTACCGTCTGGTAGGTACCATAGAGAATAGGACTATGAATAAACCACCGAGGAAGACGGGAAGCTCTCCTCGGGTGCTGGCTCAAACCCCGGGAGCTGCCGACATTCTCAATTCTTGTTTGCAGCCCTGGATGATTAGCAACGAAAGATGACGCAGTATCGTTTGTCTCACGTTAATGACTGGCAGCTATGCAGTCTGGTAAGATGTCTATTTCGCTCCAAACAGTTGCAAATATCCTTGTGAGAAGAGCTGCGATCAAAAAAGACAAGAGACGCCAAGTGTCCAAAAGACGTCTCAGACGACGTCCAAAGTCTCTGAATCGCAATCCCAAAAAGCCCAGAGTAAAAAGTTTCAAGCTTCCAGACCACAGAAGGGGAGCTCCACCTCCGCCGGTTCCCTGCGGCTTTGCCCAGCACCACAAAATGCAATTCCCAATCATCCGTAGCAGGGTCTGCGGTGCTATCGTGGGCGGGCATCCCGTTGGTAGCTCCAATTACCTCATCGGGCCCCGGATCCAATCACGAAATCTGCACCTCTGCCTCTCGGTGGTCCGTGCTGTCGAGCTCTCTCACCAGCCACACTACCCTCGCACCAGCCACACGGACAATGTGGCGCGTGCCGGAATCTCAAGGATAATCACATGACCTGTCCGTCCCGAATCGTTGCGCCTCTCCGGGATGCTCCACGAATTTCCCATAGAGTCCCAACCTCAGGCGATCCGCAAAACCGTACTCCGCGGCATTATATCGAAACCTCTCCTCTCCGCGCCCACCACGCACCACATAGCCGCCACAATGACTTCGCTCATTTCCAAGCAGCTCGCCGACGGCATTCTTGCCCGCCCCTTCCTGAAGAGCATCTTCGTCCCCTTCTCCAACTGGTACGCCAACGCTGCCGGCCACCGCAAGCTCGGCTTGAGGTAAGCAACTCTTCGACAACCCGACCACAGCAATTGCCACCGAGGCCCCGGAAGACGACACAGAAACTAATTGCCAATTTTTTCTTCGACTGCAGATTCGACGACCTCATCGAGGAGGAGACCGATATCGTCCAGAAGGCCCTCAAGCGCCTCTCTCCCAAGGAGTCCTACGACCGCGTCTACCGCATTCGCCGCGCCGTCCAGCTCTCCTACCAGCACAAGCTCCTGCCCAAGAACGAGTGGACCAAGCCCGAGGAGGTGCGCATGCCGAACGATTGAATCGAAGAGAAACATGAGGACTGACCCTCGACTATAGGACTACCCCTACCTCGGACCCATCATCCAGCAGATCCAGGCTGAAGAGGCCGAGAGGCTGGCCTTCGAGACCATGGAGGTCCAGAAGAAGCACCACTAAACTACATCTTCCTGGTGGGGGATCACGTTTGGACGGAAAGGAGGCGGAGAGAGCGAGCCGCGCGCACGATGCTGTAAAGTATGACGAAGGAGAATCGCCTGGCCGGGCGCGCGACAGAAATTTAGACCAGGGGGGGCCAGGCGGTTCGTGTACCTTATGTATAGACCTTTGGAGGGGGTTGCTTTCTCGTCAATTGGAACTCCCTGCTACACTTACAGGTTCCGCTGCGCTCGAATAGCACCAATTGATGACACTTTTTTTTTGGCCTTGGAATATCGACGTTCTCACGGTTGCCCCCCCGGCCCGGGTTCGCGGAAGCTAGCTGACATTGTACGCACTCTCACTGGTCGGAACCCGCAGACCCACCATGGTACATCAACATCATGAGTAACGACTTTCTTCGACGGCGTTTACTACGTTGAGGGTCGTTGAGTATACCGATGCTGTCGCTGTCGAACTACCTCAAATTTCTCACTGCCTGGGCATTCGCATTTCAATTGTAACAGGTTGTGTTATTGCATTATTTATCATGTTAATTGATGGCAATTACTTTGTCGCGTCCATGATCTGCGTGATCCAATTGACAGTGCGGTGCTATCAATGAGGTTGCTGAGATGTCGGAATCAACACCACAACTCTACTCAACTGCATACAATTAAAATTCGGGGTCTACTCATTGAATCAATGAATCCAGAATGATCATGTAGTGAAAGACTTCTATATCCAGACTGCGCTGCCGGTCTAGAAGTAAAGATCATCGTTGTAAGGAGATGGTGTCTAACTGCCCGGTAGTGTGTATATTGACGAATTGAACCGCAATTATAGTGGGCTTCTTGACTGTGCAACGTCTTCCGTCAAGTATTCTGTTCTCATTTTGAATCCTCGGTGGATTCAATTTAGCACCAAGCTTCAGTTTCCGCGAGCCCCCAATAAGGGTGACTACCAATAAATATGCATACGTCCGCAAAGTGAAGGATGATCTCACATCGCCCATTAGTCACAATTATTTGAATTCCTCTCTGTTATACGGGCAACTGTCTGAGGAGAAGGGCTGACGAGTGACTCTTCTCACTCATGCCCAGCAAGACGGCACAAAAGTAGTAAAATTCCAAAATTCACGGTTCCCTGCTCACTTACAGCACACTTGTGGTTATGCAAGGGCTAAATATGTCGAGAGACATTTCTCAGCATGCAAAGATTATTCCAAATGTGCTCAATGTAACTCTACATAATCCCAACTCACCCTCTGGAAGATTCAAGGCGAGATTGCGCAACTTGCCATTCATTGCTCGAGCAAAGTGGCGACTCCAAGTGACCTTATTCCTCAAAGGGCTGTTGCGGACTCAGTATTCCTTACTTGCCACACGTACCCTCACAGTCTAGGTATGAAAAATGGCACGGGCACTCCAAAGCTGTTCGCTGGATTCAAAGGAGTGGCAACTGGGCAGGTTGCTACGCTCCCAATTTAGAGCACCCCTTTCTCAGACACTTTTAACTGAACTTGAATGATAATAAGACACCATTCAAGAACAATGGCAGAGAGTCATATACTAGGGAGTCTAATAACAGGAATCGCAGGGCGGTCTCCATTTCGATACACGAATCAAGGTCATAGCACGGCCGTGCCGAGAAGACACCAGGTCATTGTTGGACAAAAGGAGAGGCCCATGGAACTGACTACATTACATTTCGAGTAAGTAAACACGGCTTTCCACGTATTCTCAACTGCGCCAAACTGTATGCACAAAAATATCTCAAGACTTCCTCCAGACCAAACAGAGAAACCGCACGATATCCCCTTTTTGAGTAGAAAGCAAGACGACAAAAGAAGAAAAAAAGGAGGGAAAACAATACTATTTGGTTTCACGTCCCTGCCCAGATCAAAACCATGCACCCCTTAGTCGACCCAGAAACTCTGACTTCATTGGCGTATTTGTTATATTGACCACTTGGCCACTTCGCACACAGCCTGACCCGACCCGCCGACCTACACGGACACTGATGTACTGGTGACAGCAACGATGTTGGGGGTGGTATATATAACCTTGGATGCCTAATGGAAGATAGAGTGAGGTAGGTACGTCACCTGGATAACGGTCTCAAAGGGAACGAGGGACCTCGTTCATGGGGAGGAAAGGTCCGGGCGAGGGGCTACTACAGTTGACCAATTCATGTCGTTCAGGTCTTGTTCGTGGATTGCTCGGTCAAACTCGAAAATCCCGGATTGTTTAAAGGAATGAATAATGACATTGTGAAAAGTGTCTTCCCGTCTACAAGACGAAACAACCCCCGCCCCCCCTTCTCAAGTGGCACGAGAAGTAAAAAAATAATGACGGCTATCGCAAGACTTTTTCACGCATCAGTCAAGGCCTTGGCTTGACGAGTACTTCTGCTTGCTCGAAGCCCGGGCACGACACGCTGATCTGAGAGTAAGAGTGAAATAAGCTAGGACACAGGAGCATATTTATCCACTGCCTGTATAGGCGTAGAGGCTAGGCCAACCGCAGTCCTGTGTCGAACCAGATTGTTATTGATAGACAGCCGACTAGGCTCAGGCTATGACCCTACCCAGCGCCTATCGGACCATATATCAAGGTGAACGGGGTTACAGCACGGCAGACAGTAGAGAGTGATTCGGGACAAATCAAAATGTATAAATTACGCCTCTTTGAACTCCAGAGTTTCCTCATACCCTAGATATCACACTCATTCGTCGAGAGGAAACTTCACCAAGCAACTCTTCTCTCCATAAAGTGCTGCTTGCGTCACCACATACCAAAGTCCGAGGCCGAATAGGGGGCTCCCCTTCCTATGTTGGGCGTTACCTTTCCCCCTCCTATGCTAACGGGTGATGTAACCAAGTCTATTATTACAGCGAGGCATCCTTTCATGCGGTATGAGTCGCCAAAAGAGCATCCCTCTTCTTTTCGTCCGTCTTGCGTTTCATGGCTAGCTCATTCAAGTAACCGACGTCGAGCCAAAGAAAGGTCAGGTTGTCGTCAGATATATATGTGGCGCAAAGTCGAGCTCGTGGTTACCAGAGCAGCCGAGGCATTTACCAACACTTTGGCCTCCCACCCATTATTCGTGGGCCAAGAAGCTTGGGACCAGTATCCGGAAATGCCTCCTCGTGAAACGCTCCCAAGTACCATGTGTGTGTATCGTTACGTGGTCATACAGTGCTGTGCTCCGCCAGCCGCATTCCGCGGACCAAGTCGGAAAAAATCGTCGTACAATCGGAAGGAATTAGGCTAAAAACGCATCCTTAATGAAATCATGCGTTTCCGGGCTTCTCCTCAGTGTCAATGTGCCATACGACGTAGTTGGGTAGACCGACGACTCGGTAACCAGCACGCTTGGCCATCTTGGCAAAGCCTTCTGTCTCGGCCTGGTTCTCGAAGGCGTAACACGGGAAGTTGATTCCTGCAAAGATTAGAAAAAGCTCGGTATTTCAGGCACAAGGTGAACAAACCTGATCTGTGGACATCTCCCTTTACGAGAATGTTGACGCCACCAATACCATCGAGGTCGAGCTCATCATCCTTATTGTTGCGCCAGTCGCCTTCCTTGGCCATGTATCTGCGTCCAGTATCGTACTCCTTGTATCCTAGTCGCTTGTGGTTAGCATCCACTTACGGGTACTAGGAGCAGCATCCCTTACCTTCGGCGAGAACGACGTCCTTGTCCAAGCTGGCTGACAGTCTACGACCCTTATCAGACTCGACCCAAGAGTTGTAGTCAAAGCGACCCTCGATGTCACGGCCATCGCGGTAGCGGTGAAACCAAATGTCTTCCATATCGTCAGCAATTTCCATGTCGTGGCCATGCGAAATATGTACTTACTCGGCACGAGGATGTCGGTATCGTGGGCAATGAAATCTTCCAGAATCTTCTTGGGGCTGTCAACGATGTCCACGTCACGCCAGTAGACCCAAGAGTGCTCGGGCTTCATGGCAGCAGAAAGGAGGTAGTTGCGAGCCTTGCCCATGGCCTTTCGTCGGGGACCCTGGGCCTTGAACGAGTGGCGTTCCTCAACGCTCTGGCTAAGCTCGAAACCAAAGTCCTTCTCGACAACCATGGCGCTGTTGAAGGGGATCTTGTCAGGACGGCCCTGGATGCGGTCCAGCTCGGAAGCGAGAACGGCGAGGGTATCGTCCTTGGAGTCACCGACAAGGAAGGCGAGATCGATCAGGTGGTGAGGGTAGGTCAGCTCGGCAATCAGCTCAAAGTACTTTGACAGATACGGAGCAGCATCCTTGAGAGGCGTGAGAATCAGAACGCGCTCCTCGTTGGTAACGGCCTTGCGCGTGGACTTGATAGGGTTGAGGTCGACGTGGATGATGGAGGTATGGTTGATCTCCAGGGGCTCGTGGTGGTTGAAGATGACGGGGGTCTGAAGGTGACCGGCCCACGAAGCTTGCTCATTGAGCGACATCTCCATGGGGGGTTTCGCGGGGCCCCAGCAGTAGAAGCTGCGCAAAGTCGCAAGTTAGCAAGCTATTATTTTCGCGGCGCATCGCAGGAAAACATCGCGCTCCTTAAGGAGGGAGAATCGCTACGTAGGTGAAAACTTACCTCTGCATTTCCGAAGCTGAGGAGCGAATACCGCGCCATAGTAGCAGAATGGTGCCGGTCAGGGCAACAAGGAGAAGAAAGCGCGTTCTAGTCAAGAAGGACCATACTGCTCTGGTGGGAGGTAGTCTTGCCTGGGCAGACTTCCAGTTGATTCCGCCTTTGGGAAGAAGCATGGCTCCTGAGAATGAAAGGGTGGTCTTTGACACCACCCGAAAAACGCGTCTTTATAGAAAGAAGAAAGTGACCGATAGGTACCCCGGCACGGCGAGTGTCCACAGTCGCAGAATTGCAGACGTGAGAGCGCCCTCTAGAGGTCGTAGTTGTTGACTTATCGTCGCTGTCGTTGCGCCAGGTTGGAGCTGCAAGTATCGCTTAAGGGCGGCCGACGGTCGGTGATGTCGCGCAAACAAAAGATGAAGTAGCACAAGCCTCCCCAAGACAAGTCCGAGTCGATAATCAAATTGCTGAGGCAGACGGAAGCAGGAGGTTAACTGATTGGGCAGTTTCGTGTCGTCCGATAGACAGCACTGGTTGCAGCACACAGTCTCCAGAAGGGGGTGGGCCAAGGCTGACGAAAGCCAAAAGGTCGTCGATTGAGTTGATAAGGGTTGAGAGGTCCAGAGATAGGTAGCAGGGCGACTCAGTATCAGGGATCCCGTTGAAGGATAAGGTGGTATGCGGTGCGATGCAGTTCGCGCTCTCAAGGCGGGTGTGCAAAGGTGTACTTTGGTGCTCTTCCAACCTTGTTGAGGTCCTCAAAGGGAATGCGAGATGAATTCGGCCAGAAGTTTTGTCGAGGGCAAGAAGACCAAGAGCGAGGGACGTTCGGGTAAGCCCAGCAGGAAGGGGAAGGAATTGAGAAAGGAGCCACGCCAATGCTGAAAGGGCCCCGAAAAAAAAGGGTCGACCGGGAGGAAGAGCGACTGGTGTGGCAGGCTTGGATGGTATAGGCTAAGGCACGTCGAGGCAAGGCAGGCGCAGGCAGGCTTGGGTTGGTGGGAGGCAGGGTACATGCAAGTACGCGGGAGATGGAGGGCAGGCACACTCAACTTGAAGATTACACCAAGTACCTCACCACCTCTCTCACCTTACCTACCGGTATTGCCTAGGTAGGTACCTACTCTGCACCACACCACCATACTCTCTGAATTCAAGCGTACAGACCACAGCTTATTGCCTCAATCCGCAGTAGACGAGAGAGAGAGAGAGAGAGAGAGAGAAAGACAGAGAGGAGAGAACACATTGGCCCGAACCACGGAACTCGCCAACCTTGCCTGCTGGACCCTTACCTTAGCACCCGCATCGTGACTGTTCTATAAGGTAATAGTTGTCTGCCTGCCCATTGAGGTAGGTACTTTGGCTGACCTTGGAACAGGTGCAAAAGCAGCTGCAACCCGCGGCTCGACAGCAGCAGAATACGAAGAATGAGCCAATGGTCAAGCGTCAAAAAGTTTAATCAGGTTAGCAGAGGTATCGTCTTGTACCGACAGCCCTCAGCACGCGAGATTGCCGGAGCTGCCAAGCGCTTCTGGACTCAGGAGACACTGTGCCGCAACCTGAAGGTACTTTGCTCTTTCCTCTGGGCTCTGTGTTTCTCTCCTTGTCCTACGGCTACTATTCTCCCGTCCATTTCTGAGGACCTCATAACTGCAATCCAATTCCACAGCGTGTCTCCCCGCTCATCTTTCCAGGATCAACACACGGGGGCTTCGTGGGAAGCACGCGCCCCCTTTCTACCGTCCATCTGTCAGCAAGTCAATCTAGAATCCTGGATGCTTGTGGCTTGTGGCCTGCCATCGAATTCAGACTTTAGACTTCAGCATGAAGGAGCGGGAGCCTGAGTAGCCAGCGGGCAATCAGCTGAATGACACAACCGCTCGCCTAGGGACAGGTTATCTCTCGGAGAGCAGAAAAACTTGCAGGCCTACCCCAGTGTTCTCCAGGGTGCCCGGCCGCACAAGCACGGAACACCTAACACTAACAGCGTGGTGTCCTTACTATGTACGCGGTAGAGAAATCACCATATCCTCCCCGGCGTTCTTGGTGCATATGGGAGGCTGCAGAATCGCTAACCGGACTGAATACAGAAAGCACCCAATGTCAAGAACTCGCTCGTCTACCGAGGCCCGAGAAGCTAGGCGTCCTCGAACCGGCCCAGAAGCCTGACAACGAACTACTTCTACGGAGTACTGTTCGACTGCTGTCACTTTGTCAGTTCAACGGCGCTACGAACCCTAGGCCCGATGGACGATGGCTTACGGCTCTCTCCCCCGTCGTTCAAGACCTCACTTGCTCAGTTCCTAATGTTATTTTACTGATAGATGGCGCCGATGGCACGCAGCTCCACCCTTGCTTTGCTCAATATCCGATGTTACGGCACCACATACCAACGCAGGTAGCGACTCCCCGATGCTGGCCTGTGCGAATGCCTGGGCTAGAACCGCTATCCGCATCTCGATTCGTCCAACCGTTATTATTGACCGTGGCACGCCGCACGCACACACTCACCACTCACATGGCACGCTCAATTCCTCTCATCCGCACCAAGAAAGTTCAAGCTCTTCTTGCAGCTGTACTACTGTAAGCTAGGATTCGCGAGAAGCAGAGACGATTCGGCCCAAGATAATTCTTCGTCAAAACAACAAGCTAGGCCATTCCAGCCAACCCCCTTACCCCTGGCAAAGTCTTAGGAAAAGCATGGCACGGGAAGACGGCGAGAATAGAGAGATGGATGGAGACTTGACAGAGAGGGGGGGAGGGAAAGGCAGGGATCGCGGTCAATCTCCAACCCGCCACATCCACTATCCCACTCACGCACGCACGCGATTGTCACACCCGGAAGACAGAAAAATGGAGATACTTCCAGCTGTTCAACTCTCCGACCGCCAATGCACAGCAAACTTTCTAGATTTCGTCTCCAGCGTCCCTCTTCCCCCCTCTCTTTTCGTCTGTTCCGCTCCGCGATTGTCTCCTCACGGGCAGCGAAAGGGACAATGCTTTTCACCTCCGGTCTTCCAAAGGTCCAGGCCGCGTGCCGGCCATGGATCAGATGGAGCAACAGTCGTCGTCATCCGGCATCATCACGGGCATAGACGATGGATCCTATCCCCCCACAGTTCCGCCGTTGCGTGTGCATTTTGTCAACTCCTGATTCGGCTTACAAGGTGCGCTTACAGGAGGTAGGGGAAACCAATGGATGCAAAAGATGTTGCTCTTCGAAAACTGTCTTGCTGATCGTTCCTACTCCCCGCCCGCCTGGTCAGGCCGTTGGTCGCGTGCACCGCATGCTGTCCACAACTCCGGGGGGCAACGGCCCAATTATGCACACAGCACCATCGAATCATCGATTCGACGGTGATCTGTCACCCTTAAATATAGCAACATGCTAACGTCCATTTTATGGGAGCTCTTCATCCTGCGTTCAAGCAAGGAACTGGGCTACCACTGACCACACATCAGGCAGCATGGTGACTGATTGTCAGTTGTCTACCTATTCTCGTGTGGTTGATGAAGGGCATGAAGCCGGGTTTCGCATTCGATTTCGTATACACATGAAATGGTACTCAGTGACCGTTGGCCACATGATATAAATCAGCAAAACCAGCCCAAGCTACACCTCGTATATAACGAATACGACATCGGGTGTAAAAACGGGACCACATCATAACACTGGTATCATGATATTCCCATGTTCGCACAGTCAACACGGCAAGATACGTTGCCACTGGTATATCGGACGAGCATCATTCAATCCGATCAGAGTCCGTCACTGGCTGCCTCTAGCTTCACGGGACTGTGCTCTGTCACAGGATCTCACCTTGACCAACTTGGTTCATCCGACCATGATAATACAGTACTGCGTACAGGATAAACCAGGCCTCAGCTGAGTAAGCTGGTCTCTCCAAAGGGCAGGCGCGCGTCGATCCAAGCGGGAAGCTCCCTTTCCCAAAAGCAGTGAAGCACCTTCATCCTCCTCCCCGTGCGCCCCCAAACTCAAGATGACAAAGCACTAGGTGGTGCCAGCCGAGTGGCGGCTCGGAGCCTCAATCACTGGTGAACCTCGTCGTTGCCGTGAATGCCAACGACATTGCTACAGGTGCAACTGCGACGTACTGCTACTGCGACCAAGTGAACAACATATTCGATACCCAGATTCCGACTCTTCGTCGACTGAAAAATTTGACAAGTACCTTTTTGAAAGCCAATGGCGTCTGAATGAGGGTTCTTTTCGTCCGTCATTCTGTGGGCTCCGTTTTTGCTGCACGGGGATTTGTACGTCCACAGCATCACTTGATATTCACCTTGAGCGACTCTCTATTCACCCACGGCAGCCGGACAATAACCCACATCAGTCGAACATCACCTGGGAATCTACAAAATCACTCTTCATCATCAAGGTCGTCACCAGAAAAGACATCACGAACAATGGCGTCCCGGCGATCAGCACGACTGAGCGCCCAAACGGACATCAAAATCCCGCCGCCTCCCACCATCATAGCGCCTCCGGCGATCTCATCGGCCCCAAAAAGCCGGAAGAGAAAGGCCCCGGCAGAATCCGCACCTACGGATCCAGCTCCGTCCTCGGACCCGGTCACACCGCCGAGAAAACGGGGTGCTTCCAAGGCCGGCCCGGTGACACCCATTCCGCCTCCACCAATGACACCCACCCCGAGCGCCGTCGGCCTCATCGCCGAACGCGTCAACGGCACCGTAAAGAAGCCCAGGGCCAAGGCCGTAAGCCGGCTCGCTGACCCGAAACTTACCAACGCCCCCGTCATCTCACCCGAGACGTCGAGGGTGATCGCGTCTCGGTCCGCCGAGGCGGCATCGCCTTCCAAGGCACCGACGGGTAGTGTCCTAGGAGTAGGTGGGAGTGCGAAAAGAACAACCACGGACAACATCCTCGAGGAAGCATGCCGCCATCTCATCGAGGTCGACGAGCGCATGAAGCCCCTCATCGAGAAAAACTATTGCCGCGTCTTCTCGCCCGAAGGCCTCGCCGAAAAAGTAGACCCCTTTGAGAGTCTCTGCAGCGGCATCATCTCCCAGCAGGTCTCGGGCGCCGCGGCGCGATCCATCAAGAACAAGTTCGTCGCCCTCTTCACAACAGACGAAGAGCCTGAAATCAAAATCGAAGCAGCCGAGTCGACCGAGTCCGGGTCCTCCTCCAACAAGTTTCCCCAGCCGTCAGAGGTAGCCGCCCGCTCGATCGAGAACCTCCGCACCGCCGGCCTCTCACAGCGGAAAGCCGAGTACATCAAGGGCCTGGCTGAGAAGTTTGCGTCAGGGGAGCTGAGCGCCCAGATGCTGGCGGAGGCGCCCTACGAAGAGGTGCGGGACAAGCTCATCGCCGTCCGGGGCCTGGGCCTGTGGTCGGTTGAGATGTTTGCGTGCTTCGGCCTCAAGAGGATGGACGTGTTCTCGCTGGGCGATCTGGGCGTACAGAGGGGCATGGCGGCCTTTGTCGGGCGGGACGTGGCCAAGCTCAAGGCCAAGGGCGGCGGCAAGTGGAAGTACATGTCGGAGAAGGACATGACGGAGATGGCGAGCCCGTTTGCGCCGTATCGTAGCGTGTTCATGTGGTATATGTGGAGGGTCGAGGAGACTGATATAAGCACACTGGAGTAGCAGTCGGATTACGTACTACACAGTAAATAGCCTTTTCTCTCTCGGAAACCATGCCCACTCTTGCGATATTCAGAGTCTCCATCTCGAATATCGCGAAATTGCAGACATCACCAATGAGGCACGTGGGGTGTCCAGGAAGGATACGAAATCCCCGGCGATACGAGATATCGACTCTGCCGCACACCCAGAAGGGCCAGAGCCAGACGAAAACGTAGCCAAACTTCTCCAGCTAAAGCTCTCGGCAGTGAAAACAAAATTATCTTCAATCTCTTAGTAATGGTCAAGCGGACTGCGGGTAAGATCACGATGAACGTACCCATGTCGTCCCTCAACTACTCAACACCATTCAGGATTACCACAATGCCGCAAATCAATCAAGCTTTCAGGCTTGCCAGCCTTGTGCGTCAGTCAGAATTAGACTCTCACTTTCAGGGTTTTGCCTGGCCCCCCCGAGGGTACGGCGCGCGGACGGTTCCAATGTTCAGCCTCAGAGGGAAAGCGGCGCAGCTCTCCATTTGTGTTTGGAGTTGCGAGGCGTTGCGAGTTGACTGGACGCACCGGCCATGAGTGCCACAAGCAAATGACGAGCCTGCGACAACGACAGCGACACCGAAACCCGACGGGAGGCCAACGGGAGCTTGCAGCTGCCGCGGGCCGTATTAAGGCAGAACGAAAGCGGTTCGTGGCAGGAACGGGAAAGCTTTCTCCACGCGGATGCTCCATCTGGGCCATCGTGACTGTGAGATGGGGGTTGAACGTGCGTCAGCCAAGGATGTCGATGTTTGAAGTCTTGTCGCAGGATGAACATGTTGTTACTAAAAGTCCAGAACCTGACCAGCTGAAGAGCACCAGGTATTATCCGCGTTACAAAGTGCAGAGTAACACATGACGCTCGTTCTCGTGGCCCTACGACAGAAATTAAGACTGTAGAGTCTAGGACTTTGTGTTGGAAGCTGCGAGTGATATTCCAAGGCGATCTACAGAGTAATACCAAGCAGCCGTCTGAGTCCAGATGTCTGTCCTAGATTTTCGCTGTGCGGCATACGGCCACCCGTGACATAGATCAGCCGCGATGGAAGATCGGTCGTTGCACTCTTTGTGCTTCGGAAGCACTCTGTTTGGCCAGCGCCGTTCGTGCCGTTGACGGTTTTCAGAAACGGCAGCCACAGCAGCTGGCAGAGCCACTGGAAAACCTGGAAGTCTTGGGTATCCCCCTGCAAGCCTGAGAGATTGTGAAGCTAGGATGAGCGCGGACAAGCCGGGGGTGACGGGTGTGTCACTAGCGTAGGATGGGACGCGCGAGCCGTCCGGGAACAAGATGCAGCAAGAGATATCGAAAATGAAGACTGGCATGTGGTAATATGGTGCGTAGCAGCGATGCAATCTTGCTGCGTTGCTAGTTCTTTCGTTTATCGCTTGTATCCGTATTGCCATTCCGACCTCCTATTTCTGGTGGATTTCTATCGGCTGATCATCAGACTGCATTGAACACAGAGATGGCAAATCTCGGGGGAGCGAGACAGGCACTGGTGGTTGGGGCGAAAAGGCAGCAAGAATGCCATCGAGCATTCGATATTGATTTGTACCTGTGTGGCTGTATCCATATACCACTTTGACTCATTGTCTCGGTGCGGCATCGTGGCAGAACACAACCTGGGAGGCAGCTTCAGTTCCGACCAGTCGCGGCTGAGTGTGCTGTCGTGGGCCGCTGAACAACCCAGCCGAGGATGGACCAGTGGGAGGCAAATAGTCGTCAGCGCTCAGCCGCCATTTGCAAGTTCGGGCTCGCTGGTTTCGTAGAACAGTGTTGGCGTATTCTTGGAAAGGTCTTAGCGTCAGTGTAAGTAGACGTCGAAATGGCTAGCGACGCGACACGACAGCGAAATGTCGTGCCGTCGCCGTTGATGGTGGTGAGGGCCCATGAAAGATGAGGGTCACATCGCCGTGGTTGGTTCCGGGTATCGACTCCGTCTCATCCACCACCGTACTGCTGCAGCAACACTGCAGATAGGATTAACTGACAGAGCCGATGATTGCAGATGGACTACAGCAAGCCCCCGTATGCCCGCATTTTTGCTGCCGTCAGTGTTGAGCCGTCGACGAATGGCCGCGACCAGTGACACAGCCAAGCTCTTGTTGAGCGCGTCGCGCTATCTGCACTGCCAACTTCTTGTCTGTGGGTTGCAGTCCTGATCGAGGCCGCCATGCAAAGCCTGAAGTGAAGGCCTGGGCGACTCGCGAGCCAGGCATGATTTGATATCTGCCTGCGAGCCGCCATCCGTACTCAATACACTATGTTTGAGCCGAAGTTATTAACGTGCTTTAAACTTGCTTCTTCCCGACCCTCGTCACAGTTTCTGTCGAGTCCAGGCCATGGCCGTGCCCACAATCATTCGGATGGCCGAGCAACTGCGTCATTGACTGCAGCGGCTCCTGGCGGTGCTAGCAATCCTGACCTGATGGATCTGTAAATCAAAACAACGTGCCGCTCAAGAAGATGAAACAATTTGTGGATGGATGGCCGACGTAGCCTGCGGTTTTTTTTCTTTCTTGTTCGCGGCGGCCGGTAGTGGCGCGCTGGGCAATGTACCTGGTACAAACTTGGCACCATTTGCGATGGTTTTTCTCTGGGATGGAGGCGATCAACGATGGGGATTCGATGCCAGCTGAGCAAGGCCTCGATGATTCGAGCAGGAGCTTTTGGGCAGCGGGTTGTTGGCGGCACCCATCGGTACCAATACGGACTGGGTGTCGTGGGTGTGTGAACAAAACAGGTCGGACCGCAGATTGATTGCCAGAAGAAGCCTGGTTCGAGACGGTGGATGTTGATTGGTGGCGGAAGGAGGGCCAATTGTGGATTGGGAGTCCTTGAGTTGTGACTCTTTTGCAAGAGAAAGGAAGTCCCGGCTGGGGCTTCACTGCCAACTGGGCCTCAGGCGCTATCAACACAGCAGTAGATTGGTGGTGGGCGGTCACCGGTGAGTGTCGTTGGCCAAGGCATCGTCTGGTCGTGGTGGTTCAGGCTTTCCAGCAGCCGCGGTGCAAAGTCTCAGAGTCTCGGCCAGTGGATACTGGGGCTGGTTCTCGCGTCTGACCTTGGCAGGGCCTTGTGTGGGATAACTGGAGAGTGGGAGAGTCCGTCGGCCATTCCCATGTCCATCCACCTCCATTTTGGGAGGCCTGACCTTACTGCGCAGGGTCAAGTGCAGCAACTTATGTAAGGTACAGACATGATCTGTGGAGGCACTGAGAGGCGAGACGAGGCGAGGCGGATGATCATTCATGACTGCTGTGTTTTGTTGTTTGTTTTGCTTGTGCTTGTTGCTTTTGTGTGGTTGTGCTGCCATTACCAACTAATTATTTGCATAGGCAATGGGTACTCGTGCTTAGGCACTCGATGATGTAAAAATGTGAGCGCTCGTGTCGAGAATGGTCCAGAGACCACACAATAAGTGGAAGGTTTCGCATCGGCCGGCCTAGCGCATTGACTTTCGGACAGAATTTTCGGTCGAGGCGTGACAGAGAGAATGAGAAGTTGGATCAATCACGTCCTCAGGCAATGAACAAATTGGACGAGGAATGCCTCTGTGCTCGCCTCTGTGCTTGGGGGGGATTTCGTAGGGGCGAGAGTCTGTTGATTCATGTTTGACTGCGCATGTGCACGTTCGTCCTATATATCAGCAGAGACGTCAGCCCTCGCAAGTACAGGCAGTCGAATTGCCTTTTTAGAGGAGACAGATGTAAGGTTTTCGCTGACTGTTGTCAATTGAGGTGTCTGACTGACGGGAAGCTGTGTGTCTGCATAAGCTATGTTGGTGTGTCAAAGTGTATGAGAGAGAGAGTGTGTGTGGTGATTATTCGCTCTGGCCGTGCCTCTTTGGAAGATGGAGAGAATTGTGTGTATTGTGTGTGTACGTATCTTCTTCACAAGGAACACCCCCCCTTTCCTGAAGAGATCCACTTAAACAGTACAATTGATCCCCACTCTTCATCTCTGCTCCTTGCCCCTGTACTAGTGCAAAGAGGGAGATGGATTGCTCCAAAGTGGTTCCCGATGGGCGGAGCTAGGCCAGAAACCAAGACCTTCAAATCTCGCCAGACCGGTGGAAGCAGGGTTATTTGCAGAAACTTGATGCCATGGCGGCCGGCTTTTGTGTCCATTGCGATTCCATCATCACTCTAATCAGATTATAAGCCATTCAATATTTGCTACGGCCATTTGCTCCATCCTGATGCGTCAAGGAAGGACAGAAAAGTCTTGATAGCAGATCCCCCATGCAGAGGCTCCAGAGAATTTTTCCTTGGGACCTTGTGAGAGGAAGGAGGCTCAGGCTTCGGGACCGGCAGATAAACTCTGGCGGAAAAAGGGGGCCGGAGGCGTGTCTGTAGATAGCAAGAAAAAAACACGGACTTTTGTTGCTCACAATACTGGAGGAAATCCTCCCAGAATTCCTGCCAAAGAAGCAGCCCACTGACTGCTGCAGCCGCGACAGATTGAACAGACAGACAAGTGATCAGATAGACGTATAACACAGACTTTGCCAATGCCAGTGTGTCTGTCTGCAACCTGCCAGCGTCAAACGCAAAAGACCTGCACGTCGCGACACCATATCCACAGCAGCGGCAGCTCACGGGGATTCCGTCTACGCCGTAGCACATTGATGAGTCCCAAGTTAACTGAGTTGAGTAGCTCGGCGCCGTGCCAGCTGAGATACCTACTACTACAGGACTCGACTCTAGTTTGGAGTAGGGCGTCTTCATTGACCAAATCTGAGAGACTAACACGGCAGACTAAATACTTGGTAGCTTCACCAGACACCAGCCTACATGTATCACCGCACCGAACCTTCCATGGTGATGATGCCGATGCTGGTGCTGCATGAGTGCTCGACTGCAGAGTACCACCACCACCACCATCTTCAGTCTCAATTCTCCCTCTCTCTCTCACTCGCTCCCTCATGGAGCTGGGCTACAGTCTACTGCGTACACTACAGGCTTCGGATACCTTGGACTGCTGGAGGCGCCGGTCCGTCAGTCCTTGGTCCCAGTTCCAGTCTTGACCACACCCTCGCCGGCCCTGGTCCCTGTCTTGGTTACTTTGTACCCGCAGTGTGCACCACGAATAGCAGCGTGATAATTGCCTTGACCCCCCTTCTTTCGGGCCATTCCTTGCCTCCCTCTCTGTTGTTGTACCTATCCATACACACAGTCGTATGGAAGAACACGGCGGGATACTTTTTCTACACACCCCCTTCTCCAAAAAAGAGTGTTTCCCCTTCCAGCCACACCCTCCTGGATCCTGGGTCTGCCTCTCTACCTGACTACGGATACGGATACCTCTATTACCCTTCATAGCGCCAGTCCACGCCAACCAGCGGCACCACTCAAAGTCCAGTCCTCCTCCATCCCTCCCTTCCCCCAGATCATTTTCTTCCTCTTCCCTTTCCGTGACAGCTTCATTTCTGTTCGTCTTGACATTCAATTCCCGTCTCTCGTTCACTCCTCTGTACGCACCAAAAGGCTCATATTGTCTGCCTTCAACAAAAAGCTCCCCTTTTCTACATCACCGAGAAAGAGAAGAACAAACAACACGTGGATTCAAGGTACGTAACTGTCGTGGAACGATCCGGAAAGCAAGGCCCAACACGAGGAAGGAGGCCACGGGCGAGAAGGAATAGCGGAGAGCGGCTGCCAATGCTCGGCAGGAAATCGCCATCCATTGCTTGCCGCGTTGTGGAATGCCTTCTCGCCTCCTCTTCACTTCCTCCTGCCCAAAAACACATTGCCCAATTCCATCTCGTCCCACCAGCCTCTCCTTCTGGCCCTACTACACCTCTTCCTCTCCACCATCGCTTGCCTTACCTATCGTCGACATCTGGGGAAAAAAAGGAGTCGCTCGCAGGTTCCTTCAGAAACACACAAGAAACACCGGAGCCCCATATCCAACCAATTCTTCTGACCGGCGGACGTCAACTTCCTTCACTCCCTTCCCTCCTCTCCCTCCACAACAAACGTCGAGCTTTTTGGAACACCGCTTCAGAGTTACCGACCTGGAGTAGACTCCAATCAATCAACGCTTCCATTATCATTCCGTTCAAACGACCATCGCGAGCCATCGATTCTTAACAGATAAACTGACCCCGAAATCCACAGCCTCCAAATCAATCACAATGTACTCTAAGCTCATCACCGCCCTCGCGGCCGTCGGTGCTGGTGTTGCCTCTGGTATGTTCTGTCCGAAGCCCTCTCTCGGGATGGACGTTTTCTAACCACAATTCGCTCTGTTTAGCCCAGAGCACCAACATCTGCTCATCGGCCACCGTTACCGTCACCGATGCCGCCATGGCTACCGCCCTCCCCTGCACCACCTTCACCGGTTCCGTCAAGATCTCCGAGGACATCACCGGCAACATCGATATCAACGGCCCCAAGACCATCAAGGGCGACCTGATCGTTACCAACGTCACTCAGCTTGTTGGCCTTACCTCCTCCACCCTCGCCTCCGTTGAGGGCACCTTCCAGATGCAGGGCCTGACCCTCCTTTCCGACCTGCGCTTCACCTCGCTCGCCACCGTCGGCTCTATCAACTGGGTCACTCTGCCCGCCCTCGGCTCCCTGGTGTTCGGTACCGCCGGTGTCACCAAGGTTAACGACATTCTCATCAGCGACACCTTCCTGAAGAGCTTGGACGGCCTGAACGTCGCCTCTGTCGACTCCCTCCGCATTAACAACAACAACCAGCTTGTTTCTTACAGCAACCAGCTGGCCAACGCCACCAAGACCATTGAGATCAACTCCAACGGCCCCGACCTGGGTATCACCCTCCCCAACCTTATCTGGGCTGGTGAGATCATCATTGCCGATGCCGCCAAGGTCCAGATGAACTCCCTCGAGGTCGTCAACGGCTCCATCAAGTTCGACAAGAACACCTTCACCGAGTTCATCGCCCCCAACTTGACCCAGACCACCGATGGTGATGTCTCCTTCATCAACAACGTCGAGCTCACCAACCTGTCTCTGCCCCTCCTTGCCAAGACCGGTGGTGGCCTGACTATCCAGAACAACACCCTTCTCCAGAAGATTGACGGTCTCCCCAAGCTTAAGCAGATTGGCGGTGCTGTTCTCCTCCGTGGCAACTTCACTGAGTAAGTTTTACGGTTTCTTGTGGTTCTGTAACATACCTAACAATAATATAGGGTCGACCTTCCCGCTCTCGAGGATGTCAAGGGTGCCTTCGACACTCAGTCTACTGGCAACATTGACACCTCTTGCGACGTCTTCAACAAGATGAAGGGCCGCCAGATCCAGGGTGACTACAAGTGCCGCAGCAACAACACCAACGCCAACAAGGACGGTGACAGCAACGGCGGCTCCGCCGGTGGCTCCACCAACAACAACAACGGCGCCGCTGGCAACGTTGCTGTCAACACCGCCATCCTTGGCGCTGCTGTTCTCTTCGGTCTCACTCAGCTGTTGTAAACGACTGGCACTGGAAATACGGGCTCGGATAATGGTGGCGTTCTCCATACATCTTTCACTGTTTGTGCAATTTCTTTACAGCAACTCTGTCTCAACAGCTTGCGAAAACCCTCACGCATTCCCTAGACTGGGAACCTCCTGCGTATAGGAGAACCTCTAGACTTAATACTGGACGATGGGTGGAGATGCAACGGACCCTCGTCGATTTTTTACTCTCTTTTGCGTGACGAACCAAAAGCACCTACAGACCAACGCGTCGCGTCGTTTCTACCGCATCATTCGGTTCCGACCGTGCCACGCTACATATCCCGCCTAGACGATTTTGGGAAAAGGGTTCGGTCGAGCGGCATGTCGAGAGCTTGGATGATGGGTGGTTAAACACGGGCGGTGGCAACGGCAGACACCTGGCGGAGGCGTGAGATTGATGGCGGACAAGAAGGCGATAGGCAACGAAGATAGAGAGGGCTGTAGTGTGTATTGAGGATCCATGATGTGTATACCTTTTTCTACTTTTAACGTTTCACTGTGTCATATTGCCCCGAAGTGACATGTCTGATGTGAAGCTGCTACGTGAATAGACGTCACGCGAAAGCCGTTCCAGGAATGACGTTTTCTGGGCTCTTTGACAGCGAGCTTCCAATTGTCCGTATCTTCATCAAGTGTTTGCAACTTTATGAGGCAGCCATTTATTGTTTCCCATATTCTACGTCATTGGTAGATACCCTTATCGAACTTTTCAGTATCGAAGAACTTTGGCACTATAACGTTGCCGTTGAAAACACGTCCATCCAGCTCATTGACCGCCTATTTTAGTGACGATGTTAGGAAACGCCCTGCTGTGTGTGGAATGTGGCCGGGAGGGGAAAGACTTACACGAAGGGCAGAGACTTGGTCGGTAAACCTGATAAAAACCTGTCTTTGCTCAACGTCGATGTATAATCGCTCGACCCGACCGTACTATAAGAGAGGACGTGATTAGCATTTTGTAAGACGGCAAGATGATATTCTCCATCCTTGGTTGGGTACACAAAGCAGGCAGGGCGCCTTTCTGTCTCTCCAGGAAAGGTTGAAGTATCGCTTACCTTTTCACCACATTCCTCGCCAATCTCCTGCCCCAGCCCATTGGCAATCTCGCTCTGCAGGTCTTCCATGTTATCCAGCATGCGCTGCAGAACAATGACTTCGCTCATGGGCCCGCCAAACTTGCCGCCGCCGCCCTCGGTCTCGTCCTTGCGCTTCCCGCCAATAACCTTTGCGCGGTTGCCCGGCTCAGCCCACCCGCCGCCCTCGGCGTCCGACTTCTTCTTGCGCTTCTCGACCTGTACGCGCAGCGGGTTGACGATGCCGGACTCGTCTGCGCCGAGGCCGGAGCCCTTTGTCCAGCCGTACTTGCTCATGAGGCGTTGGGCGAAGCCGGCTTGGCCTGGGCGGGAGGATCGCGGGGCTTGGGCTTCTTCTGATGCGGGCGGCGGTGGCGGTGGTGCAGCGCTGCTGGCGCCGAGGCCGAGGGTTGGTGGTGGGGAGTCTGGGTCTGAGGGGTCTTGTTCGTCTGCGGGCGGTTGCTTGGTGGAGGATGGAGTGTAGCGGACGGGGGCGCGGGATATCGTTGCTTCGTCGGTCACTGCCGGGGGAGGAGGTGGTGCGGACGCGGAGAGAGCTTGACGGCGGGCGTATGCGTCGTCTCCGGTTGCTGCTTCCGTAGCTCGTGGTTCGGCTGGGGGTGGTGATGTTGGGGGCGGGGGAACGAAAGAGTACTCGGCTGGAGGGGCGAACTGGTCTGAGGAGAGCGTGTGTAAGTAACGTGCCTTCTCTGCGCAAAGAAGGTGGGAGAGGGAGGAGGACTCACTCATTGCCGGCCGGCGCTCCGTCTCTTCGTCGCTGTCATCGCTCAGGCTCTTGCGTCTGCGGTGGCGGTAGAGCAGCCTCTTCCACTCCTGCACCTCGTGGATCCGCTCGTCGCTGCGTAGATACTCCTCGACATTGGTGGGCTTCGTCGGGTCGTAGATGTCGTCCCAGTTGGTCTCGGCGGGCTGGTCGTTGTTTCCCTTCTTCTTCTTCTTTCTGCGGCCGCCGCGCTGGTGACCTCCAGCCCCAGCGCCTGCGTTGGCGCTGTAGCGCCACTCATCTTCCTCTGTCACGGCCCAGTCGGCGAGGGTGCTCTTTGGCGGCGGCGGTTGTTGGGCGGCTGTCGTCGAGGATGTTGACGCGGAAGAAGGTGCTGTAGAGGTGGCCGCGGCTAATGTGTTGGCGCTTGGTATCGTCTTGGGGAAGTTCGACTTTGGTTTCGCTGTCTTTGCTTGCGGTCTGCGTATGGGCTGGAAGCGGAGGGCTGTTGGAGGGAGGTAAGTTTCTGGTGAACCTCAAAAGCAATAGTTTAGAGGAGAGCGGCGGTAGTACATGGGTCTATAGGCTTCTTCGCAGCTGTGCCATCCTTCGAATCGGCGACCGTGCCGTCTTGATTGTAGCGGACGGGAGCGCTCGAGATCGTGGCCGAGGGGTCGGCGACTGGGTCGAGGAGGTTTGCGTAGAGCGACAGGCCTCCTCGCGCTGGCGGAGGTGGAGGCGGCGGCGCGGCCATTGAGCTTGCTTTCGGGGCGACGTGGTGACTATGAAGGATCTGGGCGGTAGTCTGTCTCCGTGTCGAAGGCTCTCGGTGGTATTTTGCGTGGTGGACGCGTGTCAGCAGCGAAGGTTGAATTCGTCGCAAAAAAAGACAACAAGATACGTTCAGCCTGGTTCCGCACGGCGAAGTCGAAGCTGCTGTGAAGCTTGCCCAATGGAGACCCACTCGTGGGGAGCGCACCTCGAATGTCAATGTGCAGATTGTACCTTAAAGTGCCAGGTGCCTGACGTACGTAGGTACCTAGGTAGTTTGTAAAGTTCGGATACGAATTCCTGGGCTTACCTAAGGCGAATCACCCAAACCCACCGGTTCGCTGCCGTTCTTCCGTCAGTAAAGCGGAGCCTGGCCGCCTGGGTTTCAGCACCTCAACGACCGCTGGGCCACTGAAAACCCACCCCTGCGCGTTCCGGCACAGCGCCCAGCCCGCCGCGCAAGCGCATTTCCATGTTTCTTCGGAGGCCTTCGTGGGGGACGAGCCACCGGTTGATCTGGGAAGGGCGGGTATTACAGTGGTTCAGTCAACTTCAGTGGGCAAATGTGGCAGTGGGCTAAGCAAAAGCCGACCGGGGTGATCCGGCTTGTCCCAGGCTGGGCTGGTTCCGAGCACATCGTCGTCCTAGTCAGGTTTCCCTATCAGTCGACTATTGTGCCTCAACTTTTGTTTCCAACGTAGACTTGTATTTTACCTCTATCTTAAGATTGTCACCGTTGAACGGCCTCACATAAGCTCTTTGAATATCCTAATTGCCTACCCCGGACGGATTTCCTGGGTTCTATCCTTGTCTAGACAAGTTCATCTGATCGTCCACCACCTTACCTCACCTTACTCCAAAAGCTTCTCCGAATTCGCTGGTGGTTGCAACTCTTCAACTGCCGTCCGGTCAGGCACAATCACACCCTGTCATCCAATAGAGTGAGAGATATAACGCATACGCAAAGTACGCAAAGATGGCGTTGACTCTGCAAACCGCCATCAACGGCCCGGCCAACTCCACGGCCGTCATTGTGCCGTCCAAGCCCAATGCTCTCACAGCCACGTACGGCGACCTGGTGAGGGAGACCTCGGCCTTCCAGAAGAAGCTGGCCGCCATCGGCATCACAAAGGCATCGCCCGTTTCTATCGCGACCGTCAACTCATATGAGTTCATCGTCTCCTTCCTGGCCGCCTCGTGGCAGCGTGGCATCGCCGCCCCTCTGAACCCGGCCTACAAGCAGGACGAGTTTGAGTTCTACATTGAGGACGTCAAGTCCGCCATCGTGCTGGTTCCTAAGGGTGCCTATGCCGCCGGTGCACCTGCCGTCAAGGCCGCCAAAAAGTTCAACGCCGCCATCGCTGAGACGTACTGGGATGAGGCCAAGAAAGAGGTCGCGCTTGATGTCAAGGATCTGGGACAGCTCAAGGGCAAGGGACCTGAGAAGGTGTTGAAGGCTGAGGCCGACGACGTTGCCTTGGTTTTGCACACTAGCGGCACCACCTCCAGACCCAAAGTTGTAAGTCGTAGTCGGTCTACTAAAAGCTTAGAAACATGGGAAAGCTAATACCATGTATAGGTCCCTCTTACACACCGCAACCTGACCAGAACGATGAGTAAGTCCAAGTCTCGGAGGTGTGCTGAGATGCCAGGCTAATATCAATGATAGAGAACATCCAGAACACATACCAGCTGACAAGCGAGGACCGCACCATGCTGGTCATGCCCCTCTTCCACGTCCATGGCCTTCTCTGCGGCCTTCTCGCACCCCTGGCCTGCGGCGGCTCCATGGTCGTTCCGAACAAGTTCTCGGCCACCGAGTTCTGGGGAGACTTCATCACCCACAAGGCCAACTGGTACACCGCCGTGCCCACCATCCACCAGATCCTCCTCAAGAACCCGACGCCCAGCCCGCTGCCCGCCATTCGCTTCATCCGCTCCTGCTCCTCCCCTCTGTCGCCCACCGTCTTCCACCAGCTCGAGGAGACGTACAAGGCGCCCGTCCTCGAGGCCTACGCCATGACCGAGGCCGCCCACCAGATGACCTCCAACCCCCTCCCGCCCGCGAAGCGCAAGCCCGGCACCGTCGGCCTCGGCCAGGGCGTCGACGTGCGCATCCTCAACGACGCCGGTGACGAGCTCGCGCAGGGTCAGGAGGGCGAGATTTGCATCCGTGGCGAGAACGTCACCAAGGGGTACCTCAACAACGACGCCGCCAACGCCTCCTCCTACACCAAGGGCGGCTTCTTCCGCACGGGCGACCAGGGCAAGAAGGATGAGGACGGCTACATTGTCATTACGGGCCGCATCAAGGAGCTCATCAACAAGGGCGGCGAGAAGATCAGCCCCATTGAGCTCGACAACGTCTTGACCCGCCACCCTGCCGTCTCCGAGGCCGTCAGCTTTGCCATCCCCGACGACATGTACGGCCAGGATATCGGTGTTGCCGTCGTTCTCAAGCCGGGACAGCAGCTCAAGGGCGAGGAGTTGAAGGGCTGGGTGCAGGAGAAGCTGGCCAAGTTCAAGGTTCCCAAGAAGGTTAGTTGATAAACTCTCATGAGATTGTCTAGAAACATCGACTAACAAAAGTCCCAGATTTACTTCACCGAGACGATGCCCAAGACGGCCACGGGCAAGATCCAGCGCCGCATCGTCGCCGAGAAGATGCAGCAACAAGAGGCCCCCAAGGCCAAGTTGTAGACCAGCCGATTAGTAGACCATAGAGATTCGGCCATGCTCATGGCGGACCTAGATGATTGTAAGACAGTAGAAAGGGGTATTCTCGTAGATTTCACATACATTTGGCGTGAAATACACTGCAGAGAGAGAAGAGAGATCTTGTGTGTTTTTTAGATACCTAGAAAGAAAGATAGAATAGAGGGATTTCCAATATCTATAATAACGCCCGCCGCATATACACGTAACGTAATACCCATTATACCTGACCGATTCTTCATGAACCTCGTCAGGCAGAGCCGCATACTCGTGGGCCTTCATCTCGCCAGCCGTGAGGATGAACTCTTTCCAGGCTTAAACCCCAGGGAATCCTCTCCTATCCAAAGGACGTCGAGCTTGAAAATAGAAAAACAGAAAACAGAATAGACCATCTTCCTTAGTCGTAGTGCCCTCCCTCATCCAACTCGTCATCAAGATCAGGGTCCTCACCCTCGTCAGAATCGTAAAGCTTCTTCTGCTGCTGATCGCCTCCCTGCTTCTGCCGCGGCGACGCAGACGCGCTCTTCGGCACGATGCTCTTCGGCGTCACGGCATGGATCTCAACCCAGCACGAGTTCCCCGTGGGCCCATGCCACCGCACGGGGTTCACGTCCTTCCCGGCGTTGTCCGCCGCGGGCTCCGGCATCACGTCACCCGCGTGGCGCGCGCACTCCCTCGATATCCTCCGCACCTCGGCATTCGCGTCCGCCAGCGCGGCGAAGGCGCCCATGACGGTCGAGGTGGCTGTGAAGTCGCCGTCGGCGCCGCCGTCGTTGTAGAGGACGAGGGCGATGGTGTGGGGGAATTCGCGGCGGGACGGGGGCAGGGAAGCGACTGAGGAGGATGCCGTGGGCGGAGGAAGGCGCTTTGCGGGTGGTGGTGTGGTTTGGACTGCACTTGTTGCCGAGGCGTTGCGCTTGTGCGCCGAGGTGTCTTCTGCTGAGGACATCTTGACTGTCATCTGCCTTTTGGGTGGTTGTAAGGTTGTGTTGATGTGTAGTGGGATGGAAGTTTGATATGTAGCTTTACTGATGAGTGTTTGGGGGTTGCTGGTATAGTGTGATGTGTAAGGTGAGGTGAGACGAGATATGTAGCTGTGAGACCTTAATCGGTGAGATGTAATGGCTTGCAGATGGGTGATGCAAGGGATGGGAATGTCAAGCTTATTTGGTTGTAAGTTGTGTAAAGTTAGGTAGTCACAGATCGTGGGAAACACATCCAAGTCCTTCCAGTGTCCTTCCCGATTCTCTTTTATATCAAAACTGGAATCCCGTCTCACGCAATATGTGGATGAGTGATTATATGACTGATCCCAAGTGTCACTAACAAAGATACGGGAACTCGGTGGAGACCGCCCGCCCGCTTGCTTCACCCAGCTCCAGCTCCAACTCCGCCCCGTCTCGCCGTTTCGCTCTTCACCTCGGAGTTGTGCAAGCCCGCACTGGCCATCGAGTCAAGGTAAGGTACGAAGTAAGGTACCCATCTGTCGCTGCGCCGGTAGAGCTCAGCAATTTTGCTCGGCACTGGCCTGACATGGATCGATCCAACTGCCTCGGTGGAGCGGGAAATGCATCACAAGACGGCGGCGGGGTGGTCGGGATGGGATCTTGGAAGGGAAAAAATGAAAGTCTCGGCTGGTCCGATGACCGGCGCAGGTCCCCATTGAGTTGCTTCCGCCGCCCGGGGGGGAGCAGACAGGCTGGGAAGCTGTGATGACATACTGCTACTGCTAGGTACTCTGCGCAATTACCTTACCAACAAACTGGGACCTGTGCCCCCCCAGCTTCGGGGTTGAGCTCGAATGCGCGAAGTGCGCGAACCCGGCGTGAACCGACTGTAGCCAGCCGTCTGCCCCGCTACGGGCGGGATTTCTCCCCCAGCGCTGTTGAGGACGGAGGGTCAGGAGGGGCCTTTGACTTCTAGAACATTTCAACTTCCTTCTCAATTGGTATTCGGGAGGAGGGAGAGGAGCTCGGGAGCTGGGCCGAGGGGAGGACGGGAAGTACGCCATTTTCGGGGGTAGGTGATAAAGATCCATTGGGGTGGGAAAGCTGGAGCCGATGCCCCCGATGGCACCGGGGGTTTGGGGGAATTGGGTGACTCAACAACACGGACGAGGTTTCAACACCTTTTCACTCACTCGCTCCGTACCTGTCCTGAATGTCTGACGGGGCCTATGTTAGTCGCGCACTTGCCTTTCAAATTGCGTCCGACCTAGATATTCTCGACCAGCAGCTTACCACCCGAATACCAACTTGTATTCCCTCTTGTGACATCGCCATTGTCGAACGAGACGATGGCAAGGCCCCTACGCCATATTGAGCTCTCAATTCAATTGTCTTGAAATGAAACTCAGGAGCCTGGTACGTAAATATGGAAACCAACATCCACTGCGGGCTCTCTATAGAACACCGACCTCACGCCAGTACAAAGGACAGTGCCATCCTGTCTATAGCCCTTCAAGAGGAGGAAAGAAAGCCTGGGCATTCTCAAGAGGCATGCATAGTTGGCAACAGGGAGCTACGGTCTCGATAGTCTCCCGGTGTAGCATCTAAGTCTGGTCATGGCCACTCCATGATATTTATGTGACAGAATTGGCGTGCTACAAGGTCTGATGTACTTCAGACCCCCGTGAGTTGGGAGCAGCGCCTGACCATCACACTGTCGCTATCTGATGTGCCATCCGATCTCTGGCAGAGAGGGGGCCCCGAGCTCAGGTTCGCAAATGTGGAAAGAAATCATGTCATTGGTCCATAATTGAGTACACTTGAGTTTGCCTCGTCCCGTTTAACCATTTCCCATTGAACTGCGTCCATCACAGTTTCACTGGCCAGAAGAGAAACCACACAGAGACCGACATGATACAAATCGCTAATCCGTTTACGCCAAACAAAACAGGTCCCTTCCTTATCGTCATCAAGCCTCGGCTTGCTCTTCAGCAGCGACTCTGAGCTCATAGTTGAGCTCGAAGCATTCAGCAAGAAGCTCCGTTACACTGCCCTGCCCTTCCGGGATATCGTCGTTGATCATGAATTTGCCGTCTTGACGCATGTTGTCAATCGAGTGCAGCTGCAAGAAATTGTTAGCCTGGTTCAACTCGTTGATGGAGCACAGCATACCTTCATGCTGTAAGGGTACAGCTCCCTCACGGATTGCACACCGCCGCTGTTCTTGACCTCGATGAGACATCGCTTGAGTGTTTGGAGCTGGTTGTAGATCGGCAGCAAGGCTTCGGAAACGGGCTCTGACGAAATCATCAACGAGTAGATGTAGGCGTAGCTTCTTCTGATAAGATAGAGCATCGTCTGTCGTCGGTGTCAGTAGAGCTCAGTCAAAAACATAGGTTCGTCTGACTTACACGCTGAACGTAGAGCTCTGCAGGCTTGCCTTCGTCATCCACCCAGTTGCCGTCGATTCGGCTCTCGTCGATCTTGTCCAACTGTCTCTGGAAGTCAAAGAGATCCGCTTCACGAAGGGACCATGCTTGCGTGATCGAAAGTTTCTCCAACTCGTTGCGAATGCGGAACAAGATGTCGTACGTTGGCTTGAAAGAGTCGGGAATCACTCCTTTCCTAAGCAAAGGTTAGCGACGTTGTCGTAGGCGGTAGCGTATCCTGTACCTCTGAAGAACGAAATCAGACCACAAGAGGCATTTCTCCAGCAAAGCGGTCACCTCATCAAATCCGCCGGGCGTCTTTCCGTCCGCAGTCAGCAGCTTGCCCTCCTGTCTCTTCTCCTCGATCTCCCGCAATTGAGCTTGCAGCTTCTGGACCTCTGATGGCGAGAACTGTATTACGGTCAGCTTTGTCGCGTCGCATCCCTCTTGACGCTGGCCATACCTTTGTTCTGGTGTTCGCCAGAGACATGGATCTCAGGATAGAGATCAGCTTCTCATATGTCTTTGGCAGGGGATCCTCGAATCGCTCCAATCGCTTCCGAAGGTTTGCCAGAGACTTGTCACAGAGCTCCAGTCGGTTCGAAAGTAGGGTGATGAGATATGGAGGGTACTCGGTCTCGGTAGTCTTGACATTCTGCTCGAGCTTTGTCAGGGTGTGTGAGATGCTTTCCAAGTCCTTGATGGAATACAAGTCGACTTCGGTGAGGTGGTCCAACAATCTTCGGACGGTCGAGGTCAGGGCATAGGCTGCTGGAGCTTCGTTGTTTCGTCCGATGGTCATGAAAAAGAGCGAAAGCAGTTGGAAGCAGCTCTCCAAGACTCTGTCCACTGCAGCGCGGGTTAGCCGTTGACCCCGCACAGTCGGGACGATAGCGCGTTACCTCTATTCTCCTCCCTTCGGTCAGACGTCCGGGCTTCATTGAGCAGGCGAACCTGCTCGATCGTCTCTTCGTAGAGCGGGAGAACGTCCTGGCTCCGAATATAGGTGGTACGATCCTGCTTCAGGAGCAGAAGTCTGTCGCGGATCGTAACCAGCTTATCGAGAATCTCCTTCTCGCGGTCGTCCCGCGGCGGGGGGCATGTAGGGGTATCCATCTCGCGTGACGTAACTCAAGACGGGCGTTGGTTGCTGGGAGGGTTGTAGAGCTGGAATATGGGCGACTGCCGAGTGTTCGAGATCATGGACGGCCAAGGCATGCACCTCTTGCGCTGAAAGTCGATACCGTTGCAGGTCTGCCAATGATCCAACATTCAACGAAGCACGATAGCGGGGCCAAAGGTGATTCACAGGTCGGGACCGGGAAGCTAAAGTCCGATCGTCGGTAGTGTAAGGTATGTAATTCCCCGTTGCACTGGGGTTGTTGTGTGCTGGTGAACAGAGTTGTATTGGTAAGAAGCCTGTGACAAAGAATGGGCTGCCGTGGCATCCGTAGAAGATGCGCAGATGGGATTGCGTATGTAAGTAAAATGCGGATGATGCGCTCGTTGGCCTGGCCGGAAACCAATGGAAAGGTGCACCTCAACCAGCGACGCTTCTGATAGAGAAGGTGGGGGTGACTGACCTGCTTGGAAAGTCAAATCGAGGTATCGATGTGGGGCATGACCCAAGTGTCACCGACGGCAGCGGGGCAGGCATGCCCAGGTCGTCGATCCGGGATTCTATTGGCTCGCGACCGTGTCCAATCACAGATCTTGAAGATAGGCCCACTGCTGGCGGGCTTTAACCGAAACCGCCGAATGTTCATTAGGTCTTGAAAGCCCTGCCAAATTTTGACTCGGTGGATGACCTCGCGATACCATATTGACTGCTCCTTTGCAAATCACACTCACCATCCGCGAAGACAACCTCCAGTCGCAAACGCCCAAACCAGTCACAATGTCTACCGCCGAGCTCGCCTCTTCCTACGCGGCCCTCATCCTCGCCGATGATGGTGTCGAGATCACTGTGCGTCCGCCCCTCGAGTCACCCCGCCACGAAAATAAATAAATCACATCAAATAATACCAAAATATCACGACAAGGAACGAGACTAACAGTGTTGGAAATTTTAGGCCGACAAGCTCCAGACCCTGATCAAGGCTGCCAAGATCGAGGAGGTCGAGCCCATCTGGACCTCCCTGTTCGCCAAGGTACGACGCGACGACAATATCTTCCACCGATTCGAGGAAGGACAACGAAGGCTGATTTGAGATTTCACATAGGCTCTTGAGGGCAAGGACGTCAAGGACCTGCTCTCCAACGTTGGCTCCGGTGGTGGCGCTGCTGCCCCCGCTGCCGGCGGCGCTGCCGCTGGCGGTGCTACCGAGGCTGCCGCCGAGGAGGCACCCAAGGAGGAGGGTACGTTATACTTCCACAACCACGGACACGAAGTTGTGCACGAAACAAATACTGACACCCGCTACAGAGAAGGAGGAGTCCGACGAGGACATGGGCTTCGGTCTCTTCGACTAAGCGATTTTTCCTGCGACGATTTCCTTCCCTTTGTAACTTCAACTGCATGGATCCGGGGGTTCTACGATTCGCGCGATCATAAAGGATTGGGTGGAGGCACGATATCCTGCTGCCTGGACAGAGTAGCTCTCATACGATAATGTGAAGACGCTCTCTACGCGGAGTTCACTGGACATCCTCAAAAAATGAAAGTGGAATTTGGCATGCTTTGAAAATACCGGGACCCGCGCGGTGAATGGAGTGAGCCGTGGACGTCGACATGATACACCAGCTTAGCTCGAGTTGGAATGGCTTATGACCCTACCTTGGCTTCTCGACTTCTCGAAAGTTGTGACTGTGAATCCTACTTGGCCGTAAAGCAACTCCTATACGGGAGAGGTAGTCGGCACATGTATGTCACCATTCCCCACGTCATCGGGATGACCCAATCGGGATATGCTGGTTGGTGGGTGAGAGTGAGGCAAACTACAACCTACATGTCAAGCCTCGCTAGGGTTAACACGTCTGTCAAGTCGATGGACTAGTCCCATGATTACTGGTGCTCTTGGGCAAGGCTATGTAATTCAGACCTTGTCAATTGGCGGCTACAGTCCCGATACTGTGTCTTCGTCATTGCCATCCAGTATTCGCATATCATTGAGTTTCGGTAAACAATCGGCTCAGCCCCACCGTCCATGATACTCCGGTATACGCTATATCACCCTTATGCCGTCCACAATCCTACTGCCGACCTTGCTAAGTCCAAGCACACGCTCCTTCGAGCATCGGCTGGACGTGTATTTACTGCAGTCATATCAGAACAGTAGAAGAGCGGAAAGACTGTAGGAAGATTTCGTTGACTGTTTCTCAATTCTCTTCACACTCAATGAGTGTTTTTTGACTAACCCCCTGACATCCGCAACGCCATCATCTAATGCAATCATCCGGGTCCTCGATTTCCTGGGCCCTGGGTCCTTCAAGAAACCTGGGAGAATAAACCTCCCGAACTTTCACATCCTAGGATGCTTATTTGACGATAAGAACGGCGCTGGGAGTGAGCCCTGCCTCCTTCAGGGTCTTGCTGAGATCCATGTGGCCCTCGAACGTCTTGCGAGGGAACGTAGTCGAGAAGCTCGTGACTGTCGTTCCGGTCTCGGACCGAAGCATCTCCGCCACCTCGAACAGCGTGGTCTCAGCAGGCAGGGTCTTGACGACGTTGCCGCCGGCGGTCTGTAGGCGCAAGCGAGCCTCGTTGTGGTTGGCGACCGTCTTCGGGCCGGCAGATGCGGCGGCGGCGGCGACCGAAGCAGATTCGGGGGCTCTTCCCTCTCTCGCGGCCTTGGCCTCCTCGGCCTTGCGGCGACGCTCCTCCTTGTCGGCCTCGATCTTTGCCTTGATGCGGCGCTTCGCCTCGATGTCGTCCTGCTTCTCCTGGCGCTTCCTGGCGGCCTCCTTGATCTGCTCCTTGCGCGCCAATTCTTCCTTGGCCTCCTGGGTCTCCTTTGTGGCCTTCATGCGAATCTTCTCGTTGCGCTTGGCGTCTTCCTTGTCGAGGAGGGCCTGTTTCGCCTTCTTCTCCTTGAGCTGCTCCCGGAGCTGAACGAGTTTCTCCTTCTTCTGGTCCTCTGTCAGAGGAGCAATCTCTTCGGTCGACTCTGAGAAGTCGGTGTGATCCCTAGTATTCGGTGTAAGTAATCAGCATATTCAGTCTGTCCTGTGATGATGGCGACTTGAGTGTAGCGAATAGAATTCAATGGTGGTGGTGATTGGATTATGACAACTTACGTCTTTGTTGCGTGGTATGAGGCAGTATCCTGAGATCTGAAGCGCTTGCCGCATTCATTGCAGACGAGAGACTTTGCCGTACCGCCGTTCTCAAGAGCCTCGATATTGGCTTGGACTTCAGCGGCATCATCGTCATCATCATCCTTCTTGGCTTCAGCAGCGGCAGCAAGCTCTTCGAGGGGCTTGTCTTGGTTGGTCTCGAGCCACTCGAGAGCTCCGTTCACTGTGATCAGTCAGCAACATTATCTCACACTTTCTTGTCACAATGCTTGATGAAACTTTGTCGGGTAGTATAGGTCAGGAACTCACGATTCCCAGTCTTCTTCACGGCAAGCTCAGCCCGGGCCTTCTCAAAGCCCATGTCGAGCAGTTGGTCGAGATCTGACTGTGTCATTTTGGTGGATAGTGGTGGTGGTGGTGGATGGCGGGGTTGTTTTTTCTTGGGTGGTGAGCTGAATCTGTCTGCTTGTATGAAGACAGAAAGTCTTTTAATAAAGAGTGTGTGAGTGATGTGTGAATCACGGTTTTGTATCCTCCTCAGCTTACCTATCGGAGATGAGGTGAGTTGTGAATAAGATTTGAGATATTCCCGTTGCTGTATGAACAAAGCTGGCACGGCAGGCACTGTTGAGTGGTTGTTTCCTGAGACGTCATCTGCAGGTGCCTTCTCCGATGAGAGCTGTGGATAGAGGGGCGACCTGGCAGTGGCTGGAGCGCGGGAGGGACCGACAACACGGACTCTGGAGCTCTTTATTCCTCGTGCTTTGTCAGATAACGCAAGTACCTATTTGGTGTTCCTTTTCCTCTCTCTCTCTCCATCTCCTCGTTGGATTCTATCTTGAGTTTAGAAGCATGTCTAAGGTAGTTCGTCTACAGCTGTCAAGGCAGCAATAAGTTCCTTCCTCCAAAGACTGAAAACAATGTAGGCACTGCCTCAGTTCGTCGACAGAGCCAAGTACCGTCATAGTACCTGGTATAATTAGAAGCGCCACATATGAAGGGGTCCCTTCCACTTTTAGTGGATGAACATGATCAATCAAACCCCCGGGCCCGGATTAACCACCCCTGCCCCAAGTTCCCAAGGGAAGCTGCGAGTGGAGGCCCGAGACCCCAGAGCACGACTCCGATTGACCGTCCGCCAAACTTGTAAGGGGGCCACTGGGGGGCTCTAGAGTCTAGAGTGTACCTTAATGAAACCTGGCCTGGACTGCCCGAGACTGAGAGTGGGAGTGGGAGAGGAATTGGTTTGCCCAGAAGCCGGACTTTGTGCACGCATCCTCCCTATCCCAATCGAGTCCGGCCTAGTCTGTCGTTGGTTACCTTAGGTACTCCGTACCTTAGCTGCCACGCTGCTTAGGTACCTTGCCTTACGGTGGTGTGTATTACGTCGTGGGCTCTTGCGTGCGAAACACCTGCTTTTCTGCCCGTACTTCGTACCCGTCCCGAACCGTGGTCAATTACCCTGCTTGCCATTCTTACCTCACCATACCTTACCTACCAACCTTACCACAGGTTCCCTCCTTACGTTCGTACTCTTTCAAGAAACCTTGACCTCAGCTTACAACCCATCGACTTTTCTAATATCGCCCCGCGCGCAACACTCCTTCGACATCGTCTCGCCCCCTCACATTTTATCTCGCAAATTCTCTTCCTCCTGTTAGCCCAGGCCGAGGCCTGTTTCGATTGCGCCGGATTCTCCTAATCTACTCTACATCACCACCCACTAGTTTCGCACCCGCCCCAAATCCACCATGTCGGTCGAAATCGAGCCCACCGAGTTGAGCTTCAAGCGTAGGTCCATCTTGCGCGCATCCTATGCTGCATCGTGCTGACAATTCTCTTCTTTCCAGGTCCCTTCACTGTCGAAGTCGCTCGGATTCTGCGGATCAAGAACCCGAACCAGTCCCCCATCGCCTTCAAGGTATGCGGCCACTCAATCCCTCGGCTGTCACGTCACCCTTTGCTCACAGATTATGCGACCAGGTCAAAACCACCGCCCCGAAGCAGTACGATCCCTTGCATGCCGTGCAGCCTTCGTAAGCGACTGACGATATATCCAGGTACTGCGTTCGCCCCAACTCGGGTCGTGTTGAACCAGGACAAGATGTCGAGGTTACAGGTTGGTGCTATGCGCAAACGCCAGGTGGTCACATGTCACTAACAGCATTCAGTCCTTCTCCAGGCCATGAAGACAGAGCCGGCTCTCGACACCAAGTGCCGCGACAAGTTCCTGGTCCAATCCGTCTCCATCACTGCTGACAAGGAGTTTGCGAGCATTGCAAACATTGTACGAAAACCCCCACATTGATTCCGAAGGTCTGGCACACAAGCTAACGCAACGACTGATACCACAGCTCGACCAGACTGACAAGTCTTCTCTCATCGAGCGCAAGATCCGCGTCAACTGGCTCGCCGCCGAAGACTCGGTGTCCCTCAATGGTGGCAGCGCATCGAGCGCAAGATCCGCGTCAACTGGCTCGCCGCCGAAGACTCGGTGTCCCTCAATGGTGGCAGCGCTTCTGCTGTCGCATCCACACCCAACCGCCAGTCCGTGGCCAACGGCGTATGTTCTCTGACAGCTCGTCGACTCTGGAACGAAACGCTAACAAACCGCAGGACTATACCCCCGATGTCTCCAACGTCTACTCGTCTCCCCAGCCGGATGCCGATTCCGGCAGCCCTGCGCCTGCTGCTCGACCATCGACCTCCGATGTGAAGGAGGACACCGTTTCCGAGAAGGCGCAGTCTACAGTCAGTGCTGCGAGTCACGTTGTCGCCAATACCGCCCAGGTCACCTACGAAGAGTTGAAGCAAAAGCTGTCCCAGGCCGAGGCCAAGATTGCAAGCCTGCAGGACACCAGCGGTCTCCGGCAACGCGTCAAGACCGAGACTGAGAAGCTCCCTACTGCCCAAGAGGCTGCCGCGGCGGTGAGGCAGGGAGCTGAAGGTGTCTCGGTACAAATCGTTGCCATTCTGTGCTTGTTTAGTTTCCTCCTTGCTTACTTCTTCTTCTAAACCAAAATTTCTTTTTTTTGGTTTCCCCTGACAATTCCCCCTTACACGACCTTTCTACTGGAGGACTTATGAAGCGCCAAGTAGCACCGGGTAGAGTCAGCATAGTCGTTGACGCCCCATGTAGTTACTTGCCAAAACACAATGGCACGATGAGCGGAAGTTTGGCGATGCGGTGAGGTGGATGGAGAGGAGGACCATCGACAGACATGGAACGGAGTCAAATCACATGTAACCATAAGGATTCTTTTTGTCGTAACGGCGTGGCGTCCCGGACGCGAAGTAGTTGATTTCAGAGGCTGATCTCATGACGATGTTCATCTTTGTAGTGTTTCGTGACTTTGTCGATTCAACGTTATGAACAGAGCCGCCTTCAACAACCTGAGCAGTACATCTCGCAGCACAGAATTGACTAACACAAGAGGCTGTTCAGTACGAGACTTCTCGTAGCTTTGCCTGCCGGCAGGGCACACGGCATTATGAAAGTAACCTTGCCGAATACTAGCCAATGTGATGTGATAGTCGCCAGATCTCGCCAAAACTTCACATCCACAAGCTTGCAAGCAGCAGAGGGCTACTCTAGAACCCAGCTCCGCCATGATAATTCGTCGAGCACTACCCACATCGGTCAATCTTCTCGAGGAAAAGACAGCGTTTATGATATTTGGAAATTGGGTCGGTGGCAGAGGGACGGGGGTAAGTAGTAGTGCGTTGAGTATTTCTATGCATTGGTCACCGTCACTTTGGTCAGGGGATACATATCCGATGGCTTTTTTTTCGTTCTTTTCGTCTATATCAGGCGGACAACGACCATATGGACTATGGGGGAAGTGGAATGGGAAGGAGTATATATCCTTGGGGCCACATTCTCCCGTCCAGATAGTAATGATCTCTTGACTTCTTTTGCCTCACGTTCTTGCATGTACGAGCACGGATAGAATAGCACCTTCTCATTTATATTTCAACTTAATGCTTCATTATGCTTTGTTCATATCTGAAAGTGGGCGCCTGTCATCCGCACCCGGTTCGTGAGCTAAGTGTATAATATGCCACTTGTTCATCAGATAACTTTTCTTCTTTATACACGGATTTTGTCTTCCAGATTGAGGACAGCATTCATTCGTTCTTTCTCTCTCTCTACTCCCCTGTTTTCTCATGCCTCAATCTCCTCACGCGTCCAGTGGGCCACGGCACCGCCGCCGACCTTGCGACCGCCCTGCTTCCTCTTGACGCGGGAGGTGATGCCGACGTTGGGGTCGAGAATGAAGCGCCAAATGACGTAGGTCCAGCTCTCGTGGCGGGGCAGGTCGTCGTAGAACTCGCTGGCGATGGCGCGGAGCTTGGGCAGGCGGGTCCAGGGGACGGCGGGGAAGTCGTGGTGCTCGTTGTGCAGGCCGACGTTGTAGGTCAAGAAGTTGAGGGGCCCGTAGTAGGAGAAGGTCTCGGGGACGGGGATGTTGTTGGCGGCGTCGCGCTGGGCGGGGGTGACGGTCTCGTAGACGTAGTGCTCGGCGATGAAGTGGCCGGCGAGCGGGTGGAGGGAGCCGGCGAGGAAGGAGGAGAGGAGGAAGTAGAGGATGGTGTTGAAGCCGAAGGCGGCGTAGAGGGCGTAGTCGAAGGCGAGCTGGACGGCGATGTTGAGGTAGTGGACCCAGGTGAAGGGGACGCTGTAGACGAGGGTCGGGCGGACGGCGTAGAAGAAGATTTGGAAGGTGCAGAAGAAGGCCTTGCCGAGGATGGAGTCGAAGAAGACGACTTCGAGGGCGGTGGGGAGGTCGGTGTCGAGGCCGTCGACGCCGAGGGACTTGTGGTGCGTCAGGTGGTAGGGCTGGAGAGTATGAATGTGAGTGATTGTCCTTCTTCGTTCTTTTCTTCGTTGAACATTGGAGGCTTTCCGGGACTTACACGGAAGGAAGCGCTGTAGGGCACGCCAATGGGCAGGTTGGCAAAGATGGCGAACAGGCGGTTGGCGAGCGGAGAGCGGAAGGCGAGGTTGTGGGAGATTTCGTGGATGGCGAGGAAGAGGTTCTGGTTGGCGGTGGCGCCAAAGACGTAGCCGACGAGCCAGAACTTCCAGGAGAAAAAGGAGGTGTCGCGGAGGTACCAGGCCCAGAAGATTTGCATGGCGACGACGCCGGCGACGACGTACTTTGTCAGGGGCTCCGGCCCGCAGAGCTTGGTGACCTGGTGATGCGGTTGTTAGCCATTAAGCATTTTACAGATGAGATAGTGTGGCACTGCTATAGAGCATTGCGGTTTGTAGAGCGGGAGAAAGAGACATGTGGAGGTTTGTGTCGTGTGGTGTGAAAGGACATACCTCCGGGTGAGCCTTGATGATGGCCAGTCGGCGAGTTCGGTGCGGTTCCTCGGTGTAGGTCCAGAAGAAGTCCTTCTCTTTGGGGGTCTCGGTCGGCGCATCGGTCGTCAGCTTACCGGCGGCGACGCCATCGGGCGCGGCGGCGGACTTGCGCTTGGACGGCTGCGTCACGGTTGAGGCAGCGGACGAAGCCATTGTGCTGCGGTGTCTGAGGGTGGTGGTGGTGCTTGTTCGTGGGTGTCGTGTTGAGGTGTGGCGCGCGCGCGAGAACAGTTGTATCGAAGAAAAAAAGAAGGCCGATATCGATCTGTCCTGAACGATAGAGAGATAGAGGAGAGGGGCGAGAAGAGAACGAGTGTCGAATCACCGGCTCTGGGACATTTAATTTATAAAAAAGTGTCAAGGTCTCGAGTCGAATCACCGGCTCTGGGACATTTAATTTATAAAAAAGTGTCAAGGTCTCGAGGAGAAAGAGTGTGTCCGTGAGGAAACGAGAGTTTTCCACCGAGCGCACTTGTCAATGAAAAAGAGACGAGAACAAAAAGTCTTGTGTGTTTCCCCCTTTGCGCAACAGGAAATGGAGTGTTGGTGGGAGAGAGATCATGCCTCGCAAATGGCAAATCTCCTGATGGCGGGCTGTTAGAAGTTAGGGGTATGGAGAGGTACCTGGGCCCTGGGCCCTGGGGGGCGTGTTCCGAAGCGGTCAAGCGGTGTAACAAGGTCGCCTCTCCAGGTACCGCATTTCTGATTTCTGCTCTCTGCTTTCCATCTGTTCTCTCGGGTTTCTGCAACTTGAGGTGTGACGCAGTGGATAGCAGTGGGGGTGGGTGCTGGAATTACTTACTACGTACCTAGGAAGGGCTCAAGGGGCCCCCTTCCCTTGCCCCGCTGTGGCCAATCGTTCGGAACATGTGTTTTACGGTTTCTGGCTGCATCTCCCACCTATCCGAACTCCCTCACCTCTCTGCTTCCCTTCTCGATGAAGATAGGCTTTGGCTCATAGGTTAGGTTCTCTCCAACTGGTCGAGAGGAGCAAGGGTTTGGTGAGTTTTTTTCTCTTTTTTTCTCTGGGACGTTGTTGGGGGCCATTGGGGAGATTTGGGGAAATCCAAATCCTCCATTGAATCCCCACACACCACACTTCTTCCCCTTCCCCTCCACTCAAGCCTCAGCGTAAGATGGCCCCTGTCCAGCTTGTGCATGGTTGCGCATCTCGACCTTTTCCATGCTGTGCAACCATCCCGAGCCAGTTGGTCCGTAGATCAACGATGATGACCATGCTCCATCTTGCAAGTTTCGAGGTACCACGAAGCTGTAAGTTTCGTTTTCGTCGCCTACCAGAAGCCAATGGCGACGATATCGCAGTGCATCGCCTGACCAGCTTCTTTCTTTGTGTATTCGTACGCCCATTCTGTGCATGTCGAGTCTTCTACAGCTTTGATGCTGTGAGCAGATGAGATAAATCATGCCCTTCCAGGCTGTATCTTTCGCTCTGTACCTTGCGTGATTTTACCCCGTCAGGTACAGCTATCTCATGTTACACACCTGATGCATCCTGTACCTTGCGTGATTTTACCCCGTCAGGTACAGCTATCTCATGTTACACACCTGATGCATCCGCGCAATGCGTAGTTTCTGCGTGCTCTATGAGCAAAAGAGCATGAATGAAGAATATCGCCTCCCGTCTGGGTGTCCAAAGTCGACACTCAAAACAGAGGTCCGTGGTGTATGACATGGGACGGAGGCTTTATGCCGAAGCGAACCCCACGTTTTCTACTTTTTTTCTCCGTGCCAACTCAACCGGATAGGATTGCCGCGGGCCGTCAGAGACATAGTGCTCTTATATGGTGGCATCGTTACATTGGTCTACTAGATTGGCTCGTTCAACGTGCCGTCCTTGCTCCTTTTCATTTACCCGTCATATACAAACTGCCGTAGAGCCATAGATTTTCTGCTTATCCAGCAGGTCTTCGGAGGGAGATGGACCGCAAGAGGGGTTGTAACGGTTGAACATAAGAAGCACTTGATAGAAGGGAACTTGGCATCATGATGGTTCTGGCACTCGAAATCTTGACGTCTCGGTGATCGGCCTCTGCGAAATCGCAAATCCTCAAAAAACATCATCTACAATCAAGAGAGCAACGTTTCAAAAGACAAGTACCATGCGCTTCGTCCTACTCGCCACGTCCCTGGCATCCCTCGCCGGCACCGTTCTCGCCAAGCCTGAGAAGATCAGGGGCGTGACCGATCCCGTCTACCACCTGTACCTCCAAGCCTACCCAAAAGACAAGTCGATCCCCGTCCTGGGGCCCGAGGCGTCGGCAGAGTTCTTCAACATTGCGGGAACCATCCAGAGCGCCAACTCGAGCTCGTATCTCAACATTGGCGGCGATGCTACGTCGTACAAGACTCTTTCGTTGAGCAACGCCTCCGGCACCAGCGCGTGGGGGCTCGAGGGTGATACTATCATCACTACCCAGAGTAGTAGCTGGGGACGTCGTATGCAGTTCCCTTGTTCACCACGTATATCCAAACTGGACAAGGATGATACCTACTAACACCTGACAGAGCTGAATTTCTTGGTGTGTCAGCTGGATACAAGCTATTGGCAACTCTATCTGCAGACCGGGAGTGATGTGCCTATCGGCAGGAACTGCAGCAATTATCAGACGATCCATCTGCCTTGCCTATGCTAGATGGCATTGATCTGACATCGGCTTTTGTGGCACAGAGAAAGGAACTCTGGGTAGACGACGTCTGGCTACGTTGCATGTAGATGATAGGTTGTCGTCAAAACTAGAGTCACACGAGCTGCTTTTGGCATGGATGATCATACTTGGGACTAGCGATTGAAGAGACAATGCTTCCGAAGCCCGCGTTTTTGTGTGACCAACAATGCTTGGTTTTATGGCTCGGCACAATGGAGAAAACAAAACCGTTTCGAGCCGCTCTGCGGCTGGCGTAGCCTGACAAAAGCCCGTATAAAATGACATGACTGGACTCTTCGTCATGCTGATGAACAGCAGTGAGAACGGGCATCGACTACAGCGCTTTCCGAGCGAGGGTGACTATTAGAATAGACTCGAGATTTGTGAGCTGTGTTATATTCAACGTTGAGAATGTATCCGGCCGCGATCGGCGGCGTAAGTGTCGAGAGGTAAGCAGTCAAGTTTGTTACCTAAGTATCATCATCAGCTTCTCGGAATAAGAACTGGTCTAAACGTATCGGGTCTACCTTTACTATTATTCGACATTTTAGGCACCAAAGCTTTATTGGTAGCACAATAAATAGCCTTGGTATGCTACTGTTCACATCAAATCCCAAGAAGGTAACGGGGAAGTGTGATATTGAATCAAACTCAAGTTGCATCTGGGTCCAAAGAACAACTGTTCAATAGTTGGCTGCATTTTAAGGGCGAAGGGCTCAAATGAATATAGACAGTTGATTCAAGGGGAACATCAAGGTTAAACTTGGGTAGTAACTATGGCCATTTGCGCAGCAAGTCCAACCATAGTCTCGTCGACTGAGCTGGACTGAGAATGCCTTGCCCACTGCCTGCGCGCTGTTGTATCGAGAACCCCGCCTTGAGGCACGCACAAGATGAGACGAACCAAGACCAAAAGGCCTGGCAAGCTTCATCTTGGACATATTGAGTTGACGCTGAAGGATGAAGATGGTTTGCAAAACGTTCATGTGACTTGCAGTAGCTTCATATCGTGATGACAAGTTGGCTGAGGTTAAGGAAGAGACATGCCATTGTATCAAAAGGAGGGGTTCCCGTGATTGGCTGTCACATGCAGACATATCGTGATGACAAGTTGGCTGAGGTTAAGGAAGAGACATGCCATTGTATCAAAAGGAGGGGTTCCCGTGATTGGCTGTCACATGCAGATACGTCGAGCTCACAAGTTCAGGTTTGGCAGCTGGAGACAGAAGCAAAAGGGACCAGGGCAGGGATGGCACCAGAGGGGGCTAGAATGGCACCAGCACCTCCCCAAGTGGAGGCCGGCCGTTTAGCTGCAGGGCGCCTCTGCAACGCTGCAATAACCGCTGCAATAATACGGTTAATTCCAAGAACTTGTCAGCTTGTCAGGCCCTGGGTCCTCTCGTCGGATCCTGCTGGGATTCCAGGGCTCGGGGAAAAGATGGGATGGGACGGACTGGACCTGCGTAGCTACCTTACCTTGATCTACCTTGATTGAGGCTTGAGTGCGTCTGCGCGATAGGGGCACGCGACCTGGGAGACACCCACTGATTGATTTACTTGTGATGTTTAGTGTGTTCCGTGTGGTGGCCGTTGGTTCCTCTGCTCAAGTCTTTGTGCATGTGAGGTGTTGCATGCAGTCTGTGGCCTTATGTCTTGCAGATCATGATGTCTCATTTCTGCCTGCCACCAGCAAATTAAAAGGCAACGCTGTCACCGTTTTCTTCTCTTTATTGCATCCAAGGTCGGAGAGAAACATGATTAAACATGGTTAAACAGGATTCAATAGAGAGTCAGAGATGAGAAGGGAAAGCTTGGGCCTTGTCACATCATCCTACGAGCTGCAGCTTCACCGCTCATAGGCTTAAAGTGCTTAAGGTACCCAAGGTATGGTAAGGTATGGTAAGGTATGGTAAGATACCTAAGGTAAGTAGAGGCAGTGGAGGCATTTTAGCAGGTAACGCCACGTGAAGATAAGAAGGTAGGCGAGCAGAACCGCCTTTAACGATAAGCCCAAGCTCCCACTTGCGGTCCGCTTCCTGCCACCTCGCCCAAAAATCTACCGGCAGGTTGGCACATTCTGCTTCTATCACCCAGCTTTCTTTCCCGACCGCCGGACTTTGGACCGACTTCGCACCTCCTCTGCTTTGAGTTGTCTACATGCCATATTTCGCAACAGTAGCTGTCGAAATCCTCTGAATACCTTACTACTGCCGAGTTCCTGCCATCGATCAGCGAGACGAGACGAACCACCTTTGCTCTGATATCTTACAAACACCATTTACGGTCCCCTCACCGTCTCGCGTGCTCCCCACCACCAAACTAAGCTCGGCCCTCTCCAAGTCTGCGACGACATTTACGAGCGCCTGTCTCTGTCGCTTCCCACGGCCGTTCGTGACTACGTCGACTCGCCGTCCAAAGTGGCCGGCCATCGCCAGAAACAAACCCCTCTGTCGGCGCGGCTCCAGCAAGCCAGCTCGTCGCGCCGATGTGGTGGTTCCTCCGAATCGTCGCCAGCGCCATCTTCCTGTTGAGCATAGTCCTCTCCATACCCGTCGCCTTTGATGTGGGCGGTAGGGATAGTGGACTGGCCTACAGCCTCGCCCTCTCCGCTTTCTACTTTGTCTACTCGACCATCGCCGTCGTCACCCCCGCCAAGTCGCGCGTTCGCTGGGCCATATCCGTCATCCTTCGCCTCTCGCAGTGGGTTGTCATTCCCGGACTTTTGATCTGGGCCCTCAGCCGCTTCGCCGTCGACGCTGGAGCTACCAACTGGGTGGAGCGCACACTGCAAGGCATCACCACTTCCAAGTCGACGTCATGGGGTGAATGGGTATTTGGTGAGGGTGGTGTTATTGAGACCATAACCTTGGGTGGTTGGGATAAGACGTTGAGGTACTCAAGTCCCGTCTTCCAGCTTCTCGAAGGGTTTTGCACGCTGCTCGTTATTCAAGCTGCCGGACAGATCACCAAATGGCTCGTAAACAGAGGACGAAGCGACACTTGGATCGTACGTGGAACCCCTCTCCTGTGCCCCCGACTCTGTGAGACCCAAGCCCGTTCACGGACAGCCTGGCCGTTTCCTAGTCTCACAGATCCGGATCACATACGTTGATTTTTGGCGAGACTTACTGATGGCTTTGATAGATTATCCTGCTCGTTATCTCTGGCAGCGTGCTTGCGAGTGCCGTTTACTTCCTCTGGCGCGTCGCACACTTCCCTTGGATTGACAACTCGGATGCCATCTTGATCGGTGTCACCATGACTTCAGCCTTCTTCCTGGGGGCGTATGGAATTGGCAGCGGGCGCGGCAACCCTATCGAGTCGTCCCTGCTTTTCGCATACGTCGTCCTCTGCGTCTACCAGATCTTTACCGATTACCTCCCCTCGGAGTCCACCGAGGCGGATCAACACCAGTCCTCACAGCCCGACTTCCCACCCTTGCCTCCGATTATCATGGCGTCTTACTCGACTCTACTCCACATGCTCGGCTCCCTTCCCCACGCCGTCCACTCGTCTCTCAGTCTTCTCTACGCGGCGTTCCAGACCATCACGCCTTCTGTCATCATTTCGCTCGCCTTCCGACTTCTTGTCTTTTACTGCGCTACACGCATTATTCCTGCCGTCCGTGAATCGGGAGCCAGGGCTCTCATGGAGGAACCGACTCTGGAAGAATCAGACGCTGCCAACTGGCTACTTGGGATTATCACCTACTTCTCGCCTTCGATTCTCATTGCCATGTACACAAGCTTGCTTCTGCAACACTTTTCAACAAATGATGGACCAGATGGGTGGACGCTGAGAGGAGGCGACCCCGGCGGCAACGTCTGGCGCTGGACCAACGTAGCAGCAACAATGACCCTGTACGCAATTGAGTTGTACTTGGGCAACGAGGATCACGATGGTGGTCTGACAAATCACTGGAAGATGGATTGAGAGCGAGGTTATCAACACTTGCGGAATAATTCGACAACATCTGCTTCTCGATGGCATGGGGGCTTACTCCATGTTCTCAGGATTTAATGAGTGCAGTCTGCCTAGGCAGGTTAACAAAAAACTGATCGATCAACGTACATAGGTCGTAATGACACACGGGCTAAGGGCACGGAAAGGGGTTAGGACAGGCACAGAAATACGGCGTTTAAGGGGTGGAAGTCTGCATGCTCGAACGGCGATTCTTTTACTTACGGACTCGGCTGAATAGCCAAAGGGAATTTTGACGATTGTTGTTTGAGAGCACTGCCGGTGCCTGGGCTTTTCCAAACTACCCACATTAGGAAACTCATCTTTAAAATCGATGGTCTTGGAAATATGTCTACTGTTGGTGACCTGCGCCTGACGGTTCTTGATGCAACTTAAGTCTCTACATGATCGGAGTTGAGGTTCGGACGGGCTGCAAGCCGCTGGGCCAGAACCACCGGGCGCATCCACTTTGACGTTGCGCTCGCTCCGTTGCGACTCCGTCTTTTCTGGGGCCTCGGCAACTCCCAACCTCACCTCCTCTCTCACTTACACCTCTCCATCCCACACAACCTCCACTTCTCTCGGTGGTCTCTCAATGTCGTTTTCGCTTTTTTGAAGGAAAACATCCGGTCCCATAACATTACACTTATTCCATTTGAAAATTAATTCGGTACACTGCTGTAGGGAACGGCAAACGTCGTTGCATCAAGAACAGTAGCGATGGCAGCAACGCACAACCCGATGCGGGCGTCCACCCCGCCGCCCGCCGTCTCCAGGACGACGATCCACATGTCTGGCCTCTTGTGCGACGTCTACGGGCTCGAGGAGCTCGTCGCGCGCGAGAAGCGGCCGTCGGCGGTGTCGTGTCTTTGGCTTCATCACCCGCGCTTGCGGGCCAAGGAGGATATGGAGGATATCGCGAGCCGGGTGATTTCCCGATGGGAGGAGAAGTCTTCTTCGTCGTCATCTTCTGTGTCTGGCAGCGGCGGCAGCAGGTCCCTCATCGCCGTGGCATTCGACCAGCAGAACCACGGCACCAGGACGGCGTCGGCGACCGCGAGGGATAGCTGGCGCGAGGGGAACAAGACGCACGCGCTGGACATGTGGGGGATGGTGGCGGGTATGGTGGCGGATACGAAGGGGCTCTTGGACGTTGTGGAGGGGTACGTGAAGATGGAGCTGGGGCAGAGGGGTGGGGAGGCGGCGGAGGGGTGGAGGATTGATCAGCATCTTGTGCTCGGGGTGAGTTTGGGCGGGCATAGTGCGTGGCAGACGATGTTTAGGGAGGAGAGGGTCGAGGCTGGGGTTGTGATTATTGGGTGTCCTGATTATATGGGTGAGTCTTTTCTTCTTCGTCGTCGTCGTCGTCTTCATGCGCATAGGGGGCATGTTGTCGTGCGAGGTGTGAGGAGTGACAAGTGAAGAAACTGGGCTAATTCGATCTAATGGAAACAACAGCCCTCTTGTCGGACCGCGCGAGGTTATCCAAGCTGTCCACCTTTTCAGCGCAAGACGACGGCGCCTCGTTCCTCGGGAGCAGAGACTTCCCGCCGGACCTCGTGGCCTCGTGCCTGCGTCACGACCCAAAGGGCATCCTCTTTGGCACCGGTGCCGTCCCCACCCCGGACAGTCTCACCACCGAAGACAATGCCGAAGAGCAGAAGCGTCTGCGCGGCGTCCTGGACGGCCTTCGCCTGCACGGTAAGAAATTCCTCGTCTGCTCCGGCGGCGAGGATAAGCTCGTACCGTACGCCATGTCTGCGCCGTTTCTGGAGTTTTTGACGGCCGCGACGGGGACGTGGTATCGTGACGCGGGCGTCGAGGTCGAGAATAAGGTGTATGAGGGGGTCGGGCACGCGTTTAGCGAGGGGATGGTGGAGGATTCGGTTAGGTTTTTGGTGGATGCTGTTGCTGGGAAGGATGTCGGCGGCGCGGGAGCTGGGGAGAAGTCGAAGATTTGAGAGACGTGACAAGGAGAGCAATGCACGCCGAGGGTTCAAGGAGGCTACAGTTAAGGGGTTGAGTATGTATAAGGTATACGTATATACACGTGTATACCTAGGTATCTTTTAAGCCCACGGCCTCTTTGCATCTTCCACGAGTGCCTCGTGCCCTTCTATGATCCTGGTGACGAGACCACTCTGTCTCCTCTCCTCCTCGCTCGCGAAAAGGGTATCTTCCGAACCCCACGGATTCCTCGCCCTCCTCTTGCCCGCTAGACTCGGCCCAACGCCGTGCGGGTCAATCGTCCACTCGTCCGCGGCGTGTTTTACGCCCGCGATGGCTCCAGCTTTGGAACCATTACCACCACCATCGTTGCCGTGGTTCTCCTCATTGATCTCCGCCCCAGCGGCGCCAGTTGTGGTAACCGAGGCAGCACCAGCACCAGCACCAGCTCCCTTCATCCCGGGCGGATCGATCCCAACATACCGAACCTGATCCAAGGGAAACCCGATAGCAGCGCAGTGGCCGTCGACGATGCGCGGCCTCTTGAAGGCGTGGCTCACGACTGTGAGGGTCCGAGGGTAAGTTCCGTAGAGGCGGCGGAAGAGGAGGAGGGAGTGGAGGATGTTGTGGTAGGAGTCTAGGGCGAGGGTGTCGGTGTGGATGAAAGATGTTATGGGACGTGATGATGATGAGGAGGGGGAGGGACAAATAGGAGAGGAAGACGAGGGAGGAGAGAGGATGCCAAAGTAGGCGTTTGCGGCGGCGAGGTTGGCGTAGGATTCTGCTTCGGAGAGGGGTGTTTCTTTGCGTGTCGGACCTCTTTGTGATTGAACGAGTCGTTAGTCTTGATACTTGGTAGTTTTCTTCATATTTACCAGATGTTGCTGTGGCAAAGAATAAAACAAAGATGTGTGAAAACGGCAAGGCACGAAAGAATAACGAACGTGAGCAATGACACTGCCAATACTCGAACAGAAACAAATCATGAGTTTAGGATAGGGTAGCTAAACGCTGCAGGTAGTACAAAGGAAAGGTCGGGGTTTGGCTGCATCAATAGTTACGTACCCCGAAAACACGAGCGCGGAAGCCGGGTACCCGTCCCGCAGCGCCGTCAGCCCGGCCTTGATGTGCTCGACAAACGTCGGGGTCTCGCCGGTCTGGAAGTCGGCGATGAGCCACTCGGACTCGGCGCGGCCGTTGGTGGGGCCGCCGGTCCAGATGCCGTGGCAGCAGACGACGATGAGGTTGGTTGGTGCTGCTGTTGATGTCATGGCTTCGATACTTCTGATTTGCTCCCTTTTCGTTGAAGTGCCTTATTGATATGTGCGATGAAAGGGCGCTGGTGTGTTTTGGGGATTGGGATTTGATGTGCGTTTGATTGTGGATCATGTGATGTTGTGGCGGTGAAAGTTGAGAGTTCCCTTCTCCATTGCATATCAAGGCTTGCAAGGTATTATATGGTACTTACCTTGTGCTATGAAGCCGTCGCCATTGTTGGCGTGTTATTACACGAAACTCTAAAAGCATTAAAAACCTATGATGGACACTATACTCGTGGGGTTGCGCATTCATAATTACTTTTGATTATCCCGTGACTGCTCACGACAAGATTCTATATGCGTCACCAACCAGGTAAAGGCTCCCCGTCAAGACAACCGGGCCATCGTTGGCGGTCTCAACAGCCCATCTCGCAGCCTCTTCGAGACCATCTTTGCTTTCAAACACCTCTTTGGCGCCCGCGTTCGAGGCCATCTCCCTCAAGGTCTCAAGCGGCAAAGGCTCGACCCAGGGCATCGTCTCTCGGCGAGAAAAGCCCACGCAGGCGACGTTGTCTCCGGGTCTGAGCAGCGTGCGCAGCATGCCGCCGGCATCCTTTCCGTCCTGCTTTGATACCGACACGATCCACGTCACAGGCTTATCGGCTTCTCGCAGACGTCGCTCGACGTATGTGGACAGCGTCTCGGCTGACTGTGGGTTATGAGCACCGTCGATGAGGATGGGCTTTTCCTTCCGCGACGGATGCTTCGCCTCGACGTTCAACCACGATAGCCTCCCCAGGTGACTGACGTCCTTTAGAATCGGCAGGGCCTTTTCCACAGAAAGATCAAGGTGCGGGTAGGCGAGCTGGAAAGCCGCAATGGCGCACGCCATGTTCTGCGCCTGATGCGGCATTAGCTCCGAGTCGTACAGAGTCTCGAGCAGACCGGGCTGGCTCGTGGTGAGGTGCAGCGGCGCCGAGACGCTGGCGGCATGTTGCCGGAAGACCTCGAGGACCTCGGGCGGGTTGCTGCCGTCGACGACGCACGGCACGCCGGCCATCATGATGCCGGCCTTTTCCTTGGCGATCTCGGGCAAGGTGTTGCCGAGGAAGGCCTGGTGGTCGAGGCCGATCTTTGTGATAACGGTGACGCTCTTGCGGCGGAGGGCGTTTGTGGAGTCGAGGCGGCCGCCGAGACCGACCTCGACGATGCCCATCTGCACATCAGCGCGGCTAAAGACGCCAAAAGCGATGAGGGTGGTCACTTCGAAGAGGCTGAGGGCTTCCTGGGCGGCATCCTGTGATAGGCGAGCCTGGTCGTCTGCGAGGATCTTGCGGTTGACGTCGGCGTAGACGTCTTGGGCCACGGGCGTGCCATTGATCTTGATGGCGTCGCGCGGCTCAATTAGGTAGGGTGAAGTGAAGAGGCCGTTTGAGATGCCAAAAGATTTGCACAGGGCTGATAGGTATGTGCAAGTGGTGCCTTTACCATTTGTGCCGGCGACGTGAATAGCATCCCACTTTTGGGGGACACCCTCGAGGGCCCGCGAGATACGGTGCAGGCCTAGGCTGATGCCTTTCATTGCCATGATGTCTGTCCTTAACCCCAGCGAGGTCTTGGATTTGGTGGAATGGAAGGTGATGGAGTGATGGCAGTATCCGGGTGTTAAAGCCCGGAGGATCACCAACGGCCTATCCGTATCTCGGTTTCGGCTCTGGATCCGACGGGCACTTTTCGCATAGGGCTGTTCGGACTTCGTAGCCCGGCAACAGCTGGTTGTTGCTTTTCTAACCCCTCAGAAGTGAGTCACTGAAAGTCTGTGGGAATGATGGGTCTTGAATCATGAGAGTCGTGATAGGCGCCGAACGATGTCAGCGAATGCATATGACTGAGCATTCCAGATCTTCCATTTACATCTGATGCTGAACGTTAACGGAGCGGCTGCCGTTAGGTGCAAGAAGGCACGCGGTAGGAACGAAGCTCAACCTGAGCAGGCGCGCTGGGCAGGGTTCCTGCTGGAACGGCAATGCCAGGAGTACGTACCTGAGCAGAAGCCCAGGCAGGTACGTATTCCGTACCGAAATGCATCCAAGTTGGCAAGTGCCGCTCTAGCCACACTTCCATTGGAGGCAGGCATGCAGGCAATGGAAGGCAGGAGTGGCAGGCTCACCACGGACCAGTGACCACAAAATGGGAAGCCCCCGTGATTGGCCAAAGATGACTTGCTTGATGAAGCCGCGCCACATGGGGGGAAAGAGAAAGACGCAGACAGCCAGAACGCCGTGACTGTGACTGCGACCGGGGAGGTATGGCGTGGCCAGCCACTCACAAAAAAGAAGTAAAGCGGCTATTCCCCAAAGACCCGCGCTTTTCCCATTTTCCTTCTTGTTCCCTTTTTTCGTTTTTTAATTGTCCCGGAGCCTTTCTGCCTTTTACCCCCCTCCCGACTCCCGTCCTCGTCTCGCTCCATTTCCTTCTTGACCGTCGTCAATCCACGTCCAGTCCCAGTGGCCCCGTCCCCGTCATTCACTGACCTGACCTACCTAATACATACCCCAACCTACCTAACTTCCAAAGTCCCCGGGCAATCCTCGCTCCCGCCTTCCCGCCTGTCCGCCCCACGAAGAAAAACCATTTGCGCTTCGCGCAACTCGCCAATTCCATCGCGAATCCATCGCGAAACACGGTACCGCGGCCCCATCGTCCATCACTCTCATCACGACCACAATCGCATCAATCTTGCCATCTTGCGATCAAGTCTAAACTTTGCGCCACCGATCTATCATCCCCGCTGCCTTTGAATTCATTCGTCGGGCGCGCGTCATTAGTCGGTCAAAATGGGACTCCCGTAAGTTTCTCGCCTACCCCTGCGGCTTTCCTGGTCGCGCTGCATTACCTTTGCCTTTGCGCCTGGCCTGTGGGACACTGGCTCAATCTCGGCCTGCCCAGTCGCATCGCGTAATCGCAATCGCTTCCACTCCAATGCCTCCATCCATATCCATCTCGTTCATCATAAATCCTCCGCATACTCTCGTTTGCGATTCGTCGACTGCCTCCAAAGACTGCCTTGGCCACGTCTTCGTCGTCGTCGCCGCCGTCGCCGCCGCCAAGTTGCAATCTAGTCGCGGTGAATGCAGACTGCCTCATACCCTGGCCTCGCATCCCATCACTAACATCGCATCTTCCCAACCGCAGATTGTTCATCGCTCCCGTCGAGTCAGATGTTCCCGCCCAAATCGGCGACAAGTCTGCAGCCACTCGACACCCTCGCTCTACCATTCGCCGCAGCCGCCGAAGCGACGACACGCGCCCCTTCCGCCGTCGCGCCGCTCTACTCCGCGACAACTACCCCACTCCCGGCCCCGAGCCTATCCCGCGCGCCCGGTATCCATGGATCGAGTCTGGCCACCCTCCACCTCCGGAGGCATATGTTGCGCCCCCCTCGCGAACGACGCCCCCGGTGCCCGAGCGCCGCAATCCGGCTGCTGAAATCATCGAACGTGTAAACGAAGCACGCAACCGTCAAGCCGATAGCAATGAACCCAGCGAAGCTCGTCTGATTTCCATGTACGGCGATGAATGGGTATTGAACCGTATGCCCAGGCTCTCCAGCGGGGTTACCGTCACACCCCCGACCGGGGAAGAGGATGCCAATTGGCAGGAACCAGACCGGGCCCAGCTTGAGGGCTCAACATCATACGCCAATTACAGAGAACGACGGAGATTCCGTCGGGCGCAGCTCGATCGCATGTCAATGGTAGGCTTTGTCGGACTGTGACTTCGGATTACGCTGTTGACTAACATACCAAGTAGCCCGCCCCACCAGTTGCAGCACGCTTTGACCGCAGTCCCGAGCATGCAACTTCCGCCAGGTTTGCGGGACGTATGCGCAGACCGGACTTGGAATCGCAAACAGACCGCGCATCTTTATCGCGGCGGGTACGCCGGGTTCGTCCTTTTGGGCACTTAATCGAGGCTTCTCTTGCAGACGGCCTTGGCGATCGCAACAGAAGCATCAGCCCTGATGAGGATGGCGTCTGGGACACACTGTTGACTACACTTACGCCGGACCCGCAGCCTCCAAGCGCTGGGTCGTCTTTCGCCTCTGCTTCGGCGTCTGCGTCTGCTTCTGCATCGCAATCACAGAGCGCCGGCGCATCATCTCGCACGTCTGTAGACAGACCCGAAAGGGCTGAGGAGTCTACTGAGCAACCTTGCGAATCCGGACTTGAAAACTCGGATAGTGAGGGCCATGAAGACTTGCACATGGGAAGGGGCTGGCCCGATCACTGGACGATGAACTACCCGTCCAGACACCGGCGGTTTGTCGCCGACTTGGATGCGAATGATCCGAGCAGGATATCCTTTGTTCGGGGAGACGGGGCTATGAGGGCTATGAGTAGCCGCGACATCGAAGAGATGCGAAGTCGTCGGCGACTGGAGCTCGCTCGGCACTACAGGATCGCAACTCGTGACCCCACCCCGCTACCGGAGCTGCTCGACCATATTGTCAGAGATTCGAGCGAGGAGTCCCGCGATACAGGCGGCCAAGGGGATGGCGACGGTGATGCAGGGCCACCGAGCCGCATCGAATCGTCCAACGACAACGCGCTGGAGGGCATGCAAGAGATTGTACGGCATCTTGCGCGGCGGCAAGACATTCCCGACGAGTGGTGGGCAGGTGCTGGGCTTTCCCGGACTCTGCCAGAGGAATCTTGAAGAAGGCGGGACTATGCATGATCTTTTTTCCCCACGTTTGACACGAAAAAAGCGAAAAGGCTGGGAACTAGAAGAAGTTACCCGAGGCATGATGTTTGGAGTACAAGGGGCTTATAAGGGGCTTATAGGATCTGCCATGGGTAGCGGTCAGGGTCATTGTTGGGTTTTCAACGGGCGCCATGCAGGTATCTGGGCGGGCCATCTGTATAATACGTGTATCGTGATGGAAGCGTGACGGGACAGAGATCCAGATCCAGAGGATCTATACTATTCTTGAGGCGAGAACCATCAAGACAAAATGGAGTGGCCGTTGGTCATACGTTCTTCCCGAAGAGTTCTTGTGTGTTTTGTTGATTGACGTGTCGTGGTATGCCTTGTAACATTGGACGTGAGTACCGTACGTTGGAGGGGGGTCCAAGAAGTGATCTCCCCATGTCTCAGTCGAGAAAGTGAGACCGCGAGGGGTATGTTGATGTCTCTGCAGTTTTCTCTTTTCGGTCATCCGCCTGGTGGATCTACGGATCTACGGAGTATGGGAGTCTATTTATTTCTTAACTCCAGAGCGGGGGTACTCAGGAATGTATTTTGGTGACAGAATATGAAAGGCTCGTGTTGCGTTATTTTGGATTCTTGTAATAATGGCAGCGTGCTTGCGAAGATAGATGAAATGTTGAAGCATTGGAGGGAGGCGTTCTTTACGGATGATCAAGTCAAGGATGATTACGCAAATCAAGTACTCTACGGATAGGATCGTGAAAGAAAACAGGAGGTGTGGTTCTTGGGATTTGGTGTAGACGTTCGCGGCTCGGCGTAGGTTCGCTGGGACTGGCCACTCACATGCCACGACGAAGGCGGCGGCGTGCCTTAGTGTGTTTTGTTCCCGCGCTGATCATCCTCAACTCAGTCCTTGGGGAGTGAGTGTGTGTGGACGTGTTGAGAGAGCGCGGTTAGTGTCATTCTTTTGTGCTTGTCTGGTAAGTGAGTTCTCATAAGCGCTTGGATGGGGCAGTGTTCGTACGAGTACCAAACGAGAAGAGAGTGTGATGATTACTACGGAGTAGATTCCATGAGAAATTGAGAAAAGAAACGACGTTAGGTAAGGTAAGGTAATGAGAGGGGGAGTTGGTGGCCCTGCCGCTGACATGGGGCAAGGTAGGGGTAGGTATCCGTATTACCGTAACGGGATATGTTGATCTGTCTAGACGAGACACTGTCACGCCGTTACCACGGCGAAGAGCGGTTCTCACAAAACAATGCTGGCAGTCTGGGTTCGTGTATTTGACTGTTTATAGATTGTAAATAATCTGAAGGGGGGGGCTCAAGAATGCAAGGTATCTATCTCGCAGGCGCGTGCCATATCCGGGGAAGATCAGGCACAGGATGAAATGTTGTCTGTCTGTGTAAGACGTGGGCAAGGTAGACATGGAGCGCATTGACCTTGGAGAACAAGAGGGAATTAACATACAGCGGCAGCCCGGAGGAATTGAGCTAGGTTCACTCATGTTCATTACCTTCATACGTAGTATGTCGTTCATGAATGGCCAAGGCGAGGTGACGATGAGAGAGGCGGAAGGTTGAAGCTCAGGTCGGAACGTTCCTTTGGTTGTTTCCAGTTCAGGTCGGGTGCGTGTTAGCGCGCTGGCGGAGCCCTGGGGCGACGTGCGAGAGCTTCTAGCGTTGCTAGCGCGAGAGGTTGGAATGGAAGCGTGCCGGACTGCCCAGGGCATGGAAGACTCTTAGTCTTGAGGTGTCCCACCTTCCAAGGCCCCCCGCCTGCTCCTCAGCACCGATGGCACCCGGGCTCATATTAGGTATGGACAAGGGCCAGTTGGGAAATATGGAATCCCAGAGGCAGCCAAGACATGCCATCAATGATCACACTGCATCGATCTGCTTTTTCCGGGGATGGGTGATTGTGATAATACCGTAAGTAATGGCGAGGTGGTGTTTGTGATAGTGACGGGACCTGGAGCCATTAATCAGTTACCTCATGAAACATTGTGCCTGAATGGACAGTGGTGAGGTACCTGGCCACTCCCACTGTACCTGGGCTGACCCGACCTGACGTTTCCACCATCCCTTCCCACACTTGTACAGCGAAGTGCCTTGGAGAGAGCCAAATGCGGTTGCGCGCGTCAGCACCAGCAAGTCGAATTTCTCCGGGCATCTCTCATCTCTCTCCCGTCCCGTACCATTTGTTCTGGTCTAGGCGCCTGTACCTGACTGATGTGTTTGTGTGCATGATGTGCGCGCGTGCGTGTGTAAAACTACCTAATCCTAGACTCACACATCACCTCTCACAAAATACATCATTTCCCCCAAAAAGCTTCAGCTTCAGCTCAGAAGGTGCTGTGCTGACACTTTGTCTCGTGTGGTTTTTGTTTCTTTCCCTTCCATTTGTCTGTTGATGTCCACATCATCCCTCCCACACCCCGGGAACCCCTCCGACATCATATCTGCCAAACCAACCCACCACCCACCCGACGACTTCGCCGCCCGCCCGCCGCCCAATTCCCCGTCCGCTCATTTACTCGACCTTTGCACCCCAAACCCCTCCACCGCTCCCGACCGGCAGACCGACCGCCTCTGACCCGATCGACCGGCTGTCGTTGACGACTGCAGCAACGACGACGACGTGGAAACCCGACAGCAGACGGCAAACCGAATTCCTTTGCTCCTCTGCCTGCCCTACGAATCGCGGAGCGGAGGCACTAGCTGGCTGGCCTTTGCAACCTCCAAGGGTAGCCTACGACACCCACGATTGTTTTCTTTGTGTGTTTTCGCTGCCGTCATTTCGCAGCAGTCTGGGCCTCCCGCGTTTGGGGAAATCACTCCCACCAGTTGCGCGCCCGCCCTCACGTCACCACCGCCCTCGTTCGACCGGCTTTCTCTCTCTCTCTCTCTCTCTCCTTATCCGCATGCCCACCGACATTTTCGTGGTCTAAACGACTATTCGACTGCAAACGCCAAAGAAGAAGGGAGCCCAACGAACCGAGAATAACGTCCCCCCAACTGCATCCGACTGGCATGCCGTCCTGCTGCCGGGCAATGTGCAGCGCGCCCTCACTTTTGCCGTAACCGCCGCTCGCTTGACCTCACGATCGATCCTTTGCCTCGGCTTCCCTTCTTTCGAAAAGGCCAGCTCCTTCCTATACGGAACCGCTTCTGCTTTGCGACGGTTCATGCCGAAACCCTCGAACCCTCGACTACGAGATATCAGCCTGGTGATTGCGCTAGGCTTCCCGTCCGCCGACCACCATGCCCAATCCCTCGCCGCCATCGTCGGCCTCGTCCTCTGTCGAGCGTCAGTACCATGTAAACGGCAGGGCCGCCGTGGTCGCCTCTCGCGAGAGGAGTTCAGGAACACCGCGAAAGGAAAAACAGGGCCCAAGGGAGAGCTCCGCGCTGCAAGACCCGGGTTTGAAGGATTATGTGCGTATACCCGGCTCTGAGGACTCGTCCAAGAGTGAGAGAAGGGGGGATTTGAGCGAGGAGAAACTATGCATGCAGGCCGCAAAAGCTGACCAGTTTCTCGATACAGCGTTTGGGAGAATGTCTCGGCAAGGGAGCCTTTGGATCCGTCTACAAGGCTTTCAATTGGGGAACGGGCGAGGCTGTTGCCGTCAAGCAGATTAAGCTCGCTGATCTGCCCAAGAGCGAGTTGCGCATGATTGAGGTATACTCTGCCCCTCACTCGCTTGATTTGTCGGTGGGATACCGAGACTGACCTTGTCCTACCTAGTCTGAAATCGATCTTTTGAAGAACCTGCATGTAGGTGCTTCCAACTCAAGAAACTATACAGGGGCCCTTTGAGCTAATAGTGCTTGTAGCATGACAACATTGTCAAGTACATTGGCTTCGTCAAATCGGCTGACTGTCTCAACATCATTCTCGAGTAGGTCGAGCTCCGGTTTCTGACTCCATCCGATCATAGCTGACATATTGGCTCAGGTACTGTGAGAACGGCTCTCTGCACTCAATATGCAAGTCATATGGCAAGTTCCCCGAGAACTTGGTCGGCGTCTATACAACACAGGTTCTGCAAGGATTGCAATATCTTCACGATCAGGGTGTTATCCACCGAGACATCAAAGGCGCCAACATCCTCACCACCAAGGACGGCAAAGTCAAGCTCGCAGACTTTGGAGTTTCGACAAGCACACTCGCAGGCGGGCAAGACAAGGAAGCACAGGTCGTTGGTACCCCCTACTGGATGGCACCAGAAATCATTCAACTTTCCGGCGCCAGTCCTGCGTCTGATATCTGGAGTGTTGGCTGCACGGTCATTGAGTTGTTGCAGGGCAGGCCGCCGTACCATAATCTTGCGGCTATGCCCGCGCTTTTTGCCATTGTCAATGATGACCACCCGCCATTGCCTGAGGGCATTTCACCGGTTTGCGCCCCGTGCCCCCCCTATTCTCCGCCTTGGGCACCTATGACTAACACGACGTAGGCGTCTCGCGACTTTTTGATGCAGTGCTTCCAAAAAGATCCAAACCTAAGAGTCACGGCGCGAAAACTTTTACGACACGCGTGGATCATCGGATGCCGAAGAAGCGATGCCCCCGTTTCCAAGGCGCCAGCTAATTTCAGCCAAGCCGTGGAGGAAGTGAAACAGTGGAATAAGGCTCTCAAGTCGTCCGAAAGCTCACTTAGGGCGTCCACCGGTTCCGACAGCGGGGTTCCCGGGATGCAAGGTCATCCCGGGTCGAGATACAGTGCCAACGAACCACTCCGACCGAGCCTGATCACCCAGCCCAAAGGACCTCTGGCTCTCGCGAAACCGAGACGAACACCTGAAGCCTTTAGGTCTCCAGAGCTTGCTGGTAAGGAATCATTTTGGTGTGGTTTCAGTCCGATCGAAGACGGCATATTGACTTGCTAGTAGATGACGACAATTGGGACAACGACTTCGCAACGGCCATTTCACCGAGCGCACTGCACTTGCCTCATTTGAAGCCGCAGGACAACTTTGGCGGATTGCTCTCTGCAGATAAGCTAAAAGCATTCGCTTCGCTTACGGATGCTCGCAACGACTCGGAAAGTTACGATGACGACTTTGAAGGGGAACTCTTGACTATCAAGGGGCCAGGGCAATTTACAGATTTCGACTTTCAGGAACAGACAATTCGTCCGACACCTCGCAAGAAGAGCGACAAGTACCCAGAGCCGATGAAGCAGCAATCGCCGCCCAAGCCAAGTCCGCGAAAGGCTGGCCACGCGAGAAACCCGTCTCGTCCCAAATCTCCTGTCAAGCCGCAGCTAGGCCCCAGCAAGTTTGAGATACCAGCTCCTCCAGATCTGGCTTTCAGAGAGCAGAACACAGAAGACTACTCGGACTTGTTCATGGAAAACGATTTCAACGATGGTGGACTTAACCCGTTTATCAAAAAAGTCGACTCTCCTCAACTATTCCACCCTTCAGATCTCACGAGCTTGCCTCGTTCGACACAATCGCCCGTCCCAGGAAGCTCGAGAAGGCCGCCCAGCGCAAAGCTGCGGCCTTCAGTTTTGCCAGATCGGCCCATGCGAAGGACGAGATCATCGATTGAGATTCAAAAATTTGCCGAGGACGAAGGCGACGAAGATTTCTCCGATATTTTCGGCCCAGAAGATGCGGTCACAGAGAGGGAGGAGAGTGACAGGGGCTCAGAAGATGGCGGCCTCATGGTGTTGTCCAAGTATTCCAACAACTCATGGCTCGGAGACGACGAGGACGAGGATGACCCTTTTGCTTCAATGGACCCAGGGTGGGACGAAATGGACCTGGAAGCAAATATTGCCAGGGACAGACACGCCAGGCTGGCAGGAAAGGTGGAAGAGCTCGTGCGGTCTTTGAAAACCTCGGAAGGCGAGGAAAAGCTGTGCGAGCTATCTGAAGACTTGGTAGGTCCAATCTGTCTGTGCCCCGAGAGGCGTCTTACTGACGTATGTAGCTCGCCCTGCTTTGGGAGAACACCGAGATCAAAGATCTCATCCTCAGTGCTCATGGCCTCTTGCCGATTTTGGAGCTTCTCGAGCCGTGTACAGTTAAGAGCAGGCAGCAGATGATTCTGTCTCTCTTGAAGGTCGTCAACACTGTACGTAGCTTTCCCCTTGTCGCGTAACTCGGCCCCAAGCTAATTCGTTGATAGATTATTTTGGACGATGTCGAGATCCAGGAAAATCTCTGCTTCGTTGGTGGCATTCCAATCATTACTAAATTCTCGGCCCGGCAATATTCCAACGAAATTAGACTCGAAGCAGCAGCGTTCGTCCGGCAAATGTATCAGACGTCCACGTTGACCTTGCAAATGTTCGTCAGCGCTGGTGGTTTGAATGTCCTAGTCGAGTTCCTCGACGAAGACTTTGACGATGCTCGGGATCTAGTCTTGATCGGCGTCAATGGCATATGGAATGTCTTTGAGCTTCAGGGCCCTACGCCTAAGAACGACTTTTGCAGAATCTTTTCGAGAAGCAAGATTCTCTATCCTCTTGCTCTGGTACTCCACAGAGTCCTCGATGAAGAGGGAGAAGATGAGCTTTCCGAATTGATAGAGGGCCGGATTGTCAACATCTTTTACCTATTTTCTCAGGCTGAGAACTACGTCAAGGAGGTTGTCGCTGATCGGCAAGTGTTGAAGAGTAAGTCTTGTGTCAAGTGAAGCGATGTCTCATTACTAACAGCTCCACAGGCGTTTTGAAGGATTTGCGACGAATGACACCAAATCATCAGATCACGATGCTGAAGTTCATCAAGAACCTTTCCATGCTGTCTACGACGATAGAAACGCTGCACACAGCTGACGCCATTGAGTTTTTGATTGACGTTCTTGGCTATAGCATGAAGAGGGGACATCAACATTTCCGAGAGATCTCCAATCAGGTCCTCAACACCCTGTTCAACCTCTGCCGTCTGAGTAAGGAGCGGCAGGAGGACGCTGCTGTTGGTGGCATTATTCCTTTGCTCATGAAGATCATGAACACAGATCGGCCACCAAAGGAGTTCGCATTGCCCATACTATGCGACATGGCCCACTCGGGAAGCAAGGGTCGCAGATACCTCTGGCAGAATAAGGGACTGGACTTTTACGTCTCGCTGTTGGCCGACCAATACTGGCAGGTTACGGCGCTGGATGCAATTTTTATATGGCTTCAGGAAGAAACGGCAAAGGTCGAGAGTCACTTGCTTGACGGCAAGTTTACAGATGCAATCGTTGCCTGTTTCCACACCAACAAGCTCAACTCTTTTGATGCCAACCTATTGGAGCCTCTATTGAAGCTTCTGCGCTTGAGCCCCTCGATATCAGGCTCACTGGCCAAGCCGGAGATGTTTGCCGGCATTGGCCAGAGACTAGGCCACAAAAAGGCCGTTGTACGGCTGAATTTACTTCGTCTCGTCCGCAACATTATGGACGCATGCGAGCCGGAGATGCTGGGCATGGGCAACGGAAGCAGCTCCCTGAACGTCAAGCAAGTCAGGTCTCTGTTTGATACGATCCAAATGCTGGCTGACAAGGACACTGCTGTGCTGGTTCGCAACCTTGCGTCTGAACTTGTCAAGTCGCATAACGAGAGCGAGCTTTATGATATGCCCTCGGAGAGAAAGGGCTCGTCTGGATCGGTAGCCTCCCGGCGCTCGGGGTCCGGACCTAGACGGAAATCGTCCTATACCCCGCCTGGACTTCACCATGCCATGTCGATGCCTGCCACACCGACGCAATCCCAGTCCCGTCATCATCGGCTTTCACAAATACCACCAGGGTCAGGAGGCGCGTATATTGAAGTGGCCGCGAGCCCGAGAAGGACTGCTGTTCAGGAGCGCGAGGCTATCTTGTATCGCCCCAGGAGTAGGGATGGTGCCACAAGCATTCCTAGGCGGGTCAGCGGCGAGATGTCGTCAAGTATGCCTACAGGGCCAGCCTCGGGCAAGAGCAGGTTGCCTCGTCATTCGTTTGCAAGACCCAGCAGCGCATCTGGGCAACCCCCCTTAATCAGATCCGAGAGTTCCCTGTCGAATAAAGAGAACCTCAGCAGAAACACATCAGCCGTGTCAGCACCGGCTGCGTCACCTGTGCTACCGACGAGCATGGCCAACAAGCGGCGAAGCAGAGCTCCAAGTTCGGACGTCAAATGGTCATCATAGTAGGGGCCATAACATCTCAGCCATCACCAGGCTGTACATTCATTTTAGGCTGTTTTCTCTTTTCCTTTTCCTGTATTGCATGTGCGAGTTGTCGGCTCGCAGGGCTCGGGCGAATGATACCTCGTGGGTATACACACGGCTGGCTGGGATGGGGAGAAGGAGGCATGATTTATAACGTTGCACACGTTTTTCTCTTTTTTGATATGAGATGAAGGCTGCTATGAGTCTTGGACGGGGGAAAGATGAAATGCCAAAAAGGGGACCGAACTGAAATGCCTTGCGCAAACGTTGGCTTTGCGGTGGTAAAAAGTCCTCTAGGAGGGGAAAAGAATATTTTGTCCTTTTTGTTTGCAACTCGGATCATGAGAGGGAGCTTCAGTTTTGAGCTCCCTGCGATAGCGGATGGCATTAGAACCAAATTCATGGCAAGCAATTGCACCCCCATCTAACGGCTATGGCCGCCTATAGTTCCTGTGTCTAACTCCTTCATCCTGACATTTCTGATCTCCCTCTTACTTTCACGAGATCCTACCGTAGAATCCGAACCCCCTCCCTTCCTACCATCATCGAAAGACTCGTGAACATTCTTCAAGGGAAAAAAAAATCAAGTGCTCTTTTGTACCTCCCCCCCATCCTCAAACAAGCCACGCATCACCGCCCAGAACCTCGCTCCACACCTGTCCCTCGGCCCTCTCGAACCCCTTTGCGTCCTCCACGTCGGCGGCGCCAAAGTTGCGTCCGTACAGGTGCGGGAAGGCGGAGGGGAATTTGCCCGAGGGGGGGAACTCCCACTTCATCGAGCCCGAGGCGGCGAGGGGCGCGTAGGGGAGTTTGAGGAGGTGTAAGGTCGTGGCGGATGAGAAGAAGAGGTTTGCTGTGTTGAGGACCTGGTGGTGTTTTCAGTGTGAGTTTTTTTTTGGTTTAGGGAGGTTTGATTGGGGGTATGGTTGGGTATATGGTGGGGAGTTGTGGAAGGTCGTGGTGTATGATTGTATGGTGGGGGTTATGAGGATAAGTATGAGGGTGAAAAGGCGAGTGTGAAGGGAATCGAGAGCGGAAGGATGTGAGATGTAGACTCGAGAGGACAGTACGCGGAGAAGAAGAACAGAGATAGAGGGTCAAGGAATATAGACACTGAAAGGTCGAGTTTGAAAAGAAGAAGAGGAAGCAAGAGAGATCATGCGTACCTGCTCCGCCGTACTCAGATGAATAAAGCCATCGTTGCGATCGAGGTCCGAGAGGGGGAACTCGGTCGGCAGCGGCGACGGCGGCGCCTCGGGCACGATTTTGTAAATGTATTGCGGGGTTTGCGCGGGTTCGGCCATGTTTGCAATCTTTACAGGAGGTCGAATATGAATATCGTAGAGGGTGGTGCTGGATATGTATGTCTACTGAACTGGCGATGCTGTGCGAGGGGAGACAAATGACTTGTGAGAGGTTTGTGTGCAAACTGCTTATTTCATCATCCCACCTCCTCCTGAGGTAAGGTAAGAGTCGAACGCTCACCCCCCACTTTCCTCTTCTGGAAAACTTCAGCTCCGGCGGCTTACACCGGAGAAGATGGGAACTAACACATAATACAGCCTCATCTCACTCACATATCACCAACAAGCGATTTAAACACCCACCAGAAATCGTCATCAATGGTTTTTTATTGTTACAGAGACCTCCCGGTCCGTGTTTCCTTATCTCATTGATCCCTTTCCACAGCTTTCCCATACTCCGGGACGAAACCACGCCCCAAAGACAAAAAAACCGCCCCCCGCCGCGCCCCCAAGTTCCAACCTAACCTCCATCTCACACCTAGCTTGGATCACCAACTGTTGTAAAAAAAGACATCTACAAAATTTTGCAGATGACTAGTAAACTTTTGCTTTTTTCCTTATCTCTCTGTCTCTCTCTCTCTCTCTCTCTCTTTCCCTTCGATCCCATCAGAGATGCTGAAATACCGCTTCGAGTGTGTAGTCAAATTAGATTTGAGACAACCATAGCACCCACAGCTGCATCCTCTCTATCTCTCTCTCTCTCCCTTCTTCACCTTTTTCTACTTTGTAGACTTCAAACTCTTGCTTGATATGGCTCGATCTGCGCCTTTTGAAGCAAGTTCACCACCACCTTACGTGCTCATCCCCACGCGCGCCTATCGACGCGACGATTACTGTTGAATGTTGGGATCCCAGAGTACTCTTTCGTCGGCTCAGACTCGCTGGTAGAAGAGCAGGTAGGCAACCTTGTTGTCCTTGATGTTGTCCTTGGCCGGCTTGCCCTTGGATGCGGTGCCATTGCCGTTGGCCACGGCGCTCCACTTCTTCTCGCCGCCCTTATCACCGCCCTTGGCAGAGGTGGTGACCTCCTTCCAATCATCGCCCTCGTCGTCGTCTGCCATTGCGCCGAACCGGTTGGTCGACGCATCACGCGACGCGGGACCGGATCGGCCCGTGTCCTTGGCATCCTCCTCCGCACCGGCCTCGGCCACGTCCTCGCTGCGGACACGTCGAATGATCGTATCATCCAGGCGGATCCACTCGTTTTCGTCTTGCCTTCGCACATCCACGGTGTAGTGACCGCCGTTGGCTTGCTTGCCGTGGTGGTAGACAACACCGATGAGCCTGTACTTGGGCATGCCGACACCTTCGGAGACAAGAGCGTTGCGTCGCCGCTTCGAGAGAACTTCCGCGGGGAGCTGCAAGTCGAGGGGGTAACCGACCTTCTTGCCGATCTTGGTCGTTCCTTCGGTGTCGAACTTGAAGCGCTTCAGATGAAGGATGAGAATCGGGGGCAAAGTCTCAATCAGAGTCTGCTTCGTCATGGGGGCAGCATCGCCCTGTAGCCTCTCGGGCACCGTCAGACCCTTTATCGCGTCGACAACGTTGTGAATGTACGGGGCGCCAATGTCCAGCTGCAGGGACTGGAAAGGCTCGGTAGTCACCGAGTCCTTCACACCAGGACGGCGAAGCTCTGATCGATACTGTCCACTAAACAAACGAGTGATGGGCGTCGTCGAGCTGGCTCCGGAAGAGCGCGTCTCAACTGCTCTCTGTCTCGATCCGACCTCAAACCACCCGTCCGCGCCGTCATTCGACTCAACAACGCTGGCGGCGGAGGACGTAGGCCGGGTTTCAGCGGCCCCGTTGGTAGAGCCACTCGTTGACATTACTTGGGCGCATTCTTCGTCGATGGCATTGAGAATCAAACCCAGGAACTCCTGAGCATCTTGCTGGTGCCCACGCTGTAGAAAAAGGTTAGCGACAAGTGTGGGAATGAGCCATGGAACAACATACTCTCATGCTAGCAAACGCCGGTAGAGGCTGGATGGCCTTGTACACAAACTCGGGAATGAACGAATCACCATATTGCTCCAGCTGCTCGCTCTTGAGCTTCCGGCGCAGTTTCTCAACCGTTTCAGTCGAGTCGATGACCCGGAACTCCCTCATGAACATAATCATGGCATCGATGACGGGCGTGTCGCTCTTGAACTTGTGCACAGCCTTCTTGCTGACCTGATCCAAGAAGTTGTAGAATGGCGCACAGAAGAGAAGAACTTGCAAAACCTAGACTGGCGTTAGTGGATTTCTCCGCTTGTGGATTCAAGATACTGACTGAATTCATGTAGCACATATTGCCGGTGTTGATCAGGCCTCTCGGCTCGATGAACTGAACCCTGGCAGCATTGCTAACCCGGAAGTCTTGGATGGCAGACGCCAGAGAATTTGTGTTTCCTGCAGAAAAGGTGGGTGCGCTACCGTTTACAGCACCATCGCCATTTGTGGTGGCACCGTTGGCCGCGGCCGGAGCAACAGGGCCATTAACAGCGGGCTGCGCCTTGGGAGCAGCCGCGGCGGCGGCTGCGGAGAACAATCCACTCCATGACTTCGGAGCCGCCTTGGCGGGAGCTGCCGGAGGAGCCTCGAGCTTCTCTTGCTCCGTGCCAGCGACTTCCGTGCCCTCTGTTGCTTCAGCAGGCTTCGCCTCTTGAGATGCAGCTTGCTTGAGCTCTTCTGCCGGCTGGCTGACGCTTGTTGCCTTAGCCTCCTTGGGGCTGCTCTTAGGGAGAGCTGGGATGACTGGGACGACAGGAACAGCAGGGCGGGACGCCGACGCGTTCGAGTTGCTTGTCGTGGGTCTGGCCTCAGATCCCGGCACATTCACCTTCGGGCTGCCCATGTTTGAGACGCTAGTCGCTGACCTGTCACTCTCCTTAGGAGTTTCAGACGTCAGGGAGTCTGCTCTCAGGGTAGCGCTCTCGGAATCGGTGTCCTTGGAGTTCCAGGGCGCTGCCTTCTTCGCATCGGCCTTCACTTGGAGGCTGTCCTCCGTGCCGCTTTTGGTGGCCGACTCGAGAGCGCCCTCGTGCTGCTCCACAGGCAGTGTCAGATTCTGAGCATTCGCACTCATCAATCTTCTGCGTCGCCTTGACTTGGGAGCCCTTCTAGGGAACGGTGCTTGGTCGGGAGGTGTCCAAGGGAGCTTTCTTTGTTTAGCTACGAAGCCAACGTGAAGAGGATCTGTTGGACTTACTGGTGCGCGAAATTCTTTTACATCTTTGGGAAGCTCTGGGCTCTCGGGAGCAGGGGCAGAGGCAAGGGCTGGGGGCGCCGCGGCCGGGTGGAATGGCTCAGCGAAAGGCGTGACGACTGATGAAGAAACGACCGAGGACACTACAGAAGGTGTGACGACTGAAGGCTCGGGCGTAGGTTCAACGTGCGGAGGCGGAGGAGGCGGCGGCGTCTGAACAGGGTTGACAGCAGGGATGGGAGGTGGGTGATACGGCGTTGAGAGAGCAGGCGACGGTTGCGAATACGGCTGAGGAACGCTCACGCCGGCCATGGGGACATATTGAGGTTGAGGCATGGCCTGTGGTGACCGCACGTAGGGCTGCTGTTGCTGATAGTGCATGTAGCCAGAGGGCATGCTTCCGTTCTGGTACTGATGCGGCAGCTGATGGTAATACGGCGTCGGCTGAGCGTAGGGGTTCATGTAGTTTGGATACATGGGCTGGTGCTGATACTGTTGATATTGCTGGTATTGCGCATACGTCGGTTGTTGCTGCATCCTCCGTCTGTTACCCCCTCCGGGACCACCACCCATATCGACACCTCCTCCTGGCCCTCCGCCCCCCGGCATGGCTTGCCCAGCCGGCAGATGACGATTGTTCATCCTGCCGGCTTGGGAGTCGTGTATTTGCAGTGATCGTCCACGGCTGGAACTATCACTGCCTTGAACCTGCGGCTTCCTTCAACACGGTTGTCGGCGCGTTCGCAATGGAGCGTCGACAGATTAGTCTGAGATCGGTTCGAGTATCGAGTATTAGGTTGTCTGATCGTGTGGGATGCACGAGAAGGTAATATTTCCAATCGCCTTCAGTCGTGCGTCGCTCTCGTGAGGGTTGCGGGGAACCGTTGGGAAGAAAATGGGCCCGACTTAAGTATTCCGAATGAGCAAAGAGGGGAGAAGTAAAATGAACAAGTTGCTCGACACAAGTGATTAATCGCGCAGACACGGAGGGGCGAGCTGCGATGAAGGCAGCAACGGTGAAGGGTCGAGGACTGGGACGGGGCGACGGCTGCGAAGTTAGCTGTGCGGTTGCTTCCAATGGAGATGACAAAAAATTAAGCCGCGCGCGGGAGAGGTAGAACCGTAAACCTGGAGCTAGCGGGCAGCGGGCTCCGGGCTTTGTTGGCGCAATGCGATTGCCTGAGCCGAAGCCTCGCGCACAGATCACTATTCGATCATCGCAGGCTGGTATTGGGTCTCTTCTTCCGCAATTTGCCCGAAATCGGCCCCACTATAGCTGGCTTGCCCGGTGAACACACCTCTGACGCTCAGAGGTGAGCTCGGTGAGGCTGGAAAGCATTCACTCTTCCGTGTCCTGGCGGGACTTCAGCATATACGCGTTGCGGGTGATCCATAGCTCGAGTCTGCACAGCTTCCTTTTCAGCTTTTTATTGCTTCTTATTGGTATTGGAGCCTTGAATATCCCAGTCGCTCATCCCTCTGAAATGGACAATGCATGCTAGCTTAACCTCGACGCTATTGGAAGTCTTGTTACGACGACTCAGTATACGCCCAGAACATGTACACCTGCTGGTCTAAACAAAATGCTCCTGTGCACCTCGCCGAGAACCCATCATCGACAGCTGATTCACTCATCCTTGAAAATCCAGCGTCCCCCTCCTCTCATTGCTTCCCGATATCGTTCTTGAATCATTTGCTTCTCCCTCTTCTCGCCTTCTGCCCTCTCAGCCTCGTCTTCCTGTGTAGTAGGGAAATCCGCGTTCCAGAAGCCCGGAGGAGATGCCCTTCGAGCGTAACGATGACGATGTTTGCCCAACTCATTCGCGAGTTGCCATGTTTTAGCCTCTACCCACAAGTCTTCCTTCTCTGCCTTGGACATCCCCAGAATGATGGTGATTCTGTCACCGAGATAATCCTCAAACAATTTGGTGTCTGATGCCGGGGTACGATCGACATTGTTCTTTTGAGCCAAAGCCATGCCGCGGAATTGAGGGCCGCAGCAGTTCATGTCTGTACAACCAGGCAAACAGGCTCTGTCTTCCCTGTTCCTGACCACCTCCGAGAATGCGTAGTCGGAACCGCCGTTGAACTTTGGATTGACCTTGAAGTCCTCAAGCCGTAGGGAAGTGGCAGGCTTTGACCTTAATGCCCCCTTCTGGGGTAGCGGCTGTGCCCCGACCGTCGCACGATTTCTGGGCTGCCCGCGAGCTGTGGCAGGCTCCGCGTTCTCCTCGTGCTCCCTCCGGCCGATTGGAGCTTCCTTCGACCTGTCCCGGCGTTCTTTATTGAAAGGCAATTCCCGACGCTCGGGAAACTGTGGTCCATCCTCCACCGCTCGACCTGTATCCCGAAGACGAGGTGCTGACCGTATTATGGCAGGAGCTTGTTCTGGAGATGGTGCGTTCAATAGCGTACTCAAGCGACCGGGAGGTTGCGGGGTGCGGAAAAGCCCCGCCGGCTCTTCGCGGCCCGTTTTATCATAAACAATTCCGTCCTCAGCCAGGCTCCTTATGCCTTGAGCGAGCCCTTTCCTTGTTGGCTTCTCCACGGTGTTCAACTCATACGGGCGCACCGGACAAGCGTTAGGGTTGATCGGTGTCAGAACCGCTGTTGAGTTGGGTATCCTGGTAGTCGGAGTGTTGGTGTTGTCGTGCCTAACAAAGACGGGAGCGGCTGTCTGAGCTCGCTCCATGTCAATTTGACCGGGCGTGGCCAGGGCATCAGCCCATAACCTATTCTTCCGTGGCGTGCTTAGTCTCTGACCGACCTCATCCAGGTCCATACTCTCTTGTTGAAGCTGACTAGTAACAGGGCCAGTAGTAAGATTCGAGCTCTCAATCTTCACCCTACGTCGTCCTTGTTGTTCTGAGGAGGGATCGGCGTGCTTTCTCTTGCCTACAAGGCGCTCAGAGACGATAATAGGCCCGTCGGAGGAAGGCTCTGGTTTGATGCGAATGTCTGAATCCGTTTTGGCGGTCTGCCTCAATGGTGGAAGAGTAACAGCATCGGCGTCCTTACTACCCTCTGTCGTCTCCCCCTCCGTGGTATCTGCGGCAGGCAGATCCTGCGTCTCAACGTCTGATTGCACGGGAGCTCTCTCGGCAGAATATTGTCGCAAAGTCCGCGGATTGCTGGGTGTCGTCAAGATCCCGGATTCAGGATCGATTGTCAACCTCGAAGCTAAGTGAGCGCGCGGCCTGCTTTGTTCCTGAAGGCCTTCTGCTGTGTACACAGCCGCATCGGCGTCACCATCACGTTGCTCCAAGGCTTTGATCTTCGTCTCCAATTCTGTCGCATAGTCTTCCCATTTCTTGATCTCCTCCTTCCTCTCGTCCCTTCTCTTATTATATTCTGCTTTCAGTATCCTGAAATTCTGGTCCAGGGCAGTATATTTCCGTCGCAGCTTGTGGCTTTCCCGCAGCACGTACTCTATGTTGCCTCCATTCTCAGGACCATCTGCAGAGGCGGGGTCTGTGTTGGTGGCTTGGTCGTTGGTGACATAACTCGGCCGAGGGCTTCCTCGAGATGACTCGACGGAGCGATTTTGCTGATGGATTTGGAGGAGTTTCGTCCTCAGCTTTCGGTTTTCCTCTTCCAAGCGATCAACCTCGTCGGATCGAGACTTCAATATTTCGAGCTCATCAGAGAGGAATGCGCGGGATCGATCGTCCTCCTTAAGCCTCTGCTCGACCTCTGTTGAGAAGCTAGTATCACATTGTCATTACGTCAGGGCATCTACGTGTACATACCGCTGTCAAGTTGCTTGCTAACTGTTTCACGCAATGCTTCGAAGGCATCTTGGATAGCCGCCCGGCCTTCCGGCGACCAGTTCTCCATGATTCAACGGCAGCTACCAGGACGCTTTGAAGCCTGCTTGGGGTTGTGTGAATGTCAGTTAGGCTGAAGCTGGGTTTCACGTGGGTGCGTGGGACGCCAAACTACCTTAAGACGCGCCTTCCCTGAAGCGCGTCGTGCCAAGACATCTCCAGATCGATCTACCCGCCACGAGATGATCCGTGCATCTGTGGCTGAGTTCCCCACCAGCCACTTGTCAACTTACAGAGCTCCTGCTTCAGCCACCTAACAGCAAAATGCTCTCCTCTAACATCAATTTATGCAGACTTCCTTGACGAGGATTTCTGGATTTCAAGTTCGAACTTTGGATTATCATACAATCTTGTCAATTTGAAAATGTCCTACTTGCTACTCCTTATTGATTCGCAGTTTCCGGTACCAATGCAACTTCAGGGTGACTCAAGCACAAAGGCCGGCGGTCTGATGCCTTGCACAAACCTTGCCATGGAGACTGACTGCATCGGAGCCACTTCCGCAGTGAGAATACCTTGGGCGGGGCGCAGGATGGAAACGCAGAGCAACATGCCTTCGAGGCTTCGATCAATTGGTACGGCTGGAATGGCTCGTGATACGGATACTGGTGGGCCTGCACGGCTACTCCGATATATCTACTTATGAACGTTTCGAGGCTAATAAGATTGAAGACACGCTCTGGTCAGTGGGCCCCCCGAAATTCCCCACGGACTACGGTCGCCCGGCCCGGCAGCTCTTCAACGGTCACCGACCCTAGCGAATGATCGTCATGGGAGACTGCGACATGGGTCGATTCGTCGACCACAAAGCTGTCTTGTCTCTGACTCTGCAAGAGCTCGGTTGAGGCTCGAATTGGCAATGCCGGGCTTCATATATATCTCGCCCCTCGACCATGCATACCCGCGGGAATACCGGATCACTGATAAACCTGATGACCACAAAGCGCCACGTTTGCAACACCTGACTAAAGGGAAACCGACTTAGCACAGACGAGACCAAAAGTACCGCCATCTGTTGTTGAAAGCATATGCGGGAGCTTGGGAATATCTGGCGCTCAACCTGGCTATCGCATTGTGCTTACTTAGGATGGACCAGAATTGCTCTCGGCACCATACGTGGAACTCAGAGATGTGAGAAGCATATTGCACGTGGTCAGCGACTCTTCCTGCATGGCCTGGTGAAGGTGCTCGGTGTTCGGTTGCTGACAGAAGCTGCAAATACTTTCCAGCAACCTCCAAGGTATTTCACATCCGATGCTTGTTTGGCTGGAGCAATCAGCGGGACTCGCAACGCTTGTCGATGCCACGTCTCCGCTCGAGAGATATGTGGCAGACAATCTAGCGGACAAATGCCGGTATCCATGAGCAGGCCCCATTGCTGGTCTCCGCGCCGCCCCTATGACTTACGGGCTCTCCTGCATATCACTGCGGTGGTTTGTGGTTACATGCCGTTCTAGCGTCTTGGGTCGCAGGTGCGGCCTCGAAGAGGCCAGTGGTCCGGTAGAGACTCCACACAAGTCGCATTCGAAAATGCTTCACATTTGCAGAGATGCAATGGCGCCGTCATGTTTTCCCGGCGTCCGCCCATGAAGCTGTTTCGGGAAGGTCGCGACCATCGCCGCTTCATCTCTCGGGTGACAGGCCTGCGGACTATGCGCCTGGAGCCCACGAGGTCCGCGAGGAAGCCCGTCTGCTGCGTTGCAGCGGTTGGACGCAAACCGCAGTTAACGATACCTAGCTTGCAGCTGCAGCAGACATGGATTTAGTTGCACAGTGCACCCATTTCGTTGCGCGTTTGTTGCGTAATGGCTGGCTAAGCGAGAGAACATTCGATGGAATATCGTTGCCAACCAACAATTGCGGCGACAACGGGCACAAGCGAAGACCATCGAATTGAACGACGTGCGGAAGACCAGCAGGCCAGGGCAAGTTTCTTGGCAGTTGTGCAAGCGTCGCGGATAAGGGAAGGGTTGCCGGCGAAGCAAAGTACGAAGCGAAGTGGCCGTCGGTTGAAATGGGTGACCGGGTTCATCCGGTCTACATGATTTCACAGGCCCGGGCGAAAAGCTTACCACCAACCTGAAAGGGAAGACTGGCCGAGATTGAATGCGGCAGATCTGACCGGACCGGAGGTGCATCTCGATGGAACGAACCAATCCTCTGCTCTGGTTCGCCTGGATGAGCATGGCTAAATGCGTTCCCGAAACTCGAAAGTGCAATGAAACTCGTGGGATTTGTGCGTTTATTCCTCCAGTGAGATATCACGAAAAGGAGCTTGGGGTGAGAAGGAGGTTGAAAAGGAGGTTGAAAAGGACGGAGCCGATGATCATGGCTTTTTCGTCATTTTGGTCTTCTCTCTTCCGTGAATGGGGTTTGCCTTTTGATGAGGGGGACGCTGTCGATCTGGAGGGGCCGTCCAAGCCTCGGTTCGGTTTAAACCTACTTTGATGGCATCTCCGACAGGGCTGTTTATCAGCTTGTGTACCTGTGCGCATGGGTAGCAGGTGGGCTGAACGTTCAAGGCAGATGGCTCTTGAGTCGAATAAAAATGTGACGACGAGACACCATGACACGGGAAGCTTTCTGAGAGCCATTCTCGAGTGTCGGTGTTCCGCCAATGATCTGCAGCAGGTTCACGAGCTTCTTGACGCTAAAGCCGGAGCTGGAGCTAGAACCAAGCACACACCACTGACACCAGCAGTGCGAAGGGACCACAGTGAGGCATGTGTCATCCCACGGACGCACAACCATCTACAGCAACCACTTACCAGTGGCCAGGCCGGGATCGCGGGGTACGAAACTGAGGCATATGTAGCCGAGACTTCACACAGGGTTAACAATACGCGGATTATGGGCATGCAAAGAGCGCTCGTACGGTGCAACCTCAGGTTGATTATTCAGACATTACATGGACAGCCAGAGCCCGCTGCCCAGGACGCCCGACGGCTGCCAGAGACAAAACTCACCAGCAACCACCTCTCATTCAAGCGCAAGCAAGGCTCACCTTGCCTGATTGTCGACACAGTGTGAGCCAGTATATCCGCGATTCCGCAGTGTACGAGATTCACCCCTCTTTCATGCTCAGGCTCTGCAGAGAGTATCCGTACAGGCTGCATAAGAGGGGCAGCAACTGTGGCAGTCTGGCAGAGGATTGTGAGACGGGAGACTTATCAGAGCCCACTCATCGGGTGAGGTGGGAGCGTAACAAGTGAGAGACCACTGAGATGAGCAGCATGAGCATGAGAGGAGCGTGTGATGAGGGGCTGCTCAGGACAGGACAGGGAGAGATGCAAGGGACGGGAGCACAGTGGCACGAAATCAAGGATTTCCGACCCCTCGTAGGGATGGAAGGGGTTTAGCGAGGTTTGGGGCATCGCATTTCACAGTGTCTTGGGGCCTTGGGTAACTTTGGGGCCAGGCCTGGCCTGCCATTTTGGCCTGCCAGTGCTGCCATTTGACCTGCCTCTCGGCGATTTTTAGAATCTTACACAGGGGTACCCCACCTGCCTGCCTTCGACATGCTGAATTTTCTGATTGGTATTTTTGTTTTCCCCATGGCAGAAAAAAAAAGTGTCGAAAAAAATGGAGGGGCAAAAGTGAAATACGGACTGCGCGAGGACAGCGACCGGATGGTGGGGAGGAGGGGGGTCTCATGAGCAACTCTAGGCTCTAGCAGTCCACTTCATTCGATCGACTCAAGTGAAAGAAAAGGCACTTTACTCTGACCGTGACCAGCCCGGTCTAGAGCATCGACGATGTGAAATTGAATTTGTAGAGTCACCTGCCTTTGAGTTCACCGTCCCTGGAGTTTGCGAAGAGAAGGGCTCGAACGAAGCGCTTCTATTGCCCCCGACGGCTTATCCTCCGTTCCTCTTCCCCCACCATCAGAAATGTTAAAGTTTGGTGTCCCGTCCTGTCCGGCCTTATTGGAAGGTTCTTTAGGCTATCAGAAACCCGAGCTTCAAGTATCTTCATCTCAACTTTTTGAACCTTCATCGTCGTGGACGGGGGGTCACCCAGGTCTCTAGGGAATTCTGAATACCTACGTAATGCGGTGTGAACATGGCCATGACCGTAGTAGCCCTTGAGGGCAAGCCCAGTCCGGGTCGGTTCCCGACGCTGCATTTGTGAGGCAAACTAGCTGCCGCCCCTTTTGGCTGGCCTGGTTCTGCCCAAGGAGTTCCAACTGTGTCATTGTGCCCTACTGGTACCTATCTGAAGCTGACAGACGGCACAATCTCATCTTCGGCTATGGGGAAAAGGCGCCGGCGCATTTCGGGCATTGATGGCTTGGTTATGAGAGCTGTGGGCTGTAGCTAGGCACAGGCATATGAGGCAAGGCAGGCCGGCCACGGTCAGAGATACGTGTGAGGGGAACGGGAGATGAACAGGCTCCTTACTGGAGTGCTCGACAAACGTGAGGCAAGTACCTATGTCATAACCCTATCGAACTGGCCATGGTTTAGGTGTATCTGTTGTAAGACTGAGAAGTGAGCCTGTCAGATTTATAACGACTTTATGACAACATCAAGGGCGTTCATCAGCTGAATAGTATCACAGCAAGTGAGTGTATTGAGAGTATCGAAGTGAGAGGTGAGGTGAGGTGAGCCAACCGTGTCAATCTCCGTCACACACACACACGACTCCGTACACACGCTCATCTTCCATGGGCACTCCCGTCACCAAGTTGCAATCAAACACAAATGCCGCCTGCCCGGTCCAAGCCAGAAAAGCCCAAGGAAAGCCAGAAGGGGGCATCCAGAGTCTAGAGACGGGCTCTTCCCCTTATGAGAAGGGACTTGCCTATCTGATTGGTGCTCCGGCGCCTGCCCATCTACCAGATTTTCTTGGGCTCCACAAGGCGGTCTGACAATCCAAATTCGCTGCCTTTTCTTTTTTAACCTTGGCCACTCCCTGGCCGTAACGACCGCTTCCCTCCCCTTCTCTCCCACAACACAAAACCACCACCATCCATCGCAAACCTTGCAAAACCACTACGGAAAAAAACACCCCTCCTTTTTTCTTTCGAGCAGAGATTTTTGATCACGGCTCGATTATCCGCCCTTCATATGTGAGTATAGCCCTTTTCCTGACCGTCGTCCGCGGGGAGGAGAGAGAGCCTCTCCATTCACCAATATGGGATATTATTCAACTCGACTGGGATCCCGTCATCGACATCAACAAAAAAAACCCCTCCAGAGCTTGCCAGCTGCCAACCACAAATTCACCTCTTGTATCTGACGAAGGCGGCGCACACACACGCACCTCCATCTCCAACTTCCCCACATCGCGCACCGCACACACACAACACACACGCGCACACACACAAGCACACACATGCCACTTGCCCCTCCCCACGTCAACCACATTGCGACAAGGCCGTCTTTCGCCTCCCAGATCTTTTCCCCTTCTCACACGAAAAGCTTGGCTCAATTCCTCCCCTCGACAATCTCAAATCACCTCATCGACTTTGCCGTTAATCTAACGACTTTCTTCCAGTTCTAAACACCACCGTTGCTACTCCTCACCAACCCAATATCAATCGCAATGGATTTCCAGGGATCTGCCGGCGCCCCCCAGGCTCGCACCTGCTTCACCTGTGAGTAGCCTTCCCAGCTTCGGCGCTTCCCCCGTCTCACCACTTTTTCCAACCTACGCGCTGCTTTTCATGCTTTTCAATTTTTCCACTTTCGTTTCTGTGGGTGGCTTCGCGGCTTTCGGTATCGATTGGTACCTTAATCCGAGATTTGGTTGCCATTGGTTCACCGAGTCTCACCGCTTCCACCCTGAACTTTTTCCACCTGTTATTGGTGGTTGCTTCATTTGTGCAGCTTACCTCTGGGCCCCTTATTCCCGAGTTTATATTATCATGTGTCCACTGGATCTTGAGGTTGCTGGCATATGCGGGCGTAGAGAGCTCTATCAAGCAACTACATGACTTTCAAGTTGGTGCTTGGTGGGGTCTTCTCAGCACGAAGCTGGAATTATCACCTGGAAAGAGGCTTGGCAAAGCATTCGCGTTGGTGTGAATGCTTCGCCAGCTTCGTATCTCTGGACCAGATCTGTCAAAGAAGCCGCGTGTATGCCCTTACTGCGTCGTCTTACTGACTCTGAGCCGGTGTGCCAGTGACACCTTGATCATGCCTTTCCCTCCAAACGTCGTTACAATTCATGAGCGCAAGAGTCTGACCAGAGATATTTAGGCGGTGCTGCTGGTCACCAGGTACGACTTGCTGAAGGATGTTACGATGCCTAGCCCTCGACTTACTGACTCTTTCTAGGCCCGCGAGTGCCCTAACCGTGGCGCCGCCAAGTGGTACGTTGATCTGATCCTATTTGTCTGATTTGCCCCATACTGACTTTCACATAGCTACAACTGCGGCAGTGAGTTTTGATGTATCTGTGTGTTGCCGACGAGATGACTGATTGACATTCGCTTTAGACGAGGGTCACATGAGTAAGTCCTTTTCGAGATGTTCATGAGATTGATTGTTGACTGACATCCTTCAAGGCCGTGACTGCCCCGAGGGCCCCAAGGACACCAAGTCCTGCTACCGCTGCGGCCAGGCTGGCCACATCAGCCGTGACTGCCCCCAGGGCGGCAACGTCGGTGGTGGTGGCCCCTCCAGCTCCGAGTGCTACAAGGTTCGCTTCGCCGTATCTTGAACGCGACGAATGCCAGTACTAACACGATATAACAGTGCGGTGAGGTTGGTCACATTGCCCGCAACTGCCCCAAGGCCGGCGGTGGCTACGGTGGCGGCTACGGTGGTGGTCACTCCGGCGGTGGTGGCTACGGCGGTGCCAGCCAGAAGACCTGCTACTCTTGCGGTGGCTACGGCCACATGTCTCGTGAGTACCCGAGATGGTTTCCAGATTGCCAACTTCACTGTGCTAACATACTACGAAGGCGACTGCACCAACGGCTCCAAGTGCTACAACTGCGGCGAGAACGGCCACTTCTCCCGCGATTGCCCTAAGGAGTCTTCCGGCGGCGAGAAGATCTGCTACAAGTGCCAGCAGCCCGGACACGTCCAGTCCCAGTGCCCCAACAACTAAGTATGCGATGACTATCGGCGATGAGTTGTCTGCCTTTATGGCAGATTCGGTTTCGAGACGGTTCGACGGCTTCGAGGCCTCCGTGGCTCACTTTTGCGATATCAACTAGGCATTGCGGATGCTTTGTACATTTCCTTTTTTCACCCCCGTCTTTTTTCGTCTTTTCTTCCTTGCTCTCATGTTCTCACGGCAAACAACTCTGGGACTCGGCCCGCGGAAAAGTTTTACACGGACAACGGCATATGAATCACGGCTTTTTCTTAACGCACCAAGATACACCTTTCGCATTGGGTCCGCTACAACCTCGGCAAAATGCGGGGTTTGGTTCGGATCGTTTGGATGACGATGGCACAGCAACGCAATAGGGAGACACAAGCTTTTGCGCTTACCTCTTCTCCGGTTTTCTTCTTATGGAAAAGAAACTGGGAGGAGGGGAGTGAGCAGGCAGAGTGGGAGGGCCTCTTTTTTGTGGGCCGGAATAGCTTTCGACCTCTGATAGACTTGGTCTTCGTTGCATCTGAGCAACGACGACCTGGGCAGTGTGGGCCGTTCTAAGCGGTCATGGCTGTCGTTCAGGGCAGGGAATGGAAAGTTTGCGTCGTAACCTCTTTTTTACTGCTCTCCAGTGTCCGTTACAGTGTCCGTGATGTGTGTGCGTCGTCCTGCTGGACTGTGAGCTTACCCGGCGTACTGATGTAAAGGGGTGCTACGGTCTCTCCAGAAGTACTTCTTTCTGCCTAACACAAGGAGCCCGAGGTGAATGTTGACGGTGAACGTTGAACGACCACGGCCAAAAGTCCCGTCCCAAACAGAAAAGACAAACTGTTTCTGAAACTTGGGGGTAAGCGCGTCGTCCCAACACTGGAAAGTCTCCCCGTTGTCAGACTCGCCGGGTGCAAACTTTGGATGCCGCGTTTGGATTTACATCCGTGCTGAGGTGTCAATGGGTAACGACTTTTCAAGTTATGTGCTCCGTACTTTTTTGTTTGTGTGGTCTGCTGCCCCTTGGGGGTTGTTGAGTGTCACATACTGTGAATTTGTGTGAAAGAGTTCTGAGGGCCTTTGAGATCTTGGGTGTGTGTGTGTGTGTTGACATTTCTCTAGATGTCCAATGTGGTGTATTTGACGCCTCTTTGAGAGGGCATCAAAGTATCTCAGGTGTAGATATATAATACTTGCTTTGGTCAGCTGCCCCCCTCGCGCCCCTTTTTCCATCTTGTCCCTTCGGGAAAAATGCAACGCAGCTAGCCCCACGTTCGAAACGAAACCCTATTATTGTCTGTCTACGTCTGCCGACCTTGCCTCTGACTTTGTCTTTGAGCAGAGCACACGGGTTGTCTCGTCTCGTTCCCGGTGTATATCCGAACTCTGTTCACCCTGTTCAAACTCACGAGAGAGAGGGAGGGGAAGAGGGATGGGATAGGGGATTGAGACTGGGGGAGAGGCAAGGTTCAGGTGAAGGATTAGCCGTGAAGGGAAGGGGGGAGGCTTGTTAACTATGAGGATTGAGGGGGTTATAGACAGGCGATCATCCAATGTTGAACTACTTTCTTTCGTTTTCGTCCAAGAAAAGGGTTTGTGTGAGGTGTTCCAGAATGATTCCTTTTACAGTACATATATATAGCTGACAAATGGGCACCCGGTTCTTCATCCCGTGTCCGTCACGAGGGCGGCGTCCCAGTGTAGTGTAGTAGAGTGCAGCCTATTCTCACAGCAACAAATAACCCGGAACGTAACACCGGTATCGTTTGTCCCTGCCCCAACGAAGTAATGCCCCTTTATAACCTCGACTTGGGCATAAACTTCATAGCCTGCCTAACTCCCAAGTCGCCCAACACCTCCTCCGCGCCACCAAGAATGGCATCAAACTTGTACGTGCGGTTGAACATCTCAATGACGCGGCCCATACCCGTCCGCGTGAGGCCGCGGCCGCCCCAGATCTGGACCGACTCGTCGGCGATCTCGTGCGCGGCGCGGGTGGCGCTCATCTTGAGGAGGCCGATGGGCCCGCCGAGGTGCTTTGCCTGTTCCTTGTAGGGCATCGAGTTCATCTGGTAGGTGATTGTTTCGAGCCAGGATTGGTGGGATTCTACGAGGGCAATCATCTTTGCGAGCCTGTTTTGAGATAGACATGTAAGTGGTAGGTCAGAGGGCAAAAAGGGGGCTTGAATACTTACTTGAGGCGGATGACGGGTTGGTCGATGAGACGCTTTCCGAAGACGAGACGCTGGGTTGCCCAGAGGAGAGACTCCTCTACCACAGCTCTGCATTGGCGGATTGTGGCACCTTGAAGTGTCAATGTCAGCTCATTTTACTCTCATGACAGCGAGGCTGGGCGTGCCATCCCGGAGACGAAGACTTACAGGCCATGGTCCACCGCTCGTGGTTGAAGTTGCTCAGAATGACGTGGATTCCCTTGTTCTCCTGGCCCAAAAGATTCTCCGCTGGAACCTTGACGTTATCAAACGTTATGTAAGTCGTTCCTGCGGCAGCTGAATAGGATGTCTTGATAGCCTTGGTTTCAACCCCTTCGCCTCTCTCTATCAGGAGGACGCTTAAACCCTTGTCTGTCTTCACGCCAGTAACAAAATAATCAGAAAAAATTCCGTTAGTAATCCATTTTTTGGTTCCATTGACGATCTATTCCATGGTTTAATTAGTTAATGATCAACTTGTGTTGTGGTGTTGTGGTTGTAATTGTGCTGGTTGCAGGAGTTGACGGGAATAGAAAATTGCAGACTCACGTAATGTTTTCCGTCTGGCGTCTTCACAGCTGTGGTTGTCAATCCTGCGACATCACTTCCGGCAAAAGCCTCTGTGATGGCCAAGCAAATCTTCTTTTGGCCGCTGAAGACCTCGTCCGAGATGCGCTTCCGCAGCGACTCCGAGTTCGCAAAGTTGAGAACAACAGGCAGGCCAATCGTCATACCCGCAAGCATACCGTCCTGAAAACCGCGGCAGTTGGTCCGGGCCATCTCTTGGCTGAGAATCATGTCGTGGAAGTAATCAAACTCCTCGCCCTTGACCGCGCCGTTCAGGAGTTCAACGCCATGCAGGTGCTTGCCAGGCCCGAGGCGCATGTGCAGCACGCCAGCCTTGGACATCTTGTCGATGAGCTCCTGGGGGATGTGCTCGCCCTTCTCCTCGCACTCAAGAGCCACGGGGGTGATGTGCTCGTCGGTGAACTTGCGAATGGCCTTTTGCAGGGAGCGGTGCGAGTCGTTGAAGTAGGGGGACTTGAACTGCGGCGTGAGCCAAGTAGGCTCAGCGTACGGCACGGGAGACAGCTCGCCGGGGCCGGTGACGACGACCTGGGGCTTCTCTCCCTCGACAGTGCCGATGACGAGGGTCTTGTCGTACTTTGTGAGGACCTCCTGACGGTGGAGGTTGTAGAACTGGGTTGTGGCGTCCTGGCCTGCGACCTGACGGAGGACGGCCTCGCCACCGGGGTGACCCATGGCGAAGTCAGTCAGATCATAGACCTTAGAGTCGATGATGCACCAGAGGGAGTCCTCCGTGTTGTTCTTTGCGACCTCATCGCGAGAGAACGTCTTTGCGGCCATGGTGGGCGGTTTGGAGTTCGTGCTTGGACTCCTTTATTATTCGGACTAAAGAGGAAGAATCGAAGGGACAAGCTAACGGCGGGGTCTAGCAGTCGAATTGGAGGCTCGATTCGTCTACGGTAGATGGGATATCCGTCGAGGTAGGAGGAGGAGGAGTTGAGGTTGGTTCTCCAGAGTGCGGGTTCACGAGGATAAAGAGAGAGTTCGAGCAGGTCGCACCGGCGGTCAGGTCATTCTAGTTGAGGAGGCAGTGCGTCTCTCGGTTGACATCGGTCTGGGGGCTTAGGGGGAATGGACGGCGTCCAGCCATGTCTGGAAATCGTGCCGCGAGCCTCGGCTCTTGTGGAGCGTGGGCGACCTTCCGGGTTCGTGCTGATATTCGGCGGAGCTGTGATTGGACGGCGGGCGGCTGGGGAATGAGACGGCGTCTGGGGGATGCCATTTTAGCCTGGCCGGGGGGCAGCGGGGGCACATCGAGGATTAGAAGCTTTGTGTTTGCACTTTGGAGTCTACCGCGGCCTTTGTTGACTAATCACTCCAGAGTCCAATGAAACCAAAAGACCCTCAATAGAAATTGACTTTTGTTGTTTGATGGTAATTCAAGGGAAATCCTGCTGCGTAACTTTGCTCCGAAGTAGACATGATCGCTGGTTGAGACGTCTGAAAGGCTGCGCGACGCGACGGAGCCCCCTGTTGATGCTCCCCACAAACGCGGGAAGCTTTTACCCCGCAGAGGGGCCATCTCCCCCGTACAGTTGCATCCCTCAAGTCATTAAGGAGATTCCAAGGTCAGAGGGCCCCTTTCAGTAAACAGAAATTCGGCCGAGTCTGCTCACACGTAGCGGCTCAACCATAAGCCATGAGGCTCCAAGCGCTTCATGGGCATACGATGTCAATAATGCAACCTTCCAGAACAATTAATCAAGAACGTGTATGTTGCAACTCGTAGCTTGAAGAGGTTAGCCCCAGAGCTCTCAGTGTCTTCAGTGATCAGACGGCGAACATTACGCTGACCTTGACATCAGACCATGCGACTAACCTTGATGAACATCAGACTGTCGTAGGTAGGCGAATATATCCCTTGTGAACATCTTCTTTCCTGCTTGTGTATCGTAGACACGAGTAAGTCCGCTTTCTCCTACTTGGCTGGTCCCTGGCTCTTCATGGCGTGATCTCATCCCAGCACATCGGTCCAAGCCGGTTTGTAGGTACGACTCGGATCATACGCAAAGTTAAACATGGCCAGTGCAACCACAACATGCGCACTCGCCCAGAGTGGAAGAATGACGTCCACGGGCTTTGGGATCCCGTATCGATTACTAGTTGTGAGGTGCATTCGGGCCCATCGGGATATCTCCAGAGTCCACAGGACCGTTCCGATTTTCCAGGCCCATTGACTGGCAGAACCTTGGGCGTTGAAGTTGATGATACCGTTGGCCTGTATCACTGCCACCTCCTGGCACTTTTCTCCCATGGCAAGCACAAGTCCAGTTGGCCATATGACGTTTCCAACGCCATACAAAACGTCCAAAAAGACTTGCAGCATCGAAAGATGCTTTTTGTAGGAACGCAAGCCGCAGAAGATACCTGACACGATGCTGCCAAGACAAGCCGTTCCGAACATGCTAATTATAACGGCATGAAAGTGCCTCATGTATGCTCCAGTAATAGTTTCGACCAAAAACCATCCTAACAGCAAGTGGGAGGCGATAATGGCCAGAGCTTGTCTCAAAGTTGTGCGGCTGTCTCGAGGTTGGTCGTTCTCGTCCATAGCCGCACCGCTCTCAAGTCTAAGGAGCGGGAAGTGGACCGGAGGACGGAGTCGACTCCCCGCAACGGCTTCGACCAGCCCGATGACCCTGTTCCGGCTCTCCGCGGGTCCGGCTATCCATACGAGGCCGAGCAACAACTCATCGCAGAGGAAACTGGCGAGATAGATGGATGCTAGAAATTGAACCCAGAAGGTGCCCTGGCAAGCGTATAATTTGGTTGCCTGTAATAAAGGGCCCAAGATGAAGGCGACAATACGGATCAAAGTGTTGCGCTGCAAGTTGGCCACGTCACTATGGGAGATATCTATTTCTGTGTCGTATTTGTGCAGTGCGACAACTAGAGTCCATCTAGAGTCGCGGCGGTGGAGGCGGAGGCAGCTGAGGGCTTCAAGTGAGTTTATGACGCAGACAACGGGCGACCACCTGAGGCAAAAGCCCCATTCCGAGGGGAACCCGCAGATCTTCCCGCACGGCTGGGTCGCGGTATTGAGGACAAGGGCGAGGAGGGCCCAAAAGGCAGATTGCCATGACAGGTGATTCCCTGAAGTGTCTGCGGGTGGTGATGGCTGGAATGGCTGGCTGTCATCCTGCGACTGGCCGGCACCGATGTGCACTAGTAGAAAGACAAGGAGGACGAGTGATGATGGCGTCGGCATCGTGACCTTGGGGATGAGGCTCTGTCTGGTCAGGCCCGGCAAGTGGGAAGGAAGATTGGTAGTCCGTGGTCCACACCCCGAAGAACTAGAGGATACGCAGTAATAGAAGGAATCTAGAAAGATGGCATGATCGGCGGTAATGTGTCCTAGTCGCGGTCAGCGAGGCCCGATTGGGCGTGTAAAAGGGCCTATCAGCATCAGGTGTGGCTCCTTTGAGGAAAAGATGCAGCAAGTTGGATGTTGGCACTTGGCATTGTGTTTGCTGTCAAGGTAGGTCAGAAAGCTTGAGGGTATCGTCGGCTCCTCTTATTTGCAGTTTCAGTGCGTTTCCTGGCGAAGCATCGAGTCAGTTGGTCGGCATCGTGACAGGGTGGGCATAACAAGACGTGTGTCAGTCGAGGAGAGGTTCAGGTAGGCGGCGAAGAGGGATGCGGTGGTGACAAGGTGGAAGGGGAGAGCATGGAAGGGTGGAAGGGTACTTCTCTCGCAGTGAAGAAAAAAAAAAGAGCGGAGAGTGTTGGATGGAGATTAAGGTGGAGGAATGACGCTGTCGGTGGAGAAGGAGCAGTGAAGTGTCACCGGTCCCAAAGAGAAAGTGCCCCTCGTTCCTTTTCGTCCACACTTTCCTTCATTCTCAGCCCTTCCTGCCATTCTCTCTTGAGCAGTTTCTCTGAGGAAGGTACGGAGTCTCCATACAGAGAGCACGGAAGGTATTAATTGAGGTACCTTGAGGTAGGTAGTCCTTTCCCTGCTGTTCGTGGAAGTGTACGGAGTTGGTAGGTACCTTAGCCAAGTAGCATTTTCATTTCTCACGACGGAACACTCTTGCGCCGTCTACCTGACGGGTTTCCCACGAGGTTCCACCATTTCCAGTTCCACCGCACACCAGTACAACTTTCATTATCCGATCCCGCCCTTTCCTGGCAACTGGGATCTGACCCAAGACCAAGACCCAGCAGGAAAGACCCTGAACGCCCAGGTTGACTGCCAAAAAATTCATGACGGGAGCTGCAGCTCACCGAAAATCCAGATTGGAACCAAACCAGCAACCTCAACCTTCTCCCATTCTCTCATCCGGGCTTCTTTCTCTCTCCCGTCTTCCCTGGGCGTTTCTCGTCTGCGTCTGCGACTTCTTTTACGCCTACGCCCACGCCCTCGCCCCTCGTTCTTCTCTGCCTCTTTCCTTCGTTATCCCGGATGATATCGAGGCTTAGCGTGCGTGCAGTCTCCCCCGCCCGATCGTGTATTGCATTGTAAGTTCCAAGTTCTCATCGTCGATGCCGATGTTCTCCTTAGTATCTTGTTCACACTGCCCTCTACCTCTCAATTTCCTCAATTCATCCTTTAATTCTCTCTCTTCCGCCCCTCCTTTCCCCGTTACACAAACACGAAAATGCCCTACACCGTTTCCCGTAAGTGTACCTGGCACAGCCAACGGTCGATTCTTCCCCGCGGAAAGCCTCAAGAGCAATGGCGTCGCTGAACCAGTCGTGGGCAAGCGTCATTACGTTCCACGTGCTGGTGGCTTAATTATAAGTCGAGCCAAAATGCACAAAAGCGTCCTGTCGGAATACAACGGCGTCTACCCCCAGCTACTTGTTTGGACCATCCGTTACGCCGCTTCTACGCGAGCCTAGTCGGCGACAGTCCCGAGTACTTACTTGTTATTGCCATTGCCTCAAGAGGGGAAAGGTGATCTGGAGGTGTAGTTGGAACTTGCTGTGCGTTGAACAGCATCTGCATGAGAACCTTTGTCGGAAGAAAGAAGATTAAAGTGGTTTTGGCAAGCTGCAGATTCTGGAATGGCAAACATCCAATGTCCCCAGTCTCTTCCATCCTCTGCCACCTTCTTCGTCCGATGCGCCTTTCAAGTCTTTCATGAACCTGTTCAGCTACGCAAGGTATCACTCTCACCTCCAATCGGTACTACTGCATGGCGCATACCTTGGCTTAATCAAAGGCACTTCCGTCATCAACCTACCTTACAACCTACATGGGGAACCCGTCACCTTCACCTTACCTTATCTGGACTCTCCTCGCGCTTAACCTTCCCGGCCGCCGCATCCAGATCCACGGGTCCTGTTATATACCAACTTTACCACCCTGGATCCTGACCAGAGCGTCTTAGCTGTTGCGAGCTAGACATTTCACCACGTTCCTCCTCTCCCTTCTCATCCCCACAATCTTTCTGCTGCCTCTTCCGCCTGACCTTTTCCCCCAACCCACAAGATCGCAATAGCTCCTTTTTCTCTGTCTCACTCGGTCTGGGGTTCTCACAAAACCAGACGTGGGCTCATATCCTGTGACTTCACTTGTTTCTGCTGTGGATCAGCACTGAACCAGCAGCGTTGCGGCATAGTTCGCCCGCGCTCCCCCCAGTTAATCAACTTTCGTGACCAGATTGTCAAATACTACCACAATACCCTCACTCTCTTTCTGTTGCATTTTCTCGAAGACTTGCCGCCATGGACGCTTACTCAGTCTCTTACACCAGCCCTGCCAACCGGAGGACATCTCGCATTTACCAGGATTTAGAGTCCTGCCGAGCCCAAAGCCTTTTTGGGTCCGGACAAGACAAGCTGTTGCTTAGATCGCTGACCATGGACTCACTTCTGCGGGTAAGTCTGCTGCTTCCTGTCAACCACGTGCCCAATACCATTAGTGGGACGCCTCGGACCGGGGCCACCGACTGTCTCTTTTGACGCGATGTGCAAACCCGTCCGATTCTTACCACGACCGTACCTTTGCCAGTATACACGCCTTAGTGTATAAGACGAAAGTTACATGTCAATGTTCGTCAAGGTAGTTTTCTCCTGACACGTCACAGCGCAAACAATCAGAGTCGGGTCCAAGACCCCATATTGCTGTCATCGGTGCTGGCCTCGCCGGTCTGCGCTGCGCTGATATCTTGATACAACATGGCCTGCTGGTGACCATTATCGAAGGCCGAGAACGACTTGGTGGGCGTATGTTCCAGGAAACGCTGCCCAACGGCCACACTGTAGACCTTGGTCCGAATTGGATACACGGAACAGACGACAATCCCATCAATGACTTGGCCAAAGAAACTGGAACTGCCGTGGGAAGCTGGGATCACCGGTCGTATGTGTTTGATGATTCGGGAAGCTTGTTCAAGCTGGACGAGAGCGAGATCTACTCGAGTTTGATGTGGGACATTGTTCAGGATGCCTTCCAACACTCCAACAAGAACACCGCCACTATACATCCCGATGAGAGTCTTTGGGACTTCTTCCAGGAAAGGGTGGTTGATAAAATCCCCGATACCGAGGAGAACTTTGCTGAAAAGCGAAAAACCGTTCTCCAGATTGCAGAGCTCTGGGGCGCTTTTTCCGGCAGTCCGATCACAACCCAAAGTCTAAAGTTCTTTTGGCTTGAAGAATGCATAGACGGAGGTGAGATTGATTCTGATCTGAAGTCCTGCAGACTTCTGGCTAACTTGCGGAAGAAAACTTGTTCTGCGCTGGTACATACGAAAAGATCTTTGAGCGAGTTGCAGAGCCCGTCAGACACAATGCCGATGTCAAGTACGATACTATCGTTACCAAGGTGGAGCTCAAAACCGAGGAGCGTCCGAAACCGAGGATTCACACCAACACGGGCGAGATTTTGGAGTTTGACGACGTAGTCATGACAACACCCCTGGGCTGGCTGAAGAAGAACCTTCAAGCATTCGAACCACCGCTACCCGAGAGAGTCGAGCGTGGAATTCAAGCCATCGGATATGGATGTCTGGAGAAGGTCTACATCAGCTTTCCCAAAGCGTTTTGGCTGGAGCCCGACGCAGAGGGCCGCGTGGTGCAGGGCTTCTGCCAATGGCTTGCGCCGACATATGCTCAAGAGACGAACCCAAAGAGATGGAATCAGGAAATTGTTGATCTTGCCTCGATGGGCGAGCACTCGCACCCGACGCTCTTGTTCTACATTTTCGGAGACGAGTCCAAGTACATTACCGAAGGCGTGTCGAGGCTGAAGACGATACCGGAGAGAAACTATTTCTTGTATGACTTCTTCAAGCCTTACTACTCCCGTCTGCCACATTACGATGAGAATTCGCCCGATTGCAAGCCGACGGGGAGTCTGTCGACAGACTGGCTACGAGACGATTTGGCGGGCAACGGCAGCTACAGCAACTTCCCAACCGGATTGTTGGAGGGCGACAAGGACATTGAAGCGATGCGGGAAGGCGTACCGGAAGGCGGTCTGTGGCTGGCGGGCGAACACACGGCGCCGTTCGTGGCGCTAGGGACGGCGACGGGAGCTTACTGGAGCGGTGAGAGTGTCGGCCGAAGGGTTGCCGAGGCCCATGGGCGGGCGAGCAGCAAGATTCTGGAAGAGGGCCAGTAATCGGGATACTGAACGAGCCGTCTCGTACTCAGCCTTGATGTGGTAGTTATGTGGCTCGAAATTGGGCGATTCAAATGGCGCATCCTGCATGGCCTGTTGGTTGATGGAGTCACTGGTGGTATCTTGCATTATGGCCAGGGCCTCTCCGTACCGGGGTGCCTTTGGTGCTGCATTCTCTTTTGTTGTAGATGAGATGATCCACGACGATGACGGCTGTCATTTGATTCTTCAACGAACTATTTACAATGAGTATATTTTTTTTAGGGGCGAAGACTTTGGGCTTCTGGGTTTGCATCTGAGCGCCGATGGTCTGAAACAATGTCACTCTGATGAAATAGGCTGGGGTAACACTAGGCAGAAGGTCGTTTCTCTGGCTTTGTTTTCTGCTCTTTGTTAATTTCGAGTCTTGTAATGGGGATTGTGTTGAAATTTGGCTAAGACATAAAGGAGTAGGTATTAGACATTGATGGCTGTGGAATGTGGGGCCTGTCTGCCACTCATGACAACTTCACATGCAGAAGAGAAAGACAAAGCATGTAATAAGGTACCTGGGTATGCATGCTTCTGTGTACCCAGCTTGCCAAACCCCAAGACGGACTGAAGCATTCTTTTGACTGGGATGCTAGGTGAGGTACTGTAGGGCCTACAGAATAAGCCCATCATGGGAAGAAACTGTAAGAGAAACATTTCTGGTGATGAAGGTTCTGTGTTCGCGTTTGGTGTTTGGAGAAAACCTGTATACTAGGCATAGAGGTAAGGTACGTACTGAGATGGGGATAAGGCGTGGCGGGTTCTGCATCAATCAGGTGGAACAGACGCACGGCTCACTGCACCACCATGGAGGGTACATTCCTCACAGTCACAAGTGATGACCTGAAGCCCCTCCTCTCCCCTCCCGAGTGGCCCCCAGTAGCCCCCAGTGATGCTTGTGTGGTCCCCCCAACATGGAATCATCCTATCGGCTTCAGCCACGGTCATTCCTCCCACTGCCACCTTATCGATAAAGGCCATTTTGGAGCAAGTCAACTGATAGAGGACCCCTGCACACCCTGTCGGTGACGGTGACGTGAACCCGGCCAGAGTCACGCGCTGTTAGAGGCAGTGGGGGGAACCAATCTCTAGTGCATTTGCTTGGCTGGGAGTGGACGGGAGTGACCTGGATGCCTGTGTCCCGCCTTTCCTCCTCTTCATTGCGGCATGCTTCGTTACTCTGCTCATGCTCATGCTCATGCTTTTGTGTCTAAGGCAGACCTCCTTTTTGCCTCCCGTCTGTACGTCTGTACGTCTATACGGCCCAGTCAACAAGTACCCTTTGCCTCACCTTACCTTAGTCACGGCCTGCCTCATCACAACGTCCGGGCATCACTGACCTATCTGCCTTAGGTTCTACCCTTCTGTCACCACCACCCACTGCCGCTGTCCAAGAGCACCTCACACCAAGGTCTCTCTGCATTTGCCTTTGCCCAACTAAGGCGCTTGGGTCCAAACTTGAACGACCTTATACCTTCTTGCCCTTCTTGTTTCTCTTCCTCCTTGTACATTTCCAAGCTCTTTCATTCCACCTCTCCGGCCCTTGTCGGCCTTTGCCTCCTCACTTGTACCTAGTTACAACTCCATCTACGATCTATCTCGACATCTGAACCTCCGTAGTAGCGATACCTTTCTCTGGATGACCAGCACATCATGAACTACGTCCCCGCCTTGAGCAGGGTGTCTTCTGAAAACACGGCGATCGCAGCCTGCCATACCCATGCTCGGTGAACCGCAGCCTATTGACCTCCGAATTCGCTCCAAAGACCAGCGTAGCTTCCTACATCCTGCAACCTAAGGACCACATCCGGCCAACCTATTGTAACTTGGAGAGGCCATCCTCCTCCTTCCTACCTTACTCCTCCGAGACCTCCAAGCCGATCGATCGATAAACCAATACCGTCGCTCTTCTCCCCCCAAGCGAGCAACCCGCCGAAGGTTGCGAATACCGAGCTCAACATGGCGACGATATTCCAGAGCTTCAGAAGCTCGACTCTGTCGAAGCGCCTACTCATCTACGCCCTCCGGCGTCTGGAACTGCTAGACGAGGAGACGCTGGATATGGAAAACCTGCAGTTTGCGCTGGGCAGGACAACAACGGCAGAGTTCAAGGATGTTGGAGTGCGCCTCAAGGTATGTCCCGTACTGCAGTCAACCACTTGATGTAAGGTGCCATGACCAAAGCCGGAGGGCTAACAAGATCCTGTGTACGCCTTTAGAAACTCGAACGACTTCTCCAACTCCCCACTTCGTTCCAGGTCCAGAAAGCCAAAGTGCTGAAACTCAACGTTACCATTCCGGTCGACTTTTACACGAGCCCTATCATTATCGAAATTGATGGTGTTGACGTACGATTGAAGGTGTCAACTCTCGGCGACGACAAAAAGACAAAGGCCGCGACGAGGAGTGACTTTGCTCAGGGCCTACCGAATACGGTCAACCTAGCGCAGTCGTTCCTGAACGAAGATGCGGCGCTCAAAGATGCAAAACTTGCCGAAGAGAAGAGGAGGCTGGAGGATGCTCTTGCAGCCGAGACACAGGATCTAGGCGGTTCCACAATGAGCGAAAGCTCGATGAGCGATGACGGGAGCCAGTTTGGTACAGGGCAGCCGTTGTCTTTGCCGGGTTTTCTGGCCGGGTTTCTTCAGGGCATCGTCGACCGCATCCAAGTGCGCATCCGAGGGGTCACGTTTCAAATGGACGTCGAAGTTCCGCTCGAGCCGACCTCGACAACGCCGGAGCTCGTCACTTTCCAGCTCGCGCTAGATCGCATAGACGTCGAAGGTGTTACCGCGGAGGCGCACAACGACGAAGGTGCGCCGACGATTGTGCCGAAAGATGGGAAGCGGCACATTGCACTATCAAAGATACGGGCCTATCTGATTTCAGAGGCGACCGTCTTCTCGCAGTTTGCACGCTCTCCATCCGTGTCATCGCCATCCATTTCTCAATCACCATCTTTTAGCGAGCGCACCTCAGCATCGAGGCACAGCACCTTCCGACCAACCATGCAGGAGAGCTTCCTGTCCGATTCAGCAGACTTGTCTGAGGTTGACGATGCGCTACTACAGGACAGCGAAGAAGCCTTTAATATCCCGTATGATTTCTCGAGTCAATCAGAGGAACAAGCAGAAGAGGATGAACCGACAACGCCCAGGGCATCGATATACCAAGACTTTTCCCCTCAGAGACACATTCCACTATCCCAGTCCACTATCCAAGGAGACGAAGATGAGCCTGTCCCGTGGGCCAGTCTTCAAAGAGAAGCGAGGTCAGAACCGTCGCTGCAATCAGCAGACAATGACATGCTAAATGACGTGGGTTATTTCGCACCTACCGAGGCGTTGCAACAATCTGTTGCAGCTTCTCAGGTCTCGAGCTCTGGCGAGGTCGATGATTTGGCGCAATCTCACGTGTTCACCCACGAAGAAGCTGAGAGTATGTACATGAGTGCCTTTTCGCAGGCCGAGCCAACCGGATCGCGGATGCCAGGAGGATGGGATGCGGATTCGAGCCCAGAGGCTTCGCCCAAGCTCAAAAAGTCGAGCCCCGTGCCGAGACAGCAAACTCCACCAGCATTCGAAGCTGCTTCGAGCATTCCGGAGTCAAAACCTCTTGACAATATGGATGCGCCGGCATCTCAGAGGTCTCAGTCGCCGCCTCCGGCAGATCAGCCGGATCTCAGATTCGAGGACGCAAAGGAGCCCCTACCAGCGAGTTCCACTTCCACACGGGATGAGTTCGAAGATGCGCCAGCACCTGCAGACGACGTGGCAACCCCAAGAGGACCCACGAGACTGGTCAAAGAACTTGTTTCGCTACAAAACATTTCCCTCTATGTTCCATCGCTGCACCAGCACATACATGTGCCAGCCGATGCCCAAGCCTCCGTTCTGAGCCAAACACCAGGGTCACCTGGCTTGGCGAGGTCAGTCGCGCCTCAACTTCCCGGAGCGTTCTCCGTCTATTCCCCTCCGTCAGCGTCGAGGTCGGGCTTCGCACCAACGCCAACCGATCTTCACTTCACCGAGCCAGAGAATGATGGGGCGTTAGAGGTTCTTCTGTCGCCTTTGGAAATCAGATTCGACGCTTCACTGGCATATCTACTTGCGGTCGTAGCTGGAAAGTTGCTGGATGCATTGAAGAGTAAAGACAGTCCTGCTGCCGCTCCAAAGACGGCTGCAAAGCCGCAGCAAGAATCGACGATGCCCGATATCAACATTGTGTTTGAAAAGATTTCACTACATTTTCTTCACCAACTGGGTGGTGTTGCTGATACAGCCGAGAGAATACTGGGCTCTCCGAGTTTGCAGATGCAACCCGAGATTCTCCTTCGAACGGATCTCGATAAACTTAACATATCCCTCAAGTCATCGAAGAAGGGCCTCGAAACGACCGTGGATCTCGAAAAGTTCCGCTTCGGCTACGCAAGAGACGATATCATCTCATTCGACCAGAGCCTCCAGATGAGAGCCTCTGTTATGGACAAGTTTCCTTCAGCCGGCTCTGATGTGACTGTGAAAGTAGTCAAGTCGGCCGAATCAATTCGGACTGAAGTAACTACTTTGCCATTACTGATACAGCTCGATTTGCAAAGACTAGACGAGACATTCAGTTGGTTTGGTGGCTTGAGCAGTTTCCTTAACATGAGCTCCTCAATGTCATCGAATGCGTCACCGTCCGTCAGAGCACCAGTACAACCACCCCCCAAGCCTCGAGGAGTTCGATTTGATGCTCCAATCAACCCGGACGACAAGTCGGCCTCAGCAGAAAACAAGATTGATATGCGAATAGGTGGCTTCAATCTGGAACTGAAGGGCAGAGAATGCAGTGTTGGTTTGGAGACGAGTGCAGTCAAGATGGTAAGCCGAGATTTGGGAATCGGTTTCGCAATCAGCAAAGTGCGTCTGGCAGGGCCATATATCAGGAATTCCCGAGCAGAACCGCCCATTTCTGCCGAAATTGGAGGTGTACGCTTCGAGTACCTCGCGACGCCCAAGGACAAGGATCTCGAAAGGCTCCTCGAACTCATCATCCCGTCCAAGGTCAAGTTCGACCAGGGCGATGACGAAATCATGGTGGACACGCTCCTACGACAAAGGCGCAAGGGCGGAGTTCTGCGGGTGACTTTCGACCAGTTGAACGTAAGGGTCGATCGCATACATCAACTGAACTGCCTCCCCGCGCTAGGCGAAGAGGTTGCCCGACTGGCGACCGTTGCAAAATACCTCCCAGAAGATGACAGGCCTGGCATCCTGCTTCTGGCTGAGATCAAGGAGCTCGGTGCGGTCATCGACTTGGGCGGCAAGCTCGGCATGATCAATGCGAACCTGAAGAACTTCGAAGTCGCTCAGATTACAGTCCCCTCGCTAGTGGCATTCGGCGTCCATGCCGTCTCCGTGAATCGCAACCACCGAGAAGAACTCGTGAGCTCTTCAACAACATTGCCGCCTGGAACGCTGACCCAAGGCCCCGTCCTCATGGTACGCATGATTGGAGACGAAATGGAGCCGGTGATCAAAATCAAGATGCGCGATATCACAGTCGACTACCGAGTGCCGACGATCATGGATATCCTTGGACTCGGGGAGGATGCTACACCACAGGATTTCGAAGCCAGCCTTGCCGCCTCTGTGGCCAATCTCGGCGAACAAGCACACTCTGCCTTGACCGGCAAGAAGCCTCAACCCGCCCGCGTGACTGACCCTGCCCGACCGAATAGTAAGCCTATGACGGTCGACTTGGTCTTCCGCGACTGTTTGATTGGTCTTAACCCGCTGGGGCTACCCTCAAAACTCCTCATCGCCCTAACTGATGCTCGGCTTCAAGTGGTTCTTCCAAAAGACGTGGATACCACGGCCAATTTGGATCTCAACAAGGCCTCGATCTTACTCATTGATGACATTACTAACATAGGGGCGAGCTCTACCATAAACCGTCGGCAGTCCGCGGATATGTCTTCCCAACAGGTCTCGCGACTTGTTTCTCAAGGCTACGTGAGCATCTGCTACATCTCATCTGCAAAGGCAGTCGTCAAGGTGTCGGAAAGCCGTGACGATGGTGAAAAACATGTCGATGTCGAACTTCGTGATGATCTACTTGTACTGGAGACATGCGCCGATTCGACCCAGACCCTCATCACTTTGGCCAACGCGCTGACGCCACCTACTCCACCGAGCAAGGAAAACAAGTATCGCACGTCAGTCGTCCCTGTGCAGGATCTCTTGGCTTCGATTTCTGCCGAGGCTTTTGGGCGAGCAGAAGGCGATTATGACTTTGACAAAGACTTTGAGCTCGCTCAGGAGCTCGGGGGCAGTGATGAAGACGATATGTCAGGCGATGGCAGCCCATTACAAATTGACTCAAGATACTATGAGGACGCCGGCCCCTCGGAGCCCCTCTTCGACGCTGAGGGCTCCATCACATCGAATGCTACAACGACTCAAGATACACATGACGGGGTCTTGCTTACGAGTTTCAATGCAAGTGCATCACACCATTCCGACGACGGCAGCGACCTGGTGATACACGAGAATTTCTTCGATAAGGGACCCGAGACCGACGGTAGAGCCCAGGTTTGGAACTCGTCGAAGAACAGCTATGACCAAGCGCCGAAGGAGCTTGTTAAGAGAAGCCCACTTCGAGTTTCGGTCCGCGACGTGCACGTCATTTGGAATTTGTTCGATGGATACGACTGGGAACGCACGCGCGATGTCATCTCCAAGGCTGTACGAGATGTCGAGGACAAGGCCTACGAACGCCGCCGCAGATCAGAGCGTGCTGTCTTTGAAGACGATGCCGAGGAAGATGAGACAGTAATTGGGGATTTCCTCTTCAACTCCATCTACATCGGCATCTCCACAAAACAAGATCCCCGAGAGCTCGCGCAGATGGTCAATCAGGAGTTGAATGACAACGCCACGGAGACCGAGTCTCTCGCGACAACAGCCTTCACAACTACGACCGGCCGAACGGGAGCAGCCAGGCCCAAGAAGAGATTGAGGCTGAACCGGAGCAAGCACCACAAGATCACGTTCGAGTTGCAGGGAGTCAATGTTGACCTGATTGCCTTCCCACTTGACTCTGGCGAGACTCAGAGCTCTATCGATGTCCGGATCCAGACTCTGGATGTGTTTGACCACGTCCCAACCTCAACCTGGAAGAAGTTTGCAACCTATGACCAAGACGCTGGCGAGCGGGAGATGGGCACCAGCATGGCCCACCTTGAATTGCTCACCGTTAAGCCGCAGCCGGATCTTGCAGCTTCAGAGATGGTTCTGAGAGTCACTCTTTTGCCACTTCGACTCCATGTTGACCAAGATGCGCTCGACTTCATTACGAGGTTCTTCGAGTTCAAGGACGACAGCGCCCCCGTCCACAGTTCGACAAGCGATGTACCGTTCCTTCAGAGAGTTGAGGTTCACGACATTCCTGTTAAGCTGGATTTCAAGCCCAAGCGAGTCGACTATGCAGGCCTCAAATCGGGCCGAACTACGGAGTTCATGAACTTTATCATCTTGGACGAAGCACGTCTGACACTGAGACACACCATTATTTATGGTGTTTCTGGTTTTGACAGAATGGGCAAGATTCTCAATGATATCTGGATGCCGGACGTCAAGGGCACTCAGTTGGCTGGTGTTCTCGCAGGCCTCGCGCCAGTGAGAGGCATTGTCAATATCGGTAGTGGATTCAAGGAGCTTATCGAGGTCCCGATCAAGGAGTACAAGAAAGACGGACGAATCGTTCGAAGCATTGGAAAGGGCGCAGCGGCGTTTGCTCGCACCACCGGCACTGAGATGGTCAAATTCGGAGCCAAATTGGCCATCGGAACGCAATATGCACTGCAGGGCGCCGAGGGCCTCCTCAACAAGCCCCAGACTGACAACACGTGGGAAGAGGCTGATCTCGATCCAGAAGAGAAGAAGCAGATCTCTCTGTACGCGGATCAGCCCACCGGTGTCATTCAGGGCTTGCGCGGGGGCTACTCGAGCCTGACGAGAGACTTGAACATGGCCCGCGATGCCATCATTGCGGTTCCGGGCGAGGTGATGGATAGCTCAAGCGCGCAAGGTCTCGCCAAGGCCGTATTGAAACGGGCGCCTACCATTATTTTCCGGCCGGCCATTGGAGCTACCAAGGCCATCGGACAGACGCTCATGGGCGCGACGAATAGCCTGGACCCGCAGAACAGGCGGAGAGCTGAGGAGGTGAGTTACCTGGAACCGCGTTGTGTTGTCGTCAGGATGTCTTTACTAACTCTGCGATTAGAAATACAAGAGGCATTAAAGATTCCTGTGGAGATTCTTTCTTTACAAGGAGTGCACACGCACCACATACACCAGATACCAGGAATAAGGCATTCGGGACTTTTTCACTGCCAACTCCCTTTTTTCAATTGTTTATTGAATTTGACTACGGCGTTGTCGTCAAACCGACAATCCCCATACGACCGCATGAGATTGCATCATAGACTGGCGAAGGAGGACTTTCCATCTTTTATTCGTCTCACAGAGTCTCAAACAGGTTGCAATTTCGCGAAATGGTCATCATCATTAGTTTGGGCCTTTGTCTCTTTTCTTTCTTTTCTGTCATTGATTCAGCCTGGGGACCTGGGGAATTTGGGAATGGGAAAGGTTTTCTGATTTTGTTGTTTGGGGGGAGGGGGAAGGGGAGGAGGGGAAGTAGTTGGAGCGAAAAGAGGGTTGTAGACTGTCTTTTGAATCATCGTAGTGCCGTAGGAAGGTATTCACAATATTATGTTCAAGCCTCATTGAGCTCTCTCAAAAGTTCGTCTGTGAGAGGAAGGTGACTTTCGCATCGTCGGCGTGTCTTGACGGGAGATAATCACCGCGACGATAATCGGCGTTTTCTGATGCCGGAATCTCGGAAACCGATGTTTCTCCACAGGGGGAGGGGTACGAAGTACCTATTCCGTAAGGTAAGGTAGCCGTGGTACGGAGTAGCTTATGCAAATACCAACAGATGCGCCTCGCTCTTGCGCGCGTGCAGAGTGCACATGCTGGATGCAGCTGGCTGCTGGGCTAGGTGGCCCAGGATCGCAAAAGCACGTCAACGGGCGTCGAGCTCTGTCATTGGTTGCGCCGTCCGATCTAAGCTGCGCGTTGACGAAGCTCCGTGGCTCCCTACAAGGGTTTGGGGGATTTCCCGAAGCTCTTTGCGCAGTTGCGACAAGTTCTCTTGCGACGCTGGGAGCTCTGATTATGAGCAGCAATGAAAGGTAGCAATCTGCGCAGCGTCGTGGAACGAGAGTAGATGCGGGTGTCGGGAATCGGGGACGGAGACAGCTTAACAATCACGACACATTGCTGAAAATAGGGCTGACAATGTTGCAATCGTTTTGTTGAGAAGTGAGTTAGTTGTTGCCCAGCCCTTTGTTTGCTCCAGGTCCGGTCCGGGAAACAACGCAGTTGCATTAGGTTAGAGGTGTCAGATGCAGGGATGAACTCTATGATAAGTTGCCGTGTTGTGTGTTTTGCCGTATTATTTCTGGGCAATACACGAATGTACACCGGAAAGTCTATGACTCTCACACATTGGCAAGGCCGGAAGTCATGGGAAAGCGACCCCTCTTTTATGAACATGGGCAATTTCATATTGTGCCATGTTAATCCATGCGAGAAAAACAGAATAGAAGATGCTAAGGAACGGATACGGATAGTTGTCATTCATTCGCTCCACGCCCTTTTTGTCGCAACTCGCAACTCGCAACCACACCAACCACCATTGACGAGTCACCTCTCTCTGACCACCACCTACCTAGACAGAGTTCAGGTTGAGTGGAGGGCCCAAAGAGGAGTAAGTCCGAATCTCTCCGGCCCGCTCTCCTTACGGGTACCTCTTTTGCTATCAGTCTCCGTTTTGTTTTGTAAGCAATCTCAGCTGTGATAGTGTTTTCCCCCAAGCTGCTCAGGTACGTGCTCTCGGGCATCTGCGATTTTCCAAATAACGATGGCGTCATCGATATGACGGCCGATCGGAATCAGTCGCTGTTTATCAGCGATTTCTCTCTTCCAACCCCGGTTCAGCCTAGGAAGCAGGCCCGGCGAAGACTCCGTAAGGTGGAGGAACCTATTTTGGCAAAAAGTTCCCTTTGGGTCCTTTTGGACGTGTCCAATACCACATCGTGGGGATGACTCGTGGTCCGTTCGGGGCTTTTATTTTGTTGCTCTGCTTGCGCTTTGTTACTTTTTTCTTTGTATCCGTAATCCCGTAACGAGGATAGCTTAGCTAGCTGATGGAGGAGAAGGAGGGACGGGAAGCTGAGGTACCTTTGGCTAAACACTAAATTAGCAGTTGCCATTGAGTACTACTTTGCATTCCCGTGAAAATGCTAATCTCGTGAATCGACTTTTTCCCTTTCCCGTTCCCTTCCTTCCTCTGCCTTTCTCTTTTCCTTTCCTTCTCCTTCTTCTCTTGCCTCTCTCCCCCTCATACTCCTGCTTGACATCACTGAGGAAGCTTGGCGACGACGGACGCCGAACGGACCGAACGCCAACAAACGCAAAGAAGCAACGCGATTCCGCAGAAAGAAGCTCACCAAGTAAAACTGTCCCGGTGATTCCGACAGAAGCTGCTGGCCATTCGAGAGAGAGCGTGTTATCTTGAGATCTACCCCGCCTCCACCATCGGAATCTGCCCCGCCAGATTCGCTCGCACACGTACATACGCACGCGCGGCGCGCATACATACAAAGCAAGCAGTCGCAGACGATAAGGTCTCTCTGAAAAAGTGAGGCAAAAGTCGCAATCGTGGCGATCATCACCGACACCACCACTCCCACCACTGCCGCCAATATGTCGGACGGGAAACGCGCCGTAGAGTCGGACAAGGGTTTGTGATCCCTTTCCTATTTGCGCCTTTACACCTTTCTTGTCGCAACGCAAGAAAATATGAGATTGAAACATTGTTTCCTCATGGTTTCTCCGCCATCTCACTTGCTTTCTCAAAAATTGCACCCAATGCGACAGCATTATCGCAAACGATGAGTATCCTCAAGGAACACCCAACGCTAACCGCAACCCACAGTCTGGACGACCCTCATCACCAACCTCGACTACCTCTCAGGCCTCCTCACCCTCAACCACTCCCTCATCAAGTCCGGCTCAGCCTACCCCCTCGTCGCCCTCTACACAGACACCTTCCCCGCCGAGGGCCTCGCCGCCCTCGAGCGCCGCGGCATCCCCGCCCAGCGCATCGAGTACCTCCTCCCGACAAAGGGCCGCGACTACTCCAACGACCCGCGCTTCTACGACTGCTGGAGCAAGCTCTCACCCTTCTCCCTGACGCAGTACTCCCGCGTCGTCCAGCTCGACTCGGACATGCTCGTCCTGCGCAACATGGACGAGCTCATGGAGCTCGAGCTCGACGACGGCGACTTCGCCGCCGAGCAGACCCCCGGCGCCGCCATCGGCGGCGGCAGCCCCCCCAAGAGCCCGACGCTCGACGACCTGGCCGTCAAGAACCCGAGCACCCGCGTCTTCGCCGCCGGCCACGCCTGCGTGTGCAACCCGCTCAAGAAGCCCCACTACCCATCCGACTGGACGCCCGAGAACTGCGCCTTCAGCACGCAGCACAACGACCCGGACACGGCGCAGCACACGGGCCCGGACCCCGTCACGGCGTCCCCGTTGGGCTTCATGAACGGTGGCTTGCAGGTCGTGAACCCGTCTGAGGCGCTGTTCCGGCAGATTGTGAAGCACATGGAGCAGGGCGCCATGGACATGGATTTCGCGGACCAGAGCCTGCTGTCGGATCTATACCGGGGCCGGTGGGTGGCGCTGCCGTACGTGTACAACGCGCTCAAGACGCTGCGGTGGGACGGGGTGCACAGCGAGATTTGGCGGGACGAGGAGGTGAAGAACGTGCACTACATCTTGGCGCCCAAGCCGTGGGACGAGATCGATGCCGTGACGGGGGAGTGGACGGGGACGGAGGAGAGTCATCGGTGGTGGGTTGACTACAACCGGGAGAGGAAGGCGATTGAGGTCGCCCAGGGGGTTGATGATAAGTTTTGAGCATTAGGAGCGAGGGGATGAGATGAGCATAGTGGTGGGGAGTTAATGATGGGATCGAGATGTCTTGCTGCCTTGATGGCTTTCATTGGTTTTGATATTTATTTGCCGTTCACATTCCCGAGGATTTCCGGGATAACTGGCCATGGGTAATGGGGCTCATTAGATACATGTCTTCGTCGACGACAGGTTTTTGAAAGAAAAAAATATAATACCCGGGGTATTGATCGCATGCTGAAATGGGCAGAGGATTGCTTAACATGCCATTCACTTGCTCTCATGAGTTTCCAAAGGCGATGTGAATGACATACGGCTGCTGCTTCTTCTTCAACATATGGTGACCGTCGGGATGTTCCCACTACATAAAAGCAGAGCTCGCACACAAATCACGGAACATCCTGACTGCTATGTAGCACTCTCGATATCGAGGCTGTGAAGCCCATCTCTACTACTCTTGATAGATATTTCTAAAGATCCTAAACGCCGTGGGGTATCTCATAGCCATTGCCCGAACGCCATCAAAGCTCATCATCATCATCACTGTCGTAGATGAAAATCGGCGTCCGCTTGGGACCACCGCCGTTCTCGACCTTGACCGTCGGCTTCCTCTCCGCGCCGTCTTCCTTCTCGATGTCCTCGTCTTCCGTCTCCGTGCTGCTGTCATCAATCGTCAGGTTCTCGTGTTTCGCCTCCACCTTGACCACAGTCCCAGGCTCATCCTTCACCTCGGCCTTGACCTCCTCCTTCACAGCCGCCTCCTCCGCCCGCGTCTCCGCCTTGACGGTCTCCTCCGCCAACAACTTGCCCTCGCGAATCTTGTAAAACGCTTCGAGGCAATTCCGCCTCTGCGCCTGCGTCCAGCTCCCGACGACCAGCGCAAACTCCGTAGCCGTCGCGAACCCGAACTCGCGCGCCATGGAGCAGAACTGCCGCCTCATGGCATCCTCTGGCGGGTTGTAGACATACGAGAAACCCTTGAGCTTCTGCGCCTGCGCGTCAAACACCTGACTATCCGCAAACAGCGCGCTGTCGCCCTCCCCCTCGATATCAGAGCTGGCCGCCATCTCCGCCTTGCGCGAGAGCTGTTGCTCAATCTTGGACGTGCCAATCACTTCCGAGTTCTCGTGCGTGTACTCGACGCCAGCCGAAGACAGGATGGCCTGGACGGCATCGCTCTTGGCCTGTTGATTCTTTGCTTTTTCGCCACCTGCTTTTGCGGCAAGGAAAGCTGCGAGCTGGCCCATGTCGCCGTCTTCCGTGGCATCTGCCGCACCCTCCAGCTTCACCTTGCCTAGCTCCTCACCTTCCTCCTTGGCGAGCTTCTCCATGTCGACGGTCGTCATTGCGATACCGGTCCCGGCTTTTGCTTCGGCGATGTTGGTCTTGTTGACAATGTCACGGATCACGAGCTGGTTCTCGCGGTACGTGAAGAGGTTCTCCAGCCCAAAGATTTCTCCTTTGCGCTCAGAGTCCTGCTGGACACCCTTGAAGTAGCGGCGTTCGGATGAAGCCGTATAACCAATGTTTGCCTGCTGCTGCTTGTAGATCTGTCTCGCATAGACAATCTCCTCAATAGTTCCAGTAGAGACGAGTCGAAAGACGTCAACATCCCGAACTTGGCCGATACGGTATGCTCGATCTTGGGCCTGGAGATCGTATGACGGATTCCAATGAGGATCGACAATGACTACCTTGTTTGCAGAAGTGATGTTCAGACCAACACCACCAGCTTTGGTCGAGATCAAGAAGACAAACTGAGTCGGGTCAGAGTTGAAGTCATCCACAGCCTTTTGTCTGTCCTCGTAACTGATCGAGCCGTCCAGATATGTGACACTGTAGCTGGTGTTGTGGAAGAGATGTTGAAGAATCCGAAGCAAGCGAACGCTGTGCGAGAAGACCAGTACTTTATCGCCGCTGTCATGCCAGAACTTGAGGAGCTTCTTCAAGACCTTCCACTTGCCGCAAAACTCCGGATTGGCCAGGTTCATGATCGCATCCCGGTTCTTGTAGAGATATTTCCACGTGTCTGGACAGCAGGTCTGAAGTGTGCGCATTTCTCTCTTGTGTTTGTCGTCTTGCTCGTTTCCCGTAGCAGGAATCAGAAGGGTGAGGTGATTTGACAACTTCTGCAAAGTCGTCACGCAGGGGAAGATGATGGACTGCCACCCCGTACCATCGTCGAGCGTCTTGCGACAACACCAGCCTTGCTTGTTGCCGGAGCCACATTCACATGGGTCGGACAGGGTGCGCAGAAGTTCGACATCAGGCCTACTGATGAAGTTCTTGTACGCTTCCTGCTGCTGGTCCGTGAGAGGGCAAAAGACGACTCGGTCGCTCTTCTTGGGCAGCTGGTGAGCGATCAGCGTCTTCATTCTACGCAAGAAGAAGCCCGGGAGCAGATTTGTGACGAGCTTCCTCGCAGTGGTTCGAGCGTCCCGCAATTGGTTCAGAGTCGCATCGTGGGATTGACCCCGTGTCAGAGGTCTGGTTATGGTGGTGTTCCATTCCGATAGTGTGCCAAAATGGCCAGGGTTGGTCCAGTTCAGGAGAGTCCACAGCTCCTCGTACTTGTTTTGGATCGCTGTACCCGTCAAGCCGATGCGACACAGAGCATTCACGTCGTTCATTGCTTTGGTGACTTCGGAGCTCCTTTCCTTCATCTGGTGACATTCATCGGCCACAACCGCGTCCCACTTGACGGTGTTGACCAAGCTCTTATGATTCTTGTACGTCGAATAGGTTGTGATCATGATCTCTATCCGCCCCGCTCGGGCAGCGGACAGCACATCCTCTTTCCCCGCGCCGTGGAAGACGTCGACCTTCCACCATCCCCAGCGATTCAACTCGTTCTTCCAATTCTCAATGATGGAGCCCGGGCATATGATCAGAACCGTCGGATACCAGCGACCAGACACGTCACGGATCTTCTTGAGCCGCTTCTTGTCCCGCTCATCGGCGGTTTTGCCAAAAGCTGCCGTAAGGAACGTCGCAACCTGGACCGTCTTGCCGAGGCCCATGTCATCTCCTAGAATCCCTCCCCTTTGGTAGACGAACAGACGGTGCAGGAACCTGACACCGACGATTTGGTACTCGCGCAAGTACTGAGCGATAGACGCCGGTATTATGCCGGCCGAATACTCGAGCTCGACATCTTCATACGGCCTGCAGGGTTTGATCTTTGTGCTTTCGTCGAAATGGGGGCGCCGCTCGAGGTTGTCCGGTCGGTCGTCCTCGGAGAATACAACGTCCGAGTAGTCCGGTGGTAGCAACAACCCTGCTTCCTGCAGTCGTTCCCGGGTCTGGTCGAATTGCTTCCTTCGTTCTTTCAGATAGTCTGGCGCTTCCGCAACATCTAGGTCATCCTCTTCCTCGGTGTCATCGATCTTCACTGCGCCATTCTTCTTGGATGGCCGGCCCTTCGCTTTCGCCTTGTCTTTCTTCCCCTTGCCAGTTGCGACTCGCCGCCCCTTCTGTTTCTTGGGCTTGGGGAGCTCCAAGTCGGAATCGGCGTCCCAAACCTCCTTCTCCTCAAAATCGACGTCAACCTTTCGTTTCCCGAGGGCTTTATTGCTAGGATGCTGAGGTTCGTCGACTTCCGATACTGTCTCGCCATCTGATATTACTATCGCGTTTTCCTCGACCGGCTGGGTCATTGTGGTTGCGATCGTATGAATCGCATGGCGTCATGGGTGTGAAGGCAAGATGTGAGGATGGTGGGGGTTTGTGAGTGACGCGACGGGACGCGACAGACAAGGTATTAGCACCCTGGAGGAAACTTTCTAGGTGCCACAGGCCTAGGCAGCGCTGAAGGATGCGGGCGATGCAACCGGAGATGTCACTACCCCTTTAAAACGATACTACCGTTTGATAACTAATCGGAGAATTATATCTTACAATACGATATGAGCCAGCAATTTACTCCACAACTCCGTGGGGGGCCGGGGTTGTGGGGAGACCGGAGGTCATCCCGCCGGCCAAGATGCCACCGAGGTTTTCGGCGACTTTTCTCCTCGCAACTCCTGCTCGGCTCGGTTGAATTGGTGAACCATGGATTGCGTTTCATCTGCACAGCACATCTCAGAAAGACGATCTCACTCTGGCGTCAAGCCTGAAACCGTGTCTGCTTGGCTCTACGTGCCTCTGAGATGGGTAATATGATACGAGCATGTATGCGGAGACTTCTGCTCAACTGTGTCTCAAAATGGCTCTGCAGTCGTCAGCATCCAATGTCCGAGTTCTTTTCAGGATGGAAATTACGAGAAGAAGAGATTCATTTGGTCCACGTCTTGGGTACTCAAGCCTCATCATAAACATTCAATGTAAACTTTTCTAAAAGTAGGTGGCTTTGTGACCTCGCCGTGGGCCACTGAATGATAAAATGACAGCAGTTTGTTCTGGCCTGCTCGCTCTTCAGTCTTCAAACCGTCCAGTATCTCCATTTGGGTATCAGTGTATACAGAATTATTCACGATAGGGTATGCCTCTAGCTCCAATGCCAAATTACGCGCCAACCGCCATCTGCCCAGGGTCATGTCACTCATACCGTCTCAATGCCTTTCAAGCTTTTCGTGCTCGTATCGCCGCTCTGCGGATCCAACTCGTAGGTTTCTCCACCATCTTTACTGTAGGAACCCGCACGCTCGGCATATTCCCTTCGGTATCCCGCCTCCTCCAACTGCTTCGCCGCGCTGGGGCTGCGCAACACATCCCCTTCTTCCTCATCAATGTACTTGAGAACCATCGTCCCCAGCCAGTTCCCAAACCTGGCATTATTAGGAGGTGTCCTCGGACCGCGGAGCCGATCGTAGTAGTCGCGAATGTACGGGCCGCGCCGCCAAAACGCCCTCGTGAAGAGCGGGCTCAGGACCGGTAGGGTGACGGTGATGAGTCCAACGGCGGTCTCGCGGAAACCCCAACGGTTGATGTTGATGACGGACGGCGCGCCACCCAAGGTCGTGACGGCTCGAACGATTGCGGTTGAGATGACAAAGACGCCGGACGAGAGCAGGATGCCGACGCCGATTTTGCGTCTTACGGACACGCGGAGATGCCAGAGAATCGGAACGGGGATGGAGAGGAGCGCAGCGTCGGTCAGGACGTTGAGCCATAGCAGCATCCAGAAATTTTGCGGTCGAAAGGTGCACTCTGGGCCTGGTAGAGGTCGGATTCGCCAGTTGTCAGAGTAGCTGTTCAAAAGTGTTAGGAACGCTATCGCGGTTG